GAACCGAAAATAAAGTCAGAACCGGAAATGGCTATAATTTTGGCATAAATTATGCTCGGATCATAATTTTGACTAGTGCATTGGAAAGCTCTTGCTCTCAGGAATCTATTGATATACTTGTGGTCCATGTACCTCGTATAGATCGTGAGTTATCGGTGAAAAACGAAGCTATGCTCCAATAAAACATAAAAAAACGTTTAAACGCTCATAACTCGAAAACTAAGCGAGATACGGCATTTTTGACGGGGTTATCCTATAGGGGGAACCCAATTTAACACTCAAGTCCAGATCTTTCATATGAGCCCTCGATCAATCCCGTAGCATCATCCGCATAGCAGTTATGCATATTTATATGTTTTGCCGTTTTTCCGAAATATCTCGTGATCTATCTAACAAAATAAAGTCAACAGCCAGTGTTTCGGAACGGTCTCGTCCCGCTCTTGCTAATGACATCCTCAAATGTATGATCTGAGCATAATTACGATTTTTTGCATTTTTTGAGGTTAGATAAAATAAACAGAAAATAAACTGGCTTAGGATTCTTATAATGAGAGTAAAAGAGAATACAAAACTTATCTCTTTTCTCTCTTAGATTAAGGGGCGTGGCTAGAATAAACCGTTGCAGCGCCATCGCTTGGTGGGTTCACAGAAACTTTTATGTTGTGACCTGAGATTACTGACATGTTGACCCAAAATACCGACATGTTGACCGAAACTTTGTCCGGATTTTCAACACAGCATTGGACTTCTATACTGTTCTCTCTTCTCTGACACAGCGAACGTAAATTAAAATTTTTTTTTTCAGTTTACATTTATGATAATACATGTGTTTTTATTCATAATTAGTCCAAACTTAATTCAATATGACGGCTAATTAACAGTATCTTCATAAATTTTATATCATATTTATGTTTGTATGTTAAAATAATCATGATTTTGAATTTTATAACCTCAAAGGATTCTGATTCGAGCAAAACAGAGGCAAAATTATTTTTTTATTTTGTCATTGACTCCTACTCCCCTCAGTATCAGAAGAAAAATTCAGTCTTTTTTCTAAGAAAAATGATCTAAAATAATTCTAAAACTAGCTTATGAATCACTTTCGTGATCCTCGAATCAACATTATTAATGGCAAAATATCCATAATAAATTCAATGAGTTCAGCGAGACAGCCAAAATTTGAAATAAATAGATTTTTTTTGGGAGTAGTCACTCATTCATGTTTACTTGCAAGTTCAGATAATAATTCTGATAATAAATGTAATTATAATCACACAAAAATGAAATCATAATTAACTTTGTCAGAAGATATAGCGGCAGAATAAGAAAAAAATTCTACCTCGGCTAATGCCATCGTCATCGCCATTTATACTTGGCACATGAGACACTTCAAAAATAAACGTGTCTCTTGATAGCTTTATACTTTGTATTTATCAGATAAAAAAAATTTGATTATTAATAATAATCATTATGTAATAATTTAGTCAATGTTAAATTACTACCTGGTATAATGATCATTATTAAAATCACTTTCATCTAACAATAGCTAATGTTACGCCTCGGAAAGTTTGTTATAAATAATTTAAATATTAAATATAAAATTAAAATTGATATTTGAATGTTTATTAGCAAACTTTTATAATTCAATGTTAATTATAATAAATAATTAAAATTTCGAAAAAATTAACTAACATGGAAATCAAATTTTTAGGAAGTCAAATCAAATTTTGGAGTCTACTTCAAAACGAAATTATTGTATGATTACTTTATTTTAAAAATAAGATATGAGATCAACGTAAATTATTAATTTAATTTAATTTAATTATTATTAAATTCTAAAAATTAAACTATCAATCTAGTATTAATTTAAACATCGTTTTTCAAAGACTGGTGAGTTAATATTAACATAAAATATTTCTAAAGCCTATAAATAAATTCCATCGTCTTTAAATTGGACTGAAAAATTTGGAATCATTTCATGTTAATATTAAAAGATATTTAAAAAAAAAAATACAATAATACTTTTAAAAAATTGTGTATAACAATTTTCTTATACTATTTTTTGGCTTTACAACTTCAACATCTTGCATTACTTTCTATATTAAAAATAAAATAAATATTTAATTACATTTGAAGTTACATCGTACTTAATTGTTACCATATCGAAGTCATTCATGAATTTTCAGTTGTCTAAATATGATCGAAATCGAAGACTAAAAATCGAGACCTATTTTTTTGGTATCATGGCAACATATTTTATTTCTTCAAAAGTGACAAGTGTTTAATAACAAAAGATCATGTTTTCTTTACAGTTATAGATATTCAACACCTAGAAATTTTAACTTGAAAATAATACATTTTTAAACATACATATTAATTTTCATAGAAAAATTGAAACATTATTATAATTGTAATATTATTACATAAAACTAACGATGCACTAGTGTTCAGACCATTGACTTCTTCATAGTTTTATATCTACATGGGAACCTCTAAACTTGTATATATTCTTTTATATAATTACAATCTCATGTATTCTGTACATACACACAAACATCACTTTTAATCTCCTTTGTTGTTCTCTTTGCTGTCACATAATTCATAATTGTTATTTCTTTTTAGAGTATATTTTATTTTAATTAAATCAATGAAATTCTTACGTCTAAACTTTCCGCACTGTTCAACATTCTAAAACCAGCACCATTTTATCATGTTTCAAATCAGAAAAGGAATTATTATGGACCAAAAATAAATAATTAATTATGGAAATGAATTCATATTTTATAATTCATAGGTTGAATTTTGGATTAGCAATAATTTCGATTATTTTAATAAACTTAGAATAAAATGTTAGGAATACATAGTATGTAACAGAAGAATTGTAACGTAGTGGGAGAAACTACTGCAGATAGAAAGGTTAGCGAAGACATTCAGTCGCTGGAACTCGTTGATTCGTAACGCATTACTTGTGTTCAACCTTCTGTGTTCAGATATTCTCACATTTCTTTGATACATAGAAAGTGTTGTAATATTTTTATTAACCGATCATATCTTCTAGATCAATATAAGTGTTTTTAGAGCAAGTTTTAGGAATTATTTATTTTAAAAGTATTCCTTTTTTTACAATACATGTTCTTGTTGATATCAGGTTTAGTAATGCCAAGTAAGTACATATTTTTTTTTTCTGAATTAAACTCTATAACTTTAGTTGATTACACTTAATTGGTATTGTTATAACATTATTTACATGTTTTAGATTACTTCTGGAATGTTAATGAGTTGTTATAAAATTTCGTGTAGACTTTGGTCTAAGATTTACGTAATTTTAATCGTATCTCTTTTTTATAATATCAACTAAGTCGGTGATTTTTTCTTGTCTCTGGTACATGTAATATTCTCATCGACTAAAAATTTCCATTTAAACAATATCGGAATGTAGAAAAAATGGTGATACTTTCCAATGTGAAATACTATTGGTAAAAGTTGATCATGTAATTTAGCCATGTTTTGTTTATTTTATTAATAATAAGAATATTAGAGAAATATTTCGCTTGGGTTATCTAAACGTGTATTAAATTAATTATAACATACCATAGAATTGAAAATAGAAAAGGTTAATAACTCCAAAGTTTAATAGAAAATTGACTCCAAAATGGACAAGTAGATCAGTTTTAAAATCCTTTTCTTTCTGTTTTAGATTTAATGGTAAATATTATAAAGGTTAATAATATAAAACAATATTTTTCTGTGTTATATTTAACTTCAAGAAAACAAACACCATAAAAGAAGCACACCTGTAGAATTTGAAATTGAAAAAATTTTGATTTATTTTGAGTCGGTTGACTTTATGATCTAAGAAGAGTATTTTCACAGGAACTTTAAATATGACTAACGGGAATATCATTTCCATTCTACCATAACGATGTATATATTTATAAAATTATTGCACATCAATATTAATTTCACCTGAAAAAAATTCAATCTTTCTGTAATATTACTCTACACTCACTTTATTTGGAAGTCAAACTAAATTTTATATTCAATTATAAATAATATATAAGTTCTCCATAATACAACGGCTGTTAATAATTATTATATTTTTATTGATTTGACGATAAAAGTTGTTATAAGATTGTTGAAGATGAGCAACTATAAAAAACAATCACTTCTCATTGATAACCTTCCTCGCGGTATTTTGAAGAAAAGAATTTAGGTTTCAGTGTGAAGTTACATAATGAAACATTTATGCGTCATTTTTCTCGGCAAAGTAATTAAATTATTTACGATTATTCATTGAATTGGAAAACACTGTAAATTCTTTACATTTAATATTTCTTTTTTTTTCCACTTTCCACTAGTATGTATGAATAAACTATGATAATAGTTTCTATAGAATATAGCATAGTTAAAAATGAAAACAAATTTGATTTATGTTTCACACTTAAACAAAAACATCAAACTCTATTGGTTTTTCTATGAAAAATATTTCACAAAAATTATTTGTTATTAAGTTAACAACTATAATATAACCGTAAATTTGTTTAATTTTGCAAAATAAAAATTACGTGTCGAGTGAAAGTCTCAATGGAGTACACAAGTCAGTTCGCAAACTGGTACTGATAGGTCACTAAACGCATGAGTAGAATAATAATTGAGGTTACTAGGCAATCTATGTAGAAATGACATTAGTTAGGGCTCAATTAAATCTAATCGAAATGTATTTTTGATCGATAATAATTATTTATGATCAAGCTAAAAAAATTATCACTTCAAATCTCACTAAACTATTTCAGTCGACAGATTTATATTTCACATAGATATGAAAGACATCTTAAAAGCCATGAAAAAAAAAGAAATATTAGAAGTACAAGACATGAAATAAAGAACAAAGATAAGGTTATAGTGGTTGATATACATAGTGGTATTGGTTTTGTTTATCAGGATTGACAATCACTGAGAATAGAAGAAGGCAATGTAGTCAAGTAAAATGTCCTTTCTGCAATATATACACAACATTGAATGTATTTTGATATAATTGAATGTAATATAATATACATTGCTTCTGTGTACTTACATATATCGATATCCATTGAAGTATTACCTGTAGTTTGAGAAGCCACTTTAGAAGCTTAGTAGCATGGCTATTCCAACATGGAATGCGTGGCATGTCGCTCATTAAATGACTACGAAATAAAAGGATCTTGACGACCTTGATAGTGTGCTTCACCAGTGAGAGCATATACATCGAGGTCATTGGTACAGAACGAATTGGTTTTGACTAACTTCACTTGTGATTTTAATAAACTTCATTTCAAGTTTATATTAACATCAAAAAGGATTATTCCATGTATAACTTAATAATTATGTCTTTTTTTCGAATTACATGAATATTAAGTAATATTATATTATGTTATCATTGGTTGTTAGTACAAGCTATAACTATTATATTTAAGATTGTCTTATCTCTTATCACTTGTATAAAAAAATAGTAAAAACTTTTAGAGTTACTTTGGAAATTTAGCATAGTTAGTAAATGAATCTTTTTATACTATCATTAAATACGTACTGAATTTTTAATTATTTTTAATAACAATAATTATTCTGTTACTATGAGGTAGAAAGTGGCGCAAACTTTCTGATTTAAAGAATGTTAGGAGTTTGCAAGTGAGATGAGAGATTTCAGATGTAATAACTACCGTAAACTGTTTTATGATTTTCTCTAGAAATTTACTCATTGAATATTCTATTATTGATAAGTTTTCATATTGTTTAAAGCAATTATAATGAATCTTGTTTTTTTTTTTCTATTTTAGAATGCATTGGTTTAAGGAAAACACTGATACACCAAAATTATTAAGTCTCAGCCCATTACGTGGAGATGAAAATAATATTGAATTCAAATCGCTCAATTCTCACTCGTCATCATCCATGAAAAGTAAGTTAGTTATGTAATAAGAGTATAATAATACTTTTCTATCAATGAAACATTTTAATGGAGCATAGGAAACATTATTAAATTACAGAGTAATTTTTATTTAATTTTATGACTTTTTAAATAGAAATGTATTGTCGATAACATTGTAAAAAAAATTATTTATAACTTTTAGAAATAAATAAAATCATACATTTATTTCTTTAGTATATAGATAATAAATATATCTACATATATTTTATAAATAATATTATTAAGAATGATAAAATTAAGAAATATTCTTTAATAATAATTATTATTTATTTATTGTTTATTATTTTTATAGATATATCATTGCCACATTGGACACGACAACAATCATCAGACTCGGAATCCGAAAAGAATTGCTACAATGTTCAAACTTCGCAAATTACTGTTGAAAAATGCAGTGAAAAAAAAATGAAAAAGAAATACCAAAATCATCATAGATCGTACGAAAAAAGAAATCCACTTCTTGATCGAGTCAAAAATACTAAATTAAGTTTCTTCAAAGCTGACGAGTCTCACAAGGACATCGACCCAGATGAAGCGGACTTTCGATCAAAATGTCATTCAAAACGATTAATTTTTATCCGAGATGATTCCCATCATCAGTCATTACGTAATCAAATAACAGAACAAAATAAAATTGATAATAAATATAGACGACGTTCGAAATCACAAACAAGAATTTTGTCGAATAAAAATTCTAATGAAGAATTTAGAGGATTCAAATGGAATCTTTCAAAATCACAAGAATCTTGTTTATTATCAAATTACAAACCTTCCGATATTGAAAAAAAATCCATGAACATAAAGCAAAAAAAAACTGATTACGAATCATTCTCATCAAAAGAATTTCGAAATGATGCAAAATCATCAAATTGTTTTACTACAAAGCTTCAAGTTATTCAAGATCGTTATTTAAAAAATTCTGTCAATAAATTAATTGGAAAAATATATAAAATCGATGAAAAAGATAAGAAGAAGCAGCGGCTCCGTAGCTTCTCTTACGGATCAATAACGGGACTCGATGAACTTCGAACTAATCCTCTCTTTGAAGATCAAGATCAGGATGACAATGATTCAGGAATTTTAGATAATAGCTCAGCTACAAGTTCTTTGTTTGAAGAGCAATATTATAATGTAACTTCTGATTCCGTTTCAAATACCACTTTCGATTCATCTTTGCCTCGATGTGTATCATTAAAAAAACCTATATCTTCAATTAATGACGGGAACCAAAATAAAGCAACGCCACTTGATAACTTCACTAAAGACTCTCAGACATTGTTGAATAAAAAATCACATAGGAATTCATTAGAGTATTACTCGAAAATGATTGAGCATAAATTAAGTCAGGATGTAAATCCCACATTTTTAAACTCCATTCATCAACCGACTGAGAATCAATTTCTTTCAATACAAGATGAATTGAAGCCAAATAAAGTCCAATCTTATAAACAAACTTCTTGTGGAATGAAAAATAATGAATCTAATGGAAATACTGAATATCAACGGACCAGTGGAGGATTATCAGTGATACGATCTAAAAATTATACAACAAAGCAAATAACTGTCAAACTAACACGTAAAGCAAATCAATCACTTGGTATTTTTATAGTAAAAACATCTGGACATCAATCAGATTATTTAATTGCACATGTTGTACCTAATGGATTAGCTCATGAAGAAGGCACATTGAAAATAGGTGATGAAATTTTAGTTGTTAATGGAAGACAACTCTGTGGGTTTGATATTTCAGAAGTTAAAAAAATTCTTGAAAGTGAAAATACTCCTGATGAAGTAAATATTACGATAGCCAGACGGATTAGTGTCGATATGACAAAAAAAAATGATAAATTAAAAGAAAGTAGTGTCGATTATGAAAATATTCAGACAAAAAACCATTCTGAAATGATAGGTAATACAAAGAATTCACCAGAGGTGTATGTCAAAAAAGAAAAAGGTCATCAAGATTTTAGTAAAAATGAACGTAATTCATCACATACAATGAATCGAAAAAGTAACACAAAACAAAATTCAATTGTGTCTGATTTTTGTACCTTACCGAGGAGACCACGGAGTTCAATGTCGATATTTTATACGGTTGTTTTTCAGAAAGGTCCGGGTAAAAAATCTCTTGGATTTACTATCGTTGGTGGAAAAGATAGCCCAAAAGGAAGCATAGGTAATTACTGTAATTACAGAAGTTTTTATTTTTATTATAAAATAATATAAATCTATTATTTAAATCATTTTTGAATTAAAAAAAATGACATTTTTATAGCAGGATAATTTGTAACTAATATTTAAATTTGATAATCTTCCTCCACGTTAACACATTCAAAAATACGTCTTATTTTACATTATTAATTGATGTTCACGTTTCACATTTCAGGTATCTTCATAAAGTCAGTTCTTCCAGGTGGTCAGGCTGCAGAAGATGGCCGATTAAAGGCAGGTGATGAAATATTAGCTGTTAACGGACAAGTTCCTCATGATTTGACTCATCGTGAAGCTATTCAACTTTTTCGTAATATTAAAAGTGGTTCTTTGGCATTACATCTTTGTAGACGGATAAAACCACAATCACCGCCGTATGTTCAACTCATTATTCTTTTTTTTTTCTACGATAAAAGAAATTAAAAATAACTATAATATAAATTTATATTAAAACTATTTTCACACCTTTGCAGAAAATCTAAAGCCAAATCTTGTGCTGAACTTACTTTAGAGGCTGAAGTGACGTTTCCGTAAATAGACAACGTTTGAAGTATAGTATTAAGTGACATGTTTAATAAATATAAATATATTATTGTAAATATTGTAAATAATTCTATATATAAATATACATAAATTTTAGTATTTTTTATATAACTAAAGTTTTTATTATAAAATTAAAAAATTTGTTTTATAAATTGTTACATCAAGTTAATACATATGATATATCATAATGATACTAATATAATAAAAAATTATATAAGTCATCAGACATTGAAAAAATTCGCCTTCTTCAGTAAATCATTTCTATTATTAATAGCCTTACGTATTAAAATATATACAAAAAAGACTAGAAAATCAAAACTTTAAAAGAATATAGTCATTGGCCATTGTTTGATACAATTAATATTTAAAAAATTATTTTCATTAATTTAATATACACAAGCTGTTTAAAAAGTTTTTCATTAAGAGATAATACTAATGCGCAATTGAGATATTTTAAATAGTTGAATTATGACTTTTTATTTAGTTTATGTTGATAGTTGATTTTAATAGCACCATTTTATTTATAAATTACTATTGATCTCATGAATAAGCTTTAATCAATTACAAACCTATTATCTCATGTTATTTTTTTATATTCTTCAAATATCTACAACAATATAATGAATTTATTATGATATATTCTTTTTATCATCAACAAATTATTATGTGGAATTAAAATTCACCTATGTTTTCTCGCAACTTCTAACGATACTACTCCTTCCCTAACCGATTTAAATAAATCAATAACTTCTTGATGTGTACATCCTCGTAATTGTTTGCCATTTAATGCTAAAATTTCGTCACCTGGAAAAAAAGTCATTCAAGTTAATATTAATTTTGATAAAACATAAATAAAAAATATATCAATACTAAAAGTGAATAAAATATTCATAGTGTTTTCATTATAGTCTTTCAGTTTATATTATATTCTTTTCACGATACAGACTGTTAAAAAAAAAAAATAATAAAAAAAGACATTTTTATATGTCAATCACATCACATGCTGACTTCACATTTCGTGTTTAACTGTTGTTTTACCACCAATATGAATACATGAAATGTACGTGTTTTGTATTCTCATATCATACAGTATGACTTTAGTCTTAAAAAGAAAATAAATAAAAATTTTCATGTGATAGTAAATTTTTTTTTTGTCGCAGAAGATTTTTTTCAAATAAGATAAATTTGCTGATTAATTCTTGTAAATTCTTTGAAACATTTTTAAATAACTTTTTATAGCATATTTTTTTAGATAAATTTATGAGAGATTCAAATATTATTTTTCATCAAATATTTGTATTTTAAGTCTGATATTTTATAAAAACTTCATTTCTATTCAGTTAAAAATTAATTTTTTTATTACTAAATAAACTGTAAATAACGAAAGGCAATCCTATATAAATAGTTATTTTGAGCAACTTTATTTTTATATTAAAATAAAGTTAGTATTTGAAGTATTTCATACCTTGAAAAAGAATTTTTGAGGTATCTGCTTGTCCACCGGGAAATATTCGTCGGACGAAAATACCCATTTCTCCTCTAGGACTATCTTTTCCACCTACGACACTGAATCCTAAACTAGGTTTACCGATTCCTTTTTCAAATATAGCTGTATGCCTCGTTATTGAAAAGTTTTCAAGGTTCGAAGTACAATTATTAATACTTTGCATACTTTTTCCACTACATACTGATGATGAACAATTCAACGAATTTCGAGAGCAATCAATATTTTTACACAATTCTGGTGTTTTTCGTTCCATTGAATTCCATTGTTTTTGGCTATCAGAATAAGAACTGTGGAATTGATTACTCGAATTTTCATCAGTAAAAATAACGTCAGTATAATTTTGAGGAACGATTTCTTCATAAGCTGCTGTTAAATGAAGCTTATGTCCGGTGAAAGATTTGAGAAATTTTTGTACTTCATTAAGGTTCTGCAAGGATTTTAATTCCTTCCCCTCAACTTCTATTATTTCATCACCAAGTCTCAGTCTCCCATCTCTGTAAAAAAGAAAAAATAGTAGTCATGAATTTTATCATATTACATTGTGAGATAAATTAAGATATTTTTTACTAGTATCTCAGCTCGAATTTTCAGTTTTATTTTTACAAAAACACTTGTAGCATAGGCATAAAAATAAATTTATGCTTTCATGAATTTTTTCATCGACCATTTTAAACCTAAAATTTCCACTCATATTGGTGATAATTTCTACAACCGCATCCATTCAATTGACGATATTTATTTACATTAATATAATAAATCGTTTATGTATTTTTTTGAATCTTCCTCTAAAATTGAACTATAATGATAACAACTCAATCGAAATTTGTTTGCATACTTTATATTAAATACTGATAATGGACCGCACATAATTATAATCTTAAATAACTCTTTGATAGTTGTCTGTAATATTTACTAATTTTTAATTATTGTAATTAATATCTTTCATCTAAAATATGTATACATTATTATAACATCATTTAATTTTTTTAAATAATTTATGGTAGATACCAACAATATTTAATTGCTGTGATTAATATATTTTAGTTTAAAGAAACAAATCTTCGTTGTTTTTTGAATTTCATTATTATAAGATAGCTTTTGAAAAGCTTTAAAAAAATTCTTTAACAATAAAAAAAGTTTGGATAGATTTTAATATAACTTCTTTCAGATTGCCCCATATTTTAATTTGTTTACACGTAATTGAAAAAAAATATATTGAATAAATCCATTTTAAAGTTGTAAAAACTGAAACGAAGATTAGTTAAACAGAATTTACTTTGCAAAACAGAACAAAAGTTTACCTGTGGACCCAGTACGGGAAACCTTTGGCTTTTTCAAAAAAATAAGTCACAAATCGTTTCCCCACAGGATAAAATTTATCCTGTAACAAAGTATTCTTTACAGAAAGTAAGAGAAAAAATATTATTATTATTTTTTCAATCTATTATTTTGGAATTTTTTAAACAAAAACAATCATTCATGTATCAGAAATTAAGCATAACTAAACTTTGAATAAATTAAAAATTAAATTTATTTTAATATATCTTATTATATTCAATGATTCTACAATGTTCTGTTCGTTGCACCGCACTCTAAAAAATAATTAAAAAATACTCACCGATGAGCAATTCCATCGTGGTCCAATTGTACTATAATATATTTTAATTCTTCATAATTTTGTTGAGCCAAATGAATTCCAAGATTTTCTCTACTATTATTTCTATTTAATTCTATAATTCGACGTCTTTTAACTTTTTTCGCAGATTGAATAATATTGCTTAAAAATCTAGCTTTATCTTGCTGGAGTCGAAATCGATGAGGTGCAACAACTGATAGTTGTGAGTCATTCTGTGCTGCTTGAGAATTTTCTGTACGAAATGAGAAGCATGTATTAGTTAAATTGATACATGAACTTTGATGAATACTGGGTAAAAATCTACCAGATCTACTTTGATGCCAAGTTAAACTATGAATATTATCAGTCACTTCTGAGTCTTCATGGTTGGACATTAATTCAGCTGATGAATCTCCAGAAGGATAAAGTACATTTTTAAATTCACCGTATTTCGAACTTTTAATGGATTTATCATTTTCTAAATCAAGAAAATTACTAGAGTCCGCAGTAGCACCAATAAATTCATGATCAAAATTGACAATGGCTTCACCTCTTCCTGGACCATCACTGTCATAACCCGATTCATTTGAACTTATATAATGTGAAGAGAATTTTTGATCAACACAAGGTGCTGAATTTCGTCGATGATTTTTTTTTAATACTAAATCAGGATTTATCAATCCAGAATTGTACTTTTTATTATTATCTACAAAACTATGATATTGGTGTTCTTGTTGCTGCACAGCAGTATCATTTTTTTCCGATTGAATAGAACTACAATTATATTGTATTACTTGTTCCATTTGATGATTACGAACATTATTTATTTTTTTACGTCTCTTATCAAGAGTTGAAAATCCATCTAAAGAAGTTTTATCATGGTTAATAGACAAATGTTCTTCAGATGTCGTTTTAAAAATTCCATTAGCTTTGGTAAATGTTAGATTATGTCGTTCTTCTGGTAAAACCGATAACTTTGAACGAAGAAATGCATATGGGAAACTTGATCTTTTAGAATCTTTAAAATCACAACTAGTAGATTTACGTAAAACATCATTTGTTTTGTTATTAAAATGATCATTATTAGAAAATTCTACAGATGAGTGATTAGATATTGATAAATTAAGAAGTGTATTTCTAAAATTATTATCATCATGATCATTTTCATGAATAAGATTGTCGCAAGACACAGTTTTATCTTTGCAGTCAGTTATTTGTAAATCAATCCCTTCAGATGGATCATCTCCTTTAACGTAAGTTGAACTTGTATTGAGTTGAGAAGTACTACAACTTCTAAAGAGATTTTCTTTTTCTAATGAATTAAACTTTTCTTCTATATTTTGAGATTTTCGATTTCTCGATGTATTTAACATCCCGGTAGATCCCATTCGTACAAAAAATGACTTGAATGGAGATGGTGCTCGTCGCATAAATGGTTTAGAACATGTTTTCCATGAATCTGATGATTTGTCAATTTTATCATTTTCTATGCTTGCATTATTTGTATTACCATTGACATAATTACTGTGATCATTATTATAATTTTTATCCATTTGATTATTATTATTTATATTAGTAAAAAAATCATCATTGTTTTTATTATTATTACTGTCATTATTGCTATGATCATTATCAATATTTAAATTTACACTATTGCAATCAGAATCTTTTTTCTTTGAACCATACAACGATTCTCTAGAGCCAATTCTGCGAAAAGATTCAATCTTCTTACTCATTCTTCGACTCCACACACTTATTCCTAAAACAAAATAAACTTTTTAGTATTGTTTGAAAAAACAATTAAGTGAATATAAAAAAAAGTTTTAAGAGAGAAAAAAAAAATGAGTAAAAGTCATTTTAGTGATGTCTATGTTTTATTAATATTTAACTACATATTGCACAGTTTGCTAAATGGCCATGCACAGCAGTCTTCAGTAATGTACTAAAGAACGCACAATATATGACCACAAAAACTCTACTGCACACTTGATGTATGATTGCTATATTCTTAAGAAACCGCATTACGTTCCGTATGGAGAAACAGAACTCTATATGTAGTTCCGCATGTTTTCGGACTACTTTTTGTAATGTCACCATAATAAGACAACAACGGTATCAAATGATTCTTTATCAAAATTTTCATGAGATTATTTTTTGCCATTTTTCTAATTCTATTTTATATTTAATTTATCATGAGGCTTTAAAATGATCAAGATATCATCATTACTATTATGAATGATAGACAGTAAATTGTAGTATAAAAAAACTTTTCAAAGACCAATAATTATCATCTCATTTCATGTCATTGAAAATGATAGTGTAAGTATTCTCACACAACTTTTTCCTAACTTTGTGCATTCATTTGCCACCAATTATCTTCCAAACCATCATTTGATTTTGCTTTTATAAAATGTGGTTACTATAATCAACCTTAAAGAAATAAAAATAAACATTTAGAGCAGAACTACAGAATGATTTCCTTTACTCTATAATTTATTTGATCATGTTTTAAGTCTTATATTTATGTCATTTGAAACTTGTTCTTAGTATCTTTTAAGTAGTGCATATATACAAAATAAAGCTTTAAAAAACAGTTCATACACTTTTTAATAACTATACAAGTATAATTTTCTATTAGTTTCGCTCAATGCCTAGAATTGCAAACCTTGAGTATCACAACAACATCAACATCCTGATCTTGATTATCAAAACACCCCAAGCCAATTTTTTTCATAACAAAAAAATTACTACTACACTTGAATTATAAAAGTTGTTTATATAATCATCAGATCTATTCAGGAATGATGCTGTATTCCAAGGTATATTATGTTCAATTACTCAAAATGACCCATTAAGGGAAATAAATTACGAACATCTTAGGGGTTGTATGTGAAGAACCTGTTTTCTTCAATGTTTCTGAACAATCTATAAATATCATCTTAAAAGATATCTCTCACTATTAAATTTATTATTTTGCAACTTACTAATTAAGTCAATTATATGAAACATTAAACAATTATCAAATAAAATCTATTTATAAAAATTAAAACACCTTTTATTTCAGAAAGAATAAAAAAATATTTTAAAAATTTCCAGTAAATATAATTCACGCGATAATTTAAATTTTATGGTACAGAATGATCTAGAGTGATCATTAATGAGATTGGTTTGATAAATTTTATATATAATTCATTCAACAAAAATTTTATTCAGATCAACAGAATAAATTATAAACCCAACATTAACAGTAAAACAAAAATAATCGTTTATTTGTATGACTTACAAGTTTATATCACCATCTCGGCAGATTACTGCACTTATTTATTTATCTTTAAGGTTGATGTCGTCTTGAACACTTCACCTACACATTTACCAAGTTAAAGAAAATGCAACAGAGCATTGCCATTTCACAGAATAAGCAAACCAATTAAACCAACCACGTGACAATATTGCATTTAGTTATGTGAGTGAACAAACATTGCAGTGTGAAAAAAGAGTATAAGTACAGAAAACAAGAAGTCGATTGACCAGATCAACTAACTACTTAAACATTCTAGAATATCCAGATCATTTTACAACCTTATGATTAGTTTGAAACTTTTATGATGATACTACGATACCTAAAAGGATTACCGGTATTTCCTTTTTTTCCTATCTAGATTAATATTTATATAGAAAATGTCGAGAAATATGGTAGCATTTCGTGTCAAATGCACATTTCTTCTTTCTTACTTCTTTATTACAGCACGCACACAACATTAAAATATTCTCGTAATACTATTTTATTCAGGAATTCAATAATTTCATAATTAAGTTAAGTATTAGTTACTTTAATGTGATGTACCTTTTAAAACTAAATATTATATAGAATATATTAATAATTACCCTTGCGTTTCTCTGATTCATGCTCCACTATAAACGCTGGTACTGCTGTAACTGTTTGATAATCAGTTTCAGTTTGATGAGGATGACTGAACTCATAGTCAGTAGTTGGTGGAAGCATCGTATGTGTTGCTGCTTCATTACCAACACTTTTCCGATAATGTTTAAACTTCGCATCCTGTATAACACGTTGACTAAGTACATCATCTTGCACATCTAGACATTTTTTGTTCAATAAAAAAATTCCTAGTGGTTCACTCCATATTGACTGTGAAATATTTCCTTCATCGGCACTATGACGTCGTGATTTCGCTTGCAACCGTTTAAACATTATCTTTCTGAAACGAAAAATATATTTCATTATTTATGATTTATGTTTTGATAACTGGATATTTTAAATTACAAAAAAAATATTTCAACAAAGATTATTTTTATTTAGATGAAGTATTCACTTGAACATATCCGCATGTCACATGACGCTACAAGTAATAAAGTTTGAACATAAAACAAAAATAAAACTTAACCTCTAGAATGTGGATGTAAGTTTAAGTTAATCAAGTACAGCCTTAATGAAAGTTATTAAATAGAAAAAATGATGAAAAATAGTTGCGTGAAAACTGATAAAGGATATTAATGTCTGTAGAAAGCGAATCATAATCATATCAACATGTATCTCAACCAACGTGTATCCATTCATTACCTTTTCCTGAGATTGAAAATCGGACTTTTACTTTATCTGGATAAAGATTAACAAGCATACCAAGTTCAAACAAAATTTTCAACCGATTTATAATACTTATAAGTTTATTTATTGAAAAAGTGATAAAATTAAAAATTAACATATTTAATGGAATTATAAATACTACTATATACATATCATAAACAATGCACCTGTTGGGGAGCTTTTGCGTAATATCATGTTCAGACAAGTTGAAGAATTCCACGTACTTTCACTTAATGTTAAGAATCAAGTTATCATACATTACGAAACTTATTAAAAATTATTCAAAGGGCTTTATTATACAAGACAAGTGTGATATCTTCAACTACCATTTTTAAAAATTAACTCATTTATTTTAATAGTTTTTCCGATAATATTTTTATTACTTCAATTTTAACATTTTATTATAGCCAGTTCATAATAAAAAAAATTCATAAAATAAAATGAATATATTACAAAAGCTTTTAAAAAAATATTTTTTTATAAAATTATTTAAATTCTGATGGTAAGTTATTTATATTTATTTTTATAACCAATGTTATATTATTCTATAAATATCTTATTTATCAATCAACAGGCCCTTCTAGTCCAGTTATTATTGACGCATATTTTTCTTAATATACAACGACAGAAATATATAAGCATATGGTGGAATGAATTTCATTTGTTTGTATCGACTGCATTCCAGAGAGCTTGGTATTCTTCATGTGTCCTCCAGGTAACCTTGTTAACACTTGTAAAGTCTAAAAAATAATACAGCATAGCTAAAATAATAATTTATATTTTGACTTTGAAATTATTACGAATAAATAAGGATTATTGAATTGAATTATACAAGTTTTACTTGGAATAAAATAATATTTTTATCAAGAATTACTAAGCAGCACTGTATTGTTCCTTATTTCTTCACAAACTCTCAATTAATGAGGTTAAAAAGAACAAAAAAAAAAAAACTCATTTTTGCAAAAGCTATTTTAATTGCTGACCTTAGAAACACAACTACTGTAGTAGAAAAAGAGAGAAAGAGAGAGAGAAGAAGGAAGAGAAAAAGAGAGAAAGAGTAAAAGAGACAGTGGAAAAGAAAGAAAAGTAAATCCTCGGAGCAACGGACTCTAGTCTGTCCATGGCAAGAAGATGACGTAAAGGCCGCACACTGTACAAGTCTGCATCTCCATGTATACTGATCGTGTTACCGTTCATCCAGAAATCTACTCGAGTTTCATGACAACTAGTATATCCCGAGCTTCAACTGCTCTTGTAATTCATAGAGTAAAACAACAAAACTAGAAATTCATCAAGACATTTCCTTCATTCAATTCATTTTTTTTTTTTCAACTTACTTTGGTACTTTTATTTTCTCATAGTCATACATATGGATGTTCAGAATTCCTACAATTATTATTATTCATTTTTTACCCAATTCTTAAATAAATTTTTTTTGCTAAAAGTTAAATTAATATTCGAAGTTAAAATTAAATAATTGAATACATTTAAATCGTTTAGAGTATTATATAATATTATATAAAAAAATTCGGTTGACTTTTATAGTTTTATAAAATATTTATATTAAATTAAATATTAAATGTTTTATAGTAATTACGCTAATTTTATGGATGATCGAAATACAGTTTTGACAAAATTAAAAATTATTAAATTAATAAGGAATTTTTTAAAAAATAGTAAATAATAAAAACAAAAAAATTTTATAATATGTAGAAATGATAGAATATAATAATTCATTCGTAGGCAATGTAAAATATTCTTTTTTCACAGTTTAACTATAAATTCAATAAAAGTCTATTTTTATCTACGAAACGGAGTGTAGAATATTATGCATTTAACTCTAGTGCAATCGATGAAACAGAAATACATATATGCACTTATCAGCAAAACAAATTTTTGCTTTAGAATAACAACAACAATAAATCCTATAAACTACCAATTATTTTATATTTAATATTCCTTAAATTATTATTCAATAAACAAACACATAATATTATCAAATTATTATTTAATAAAATTAAAAAGCTATATATTGATCAAAGATATTTAAAGTAGAAACATGTCATTTACTATTTACCGATTTTGTTTATTTAATTTGGAGCAATCATTAAAGGAATTTATTATTATATTCATATTACTTAGTTATTAGTATGAATTCGAATTATTTATAGTAAATAAAATTTTTCGTTGGTGTTTCCAAACTTTACACACCGTTAAATAGTTAACAGAAATGTATATAAACAAATGACTTACCGATCGTTATGGATTATAAGCCAAAAATGATATTAATTGAATGCATTTTGTTCAATAGAAAATAATACAATGATACATGATTTGTTGAAAAGAAGAACAATAATAAAAACTACAAGATTCCAATGTGAATAATTCACAATAAATAAATACACCGACACAACTGAACACACTGTTAAAATTTACTGGTATCTGCAACTTCAATATATTAGTAATTTAAACCTCTGGGACCGCGTTGCACAGTTTTACTGCAGAGCGTAAATCGATGAAAAATATGAGGATTTCAATGGAGGGAATAGAAAAAGACAGAAAGAGAGCGAAAACCGACTAAAAGATGAGTACCGATCGATGGTTGTGCACAGACTGTCTCGACTCGCTTGCTCATGCTTTAGTTGTCTCTTATACCCTCTCTTTTACGCCTCTGAAAGCTTAATGCCACTTACATATTTTAGTCCAAACCAATAATTCATAAGAAATTTCCAGTGATATTTCATCAATATACACTTTCCTCTATTTACCCCTTTTTTAGGATTTTTTTATTTTAATTTATAATATATTGTGTATTTAATTCTCCATTCTGATCCTTTTTTCCAATTGATCGATATTCATTAAAATATCAAAAATTTTTAATAAAACCATATTTTATGGTAATTAATTAAATAGTTAATTACATTTATAATTGAAATGATTTTTTATTAGTTATTTATTTATTTTAATTGGTGCACTCATTAGCTGTATTTATTAGAAAAATTCAATTACATATTTACAAAATTTGATAAGTTTAAATATTATGATGAATATTAAAATTAACAAAGCATTACATGCAGTTTTTACAGAGTTCTGTAATAATATTTTGTCAACAAATATATGAAGAACCATTTTTAAAAAAAAAAATGTTGCTTAGTTCACTATAATTAAATTCTAATAATATTCAAACAGATGGACATTAGAGTAATCTTATATCTTTCTAATTACTATTATTAATACAAATAATTTGATAAATTAACAAAAAAAAATTTTTTTCCCAATAATTAGAAAACTAAAAAATGAAGCAACAGTTTTCCTATTATTTTTATAGTACTAAATCTAATATTAATATTAAAGCACTAAAAATAAAATTAAAATCTAAAAACGGAAGTGCATTTTTTCACCTTCTGTTTGATCAGTTTTTGTTGAAAAATTTTAAATCCCAACATTAGAATTTTTATTTAAAGATAAATTTATGACACTCAAACTGATGGACACTAGAGTGATAAACGAAATTGAAAAGGTGACGACAAAAATCCACAATGAGAAAATTCGAGCATAACACTTTCACCACTTAATGTATTTATGCAAAGAAACGGTTTTTTTTTTCAATGGTTTTTATTAAAATATGTTTATTACTCTGTTAGTAATTATGTATGATTATAAACGGTTGTCAAACAGAAATGGAACTGTGCTATTGTTATAAGGCATTCAAACAAATATAAATTTACAGTAAATACCTAAAAGAAACATTTATAACACCACAGCACAACAAGAGATGTATAATGAAATTTTCACTTGAGTCGTTTACAACTTAGTGTATCTAATTACCAGTAGACAATATAGCGTGTTGGTAAAAACATTATTTAGTACCAACCATTTTCAGAGCTATGATAATTAACAAACAGACATCCGGTGATTTGACTTCAAAATATTGAATTGAAGGTCAAGGTTAAAATATGTCAGCAATCATTAATTCATTAATCCTCAATTATATTTTTATTAATAAAATAATATTCTTTTTTTTCTGTAAAATACAAAGTCATACAAGATAAGTTGCAGTAATTGTTGGAATGATCAGCAATATTGTTCAAAATGAATCAATTTCTTGTTGAAGTTTAGAAAAATTAATAAGATATTCATTAGATCATAAATCAAATGCAAATATCAAGTGATAAACAAAAATTTTATAATACTTGTTATTAGTTAATATTCTTTTGTTGATGTATAAATAACAGAAAATAAAAATAACATTTTTAATTTTGCAGACCAAAATGTTTTCTAAAAAATCGTGTGACTTTTGATACTTTTACAACGATAAATTTAGCCAGACTATTTATATCAGAGTTCACACTATCGTTCGTAGAAGGTTCAGTTTAAGGTATAGCATTTACTCTGCAATATGTAAATGAACTTTAGATATACATTTACAATTATTTGTAATTGCACAGAAAATTAAATTAAATATTATACAATGCTTATTATTTAATTTAAGTTGAATAAAAATTATTTTTTTACACAAAAGCTGGTCATTCTTTTTTTTTTTTTTTTTAACAAAATTAACATTGGACTTAGGTTATTCAATTAATATTAAATATAAGATGAAAATTAAAAAAATTAAATTTGTCTCTCTGAATAGCATACAAAAAAAAAATTAGACAAGTTACTTCATAACTTATTCTTCTATTTTAAAAATATGCAATATATAATAAATTTTTAGTTGTTACGAAATTTTTAATGTCTTAGAGGCATTTTTTTATCGTAATTAAATAAATGATGACAATATTTCATTTTTTTTTTTTTACAAATTAAATTAATGGCTTGTTAACAAGAGAACTTTATTTTAAAATCTTTGTGTCTTCGATAGGGGAAGGGAAAAATGTCTTACTCAATTACGAATCAAGTATTCAATCTACTGAAACAAAAAATATTTTCATTTTCAATAAATAAAAGTTGCACTTGTCATTCATAAAATTCTTCATTGAGCAAAAAGTGTCATTAAAAGAAGTATTATTTTTTTATTTCTCATAATGTATGCTACAATATTTTCACAATAAAATCGATTATTTTTTTCTTCTTAAATATTTCTCTGTTTATCTAACAAATTTTCAGGTTGAATAATGATGTGATCATCAATGTTATCTAGGAAAATCAATTCTATCGAAGAATAAATTGAAAAGAATCAATCATAAAAAAGAGTCATAGAATAATGATGAAATAGTTAAGATGTATATTAATAAAAATTCAAAATAATAGTAAGTAATTGATGGTGCATTACATAATCAGTCGTTAGAAGAGTAAAAAGACATAACAGTAATGATTATAGATTCAGGTTGACTGGCCTATGATTCTAGTGTTACGTCGACTCTTGCGCGACTTTGTTGAAGCATCTTTCAAGAGAGGTGCTCGAGCGTTGAACTTAGATAACTCACGTAAACAAAAACTAGACTCGTCAATGTCGATTATTGGAGATACATTTAGCTAGCCTTTTTGTTTGATCGTTCCACATGAAAGATGCTTCTATAGTAATGCGAGTTGGTATTATTTTTACAGTACGAAAAAATTACCAGTTCCTACAATAAAAATGACTTATTCATCAAAGACACTATTTTTTAAAATAAAGATTACTAATGTTCTAATCACAACAAAGATACACACAAAACTTAGGAGATTTTCTTTTAAATTATTTGTCTTCTTATATTTTAAACCTAAAACTATTAAATAAAAAAGAATAGGTAATGTTAATTAAAGATTCTTATGGAATTGATGAAGAATTTGTGCAGATTCGATTGGAGTAATGTTGTTTTGCATCTAGAATTTTCAATACTAAAAAGAAATGTGAATTTGAACAATTCTTAATTTATTATTTTAATGTTGCATTGCAATATAAGTAGGCTTGAGTAACGAAATAATAAGTACATAATCTCGTAAAGTAATAAATTGAGCAAAATTCATCAAGTTTGCGGTTACAGAATGACAGATCTTTTACAATTTAAGAACGCAAAGCCCATATATAAAGGAAGAAGCAGCGTTACTTTTCTAATGAAGAACAAATTATGTTGCTGTTCCGATGGGTAAGTCTTAGATAAATAAGCTTGAAAATCAATTTGATTATATTATAAAAATTAATTAATTACTTCTTATAGTTGGCAATATTAATTTTATTGGCCAACACTTCAAATTGTCATCATAGAGCCAGTAGACAAGCTGGATATAACTATGAACGTCCAAAAATTCCATTTTCATTGCCATCACCCTCTGTAGCAATACCTGCACCGAGTCCACCACGTATTGCTCCACCTCCTGCTACATATTTACCGCCGTACTCACCAGGTAACTTAATTCTTCATTCAATTCTTACTTCAAATCTATGAAAATAAAACACATTAAAAAGTTGCTATACAAATACAAATATCTCTAATTATTTTTCAAATTAAACAGATTGCATTACGTATGGTTTACTTATAGAAATATTATATAAACTATAATTTACATCTTAAGTTAATATGTTATCAAAAATTAAAATATCATATATGATTTAAAATTTTTTTCAAACTTGTATAAAGTTCAGGATAAGATTTCTTAAATCTTTTCACACAGTCAATCAAAAAAAAAGATTGTTAATTTTAATTGAGAGGAGCTTTTGTTAGATTTTCTGTTAAATGAAATGATATTTAAATATAAACTTCCATAGAAGTCAAGTATAAACCTTGATTACTAATGTAAAGAAATTTAAATGCTTAATCACTACTTCTACATTAATAGAGATATAACCTTGTGTAGTATTACGAAGTACATAAAATTTTTTCTTCACAGCACCTGCTCCTCCTCCGCCTCCGCCACCTCCTCCACCTAGTTATCCTGCGCCAGCACCACCACCACCCCCTCCACCGAATTATCCTGCTCCAGCACCTCCTCCGCCGCCACCACCACCACCCCCCTCCACCGAATTATCCTGCTCCAGCACCTCCTCCGTCACCGCCACCCCCACCACCCCAACCGAATTATCTACCTCCGCCGCCATCACCCCGACCTTCTCTTCCACCACCTCCTCCGCCACCCCCTCCACCACCACCACCGCCTCCTCCTCCGCCCACTTATAATTATCCTACACCAACTCCTGCTCCACCACCACCTCCGCCACCCCCTCCCCCTCCACCACCGCCTCCTCCTCCTCCGCCCACTTATAATTATCCTACACCAACTCCTGCTCCGCCACCCCCTCCACCACCGTCGCCTCCTCCTCCCCCGCTCACTTATAATTATCCTACACCAACTCCTGCTCCACCACCGCCTCCGCCACCACCACGACCTTCTCCTCCACCACCACCTCCCCCTCCGCGTCGGCCTCCTCCTAATATTTCAACTCCTGCACCCACATATCTCCCGCCTTATACACCCCAGTATTCACCATCTCCTCCACCTCAACGGCCACAACCACTTCCACCAAGGATACCTTCTCCTCAACCTCCACGACCAACTGCGCCTCCACAAACGTACTCACCAATACCAAGACAACAACCTTCACCATCTTTACCCGGTAGTCGACGTTATTTGCCTCCACCAGGTTAATTAGATCGTTCTATCGATAACTACAGCCGTCCAAATGATGTGTTGTATTTTTTACTGAATATTTTTATTTAAGTCTTATTGTCATTACAGTCTTTACACAATGTGAAGAACTATTGTAACACACACACACTGAATTAATGTATATATCAGTCTTGTTTATAGAAAAGATCAATATGAGAACATTTTTGCATAATGTACTGGATTTATTCACAATGTATAATTTCCATTACAATAATTTCTTACATAAACAACGTATACAAAACTTCGATAACTATTAATACGAATGATACTCATATATCATTTTCTTCTTCATTAAGTGAAATCAAAATTGAACATTCGCACTATTCAAAAATATTAATTGTTATATCTACAACAATCATTTTTTTTTATGGTATATTTTTAATTTACATCATTCTATTTTACGACCGTTACTAGAAATAAAAAAACATTAAATCATTTTTTTTTTAAATATACTTTAAAAAATTATTATGATTGCTTTTTATTTTCTTGTCAATTTCATAATTGCTATTCTGCATAATACTCGAAAATAATTTCAAATAAACTACTTACCCTCGTTCTTAATTGTTCAATGTAAAACATTACAGATCATTAGATATATTAATTGTATATCACATTTTTCAGATAATTATATATTTATAAAGTAAAAGCAAAATCGTTACTTCTTCCAATTATCAATCTCCCACAAATATTATTTTATGCCTTTTTTGATATCATTTGAATACAATTTCTCCCCAGAAAATGAAATTTAATTTTTCTTTTCAGATTTAATATCCACTTTTTCTTATAAAGAATCATCTTCAAGAGATGGGGTGAATTTCTGTCACCTCTAATACGTCATTCAAAACAAAGGTTAATGAACTAGAATGACTAATGATGATTCGTAAATCACCCATCCAACCGTTTGTGTGATAAATCTCTTCTGCCAATTTGTATGATCATTTTTCCTGGTTTAGCAGCTTTAAAGATTTGCAACGCTTTAGCATGTGTAAGACCAGTAACAGGTTGACCATTGATGGCTAAGATCTCATCTCCAATCTTCAAGGTTCCTTCTTCAGCAGCTTGACCATCTTCAATAATATCTTTAACAAAAATCCCTATGTTTCCTATCGAACTATCAGATCCTCCAACAATAGAAAATCCTAGTTTTTTTGAAGCACCCTTTTCTAGTGTAATAGTCAATAATTCCATCTGAGAATTACTTGATTGACGTAATAAAAGATTTGTCTTAGAAGCACGTTTTTTGATAACATGAAATTTACGCATCCCAGTCATTTTTGGAGATGAATCATCATTAATTTTTTCATTATCACTACCTCCTATTGAATTCACAACATTCGTAGTTGTTTTACTTTTATTTAAATCACATCTCATTTCTATGTCTTTAGGTGTATCATTTAATTGAGCTGTTTCCTTATTAACATCATCGAATGTCAAATTTTTGATTGTCCAAACATCGGAATCGCTTTTAGTTCGTTTCAAAGAATCTCTCCAAGCATCATCAAATTCATCTCGTAAAACGAGACGAGGTTCTCTAGCTATTTGAAGTTCGATTTGACCAACACAATTCTTCAATGCAGTTCTAGCTTCTTGAATAGACATCCCTCGTAATCTCCTTCCACTGATACGAACAATTTCGTCTCCAATTTGGATTTGTTTAGATTTTGCTGCTTCTCCATTAGGATCAATTTTAGTTATAATAAAGAAAGGTTTAGCAGCTTCTTGTCTTTCAACGAAAATTCCTAAATTTCCTGGTTGTTTAATAAATAATTTAATAAATTTTAACTCTCGATGATTTAAAAGCTTTGATGATATTGGTAGAGAATTTGGAATTGCAAACATTGGTCTTTTAACTCTGTTAGGTGACACGGTATCCGATGTTTCTGATTCCATTTTAGATCGAGATCTTTTAGGATTATAGTATTCAATATTGTTTATTGGCATAATAGATTTGACTTTTGTTGCAGGTGGACTATCTTTACCAGGTGATACAGCATTATCAAGAAGACTCAATATACTGTGCTGCGATAACTTCTTGTTTCTTGATTTAATTTTCATGTTCTCATGAAAGTTTTGTAATTTCATTCGACATTTATAAGACGTAATATCATTTAATGTAGGCAAGGATCGTTTTTTAAATTTCCTAGTCAAACTTAAATGTGCAGTTTGACAGAAAGTTGGATTTTTTTCAGGCGTTTTGTTCAAATCTGTTAAGCTCTTTGAACTATTTTTATTACTTATAAACAGATTACTTTGAGTTGACATTGACTCTTGATCTGAAAAAGAAACATTAACTCGGCTATTAATAAATGCTTCAAAATTATTGTTATCATCATTATCACTATCATTTGTGTCGGCTTCAATCATCGTAGTAGAAGCATCTGTGTTAACAGATGAGTTGTGAATATCATCCAATTGATGATAATTTTCATTCTCTTTAATAGATGTGCTTTCTAAGTTAATTGATGATTGAGTAAGATTGTTTAATGACAAGTCAATACTTGGAAAATTTACTGACGTTAAAGAAGAACTTTGCGGTTTTCGAGTAACTTGTTCATTATCAAGAGAATCAGTACCAGTTCGAAAACTATCAGTATCATAACCATTCTCTTCATTGCCAAGTCGTAAACTGTTCAATAAATCTTCTAATCTTGATTTGGGAACTTCTTTTTGTAATTTATTGCTGCAATAAAATGGAATACAAAACATTATCAATCCAACAAAAAATTTGGTATAATATATTTCGATTTCTATATTATCAACGATTGATACAAAAATGGCAGATTTACATACTTTCAGTTAGTGTAAGTTTGTTCTTTTCAACAATAAAACAAGACAAAAAAATTTTATATTATTATTAATAAAATTTAGCTCAAAACATATTTTAAAATAAATTTTTACATTAACTGAAAGTAGTAAATCCCTAAAACGAAATCTATGTTAAAATATAAAAAACTATTTACCTTTTTTCTTTGTTAGAGTTATTGTGATTACTTTCCTTTAATTTAAATAAATTTTTCTTAACATGTTTTAATAACTTATTGCAATTTTGTTTAGCAACTTCACAGCCATCAGAATTCAATGCTTCCAAACTTAGTCGTCGTTTTAAACTAGTCTTTGTTTCTAATTTAATTAATGTCTCTTGAATAAATTTGGTGCCTTCTTGTGTTTTCAGAAGTTCATGATGATTCAAAAAATAGTCCAAAACTCTGTGTTGCTCTTGTAAATCACTAATAGCACGACTAAGATGATCTTTTTTTGCACTTAGTAATGATCTCGATTGAATATTTTTTAAATTATTTATCTTAGTTGTTCTCAAAGCACTGTCACTAAGAGTTTTATTCATACGATACAGTGATAAATCTGTATTAGTATCTATCATTTCATTGGAAATAGTTCTGGACAAATCATCATTCTTGTCATTTTTATTATTACGTTCACCAATCTTCAGTAAGTTACGCAATGATTCTACTCTTGATATTTTTTGCGATTTCGGTGAGCTGCATGAACTCTAAAAAATAACAATAAATTATTTCATCTGTGCATTTGAAACAATTAGTAATAAATAAACTATGAGAACATTAATTTTTTTTTCTGAATGGAATAATTATTCTTATATCGAATGAAATTAATTTAAATTTACAAATAAAATGTAATTAAATAGATATAGTTTATGCATTTTCATCAACTCACTGTCATTTTTTAAAAATAATGTTACTTCCGGAAAAAACCAATTCCAATTTTCAAAAACACTTATTTAGTAGAAAATCCATTTGATCAAAAAATTATATTTATAATCGATAAATAAATCAAAATGTGTCAAAAATAAAATTATATGAACATTATAATAAAGAGAGTCTGAAACTGCAATTAAAAGTATATAAAATTAGAAATATTGACGACAAAATAAATTTGATTATTCGTATTGATGTGTGACGATCGTAATCTGAACAAAGACTGAAATTAGTTGAGTCGATAAATTGTTGATGTAACGAAGAAACCGAAATGAATAAATAAATTTTAAGACAATATCACATGTAAACAAAGTAACGTACTTGAATGTTTACATACTATTCTTATATGAGAAATTCGAAAATTTTTTCTAATGATGTTCTACAAGTGTGTAAGATATCACAGAAGATTGTTGTCTTTTTTTTATGCTTACGATAACAACATGAATATTGCCAATTTATTTTCATTGACCAATTATTAAAAATTAACCTAAAATGTGGTTTGAAAAATTTCAAAATTTACATTTAGTTGAATTTCATTACATCCATTGTGATTCGTTCGATTTGGGCTCCAATGATATTTCCGTCCAGATTTTGACAGCAATTCAGTGCTACCGGCTTTTTTCATTTGATTCAATTTACGTCCTACTCTTTTCCCCCATGTAAAAAAATCTGAAATATAATTTTTTACATTTATCCACCATTTTTTTTTTTAATAAATAAATTATGTCATATATTTACCATTTTGAGAATTGAATGAAGGTGTTAATCGATGTATACCTTCGGGTATTTGCTTTGATAAATCAATTTCTGAATGGAATTCTTTCATATCGTAGTGAATTTTATTTGTAATTTCTAGTACTTCATCAATGTGTTTGATTGGAATCGCTGACACAAGTTGTGGACTTGGATCCATTATAGACTTCTTGAATAAATGCATTTTAAAGCCTATTAAAATATAATATTTTATCAATTACATAATGTTAAGATAAAAATATCATTAAAAGTTATGTTTATTATCTATTTATAGCCTACAAATAATGAATACAGACTCATCAGGTCGTACATATCAATTCTATTGCAATTATTTTGGATCAAAAAAATTTAAAAAGAAATTAAATTGGCAGTTCTTAAAATATTATTTAATGGATTTTAAATTTCAAACCAAGTGTCACCTTTTAACCAATATAATAATGAGCGAAATTTTCTAATAATAATAATAAAAACTTTTAAAATGTAATTCGCCAATTAATGGGTCGTAAAATAATGTAAAAAGATTCTACAAATTTTTTTGTTAATAAATCTATAAGATATTTAATAAATATATTCTATTAATAAATTCAGAGAAGTTAGAAGCTGAATTGAACCGTTTGTTGCTCTAAGAAGTCATTAAATCATATCAGTTTACAATAAAAAATAAAATGAATCCCAATATCTTGTGCTGATAAACATAAACAATTGGTACATTATCTGATTAATCTTTTCAAACTTTAATCGTAAAATTAATTTTTTAAATTATCAAGTCACTTACTTTATACTTTACTTGTTATAGTCTACTAAACATTGTGAATATTCTGACTTTTAATTATCTGAAGATCTTTTATTATTATCACAATGTGTATATTTATTGTAATAATAATAATAATTGAAAGATATAAGTAAAAAACGAATACTGTTGCTTATAAAAAAGGTAATTTTGTTTAAACAAATAACAAAATAATTCTACTATTTATATACATATACATATATATATATATATATGAGAAATATACACATTTATTTATATCATAACAATTGATAACTATAAAATATTTTTATTTTCATAACCAAATGCGAATATTAAAATTTCAAAACCAAGTATTGCATGATATTTCAATGGTCTATTATGACACGTGTAAACACAAAACAAAATGTATATCAACATGCAACTACACACTAACGCCTTTCTTTGGCTACTGACATGAAAATTCAAGCCGGATTGAATAGCATGTGTCTCACCAACACACCTTTCTCGGTCAGCTCTTATACATATGATGTTTATTAAGGTGGGGGAACACATTGGCACGAAAATTCTTCATATCAAGAGTCTTAACCTAAGGACAATTGTCTTCACTAATTGTTTTTTACATTCTTGATCAGTATGTAAAAATTTATCAATAATTCAATGAATCATACTTTGAATATGTGTTCCTAGATTTCATCCATTATCTTAAACTCAATAATCTAATTTAGCTGATAAAGGATAAAAAAAAACTCCTAGCAGTTAAGTAATTTTTATTCTTATTTATTATGAATTATTGTTAAATATTTAATTAATTTCATAATATAGATTCATCCAAAACTAGCATAAAGAAATATGCTTAAATGAGAAGAAACAGGTTCTAGATTCATTCACATCCATAAAGAGAGCTTAAAGAGAAAAGACCTTGGTCTGCACTGTACAAACAGGTAACTATATAATAAGACTAGAGCATTGCCTTGTATATTTTACACTGTAGAACTTGCAACATTGATGATATTTAATGATCAAGTACAGTGTAAATTACTAGTAAATATTCAATTGTATTTTAATATTTTTTCAGCGATAATTCAATTCAATTTGACTAATATGAACATGATCTAGCTAAGTTTTTTTTCATGACTTGTATTGAACCATGAACAAAAAAACTTTTATGATAAATATAATAGCAATTAAGATTAAGAAGTTACATTTTTATGGCATTGAAAATTACATTCAATAAATTCTAATACTCAATTTACATCCAAGGGCAGGTAAATGAGCCCAAAAATGGTTGTTTGCTCATTTCCTTAATGATAGTATTATTACTCTGATTCGAATATTGCCTAGTATGCAATAAGAATAATAAAAAGGCTCAGGTATAAATGAATTATCTAACAGTGACAATGATTCAGCGACAACCAAAATTTGTGGAATAATGAAATGAATTTATTTTTAGGATTTTATGAAAACTTTTCATTTATAGAACCTCCTTAAAGTTATTATTATTGAATTTTCATCTTATAATTAACAAAAAAAAATGGTGAGTAATGTTTAAAATAAATGCAATTCTAAAAGTCACTAAATTATTTAATTTTCATAAGATGTATATTTATATACAATCTCAAATAATGAATAAAATTCATTGAAGCTTACATAAATTTAAACTCGAAAAAACTTCAATTACAATTTTAGTGACTTTTCAACCCTTAAATTAGTGTTCATGGGGTATTTCCTGAAAGAGCTGTAGGGGTTCTTCGTAGGTGAGACATATGTCTCGTTATAAATAAGAATCTCTATTAAATAAAAGTTCCTTAGGCGCGTGCCACATGACTTCTTCATTCTTCCTTCTGTAGAGTCCTGTTTGGTACTCACATTTATTCAACCAACCATGAAAATTTAATATTTCTTATAATTTCTAGAGACGTTGACAAAGGGTACAATATTGTTATATGAACTAAGCATATAATAGTTGAAAAAAAGTAACATTCGTTCAATGCAAAATGCAGCTTAACCGAAAACGGTTGAGGTAGTCAAATGTGTAATCAAGGGTTACATGGTTGTGTAGTCCTGTAGCAACTATAGTAACAATATTAAGGCAATTGTTATAGGGTATGTTATTTTATTGACGATGACTAACAACTACCCAATAGATTACCGTTATTTATAGAAATTCATGTTTTTATGTATTTATTGTTGATAACTAATTGCGTAAAGTGATATTAATCTTTGTCTATATAGAAATATTCCATTAACTACTATACTACTAATTTTGAAAGACACCTGTAAATAGGGCTGAACCGTTGATGACACCTGCGTGCATTTAAAAATATTTCTAATTCTGTTTTACATAAATTTCAGTAATATTTCATTTTTAACAAAATTTCATTATCATATTTTCATTTAGCATCATACATACTAGAATTATCATCCATAAAATGGATACTAAAAAAATTACTTAAACTAAATGAATATTATTAAATCATATACAGTCATAAATTTGTTATTAGTGTAATCTATTTCTTTAATGAATAATTCTAGATATATTTCAAAATAACATCAAGTGTTTTAAAAAAAAAATATATGCTTAATTATTGTATTACTCTTTGAAATTAAATTCATTTAATATTTTATTATTGTAACAATATTGATTTCAAATGATTAAATATTAAGCATAATTTATTTTTATGATTTATATTTGAGACTTTAAAAGAAAGTACACACAAATTCTTAAAGTATATATTTTTATTAACAATAATTTTCTTGATATATTGTAAATCTTGTAAAAGTAAAAATATAAAATTTTATTTTATAGTGAGGAAGATGAAGTATAAAATGATTTGAAGAATATAAATCTAATAAATATAAAAAATTTATGAAAAGTACTTTTATATCCTATTCATCATAATTTAAAGAACATTATATTGATTTAATCATAAAGGATGACTATTTTGCACGCCAAACACCTGTTCCAACACCTGGTACATACTATATTTCTTTGCAGGGGTTTACACCTTTAACATGTCAATTGAGTTATTCACTTATTATCATCCATGTTACTTTCTATCCTATCGTTGGAATTTGGTAAGTACCACCAACACATTGGGGAGGTATGCATCTTGTTTGATTCGATGAATTTTCAAATCTTCGATTATCTCCATTATGACACCATGCGTCACAGTGAAATTTATAAAATGGATTCAGACATACTCCGCAATTAAATCCTGTATTAGACTATAAAAATTTATAATGTATAATTATCTACCATAATATTAAGATAATAATTATAAATGAAATAATACCTGTGATGGTGGATAGCCAAAACCAAAGAAGAAAAAGAATGGAAATTGAGAGGGCTGATTTGGATGTGTAAGATTGATATTATTATTAATATCAATATTAGTAGTAATATTAGTTGTTGGAAAAGAAGAAGGTGGTGTATTATTTTTACATTCAGAGCTGACACATTCCGTTTCTGTTTCATACTGAGTGATAATCTGTGTTGTTTCTTTAGTTCTCTTCAGACAACGATGGTAACAGTGATGATAACATTGAGTTGATTGACATTGATCTATACCACAGGAACTGAGACATGATTTTGGATCATCTATTGAAAAACAATAACAAAAAAGGACTTGTTATTATTTAAATTAAACCAAGGTGTCAGGTAGGCATCTATTTTATTGGTTGTAGCTTAATTATACTGCTAACTAATCTTTTTTTTCTAGAGTCAATAATTAAATGAATTTTTTTTCAGCAAAATAGTATTTTATCGACAGTTATTTTTTTAATTATTCAGGTGACAATGGCATATGATACTTTATTTAAATATTATTATAAATATTTTAATAATTCAACTTATTTTATAATAAATAGGAATAGAAGCTAAGAATGAATAGATCTATTTAAAATAAAAAGTAAAGACAAAATATAAAGTTTATAGTTGTATTGAAGGATCTTTTTTTTTTGGAGCAAAAAAGACATATTAGATGTAAATAAGGTACTTTTGATTTAATCTGGATTCAATTCTCGACACTTTTCTGCTTGCGTTCATGTTCAATTCATATTAACTAAATTATTCAGTGCCATATGTGTTATAGTTGGCATATTCAAATAATTTATTTCTATTTTCTAAATAAAGGTAATAACTATTTGATTGAATTCAATTAAATATAATTCATTAAATGGAATAACTTTGATGTATTAAAATATACTGACCAGTTTTATTGTAATAATGATCATAATGTCCATGGTGCCTCCTATGTCGTTTCAAACATTTAATGTATGTTCTGTAATCCGAATTCCGACAGTCCACAAGAACATTATGATTATTATTTCCCGCTTCATGTTCTTCTTTTGACAATAAACTGTTGGATTCTTGAGATGTCACTGACCAATTTAAAACCGTTTGGGCTGTTATGAAAACAATTATACAAATGCTTGATTTCATTTTAACCTTAGAATGAGAATAATCTTTTTTCCATGAGCTTAAGATTTTATATTAATGTTCACTATCTTAAAGTAATGATTTTTACCAACATTATGTTCAAAGTATATTTATAAGATATGGGGCATTGCACTTGGTAAATATTTAGTGAGTAAATTTTTGTACTCAGATATGTTCACTAGATCAATAATTTTATATTACTTATCTGGAATGTGAAATTCGCTTTTAAATATAAATGTTTACAGAATATTACTTAAATATTACCTTGGTATGTACTGTCAGTTTTTCCAATTATTTCATAAATCTCATTGTATTTATTTGTTAAGGAATTTGCAGTTTATTTTTTTTTTTTAACAAATTATAATAAAAATATGAATTATCAGGGCAAGATACAAATAAAAAAAAAATAAATGATAATACTAATCTGTATTATCAAATAATAAATAAGACTACAATTTTATATTAACTGAAAAATGAATTTAATAATCTGTGATTTGATTAAGAATATGTAAAAATGATGTCAAATTATCTTGTACATTTTTATGAGAAAGGGTTTATTTTTTAAATTTATTACTTTGTACATAGACTTTTAAGATTATAAAGCAAATTTAACATCAAGTATGGAAAAATATTTTATCTGCAGGAAGCGAGTCTTTTGCAAGTACCCATTTTTGTTTAAGTATGACGAAATGACTCGAACATATACAAGATTATTTAGCTTTTAAATAATATAATACAAAAATTATAAATATATTTTACTCAATTTAATACTTTTTATAGGTTGTATTTAAATCATGTACATAATCCACTATGATGTGATTGCCATTGTTGACTTAACATTGCTCAAATCATAATAACCTCTATTTCAACGTTAATTAGCAAAAAAAAAAAAAAAAGAATTTAAGAAAAAAATATCAGTGATACAAATGCCGAAGTTCATTCAAGAGCAATCCATAATTGGTACTTGACACAATTAAAGTAAGTTAATGACTAAAATTAAATTTTAAGTCAACTGTTTATTTTTAATTAATTCCTGAACATTTATTTGTATACTTTTCATGCATTATGAAATTTTTTTTTTTATTATAATTGCATAAAGATATGTTTATAAATTTTAATTATAATAAGTTGACAATTTTATCACGTAGTCTTTAATTTAAATTCCCATCATATAATAAAGTCATCCGTTATATCATTAATAGTTTCAACTGTTCATAACATTAATAAAAATATACCTGTACGACGTATAGTATATTTTGCAAACAATTTTTATAAAAATAGTTTAAAATAATCCAATAATTTAAATGAATAAAAGTAAGGTCTGTGAATAGAGTTATAGATATAGATAAATTTTTGAAATAAATATGAACACAAGAGCTTCTGAAACCTGGGAAATAACGGGGCCAGGAGCGGGTGGAAGGTTCGTAAACCTGTTCAACAGATCTTGACGCTTTCTCAGTGCAATGGCCGCCGTGACCTATACGTCAGTGTGTCAATTGTGTTTAAATTTCGTTTGGTGTGTTGCTCTACATCTTCAACAATGTGTATACAGTTTTTTTCGATACATTTGGGACAGTTTTATTATTCAAAGTGGTTTGTTCATACGTTCGATTATCTCACATGTCTTATATTTCCGGTGAAACAGACAATGTGCCAAGACTACTTGCCGCTGGCAAGCGGCTGTCAGTATGCGTTGTGGTATTATGGTGCACAAGTTAACACATTTGATATTAAAATAAACGAAAGTTCGTAGTTACTTTTTTAAAAATGAATATATCAATGAATAAAACTTCAAATAAACTGAATAAACACTTATGAGTGTGAAGTCTATAAAACTTGGATTTTGGTTACCGTACTTTCAAAGAATGTTATAGATTAAGTTGAGAGTCTCTGACAAAAGCAACAAGTAGATGGACGAACTTGATTAGATTTAATATAACTATAATTTGTGCTTTATTATTAATTTAAATAATCATTTAAAATAATGTATTTATTTTAATAGAATTATGAAGCATTCAATAACATGAAGTGATAAAAATTTTGAAATTATCAATTCAATACAAGTGTGTTTATAGAATGAGTATTGGTTATACAGTTATAAACTATTGTGGTGACGCATAAATTAACAATAGATTTTTATGTAATTTGTATATAAAAATTGGTATATATGATGCATAGAGATATTCATAACGAATTAGATTAGAAATCGGGTTTTTCTATCCCAAACAGGTGCAGTAGCTACCATAAATATACAAAGGTAAAGAAGTAATACTTTCATTTTTTCGAAGAGAAATCTTACATTGCATGTCAGAATGCGATAAATGCTGACTAATATAAATATAAACCAAGAAGTAACTAATTATTTTTAAGTAGTATAATTGAAAAGATTATTAAATTTGTATATTCACTGATTGAACATAATTTATAGCAAATTGTATGATTAAAATAAAAATATTATTTTTAATTGTTTTCAGAAAAACATGGAAGCAGAAGCAACTACTGAGAATCCAAGACCCCCTTGGTATACAGAAATTTTCAAATATTTTAAAAGTCACAATCGTATTGATCCAGGTAAAATTGAATTACCAGATTGTGATTTTTTAATAATAAAACCCGGTCGTACTCTTCGGATTTTAAAACCAACACCAATGCAAAGTGGATTCTATGAATTAAATTCTGACCGACCGGAATCTATTAATGAAAATTTTATCACACGATGGACAAAGAGACCTCACTCAGTCAATAATTGTAGATGCTCTTTTCGTCAGTCATCTAAATTAGAAATGACTGAAGAATGGATTTCTACAAAAATAAATCAAATAAAACAAAATTTATCGGAAGTTGAAGTAAATAATGATAATGTAAATGAAATAGATAAGAAACTTTCTGTTACCACGGAATCCTCTAGAGAAATGAATGACAGTTTTGTAAATATTAATTTACTTTCTAATAATCAAATTGTAAAAAGTAATATTGTTAAAGATTTAGAAACATACATAGATAAACTTCTTAATGAAATTTTATCTGATACTATGAAATTTATGAATGATTCTGACAATACTCTAAGAAAAAGTTATCAAGCTCTTAATAAAATAAATCAACAAATTAATCCAATGAAAGAAAATGAATGTGATACTCAACTTTCAAAAAGCTCGTTAGACATAAGCTTTATTTTTCATGGTAACGATCATGATCAAATCAATTATAAGAATGATTACAAAAATGAAGGCTACACCAATCAAGTATTTGTTGGATCTGATGATGATCCTGACTGTTTAAATTTTTACCTCAAACAACCAGTTGGAAGTTCGAGAAAGCATGATATTATGGATTGCGTAGATTCTGGAATAAATAGTGTTGAAACTATTGAATTTCCTATTGAATCAGATCTTAATCTTGAAGAATCTTTAATGCAAATTATAGATGAGAAGTTTGGTTATTCTTCTCCCTTGAAAGAACTGACTAATCAAAATACTCAAGAAACTTTTATTGATAGTATTCAAGATAATGAGGATAAAAATAAAGTAAATAGTAGTAAAGTAGCTTTACATAATTACAATATATGTAACTTCTCGGCTACTGATGAGAACAAAGTGATAAATTTTAAGAATCAATCTAATGATGAAAAATTTAATTTGACAGAAAATGTAAACACTACACCGGATATCAACAAACCGGACCAAATATTAAAACCTGTAACTTTTTTATGTGAAGAATTGTCTGTAAACGTTGATAATAATTCTCACCATGACAACAATAATAAGATAACTAGAAAAGAAAAGAATCTCAACAATGATAATCAATTGGAAGAAAAAAAAATAGAAATAGAAGATTACAAAGTAACATGGAAAGATTACACTGAATCTAGTCAAAATGACAACGAATCTCTGACAAATTCAGTTATTTGTCGCAGACATAAAAAACCTATTATAGTATTTTTTCATGGGTTTGGGTCATCTTCAGAAGCTTTTAAACATCAACTTGAATACTTTACGCAAATGGGTTATCCCTGTATTGCACCTGATATGTTGGGACATGGAATGAGTTCAACACCAAATAAATCTCGAGATTATCATTTTGATAAGCTACTTAACGACCTGGAAGTTGTTCTTAAACACTATGCTTTTCAGTCAGGACAAAAATGCGTTTTGGTCGCACATAATTACGGGTAATTAGCTCTATAATATTGCTTCTTTTGTTACTATAAAAATGATGAAAAAGTTATCGTTATGATTATGAACAGAATGTAAACAATTTACGAGAATGTAATTAAGCTATTATTTTTTAATTGAAGAAAAATATCCTAATTTCTACAGAAAACCCGAAATTTTTGATTGTATTCTTTATTTTTAAATAATCAATTGAAAACTGTCAAGTTCCTTTAAATTTTTTTCCTCCATGAGTCTATAGTTCTTTACAAATCATAACACAAGTTTTTTTTTCGCAAGTTTATTAAAATTACATTTATTTATTTGTTGACAATTATTGCATTAAATTTTGCCTCATTTACACACATATATTTGACCATTAAAAATACCTTACTTGATTAATTTTTTGGAGTTAAAAGTAAATTCTCATGAAATACTACCAATGATATAATAGAAAACTCTTTCACATTCATTCTTATTTAAATATATAATACAATATATTGAAATTTATTAATGAAACATGTCGTTAATTTACTCCATTTAAACAATGAAAATATTCGACACAAAATTAAGATAGTATTAACAGATATTATTTGGAAGACAATTTATATTTAATGAAGTTTAGAGTCATATTTAATTACTTTTCACTCAACATTGTCAGATGTAGGTAGTAAAATATTGTGTAACTGTTTGTGAAAAAAAAAGAATCAATAAAATAGAAAGCTCATAATAAATAATATATGACTGTTTCAGATGTAGTTTTGCAACTGCTCTAGCATGTAAATATTCAAATGAAATTCATCAATTGGTATTGATATCTGGTGGCGGACCCACCCCATTAGCTCCACCATCTAAGGAAGGTACGGGTCATTGCTGTTTAAGAATAGTCCTTTCACCGCTTTTAATGTGTGGTCTTCATCGAGAGTTATTATATTCTGTAAAAGGCCGGCAGCATCCTTACTGCGGTCTAGAATCACAGGGCCAATGGCCATCTCATATGCAATATGTATTAGATGGAATGGTTTGGCCTGAAGGTGATTATATTTTCCATAGAAGAATTTGTACACCAACGCTTCTTATTCATGGACTTAGAGATAAAAAAGTATCATTGGTTCAAGAATGTCAAATGGAAAGAGTAAGTAACCAACATGTATTCAAATATAAATTTACGTATTCATACTCATACTAATAGATAATCATATCTTTTTTTTAGACAATAGTGAAAGCTTTTTTAGAAGCCATTCCTACAGCTGGGCATGCACCTATGATAGACACTCCTGAACAAGTTAATCACATGATACACTGTTTCATAGATTTATGGAAAAGAAAAAATCGGTGATATCACTGAGGCTAATTTTATTAGATGGTTCAATTAAAACCAAAATTTATTAACATTAATGCTGTTATATATTATTCTTAATCTGATGAACCTTTTATGATGCTAATAAGATATATAGCGGCAACGCTAAAAGTGAAAACTAAACATTCAAAAATAACAATTGAAATTTAGAAGCCAATTAAGTTATACTCTTAATTATTTATCTGATAGCTAAATTGAATAATAGAATAAGATGTAAAGTAAAACTGTTTAACACAGTGTACACTTGTAATTTTTGCGCTTCAATAATTGTGCCAAAAACATTCGAGATCAATAGAAGTAATCAATTGCCGCACAGAATATCTTTAATTATTCTGATGTATATTTGCAGAATTAATGAAATTACTTGACTGCGCATATTGTAAGATGTACCAAAGATAATTTTATCTAATTTTATATAATGTATCTCTTTCATACTAAAACATAAATTATTGGATTTAAATTTATTTTTTAAAAATTTCTATCTAAGTCTACCACATTACTTGTTCAAATTGAGGCTTAATGATCAGTGATTTAGAAGTCTTTGATTGAGTGGGTTTTCAGGAGATTTCATCCATTCTTTTTTTAATATTTGCTTTAATTGACTTAGCCTTAATGTTGGATTTTGTTCCTTGATAATGGGCATCATACGTTCTTCGAAACTTGCATAGGCTGCCTTCACACGTTTCTCTGGATGTCGGTCAATTTCCGGATCTTTCAAACTAGTTTTTAAGAATTATAGTAATATTATTTATTATAATTTTAACAATAAAAGACATTTATTAAGAAGTAATTTATTTGTTAAGCTTATTCATACCTCAATATTGATAAAGCTTCATCAATTCCATGTGCTGTTTCACCTTCTACAGTTATTCTATTCAAATTTTCTTCGATAGGTTTATGCTCTTCTTTCTTATTAGTAGTTACTTGATTTCGTTTTTCTGTTGCTGCTGTAATTTCAGCCCTAGTAATCTTTGAAGGTGGTTGTTTACTACTTACTTTTATAGTAGCCATTTCTTTTTCTAATAATGCTTTTACTTCTGCTTTTTTTTCTAATTGTTGCAGTCGTTTTTTCTCCATTTCTTCCTAGAATTTTATAAGAATTAAATAATTTTCTGATAAAAACTTTTATTAAATTAAAAAATCAATTTCACTTACTTGTTTTTGTTTCTTTTTCAATACTTGTTTATCATCATCTTGCCAAGCTTTATCTTCAGCTTCTTGAGCCTTTTTTGATAATTCAGCTTCCTTCATAGCTGCTTTGCGAGCTCTTGCTACAACAGCTTTGCTGTTTTCTCCCAAAAATTTTTTTGGCATTTTGTTTAACAATCTCTGCAATAATTTAGAACAAAAATCAATTTCTAAATTAAATAAAGTATTTTTTTCAACGAAATTTGTCTAAATTTAATCACTCATAACTATATTTAAATATAATATTCAAAAACAGAATTTTTATTGCATTTATAAATTTAATGCTGTCTATATTATATCAAATTATGTATTTTTCATGTTTTTCAATAATAAACGTTTACTATTAATAAACTAAGAACTGTTAATAATAAGAAAATTAAAATCAAATAACTAAAAGTTAACCTCTAAATTTTGGTTTGCGTTTGCAGTGTTGTGCTCATAAGAGTCTATAAAGGTTAGAGACAATCAATCTAGTGCGTTTGTGTATATAAATTACCAATATTATTAATTGATTCACTCTTTTTGTGTAACCAATTTAAAGTTTAAAAAATTTTATGACTTTCAACTTTGTAATTTTATCGTTTAATTCACAAAAATCAAACACATTAAGATTGCAAGGTTAAATTGAAGAAAATGATTTCATGACAGTTTCGATTTAAACGAGTGTTATCAATTAACAAATGTTGAATATTACACGTAAACTACAAAAAAGTGTTACAATTAATCACATTGAATTATTACACAGAGTAATGTCGAAATCATCAAAGAAGACGAAAAAAAATTTGCCAAATTCAAAAAATGAAGTACGTTTTAAACTTACACTTTACTATGTATAATTTCTTATAATTTCACTTCTTATGAATTAAACTAGTATTTGTTATATCACTGTCATATTATTTATAACTTAAATTCTAACCATTAAAATTTTATCTATTTAAAATTTAAAAGACTGTAAAAAACATGATCACTAGACAACTTGCTGTATCAAGTGATATGTATGAAATAGTATGAGTGAGAACACCTACAATACAAGTATGGATGAGATGATGTGTTTGAAGCAAATTCTTGTATGTAACTGACTTTGATCCGCAAGAGGGTGTACAATAATTTAATCTCTTTTGACTTTTGTATTTAGTAAAATACATTTTTGTTTATTTCATACAATAAATTTAAAAAAAATAATAACTTTCAGGAATCACCAATTTCAAGTCCAATTATTGATGGTAAAGATGGAAATGTAAAAATAATTATTCATGCAAAGCCAGGAGCAAAATTTAATCAAATAACAGGTATACTTTAATTAATTTATTATCATTGAACATATGTGCATTATTAATATTATTATATAATAATAAAAAATTCATTTTTTTAACTAAATCAATTCTATTGATGTAGATATTACTCCAGAAGCTGTTGATGTTGCAATATCCGCTCCTCCCGTTGAAGGAGAAGCAAATACTGAATTAATTAAGTATTTAGCATCTTTATTAGGTGTAAGAAAATCAGATATTTCCCTCGATAAGGTTTTTATTTTTTTTTAGATAATTAAATATATGAAAATATAAAATTATAATATAAATCAATTTCTTTGAACTTTAAACAGGGCTCTCGAAGTCGCCAGAAAATAGTATCTGTAACCAATAACACGGCATCACAAATTTTGCAGAAATTACAAGAGGAGAAAAAAGTTCCTTCTTAATTATTGTTAATTAAATGGGGATAAATAATGTTTCATAAATAAAAACGTGAGTTGTCATTTTATTTTTAATAAAATATTTATTATATGAAAAATAAGTTATTTTTATGATAATGACTTACATTTAGTTGATGAACTCAAATGTATTTGTCTAAAGTATCATTAATTGGTTTTACTATGATTACATAATATAGAATATAAATTCAACATCATTTATTAAGCTCTATTCCATAATTAACAGTTTAAAATCGAATGTACATCATAGTCTAGTCAATATGCATTTGAAATTGAAAATCCGTTGAATATTAATCAATTTCCTATTTTAAGATAAAAAAAAAGTATAAACTGAATAAAGCTTGTCATAATACATTTTTTTTTATCTTAAAAAGTAATGACATTTAATAAATACTAAATTGTTTTGTCCATTTTGCATAAATCTAGTTTCTGACAGAAAAAAAAAACTTTAAAAATATTATTTTTTGATGAACTACAATTAATTGTTTGAAAAAAATGGTGCTTGTCATATAAACAATCTCGAGAACAATTAGTCTTGGAAAGTTAAGACTGGTCTATTTTTTTTCTTATAAAAAGTTCTGACAATTATATGCATCATGCCTCAATCTTCAAAGCGTTTTTTCAAGATATTTAATAAAATAGAAGCAATTCTTGTATAAACAAAAACACACAATATGATATGTGAGGTCACAAATGACTTTCAATTTTCGCTCTATCGAAGCATATTGACTGGACTATTACTTAAATTTTTCATGAATAGAAAAAGCTTACGTAGTGTGGGAATATGATGCATAATATTACAGGTTTTTATAAAAACCTAAATATTTCTTTAGTAAAAAAGAAATCATACAATCTGTGTTGATCGTATGAAAGTAAAAAAATTCCTCAATAAACATGGAATTTTTTTTACGAAAGTAATAAAACATTGTAGTCAGTCGTTAATCACATCAGTTACTAGTTGTATCATTATAAACATTATTGCTCATTGAAATACATTAAATAATGTATTTGCTATCATATTATTTAATTAATTTTTCTTTTAGTAAAGTACTTGTGAATATTGTAGAAAAATATATAGTTATTATTCTTGTACTTCAAAGGCCTTGTCATCAAGCCAAGGCCGAAATATTGGTAAGGTTGATGGATAATGAGCTTTTCTTTTTGACGTAGAACTTCCAACAGGTGCACCTTCTTGCTCAAGAGGATACGTAGCCAATATAATTGGGATTTGAAGTTTTATTTCTTTGTCTAAGCTTTTTGGGCTGATAACAAACTGAAAAAATAAGTTCATTTTTTACATTACAATTTGACAGTTCATTTTATTTAATTTTATAACAATTGATAAAAAGTATTCAACATCGAACAAAATACTTACATAAACATGATAAAGTATATTTATTAAATGACACCCTCGTAGATTAGTAGGAGGCAATGGTGGCACATACATCTGCTCGTTTAACCATTCTTCACCTTCACCTGGTCGAATTTTTCCTCGTGATATACTCGCTAACTCTCTGGTTTCACTGGCTAAAATTTTTCCTCGACATAAATATTGGATTGTTTCTGTTAATGACGCTTTTGTTGATTTCATTGTTACCTGAAACATGAAAAATATTCAACAATAAGTCATAAAAAATAGAGTTGATGATTAACTTTGATTGATAGATATTTTTATTAACAAGTACTAACTTTACTACGATTGCTAACAGTTGCCGAAATGCCAATAGTTTCCCCAGGAACATAACCACCTCTATCAAGACTTACTCTACAAAATACAGGACCACTTGATACACAAGACACACCCACACGTTGTTCAATTTCAAGTCTAGCTGGTTGCTGAAAAATGTACAAAGTATTGTATATATTTTTTAAACATTTTAAGACAATTTTTATGACCGTAAATAAACTGACAGCAAAGATTATAACATTAATAATAAATCATGAATGAATTTTTTTAGGATTTTCTCATATTTCTAATGTAATTCAATTTAAACAAAACTATTAATTATCCTTATAAGGACATAATATGAACACATTTATCATATAATCACAAAATAATCATAAAATAAAAAAATGTCTTTGATATATAGCGACAAGTAAGATTATGATAATTCAAACATACTGCCAATATAGGAGGCTCGAGGTTCAAATCAATCGGATTCATCACAATAAAAACTTGTTGATTTTTATGCGTTAATCCACCAGGTTCACGGAGAGCTGCTTTACAATAATATTGTACCCATCCATGTTTTCCAAGAAAAGTTGATGGTAATCCCAATGGTAAGCCCAATTTAAATGGAAAGCTGTGTATACCAGGTGACAACAGAGATGGGCCTTCACCTACATTCAACACCGTTACATAGTTACTCAGAATGGATTTGATTATGTATTGTGTTTGTTTACACACATATATCATATATTACACAAAATGTCTAGTTACCTGGTTCACCAAGAAGTCTCATACGAAAATCAATGTAATTCTCTTTATCATAAACTCGTTCAGCTCGTAGACTACGTATTCGTACAACACCTTCACCAATTACATGAAAATGTAATCCTGATACACTGTTTCAAAATTTTTTAAATTAATTAGTAAATTTTTGTTTAACATACATCATAATAATACAAGATCATTAATTCCAATAACGAACACTTTCAATAGAAAGTTTTAAAATTAACATAATTCTTGATGAAACTATTTTTTAATAAATATATATGGAAAATATTTTTAAAATATCTTTTTCTCGAGTAATTTATTTATAAAAGAAGTCTTTATTAATTTCATGGAAAAAAAAAATTTGATAATTATTTTTACATACCATGTTTCATCATCCAACTCAATCAGTACTTTTCCAGATAAAAAATGACCAGGAAAATATAAAAGATTTGTATTATCAAAAAGTATTAAAAATTTATTCAATTTTCGTGTCATTTTATTTTCAAAATCTATTGTTTACTCGTATAGTCATTAAAGTTCTTCAATTTCATAACTAACTTTCCATTTCTCTAAATTCACTAGCACTAAGATTGTTCATCGATGTAATTCATTCTTCAAAACAAAAAAATTAAAAAACAATATCCTGTGTGATCCAGCAATCTTCTGTTCACACCTCAATTCTACAATAAATACTCTTGAATTTATCAAATGACTTTCTTTATTGTAAGAAAATCCACTTTATAGTATTGAATTTAGAGTCATATTTGTTGGGTTCATTTAAATTTTTAATAATTACACTTGAAAAACAATACACTACACGATAGTCAGAAGTTTTTTGTATATAATGCAAGTATGCACAGGTAAAGTACATGAGAAATATATGAGACCTTGTGTCGTTCTGACCATTCTTGGTAGCGGCATCACTTTCGCTCCTCCCCACCTTGAAAAGACTGTTTTCTCATAGAAGCAGTTACCTGATTCATACACCGTAATGGTAGATGAATCTATAAAAGTCATTTTTAACATAATAATATAAAAAATGAAAGCACATCTATTGTTAAAATTGAAATGTGCCACGTAGAAAATAAACGACAAATATTTCAATATTAAATCATCATATTGCTTGAATTTTTTAAATACGAAAAAAAATAAGAATCATATTACAGGAATGTTCGGAAATGAAATATGAATTGAAAATTATATAATAGATCGATAGAAAAAAATCGGCAAGTAATTATATGTGTCGTCAAAGCGATGATTGGATTGGAACTATAGTATCCATCAATTTTTACCATTCAAGTTTTGTGCTCGTCGTCAAGATTTGGGGATAAGGTTTCCATTGGGAAGTTTCTGGCATCGATACAACAGAAATGACTTCAATTCGTAGTTGTTAAGGTAAATTTCTCTAGTGTTTAAAGATAGAATGTCATCTGGTCTTTTTTTATCAAACGGAATTTCGAAATACATGTTTAGAACTACTGTATGTATGAATTAAAATGATTAAAATTCTGTAACCACTGCAACGTTTTGCAATTACATTTCATTATAACGATCGATAAAATGAGTCATGTATTCAACGTCAATAGGGCCAGTCTCTTCAGTAAAAAGAACAAAAGGTAAAGGCTGTGAATAAGGATACTAGATATACATTTTCCAATTTTTTAAATAAGGTAAGACCGGAATTGCTATAATCTTAGCATAACTAATAATCGGATCATAATGTCTTTTTAGGGAAATCTTGATGAGACAATTCGATAATAGTAACTATTGACTTTGGTTGATACTTGAAATAAGATAAAACTAGGAATTGCTACAATTGTAGCATAAATTACGCTCTGATCATAATTTTGACTATTGCATAGGAAAGCTCTTGCTCAAAAATGCCGTATCTCGCTTAGTTTTCGAGTTATGAGCGTTTAAACGTTTTTTAGAGCATAGCTTTGTTTTTCGCCCATAACTTACGCTGTATGAGAGGTACATGGATTACACGCATATCGATGAATTCCTAAGAGCAAGAGCTTCCTATTGATGTAGTCAAAATGATAATCATAGCCTAATTAGCCTGGAACTAAGTATTTAGTTGGATTCCTTCCATAGGATTAACTTCTCAATAAATAACTAAATGATTTTTAGTATTAAAATATATTCTGGATTGCATAAATTATATTTGTATTTTTTATATTTTATTATAATTATTATTAGGAGATCAGGCATGAAAATTTAATATAAATCGTAGGACACATTCCAAAATTTACTATTTTCGTTAGTTTTTCGATTTCACACAAACAATCGATTGATTAGTTTTGCCGAAAACTTGATCAGTTGCAAGTTGCATAATTCTGCATATAATGCAATCAGGGCTACGTTGACATTATTTTTTGTTCTTAAGGTAATCGAGACGAAAAAGAACTTCGAATGCACATTTGAGCCTACAAACACGCAAAGAAATATGGTGTAAAAGTTTTCATAAATTTGATGGTAATTTGGTAGGACTGCAGTGCGAGGGTATGAATTTCTAAACACATTGTAAAATTAGTCAATTTTACAAGTCATATGGTATTTTTAACTCTCACACTGCAGTCTCACCAAATTACCTTCTGGTATCAGGCAAAACTGTTGTATTTGACTCCATAGGCCTTAAAATGTGGAGATGTGGTGAAATTTGGGATTTGCCAAATCGGATCCATTACAGTAATTTTCCACTAAGAAGCTTATAAAGGAGTTAAGAAAAATGAAGAGCCTTAACGGCACAGGATCGATACTACTGAGTTAGTCCTATATGAAATTTTGTTCTGTTTTGTCTAACAAACACGACACAGAATTTATGCGGATCAGTGGCAGAACTTCATGGTGATTAGAGCAGAAATGGGCAAACATGGGTCTTCAGAGCCAATGTGGCTCTCCAGGTATAATTTTCAGAGCTATTACTCCTGCGTGAAAGAGTGAGAGAGGTATAAGATTTTACTCGGTTGATCTTCTTACTGGTGTTCTGCAATGGTTAAAGTTTTCCAACCCCTGCTTTAAGTGCTATTTTCGAGAGTTATAATACACATGAGTATAATTAAAAAATTTCTCGATTACAAAAAAATGGAGAACTATTGTTTAAATAAAATGAAATATTTATGAACTTATAAATAATACAAAAAATTGCCTAGAACTTGGATTTTGTATTATGAAAGATGAAATTGTGGGATTTAGACAGGTATGATTTTTTAATAAAATATTTGAAATACATAAATATAAAATATTCTTTTTATTATACCACAAAAATTTCTCTATCTACAATTATACATTTAATTATTATTATATTATTCTTCTGTTATAAAGTATATCATTCCTACAAAATATTTTTCCTATTGTGGCAATTTGTAACGGTTTTACCGCCATTTTAAACATGCAGAACATAACTAAACTAAAAATAAGTACAAATAGGTATTATTTTTACAAAGGTTAAGTATTTATCCCAAATAATTATTAAAATATATTAATATTACACGGTAAAAAAGCAATTAAACAATAAACACGCAGGAATTATAACTACATATATTAATTTCCAGACTAGTTCGTATAATACTACATTAACTCCAAAAAATGCTGATTTCCTTGTTAGGTATCCCTCACATTTTTTAGATCATCGCAATTTTTTAATTTACATACTAATATCAAAAACGTGTTAGGAGGCCTCCAATTTTATGCATCCAGTGACGGCAACCATGTATCTTTATACTGGCTGAAATTTTAAAACATACGGTCATTATAAACTATAAACTAATGACGAAACTACTTGTAAAATAAAATTACTTACCTTGGATTACGCTCGAAATGATGTAGATGCTCTTCTATGCATTCTAAGAGTGTAGAAAGCCTGTCATCTGCTATGGTAACCATGCGCGTATGTGCAGTGTCTAGCATGCTTTCAGCTGCTAACCTTGGAAGGATGTTCTTTATTTCCTGGGGCAGTTCATTTCCACAGACTTGCCGTAGCTCGTTAATTAGCCCTTTTGCCTGGGCTACTAAGATAGGACATTGTGTCAGTAAATTCAGGATCCTCCGAACAACATAGACGACCTATAAATAAAACACATGTGTCTTAAATTTCGGGAATTTTAATTCAAAACAACCCGGGAATAAATAAAAAAGATCTACGCAGATCTACATTTTCGGCATTTTTTAGATCTAATTTGGTCTACTTATATCTAAAAAACTGAAGAAAATTTGTTCTGAGTAAATCTATGTATGTCTAGTGAGATCACTGTATATCTACACAAATTACTGTATATCTATGGAGATTTCCATTGATCTCGATGGTAAAAAAAATTTAATATATCTGCAGAGATCACAGAAGATCTAAAATGATTAAAACAGACGTACACAGAACAAAGTAGATCTGATGATGCCAAAAAATAGATCTACGTTGATCAATGTAGATCTATTTTATTTTTTCCCGGGTAGTATAAAATATACATTTTAAATCGTTACCTGTACATTAGACACACCTAACAATAAAAACATCAAAAAACTACCCCAACCTTTGAAATACATATCTTTGATCACAAATTTGTCTACACGTAAAGATCGTAAAGATTTTATTATTGTCCACAACTTTTTAAAGTCCTTCCTTATACTCAGGAGCCTACAGCAACGAATCCTCTATGCGTAGGTTCTGCCTGAGCAAGACTAAACGTTAGAAATGGGGTTCAGACAGCGTGAAGCAGATTTAGACCTAACCGATGTGACTCCTTCCACTTACTCTCAAATGCGTCCCACAGCAGCTTCTTCGGGCACATCTGCCGAGAACCATGCTGTGAAAATATATTTTTGGGCGGTAAATATACATTGTAGTGTAGTATTAGTATTTTTAAACAATGTATTTGAATATTTAATATTTCTCACAGTATATCAATATGTAAATCAAGTGATGAGTTGATAACGTATATATTTCAAAATAAAATCAATTAACCCAGACTGATAGATCATTTTGTTTTTAATTATTGGAAATAAATAAAGATATCCACTTTGTCCACTCCAAAAAATTGAATTGCAATATGTATTAACAATCTCATCAATGTTGATATATCTCAATCTTAATCCTGTAAATAAGCTATATTTCCTGAATTAATTACATATATCAAATATACCCGGGGGCAAAAAAATAGATGTACACAGATCCAGTGTATATCTAGTGAAATCACTGTGTATCTACACAAATTACTGTATATCTATGGAGATCTCGATGATAAGAAAAATTTAATACATCTACAGAGATCACAGAAGATCTAAAGTGATCGAAACAAATATAGACAGAACAATATAGAACTAATTGTGCCAAAAAATAGATCTACGTTGATCAATGAAGATCTATTTTATTTTTTCCCGGGTAGGAACTTTGAATCTATCTTCTCAGCTTTTCTCTTAGATAAATTTTACTACACTAAATTGTTTGTTATTAATTTACTATTTATAGATTCTATGCATTTTAAAAGTGGAGAAAGCCTGTCATCTGTTATGGTAACCATGCGCGTATGTGTAGTGTCTAGCATGCTTTCAGCTGTTATCCTTAAAAGGATGTTTTTTATTTCCTGGGACAGTTCATTTTCACAGACTCCTCTAATTTCCGCAACTTGGGAGACATGATTCTCAAAATTGGAAATTTAGGGTCATATTATCGCTCTGTGCTAAGTAGCGCGAGTGGGGAGAAAAAAAGTGGGGAGTAAGGCCTGCCCACTGGAAATGAGGGGCTAGGAAATTAGAGGAGTCGGACTGTACAATACAATTTTTTCTTGTAAAACTTTTATTACAAATTCAAATTGTAATATTTTATATTTATTTTTCTATTATTTAAAATTTTGATTCACAATGAACTTTTTACAAGAAAAAGTTGTAATGTATACTAATCAAACAATTGCTTATTGCCATTTTTGTACCCGAAGCGACAGACTACTATTTTTTAGAGTAAAATTTACAATTCCTTTCTCTCTGTGTAGTTAGCCCGGACGTCAGAATTTTCATCAGACTTACGTATGTCTGTTTCCATTCTGCATCAGACTGATATTTATTTACATTGTCTGACGTTAAATTTCCTGACGACAATATTACGACAGAACAATGATAGATACATTCATAAACGGCAGACTTAGGCCGACATATACAGTCTATCGCCAGTCTTACGTTAATTTGGCTACTATAGGGATAATTTTCGTATAATGAAATTTTTCTTTTCTACAGTCATTTCTTTATAAACTATAATAATAAGTATAATTAATCAAAAACTAATTTCGTACAACTAATGTTTCAAAAATAATACTTAACCTTTATCAATAATTTTTGTCAATGGTTTTTTAAATGTATTAACTTGATTTTAAAACCTTTAAAAATTGTATTGATACGAATAAAATAGTTTATATTATTTTTAATGAAGTTTTATCAAAAATGTACTGTATGCTGTTCACCAAAGTTTTTAAAAAAATATAAAAACTCAGTAAGTAACCTAAATAATTAGAAAAAAAATAAATATGCTACAATCATGTAATATTTTTCCAGTACATCAAGAAATTTATCTGTGAATTATGCAGCCATGAATTCATGGGTAGTCCAATATATGTTCTTACTTTAGGAATCATTGGCGTCGTTAGTTTATACATATAAATTAATACATTTTATAAAATGGATTATTATGTATTATTTCGTTTTTATAGTTTTATTTAATATTCAACCTTCAATACAGGTAACAACAGCTTACGATATATTACGCATTATGAATATCAAGTTTCAAATAAAATATTCGATTCATCGCAACACCAGTTTATGTAAGAAATATTATTTATTTTGCATTTTTCTTTTTTTTTAATTTTTGCATAAAACTAATAATCATTATAGTACCTTTGACTATTGAACGAGATCTCAAATGTATGTCAGCAATTTTAGGAGTTGAACATTATACTCTTGTATTATTGGGCATAATTACGGTAATATGACTGATAAAATTAAATTTCTTTTTTAGAAAACTTGACATAATTTTTCAATGATTTAATTTCATTCCAGGATTTTCCACTACTTCATATACAATGGTTACTGTTACAAGCATGTATAATTATTATCGAAATGAGTATTTTTTTAATTAAAATTGTAATAACCGGATTTCATATAAAATTGAGGGAAATATTTCAAGTTTTATTAACTATTTTTAATTGGCTACAAGTTTTTTGTTTATTTATGAAACAACTTGAAGTAACTCATAGTTTCAATGTCAATAACTAAATACAATGTTTGCTATGTAAATTATCTTTCTTTATTACATTTTTTCAAAATTATATCATTTGATGTTTTACTTTTATAATAAGTACTCCAATTATAATTACAATGAAAATTGTCAAGAAATCAATATCAACGGTAATGTAATATTTTTCATCTCTATATTTTAAAGTTAAATATTAAATATTAAATATTATATTAAATAATCTTTTAGGTTGAAACATTGTATATGACTTTAACATATTTTTTGATCTCTTGTTTAAGTTATATTATTCTTGAGATTGGAGCACGATCACCATTGGGACACTCAGTAACAAGAGCAGCTACTTTTAATGCTCTTTTTCGCAGAAATTATGGTAGAATATTTATTTATTTCTTAACTGTATAAACTATGTTTTTTTACAGCAAAGAGAAACATTTTCATAATCTTCCAAAATGAACCCAGTCTGTTTTGTTTTAGGGAGATCATGAAAATATCATTTGCTTCTAGAATCTGGAGTTTTCCAGCTTTAACTTATCTTAATTCAATGATCAATTGATTCTAATGAATAAAATTGAATCTATACCAAAACTAATTCAATCTAAATATCTCATCTTAGACTTTACAGTTAGTTTTGCTGATAAAAACTTGATTTACTTTCCAATTTTCTTAAGTTTTAATTCATAAAGAAATAAATATTTACAATATTTGTATATTAAATGTTTTATACTCTATTTTTCCAGATATTAAAATAAAAATTCCAATCGAAAACTGTTTCTCTGCGATAATCACCACTGCTTTAATGTGTGTTGGTGAAAAATGGAAAATACCACATCTTTTTTTGCCTTGGTTATTAAATATAATAATTGGTCTTATCACTCATGAAGCTCCAACATTATTCATATTACTGTATAACCAATTATCTTACTCAATATTCTCTGGAAGTATTTTTGCTATAACAGCTATGGTATTGATAGGCACGTACCATTTTGTTGAAAATATTTATTACTTTAAATACTAATTAATCATTCATTTTTAAAATTTTTTATAATTACAGTGGAACAACTGTGTATTTTGGGTGATGTTATATCTAGTTTTAAACGATGCTGGTTGGAACAAAAGTATATGAATCTATTTGATACTAATCATCATAACATTAATCACAATGATGAAAATAAAAGTAAAAATTATTAATTGTTTATTTGTCACAAATTAAAACTTTTATGATACACTTTTACACAATAAATTTTGTATCAATAATTATTCTTAATTACAATTTGGAATTATAATACAGACATAATTTAAATTTTTTCTATATTTTAACGTTTGTCATTGTCAATTAAGTATTGTATCATATATTGATATAATTCAGAATTAATTTTTTCCATCTTTTCAGTCGCGATTATATTTTTTCTAAATACTCTCGAAGAAGAATTACTATTACATCTTCTAGATTGATTGTTATTCCTTAAATATAAGTCTTCATTTAACAGGAAATCATCATTTTTTGACGTCGAAATTTGAATTACATTATTTTTCTTTTCATGATTTGGTCTCTCGAATGGTGGAATTGTGTATTTACAATTTAACTCGCTTGTAGAATTTGAAAAATTTGGTATCAACGTAGCCGTAAGAACTGGACTTTGACACATAATTGATCGAACTATTTGTCGACTTGGAATATCCCATATATTAATTTTTCCATCTACGTCTCCTGATATAAGTGTCATGCAGTCTACAGAAATGGATAAATGAGTAACTTGATTCGAATGACCTTGGAGTGAAACTGAATTATTTTCTATGTCTACATTAAGATCACGAGGTAAACAGCGTAGATTTAAATATTTGATAATACCATTCGAACATCCAATAAATAAATTAGATTCGTTACTATCTAAGCAAACAGACATTAGTGCAGTATCAAAAATTAATGTTGCTAAACAATCTCCTGTACTGGCATTATAAATTCTTGCGGTTTTATCTAATGATACTGTTACTAAACGTGACATAATTCCAAAATTTCCCAGATAAATACTTTTTACTGGTAGAGTATGATCTGAGAATTCACGATAAGGAGCAGCTTGATTATAATTATTAATTACATCTGTTAAACACCATAAAAATACAAATCCATCATCACCACAGGTTGCAAAACTCGATCCATCGGAATTGAAACATATATTTGTTACTGCTTGATAGTGTCGTGATAAAGTTTGTAATAGTTGACCAGTTGATGCTTGATAAATGAATATTTTTTCATCTACAGCTAAAACGATGTAACTACCGTCCGGTGTACATGATAATGCAGTAACTATTCCCGGTGTAATTAACCGTTGATGTTGTGTATGACTTGGTTTATGTAAAGACCAATAATATAAATATGGATTTTTAGTATCCGTTGCTATGAGATAGGTATCATTGATAATCTGTAAATGCCGATATGATACATTTGGTTTTTTGTGAGTTGCAATCACAGAACCTGTAATGTAATTATAAACTGTTGCTGTCCATGTTCCAGACGTGTTTGTGCTGGTTAAAATTACTTCCTTGACAGATTGCATTGTTTGTTAAATGTATTTATCTAAAAATTAAACAGAATTAAAAATTAGAGTAAATGAAAAAATTATCTGTCAAAATTTCAAGAAGAAAACGTTTATTATAAATTGTAATGCATTCATTTAGAACTAATTAATTCGAGAACTTACCGATATATCATCTAGTATTTTTTTCTAAATACTTTAGAATTCGTTTGGACTGTAAATACAAAAATAGAAAGTAAATAACATTAAATTAAATTTAATTATTGAAAACCACGTGTTATTTAGTCAAACTATACAGTTTTCTTGAATTTGACTATAGAATTTTGTTTGTAGTTAGTTGTGTGTACTGTCGCCCATGGAAAATGGAACCAAATTATGTAGAGGCCTTAATATTATTCGCCGTGCGCATGCGCTGCAACAAAATGGCAGAAAAAGAGATGAAATTCGCATAGTGGCAATAGTGTCTGTTAAATGTATATACATAAAATGGTTTTTTTCTTGATTTATTGTGAAATATGCTCGCCATAATTAGGACTTGGAACAATTGAGGACATTTTCAAAAGTAATAAACATTTTTTAAGTGAATTACTATCAAATAATTAGAAATTAATGGACATTTAGCTGCATTCAAAGAGTCGGATAACTACAGATTACAAACTTCATTGTTTCTAGCGTAGCATCATTGGCTGTAAGTACTCAATTATATTCTAATCTTTACTTATGTCATTTTTTATACGTAATTATTTTTAAGGTAACGTTTAAAGTAATTTTTACTGATAGTATCAGTATTCTACGAATATTTTTACTTTCACATATACTTCTAATTCTTATGGGTTATGTGTTCATACATACTCATTTGTACTATATCTTTAGATTTCTATACTTCTACATGTCTGAGATGTGTTACTAAAATACATTATTGTTATTATTTTATTTTTTTCAACTAATAAATTTGGCAAAATTTTTTTCAGTATAATTATTTTTCTCATTACTCACATTTTAGCGGAAAAAACTTAATATATTCACAAAATGTTAACTGATATTGTATTAATTTATTATTAAATAAATTGGAAAAAATATTCACAATATTAATCTTTTCTCCTCATTAAATAAAAAAGCATTTTAATTTTTATTTTATTTAAGCGTTTATAAATCAACAGCAATAATGATAAATGTTTTGCAGTATAAATTTTTCTACTAAATTTAATTTTTATAACTTACATGTTACGTTGCGTAGATATTGGATAAAAGATGTCTGTCCATTATAAATTCAAATCTACTCTGGACTATGATACGGTATCATTTGATGGATTACATATATCTGTTGCCGATCTTAAGAAAGCAATTTTTCATCAGAAACGTATCGGAAAAAATACAGATTTTGATCTTCAAATTACTAATGCTCAAACGAAAGAAGGTAAATTCTCGTAATTCTATTAAAACGATAAAAATTATTAGATTACATTAGATTAATAAATTTTTTTCAATCATTTTTACAGACTATGTAGATGATAATGCATTAATTGCAAAAAACACGAGTTTGATAGTAGCTCGAGTACCAATAACAGTCCAACAGAAGAAATCTTGGGATAGGTCAGAACCACAACCATTCAGTAATTCTAAAGAAGAATCTAATTTGGGTCATGCGGTTGATTTAACACGATTAGATGGTTCCGAAGAAGATAAAATTCGAGCAATGATGACTCAATCAACTCAAGATTATGATCCATCGAAGTAAATATTTTAATTTTACTGCAAATGAATAATTGAAAGTTAATGATGTTAATTAACATATTCATTTATTTTTTTAGTTATATGAAAATTCGGGGTGCCAATCAATCTGGAGACCTTCCACCTAATTACCTTTGTTATAAATGTCATCAACCAGGGCATTGGATTAAAAATTGTCCTCTTGGCTTAAATCAGGAACCTATTGAGATCAAAAAGAGCACTGGTATTCCTCGGAGTTTCATGGTACCAGTTGAAGGACCATTAGTTCCTGGAGCTATGATGACTCCGACAGGTCAATATGCTGTCCCAGCAATAGACCAGTAAGTTCTTCATTTTATTATTTTTACAGTAATCACATTATACTGTTAGTAGTCAACATTAAATGAATTTTCTAAAAATTTGTTTAGCCAAGCATATAAGGAAGGTAAAAAGGAACGTCCTCCTTTTTTTCAAGACCCGGAACCTGTAGCAAAAAAACCAGAGATACCAGAAGACTTACTGTGTACTATATGTAAAGATTTATTAACTGATGCAGTCATGATTCCATGCTGTGGAAATTCTTTTTGCGATGAGTGTATTCGTACTTTTCTATTAGAATCAGAAGATCATGAATGTCCTGATTGTAATGAAAAGGATGTTTCACCAGAAACTTTAATACCAAATCGATTTCTACGCAATGCTGTGATGACCTTTAAGAATGAAACGGGTTATGCTAAACGACAAAGTTATCGGTCACTCACACAAACAACATCACCTATTAAAAAAGAAACTGAAAAAAAAGAAAATCCTGTAGTATCAGCTGATAATGATTCCAAAGAGCCTCCAACAGTAACATCAACATCCGTTCCTCCTGAGCCTTCACAACCAGTGACAAATCCAAGTAAGTATTTTTATCTTTTTTAGATATCAAAAATCAAAATTCTTACGTATTTTACTTATTTTAATATTTTGAAATCTTGCAATTCACTTGTGTAGATTTTTAAGCGTGTTTATTTTTTTACATGCATGAATGTGAATTAGATACTGTCCTTAAAAACTAATTATGACCATATAATGATAATAAATTGAAGATAATAAAGTGTCATTGAGTTTTGTTGTGATTTGGCCCTGTTATTTTTTTATTTAACCATATTAATTAAAAAAGTTATGTAATTTTTGTACTCAAACTTGGAAAGCAATTTATATTTGATTAATAAGTTACAGTTTATTTTTAATAATGTTTATAAATAAAAATTACAAATTGATAACAATTAAAAATGACAAATGAATATGATAATTAACTATTACTAGTAAGTTAATTATGACAATTCTTTGGGTTGCACTTACACCACTGATTTACATTTTAGTTGAACGTTTATCACAAACGAATCCCGATGAAGATTCGGAAGTAGTTCCACCACCTCCCCCCGGTACGGAGCCTCTACTCCCAATTCTACCATTAATTAATAAATCGCCTGGAAATAAAAACGAACCAAATAAAGAAAAAAAAGATGATAACTATGAGTATGAAGAAAGTAAGCTACCTCGAGAACGACGTCCAAGTTTTGGTAAAGAAAATAATCGTGAAAGAAACAACGATAATGGACGTCGTGTAGAAAATATAAAACCAATGAATCGTCGACGATCTCTTTCTCCAAGACATTCCCATCACAGTGATTATATAACACATAATCCATCTATACCTCATATGGGAAATCAAGCAAAAGGATATCAAAGTTCATCAGCTAATTTTCCGCGATATTCTTCGAATGTTCATTATGAATCAGAAATTCATAGAACTAACGAGGATCGACCGGGAACACCAACAGTGAGTTACTTTTTTTGAATCCTTGATCCAAATTTTTAAATGATCATCATTCCTTCATACTTATGAGACTTTCTTTTTTCAGGTTGATGAACCTCATTTACATTTATCTCATAATGTTCATCAGTCTCATTCTTCAGTTTGTTTGTATCCTCCGGGTGAAGATAGAATGGCTGTTTTGCCACCACCAAATTACAATCAGCCACCTCCGTCTATTCCACCACATAATCCGCCACTCTTACCTGATCCATATATGGGACAACGTATGCCCATGTATCCTCATCAACAAGCACCTCACTACGGAATGACAAGGTACGATCGTCCACCATTTCCGCAATCAGGGTTTAGGCACCAAGGAGCTCGTAATTATGCTGGACCACCAAGACCTTTACGAGGAATGCATCACGGTAACTATTTCATCATGAATCATTTTTTTTTTAACTTTCTTCTTTCTTTTTTGTTATAAGTATATAAATCTAATCAATTTTTTCTAACAGTCAACTATCGAGGAATTCAACCACCTCCTCCAGAATTAGGTCGCAATTATCATAATGGAAATCCTACTGGGTAATTATTAATTTTAAATAATTTTATTCCCATAAGTATTGACAATAAATTGAATTTTATATTATGAATATTTTATTTACAGAGTTATTGACGATCCTCTGGAAGCTTTTGAAAGAATGTTACGAGAAAAAGATGAAAGAGATCGAAGATTGGGTAAACGACGACGATCTCGGACTCGATCTCGATCGAGAAGCTACAGTCGATCACGATCTAGGTCTTTCGCAAGGCGTTCTCCTCTTTCATCCCGAATGAGTAGATCTCGTAGTCCAGCTCCTAAAAGAAGGTCATCAAGAACACCTTTATCACTAAGACAACGTAGCCGAACCCCTAAAAGAAGATCTCGTAGTGGAAGTTTTTCCATCAGCAGGTATGTTTAATTTTATTTTTGTTAAAAATTAGAAAGATTTTTTAAAATATAAATAAAAATTTACGAAATCATTATGTTTAATTTCAGATCAAGATCATATTCTCGAAGTCAATCGCCAAGAGGTGGTAATTTAAGAAGTCGAGAGAGAGAAAGAGATCGGGACCGTGATTTTCCTTCTCGCTATAGATCACCTGTTAGATCACCTATTAGGTAAATTTTGATTTAATTTATTAAGTCATAAAATTTCGATTAATTAACAAATTCATTTACATACTCGAAAAATTTTAAATTATAAAAGTTTATTATCGAATATTTTATGTAATAAATAATAAATTATTCTTCATCAATAAAGAATTTAAAATGTTATTTTACAGATTTCAACGAGATCGTGACCGCGAAAGTGCAAGATCACGAGAATCTCGTGAAAGGCATAATAGCTATTACAACGATATGATCGCAAATGATAATGGATTCAAAGATCGTGACCGTGATATTATATCAAATAAGGATAAATCAAGCAGTCGTTATTCATCGCGAAATTCATCAATGCATCATAATATACCACCACTTATGCTTTCACTTAATACGGGAGGACATCCACCACTAATGATTGGAGCTTCATCAGAAAGGAAAGACTATTATGAATCTTACAACAGGTATTTTCGCTACCATAGTACTTACATTCCTGTATTTTGAATTAATATTGTCTGCAATGTTCGATAACTATTTCTATGGCTAATATATGAACTATTCATATATTTGGCGACTATATTTTATATAATTTTATATAATACAAACAAAAACTCAATATTACTTTAATGCACTTTTTCAATTTCACATTTATAATAATTAGAAATCATAGTATGAAATACTATCGAAAAGACTGAGAAATAGTGATAATTAAATATAATCTATCGGATGATTAGTTAGATGTTTAATTAAAATTTTTCAAATGAAATTTTCCATAAAGTTTGAAGACTGAATTGAATTCTTTTTTCATTATGATTGATAAGTTTTAGAATTTAATTCAGATTGATAAACATGATAGAAAATTAAAGAGTAAATAATTTTATGAGAATGCTATTCTTCTTGTAAAATTTAATTTATTTTTATTTTAATACTTGTTTGACGTAAGACAAGTTAAGGAATCTAATGAATAAAGAATGTCAATCAAATTACAATATATTATATTTCTATATTTTTTATTATATATATCTATATAAAACGTGCCCAAAATTTTTACGAGTTGTAATTATTCTTCAAGTACCTGTATTAATATATTATCTATTTCTATTATAATAATCATTTACCAAAATATATTTATTATTTTTGTAATATGAAACTTTATAGTTGTTGTATTGTAAAGTAGAATTAATTAAATCAAATTCATTCATTAATTATGTGCAATATTATTGATTAATTAAATTTTTTGACAATTATATAATGTTATATTTCCTTAGCTAAAAATGCAATTAGAATTAAATGTAGAATATCAAATTACAAAGTACAAAATATTATTATGATTATGCTTAGTTTATTTAAAAAACTATTTTTATATGAGAGTAATATTTAATATAAGTTGATGAGTGTTAAAATGAGAAAGTATGAGAACTAATACTATGTTACAAACAAGAAATTTAAGTAATATAATTGATTATAATTAATTCATTGACTAAAGTTTAAATAATGATGCTACATATTTAATGAGATTAAACTATTTTTTTTTTTTATTTTCATGGTATCTTTTATGAATGATTAAAATTAGGAACTTATTAAGCGTATTTCTGTTGGTAAAGAAATAAATGCTTTATTGTAAAATTATAGTTTTTGTGATTAATTACTATATTTTCTGTTTGCGAATGGCGAATAATCTGTGATAATAAATCGACATTTAAGTAAATATAGAGAATAATCATTTTAATGTAGGAAAATAAATAATAAATACATATTTATTAATAATACCCGATGTAACATAAAATAACAAGTTATCAAATTCGTCTATTGTTTACCTAGAATAAATAAACTGAGTTATATAAATTTCATTAATTCTAAATTTAAATTATATTTTTGAATACTTTAAAAGTTCAATATCACATTGCATATAATCTTATATTTATTGAATAATAAATTACTTATTACCACAGTTTTCGATTTTTATATAGTAATTTATTATATTTTATATTTAAATTATTATCAGTTACATGACGAATTTGAAAGAATTTGATTAAATAATTTAGAAAGATGTTTGTGTCAAAATTGTGACTTTTAATCATACATTTTTACGTTAATATTCTATTTAAAATTGAAACAATTATATATTTAATACGAATGTGAGTACTGAGAATAAAATTTTTCATTTTTTATCAAATAATATGTTGAAATTGAAATGGAATATAAATAAAAATTTTTTCCTCAGTACATTGATTTTCTAACGTTAGAATTAGTTTGAAATATCCGAAATATTTTGTAATAAATAATTTGTTGTTGACTTGTATAATATACAATAGCTTAAAATATGGCTAATTGCATAATAAACAATGAAGCAACGCAAGAATAGAAGATCTGCAAAATACAGCTGACTGATGAACATTCACCGCTGCTGATGAACGACTCAACTCGGTTCTTAATTCAGGTGAATTCAGGACCAAATCAACATTTATAACAGTTATTAATATTTCTTGCTATTTATTAAATATTATATTTATCAAAATGAAATGTATAAAAATATTTAAATTAACTATAAGAGTTATAAATGTTGATTTCATAATATTTATTTTTTCATATTTTGTTTTTCAGCATACGCGTTTGAAATAGCCTTGTCTTATGAATTATTTTATCTATGAAAAGTTGCAGCTCTCCTTCAATCCTCAGGCTGGTTAACTAATTCACTGATTGAATTTTAAATTTGATCATCTCTAAATCAAAAAAATATATCATGAAAATAATTTGTTTAATCATTCTGGCGGAAAGAGTTAATGTATCTGACTTTTTGTCATCAGATATCCTGGATCATCGAATGAACGATTAAGCAGCCCACGCGAATCTCATCATAAGAGAATCGATGAAGTTGCACCACCAGGAACTGAAGGATATTATGATTTGGTGCCACCAGGAGTGGATTACCCAGAAAAACCTAATAAAGATGATCGAGACAGATTCCGAGTTAAAGACGCTGATAATCAAATTAAAGATTCTAATATTGATAGTCGTGATCGCATTCCAATACGTGATGATAGAATGTAAATATATTATTTATATTTATTTAATATATTTCACAAATTTTTAAATATTATATACATTTTTATCATTTCATTTTAGGTTGAAGGAATATGATGATCGGTTTAGAGAAAGAGATGATAGAAATCGACGTGGATCCGATCGTGACCATGACAGAGAAAATCATAAAGAAAAAGAAGATCGAGATAGGTTGAATCCACTTCGAGAACGAGAAGACAGATATCGTGAAAAAGACGGAAAAGACAAAAAAGATAGAGATGATAAATATAGAGATCGTAAGGACGATGATCGTTTTATCGATAAAAAAGAACATGAAAGGGAACGGTTAGTTTTAATCAATTTATTTAACTAATTAATTTATAGCATAATAAATTCAAATAAAGATATTTATTAAACGATATATTGTTATTGTTTTCAGATATCGAGATGATCGTGATCGACACAAATTTGATGAAAGAAATCGCAATAAAGATCGCGAACGAAAAGAACGTGACTATGAGTTAAAAGAAGATCGTGAACGCCAGGATCGCTATGATAAGCAACATTTTGTTGACAGGAAAAAGTTTAAACGTAGTTCTAGTCCTTATTTACCGAAAAATCGAAATGAAGTCAAAGGATCATCACCTGAACGACTAAAGAAAAAAGATAAAAGTTGTGAACTAAAACCTGATGACAAGAAAAAGGAAAAGAAAATAAAAGACAAAAAGAAAAAGAAGGATAGCGAAGAAAAAGAAAAGAAGAAAAAAAAGAAAAAGGATAAAAAATTAGCTCAAAAAGAGACTGAAAAAATGGATATTATTGGTCACTTTAATGAATCAGAGAAAACTATTATCGATTCCAGTATGGAAGCGGTAGCATTATCTAATATCAAAAGAAGTGATGACGATGATCAAGCTAATAACGGCAATTCGATGAAGAATACAAATATTCTTCCACCAACAACTCTTAAAACTGAGTTTGAGAATAAATCATTGATGATTAATCCTGAACCTCCAGAATTACGAGATAATAATTTAGAATCTGATTCAAATGTTTTTGGAGGTATCAATCCTCCGAATCCAAACTTTGAACCAATTCTAGATGTCAAAACAGAAATAAAACCAATTGATCGTTTGTACAGTGATCTAGATAATACTGAAATAAATACATTAATAACAGATAAATATTCATTGTTGCCAAATGTTAGATATGAAAGTGACTCAAATAATTGTACTAATAAATCACCATTGACTGTAGAAAAAGAAGCAGGTAGTCCTGAACAATCTGATACTCTGATGTACGAATCAAGATCAAGTTCCAAAAAAGATGAAGTGCTAGCACCAATGCCTGAATTGTCTAAATGGGAACGTGATGATAATGGAGACAAACTTGATCAACTGGTCAATACAATGTCAAGAGTTAATGAGCTTGTTGATGAATCCAAATCGACAAAAGTAGTTACATCTGAAGTAATAAAGAGAGCAGAAAATGCTATATTTCAAAAAGCTATCAATGCTATTCGACCGATTGAAATAAAAAAAATCAGTGAAAATCGAAAGATTTTATATCAAAATCCGGAACCGAAGGTTTTAGAATTGGACATTGACCGTGAAACAAGAAAGAATGTTAACGTAACCATAAATATTGACAAGAATGAACGTAATGTGGAGATAACTGAACTATCTAAGAAAGGAAAGTTGGATCGTTCCAAATTTAAAATCTCATCTGAAACATATTCACCAACAAGATTATCAGCAAAAGAGAGATTGGGTGAGAAAGTTGATGATGATAAAGAAAAGAGATCAACAACTGCAAAGACATTTGCAGATAAACGTGAGCACAATAAATCTGATAACTTTTCTAGATCACGATCACCTAAGTTCATTTTGGATAAAAAACTATCACCATTTACAGATCGAAGTACTAAATCTGAATCAAAGAACAGTGATAGTGATGACAGAAAAGTATTTTTCAACGAACATAGAGTAGAACAAACTGAAAGTGATCAAATTTTCGAAAAAAGTGATATGAAAAGTGAAAAATATGACGTAGCAGAAAAGAATAGTGACAATCTTAATAATAAAAGTGATCTTATTTCGGCCAGAAATGAACGAGAAAGTCTTCGCCGAATTCATACATCACCTCGATCGAGTAAAAATAGTGAAGATTCAATGAAGTTGAATTTCTTGAAACGAAAGAAGGATGAAGAGGATGATAAAAAAGACGAAAAGAAAATGCGAAATGAAAAGAAAAGGAAAAAAGAACACAGAAGTAGAAGTAAATCTAAAGAAAGGAAAAAGCGAAAAGATAAAAAACATAAGAAAGATAAATCTGTTGAAAAGAAACAGAAATATAAAGATATTGGTTCCAAGCGCGATCGATCTTTTGGAATAGAGGATATACAAAATTTAGAAAGTTTTAATTCTTCTCAAATGCAAAATTTGAATAAAAAACAAAGAAAAAATCCTAAATTTATAATTGATCGCAAAAGAAGTGCGTTAGATGAATCAAGTTTCGAGCCTGATTATTCAGCATCAGATTCCAATTCTGATAATGAAGAGGCTAAGCTGTCACCAAAAAAACCCAAATTAGATGAGTCTAAGTTAAATACCGAAAAGGAAATTGATATAAAACTTATTAAAAGGAAAGCTAGATCATCAAGTACGGAAGATAATTCCAGTTCATCAGATTCATCATTATCAGACTCAGAAAGTTCGGAGGATTCGCCGAAGAAGAAGAAAAAGAAACACAAGAAGCATAGAAAACATAAATCATCGAAAAAAAGTAGCAGTTCAGATTCGGATTCTGATTCAGACTATTCAGATTCCAGTTCGAATGATGAAAAATATAAGAAGAAATCAAAAAAATCAAAGAGTAAGAGTAAGCAATCTAAGAAGAAAAAAAAGTCTAAGCATAAATGACATCACTAATTCGTGACAAAATCTGCTCATTTGTAAATTATTTAGTTATTCTTTCTTCTCCGATACTATTTTTTTTTATCAGGTACGTTTAACAGCTATAATATTGATGTAAATGATTGAATATGACTACATATAGTAAGATATACTTTGGTAAATTTTTGTACAGCTTTAAAGAACAAATAACATTATTCTACATTTTATTTTAAAATAAAATGCCCTGCTTCAAATGCCCAATGTTATATCTCTGTTTAGTAATGTATAATATTTGAGGAAATCAATAAAAATTAAGATTATACTATATTTCGTCTTTTTATTTTATTATTATAATTAAAATTTTTTAAATTATATAATTATTACTATTAGTAGTAGTTTTCGAAGTAGTTTTTAAATTTTTTAATGTTTGAATAACGCAAAACAATAGTGGTAGTTGTTTCGTCTTTTCACCATCATCAATTCCTAGAGCTTCTGATAGAGTTGTACGATCTAATGGATGATTTTTTAAATCACTTTCTGAAAAAATATAAAAATTTAATAATATAGATAACTTAATTAATTAATAGAGATTTCAATAAAAGAAATAATTAATACTTGGAATAAATATTAGGTATAAAGGAATGATTTAAAAAAAAATATATTTTTTGTAATTTTTAATGCTCATAATTTACCTGATGTTAAGACACTCAATGTATATTTATATCCTATCCAGTCCAAATATTCTCGAATTAGTTCATTAACAAGTAGAACATTATGTGATAAATTGGAATGTTTGATTCTGTTAGATGGTGAAGAATCTAATAAGTTCATTATTTTTTTACGTACTTCTGCTTTAATTCGTCTTAATTCACCATCAGTCTCTAAAGAGTCACGAACAGCTATAAAAATATGAATAATATTAAGATATTATTTAAAAAAAAAACGAAATTAAATGAATAAGTTTAAATATGCAACAATTTTTATAATAACAATTACCATTTATTAAATCACTTTCAGTACTCATATTTAAAAAACTTTATTATTCGAGCACTAAATCATAACATAAAAAAATGACGTTTGACAACAGCATTACAGTTGGTTGCCAATGACAACCATTGTTATACACACAAACGTGTATGAATGTATTTGAGAATTTTTGTGTTAGAAATTTTCAAATTGAGCGGTGGAATATAACATTACTATCATCTCAATTAAATCTTCTTAGTTACATAAATAATTAATACTATTGATATATTATTTTTATTTATTTAAAATAAAAGATCAAAAATTTTCACCGTTCTTGTGCTTCATACATGATTTATCAACATGTGTTTAGTCTATATTGCACTACAATTCATTCACATAATACTTTAAATTTATTTATTTTTATTTCAATCCTTTATCAGTGCAAGTTGTAGCAGTATCATTACTTTCAGAGATGATAAATCTGCTAGGATAGCCTAAAAAATGACATAATAATTAAATAATTATAAGAATTGTAGATCTAGAATAGGGTTTTTTACTTTCAATATTTTTAATGAAGTTTATGTATTTTCAACTCTATGTATTTTTAACCGATCAAGTTTAAAAATATAAAATTTATTATTATTATTACTATTTAATAAGAAATTTTAATAAATCTTCAATATAAAATGGGAATTACATTACTACTTTTCTGTTTGCTCCAATAAAAATCATTTCTCATAAAATCATATTACAGAAACGTGTAATAATATTTTTATAATTAATAAATTTTAATTAAAATTTCTTCAGGCTTTTTTTTTTATAAGAGCAATTATTGTAGTATTTTCAAATGCTCACCTCAACATTTTGTAAATTATTCACTTGTAGAAGATTCTCTTTACGAAAACTCAAAATACATACAGCTAAAAGTGAAATTATTTCTAATGAGTCATATCCCAATATAAGATCCCATAGATATAATAATTGTTCTGGTGGTAGATGTCCGCTAAAACCTCTCATTATCCATTTAAAGACAATTTTTATTCTGCAAGTTGATAATTGATAACATTAGAGAAGCCATAAATGAATAAATGTAGTAAAATACACGACTTACGGTTGAATTTGTATATTTCTCAAATGGGCCCACAACTGTGGTTCATGACATTGGAGCAATCGTTCAAATAATAAACATAAAGCGACGATTCCTTGCTCATGACAAGATACCGTATGAAGTCGAAACCAGTATCGTAAATAAAATGCACGAAATGTATAATACATAGCACAAGGATCATCATATAAATAACAAAATGGAGCTGCATACATCGTAAAACCATGGAATGGAATAACGCCACTTGGTGGAAAAATTAAAGTATTCTCAATAGTTGCTGGTTTTCCTTGGATAATAGCATGAATTACTTGATCACCTGAACTTCTGTCAGTTGTTACCGATGTTAAAACCTCCGAATCCCGTGAAAAACACAACATTGTCTTGTAAAGAACATCTTCAAAGACAAAGTATTGATCATCATTACTAGCTGTTAATTGCACATCTTTTATTATTAATTTATCCACCATTATGTCATACTGTAGAACTAATTCTTTTAATTCTTCATAATATCTTTTATCCTGTAAAGTAAAATCATTTAATTTCATAAATATGTTATTACTTTAATGTAATCTTACTGAATCTTTGACAACTGATCCAAGAACTAAAGACCAAATACGACCTCTCAAGGCTCGTGGAGCACCACGTTTTAGAAATTCTTGAGCCACTGGAGCTTGATTCGAATTTAAAATTTTCTCACCGAACTTTGTTCTTTCTAATTCTAAATTCAAATAATTCCCCATTGCTGGTACATCATTATTTACACCTAATAGAGGAACACCTTGGGCTAATTCTGTATATATTCCTCGCTAAAAGAAGAAATTAAAATTTCTCCATTCATTTTCTATTGAGCATTTTTTTAGTTATGAACAAGTATCAAATATCAATAATTACTAATTGTTCTAGAGTTTTAACACGAATTTGAATATGACTAAATTCCCAGTTAGGTTCATTGATTCGTTTCTTAAACGCCGGATCACGAACAGAAAATAAAACATCCAAAAAGTCTTTTGGTGCGTAAAGTGGACGATATAAAGATAAATCTGAAATAGTAGGCGATGTTATTATTACTGAATTTTATTATAATATTTTTTTTATACATGATTTACCAATATCATAAGTGCTTAATTCACTCCATTTATTAATAAGCTCTTCTTTGTCAGCATTAGTCCGAATTTTTGCAAGTGGCACATTTAATTCATTACATATTGAATTCAAGGATTTATGAATTCGTCTTTCCCATTGAATTTGTGCTTTTTTTAAATAATTTAAATTAGGATTAAGCAATGTTTGCTCTGATGTACTTTGAATTGATCTCTAAAAAAGATAATTAATTAGATACATGTTGGTTTAATGTAGATTAATGGTTAATTTTCTATTTACTTGTGACCGAACCCAATGAAATACAGTATTTCTTATTTCAGTTTCAACACCATTGTTTCTTAAAGCTTCGATTAATGTTTCTTTGAAGTTATCTTTTTTAACTGCTGATGAAGCAACAACACGCTAAAATATCAATAAGTTCATATTACATACAAAATCGCTAAATAAAAAAATTTATGTAAAGATGTTACCTGAATTTCATTGTATAAGATTTTATAATCGTTCATACATCGAATTTCTTCAGTTAATCTTTTTGCAGTTTTATCATGATTATTTTCATCTTCATGATTTATCATTATTATGATAATTAAAAATTATCTATGTGTTCATTCAATATTGAAGGAAATATCTTGAAAAGACGCCATTTGTAAATAAACAGTCTTCCCGGGAATATCCCAAATAAAAACTATTGATGAATGAAAAAAAAGAAGCTTTTATTTAGGAATATCTAAAATAAAACCTTTTGATAAATGAAAAAAAAACGAAAGTAAACTTTACAAATCCATTTTAATGAATCTCACTTTTTTGCCACACATATAGAATTTTATGATATTTTTATTTGCACCAAAAAGGTAGTAATTTATTATATACCTTTTTTAATGATTTAATTGATAAAATTGTTGTAATAAAAGATTATATGTTTTAAACTGCTATAAAATTATTTAAATTCTTTATAGACCAATTAAGTTATTACAAATTACCGAAAAATTTTCTTTTTTAACCTTAATTTTTTTGTTATTTTTGAAAAATGTAATCGATAAACAAATTTTTTCTAATTATTTTTAGAATGCTAATTTATTTTAGCGTTATTTTTGAATCATAAAAATTAAAATAAAAAAATGTGGGATCATTGAATCCAAAAAAAAGCAAAGTATAATAAACCTATATAATTTTATATTTTCATAAAATGTTTATTATAAGTTGCATGTTTGATATTATATACTCTTACACGTATGAAAATACAATTATTATATCTATAGATAAATTCACAGCTATTTATTGATTTAATTACAATAAATTACGGCAAATTAATTGTAAATTTGTTGAAATTTAAAATAAATAATAAATAATTTCGAGAAATATTTTATTACTTTCACAATCGTATATTTCGAAATGGAAACAATGGAAAACATTTAAAATTATCAATATTTATTCAAAAAACTTTTCTAGAGGTAGACCATCCAAAATATTTCCTTATTATCTATAATTTGAATTAATTAAAATTCCCAAATATATCATTTCAAAACGAACATATACAATTCAATCAATATTCAATTTAAATAGGATGTTTTTGGAAATTTATTCATATTTCTTTTCAAATTTCATGCAAAACTACAATATATATATATTATTATCATTGTACTGATTACACTCAATTTAATTATTTAAGAAAATTTTGCTATTTATTGCTAATAAATAATCTTTAATATTATGTGTAATCACATGTGTAAGACATTTTTCTTTAATAATATAAACAATTCTTCAAGATTATTCATTAATAATAGATTTAAAAAATCTACGCTATGAATATTTTTCTTGTGTAAGATAGATTGTTACTATATACACTCTCATCGCAAATATTTTTCATGTGTTGAACAGGCGTATTATACCCTATAGACATTATTGATAAAGTTAATTACTATCTTATGTGGTAGAATATAAAGTTTAAAGCAATAAATGTTCCCAAATTGGTCAAAACTAAGTATAAAAAATTTTAAAAACGAATGTAACAGCTTATTAATAATATTCTTATGTAAGAATATTGGTCACATTGTTCGTTATATGATACAAACATAAAATAAAGGATAGTTTTTCCATCATACCTTCACCGAAAGTTTACTTTACCATCCAAATGATGTGAAGCTTTCGTCACAGGTATAGTAAAAAATAATATTCAACCCTAGGTATGACAGTTAGATCATCTCAAATCACGTGTTTACTTGCCACTTTCCACCCAAGTGGCAATTTTACTTGTGGTTTGAATTAGTCTACTTTTCCTCCCTAGGCATGAAATGTACTATATTGGAAGCTCACACAGAAAGGAAACAACATTGATTTATGCTAAAATACATGTGGCAACCTTTAATTGTGACATTATTTTTAATAATTATTTTTTATAGAATTTTTTATTATATCATCCTTAGTTATGTTTTGATTCATTTGATCGTTTTCATATTCCACAAAATCATCAAATAAACTTGGCCATGCTTCAGCATCGTCGTAAGATCCAAGATCATTACCAATAACTTCAGCAAAGTTTAAAAACATATTCCATGTATCTCTGGGAATTCCACGTACATGATGGCTATCTAAAAAGGATAACCACTTGAAAAGTAAAGGCGGTTCTCGTATCGTAAATACAAGCTTCCAAAGAACTATAGCCATATCAATAGGTAAAATTCTTTGCCCAGACGCAACATCGAGCCCAAATCTAAACGTGAATCTATATAAATCTTTAAATAGATCTCCATTCACACTTAATTCTTGAACAATCTCACATAGTCGTTTTTGTATGCTACTTATACTGTCTACATGCATTGTTTTTAATCCGTTGACAAACTCTTTCCGAGTGAACTGACACATTTGTTCGGCATCAAGTTTCCATGCTAATACAAGAACTTTAAAATCATCAGGTGAAAGTTGAAGATCGTCACATAGTCTTTCTATTCCATCAGCTAGTATAATATCTTCATTTGGTTCCTTAAAGTATAAATTAATGATAATTATTATTAATATGTATTAGAGAATATTAAAAAAAACGAATGAATGATTGAATATGATTCCACTTGATGCATCTGATATACAATTTTTTTTTCCTAAGAATTCTTCTTTTAATAGAAATAAAAAAAGTATAAAAACAAATGGTTCTCATAAATATTACTAATAATGTGAAAATAAATAAATAATGAATTCTCTCTTGAATCGTATGCAAGTATTGTTAATAAGGTTTTTTAAAATGAAATTATCGTTTAATTGATAATATTCACTCTGAGCTCGGGCTCTCTGAATATTAAGCTCCAAAGTCAAATAGTGATTTTTAATATCAGATTTACCAAGAGCAATGTTATTATATTAATATATACATACCTTATATTGATTAAATAATGCATTTATTTTATCATCATCTGATTCTTTATTTTGTTTATTATCACTTGAAGCATTCACATTGCTTGTAGTCAATCGGCCTAAAGGTGGTAACCTTGTGTAAAATGGACATAATCGCGAATTGTTATTAACTAAGGATATTGACTCACAATTCTCAGAACCAATAGTATTGAGAGAATTTATATTCAAACTCGGTGATTTTTTATTCGCTTGAGCTCGAACAGATGTCAAAGATCCTTTAGTGCATGGGTATGAAGAAAATAGTCTCCTAAGCTCCATTGTATCTATAAATTGTTCATAATATTACTCATAATTTTACTCTCAATATTCTAAACTTTTGAATAGTTTTATTTTTGTTTGTATTTTCAACAGATGTTATGAGCTTGACAAAAAAAAACAACTAACCTTCTTTAATTTCTGATGTGCTCGATTGATCAACGGGAATTGGTTGCGGTGGCACTTTAAAACAAGACCAGCAATTTCCCATTGGTTATATCTTTTATTTATAGATAAGTTGAGTGACCCTTGCATCTGTATAACAGTCTTTGTTTGGCAGTTTTGATAAAAAGCTGTAATAGTTACACTATGAATCAACTTACTTCAATACATGTCTATGTATTGTTTTCATTTTGGAATAACAAACATTTCCTACATGTCATATAGTAACTATTACTGAATAATAGTTTTAAATCTTTATTAATAACACAATAATGAGATAATAATTGTTAAAAATAATCTATTAAAACAGTAAAATAAATTACCTTAATTTTTATTCAAATCTAAAGAAACGTAGAAAGTTTGTTAAAGCTGTGATTAAAATTTTTTTTGCAAAATTTTCTGCATAAAAAAGCTATATTTATATAATATAAATTTTTGTATGTATTTGCCATATTTTTATCTTTATTTTTATTAATAAATAAAGGTTACGACTTTATTATTGACGCACATTTTTACACAACTATTCTTATTTTCGAAAGTCGCCTTTATGATCACTCAGAAGCAAGATTCCGTAAATGGACAAACGGAATGACACCGGAATTGATGTATCAGGGTACAGACACATAACCACTACCAGAGAAGAGAGATAACATATAGAAGAACCATCCAAATGAGAGCTGTTGGACGGTAGTTTTTACCTGCTGATGTATGGCTCGGATATAAAAACTAATGCTAAAATGCCATACATATGTATGCCTAAGAATTCGTCCAACGGATCCCCACGCGATGGTTCTTCTATATTATTTCTCTTCTCTGCCACTGCGTGAAAGAAAACGGAACGTCGAAATGGAACGTAAAGCTAGTATAGAGAATAGAGATACAAATTTATAACGATGTTTGATGCAAGATCGATTTTTGGAGTATCGATATTTTATATCGATTGTATACACTTAATTGGTATTTAATATCGATACACACTATTGTTTTTGTATATTTATCTATATAAATAATTCTTATATAATAAAAATGGATAAATAATTCAAAATTTGTCAAGAAAAATTTAAGGTAACAAAGTCCCTATGACCTAGCTCTAATTATTTACTTTGCGTTAGAAGCCATGATTCAGCATAAATTCAAATTTCAATGTCAATTTAATGTAATCATCCATGTTTCAGCATTGATTGTAACATTGAAACACCATATTCTGGATGAAGAGACTTGGCGTCTGTGTAGTGAAGAAGAACATGGTAGTAACGTGAAATTTGTGTAGCGAAAGACAACATCAAATGTTTTGAGTCTTCCAATCATATTTAGTTTAATTATATAAGAAAATTATTATAAACAAAACAATTATCAATGTTCAATCATTTATACTTTGTGAGTATATTTCGATTAAAATACTTTTGTTAAGCATTTTTTGACATAAGAAAACTAGTACAGATTATTTGTTTACAGAATCTCTTTCCTACTAATTGACGTTGGTTAATGTGAAAAATGACTGATATAGTTTATAATATATCTTCGTCAGACGAGGATTCTCAAAATTTTCGCCTGCAAGTAACCAATAGCATTGTAGTTGATGAAACATTAGATGAAGATCATCTGAATAAGAAAAACAATCAAAATGACATAATCATTATAAATGATTCTAGTGATGACAATGATGATCGTCTAGAAAATCTAAATACAGTGTCCAAGCCATCTATCCCTCACAATAGAAATTGTACAGCATCTATCAGTAGTTTTGATGCATCTGAAATATTTACAGAGGATGAAACCAGAAATTCATGGAACTCTAACAGAATTTCTGAATTGGATCTAATAAAAAATAAAAATCAGAAAAAATTAGTCATCCCTTCAACTAAAAAACCTACAAAAAAAATTACCACATCAAAAGAAAAGACAATTTCTAATAAAGAGAATATTAATACATGCAATATTTTTGAAAAAAAGTGTACCATCAATGAAGTGATTAAACAGCCAAAACAAATATCGAAGATTAATGGTGATAATAAATGTGAAAATGAAAATAAGTTACATCTTACACCAAACTCAGCAAAATTTGATGTAAGAACTACACCTTTGACGAAAAAAGACACACGAAATATTTTAAAAACAGTCAAATCACTTCGTACAATAAATAATTCTCCTGGTTTATGGTCACGTAATCATCAACGAATTAATAAAAATAGCAGTAGTAATAACAGTGAATCAGATAATTCATTAGTTGATAATAGTGATGATGATAGTCAATACAATAAGACTCCTTCAGGTAAAAAAATTATACATCCAGCATGGATTGATGAAACTGATTCAGAAGTTGAATATACTGAAAATCAACACCACACAGAACCATTAATTCAAAAACAAGTTCCTGATGCTAGAATTGAATTAAATAATATTCCAACAGACAGTTTTGAGTTAAAAAAAAAAGAAATTTCACGATGGCTTATATCAAATAATTTTGATGCCAGACGCAGTGATTCTTCTGTAAGTCAAGTACCACCGAGTGAAAGAAGCAGTATTAATTCGGGAAATAGTAGTCTTGAGAGACTTGAAGAGAATTATGAAACTCCCAATAATCGAGATAAATTTCATAGTAAAATTATATTTCATGACAGTCGATCTAATAAAACTACTCCTGGAATTGAATCTTTAAGAATTCAAACGATTAAGGATGATTGTGATTCTACTTCTCCAAAAATAAAATCTAGTGACAGTAAAAAAAAATTACTTTTATTAAAAAAATCTACAAGCAATAGCAGTAATTCATCATCGTCATTATCAAAGCATAGAACTTATGACTCTTCATCTTTAAGAACTCCGGAACAAAATATTGACAATTGTGTTGACATATTAAACAAAATTTATGGTAATACTTGGAAAGATCATGCTGATGTCATACTTCCTAAAACTTCTACTGCAACTACTATTAAAAAGGATATTAAAAACAAACATTTATTGATAAAGAATAATAGAGCAATACAATCTGATCGAAAGATCAATTATATTAGTAAAAAAAATTCAAAAACTGGTTCTGTTAATAGCTCAACTGACAAAAAATTGAATACTCCTACAGAAAATTCTAAAATCAAGACAAAATCAACGAAAGTGATTTCTTCAACAAAGAAAATAACTAAAACTAATCAGTATGATAGTAGTTTTATTAATGATTCAAATTCTGATAGTTCTGATGGGAATACGACCTATCTGACAGCTTTAACGAATCCCGTGCTCCCACGATATCGTATTATGACTAAGAAAAAAGTTGAAACAGACCCAAAGAAAAAAGTTTTTGATATTTGCGATTCAGATACTGAGAGTAGTGATTATGATAATGAAAGAAATAATGAAAACTACCAACGTCGATTAGATTTTAGTGACAATGAACATAATTCTAGCAATTGTACTAGTGAATATGATCCAGGTGATTTTGTTCCGCCGAAAACTCTATCTGTAATTAAATCTCGTGTTCAAAACAGTAGAGCAAGTTTTCTCAAATCATTATCTGCATCAATTCCACTGAATAATGTTCATCCTGATGCAATAAAATATCGTAAAAATTTTAAACAAACGAAAGATGAACTTTGTAAATATTTATTTAAATATTATAATGAAAAGGTGTTTGACAATAAGTTACCTAGTGATATGTTAATTGAATGGAGTTCTAGAATGCGTGGAACTGCTGGATTTTGTTTTAATAAAACTAGAAGAAAAGCTAATGGAGAAATTGAACGATCATCTAGAATACAATTAGCAACTAAAGTTTTAGATTCTCCTGAAAGATTACGAGATACTTTAATACATGAAATGTGTCATGCAGCTACTTGGATTATTAATCATATTTCTAATGGTCATGGTGTTTTTTGGCGTACTTGGGCTTCTAAAGCTATGAAAACTTTCCCGGAATTACCACCAATCAAACGCTGTCATGATTACAAAATAGCTACTAAATATACATATCGTTGTACAACTTGTGGCTATTGGTAAGTTTTTAATTACTACTATTTATTTTCAAATGATATCCCTTAGATCGTTAAAATGAATTTTCATTTTTGAATTTTTTGATATATTTCAGTATTGGAAGACACTCTAAATCGCTTGATACAGTACGAAAACGCTGTGGTCATTGTTATGGAAAATTTGAGCTTCTAATTAATAGAACAACTAGATCAGGTCGAATAGAACATGAAACACCGAAAGTTAAAGCACCTTCAAAATTCGCGTTATATGTAAAAGAAAATTACCACGAAGTAAAAACGAAACATCTAGTAAATGATCATAGAGAAATTATGAAAATTCTTGGACAACAATTTTCGGCAATGAAAATTGCTCAGCAAATTACATTAGAATAAATTATGACAAAATATCACTTAAAAAATAATTGTACAATTAACTATATATTCGCAACAGTTGATCTATTACCTATTAATTAATTATAATAACTTTATATATTTTTATTATAATTTTTTATAAGATTCAATAAATAACTAAAATTTTAATGAATATTTCTTTTTTCTTATTTGAATGATAATAATTGAATAATAAATATGAACAATTCAAAAATTGCTTTATTTGTCTATTGTATCGTGAATGGCATTAATTATTCAATTATTTCATGTGGAAAAAACAAAAAGAATAAGGTCGAGTCTCTATTATAGATAATTACTACAGTTTTTCAGTTCATTAATCAACTAAGTAACTGACTTTTTTACCCCACCAATAAACATAATAATTTAATTGGCTGCTACATTAAAGTGAAAATCATTATTACTATTTTTACAAATAATTTTTCTCCGTTTCTATGGGAAGAAACTAATTCAAGTGAACAATGGAAAATGAAAATCGTTGACAAAATTGTCTTGAAAACCTGGGTAATAAATAAAAACTCATAATATACAAGGTTTGAATTTATAAATAAAAATGGCAAATTTTATTGCACTAAAAACAGAAAGAAAATTGTTTTACCATCATAATTACCGAAATTTCAATCGATTCTGACGACAAATTATGAATTTTAAAAATCATTTCATATATCTTATACACTTATCATCATCATCATCATCATCATCATCACCATCATCACCATCATCACCATCATCATCATCAGTTAATTTTTTCTTATTTTAAAAATTAAAGCTGTTTCAAAAAATTTAACTCCATTTTCATGCGCAAAATTTTTGGGTATTCTTAATCAACTCCCAATTTTCATGCAACAGAATTGCTATTCCTTAATATCATCTATTGACTATAATATAATTTCGATTGAAAAATGTCTATAATATCCTAGTAAATCACGTTTTATTTGTTAATATATAGTAAGATATTAGTTATTATCATATATGACTGAATGATTATTTTCTCTTATTTTAGCAAATAACTCAAAAAAAATAGTGTATCATGAATTTCAGAGAAATTAGTCATAATTATTTATATATATATATAAAGAAAATTTTAACTCGATTATATTTTACACTTACTAACATAAATTCTTATTTGTAGCAATTTTATATTATTTTTTATGTGTAGATCACAAAGCGAAGAAAAGATACAATTATTAAATATTTGTTACGAATTAATCTTTCTTTTTTTTTTTTGATAAATCTTAACTATATTAATATTAAGTCAATAGAAATACATTATTGTAATATTTAATATGTACAAGAACCTAAATGGCGATATGGGCTATTTAATCAACGGAATGCAACAGTTTTTTTTTAATCTACAAATTTTTTTTTTATTACATTTGCAGTCATTCTTTTATTTCCAAGATATTTCTTGAAAACATTATTTATAAATCATTATTCGTTGCTTATATAATTTCATTTAAATAATTTGATTATTTATTAAATTTTATCATCTAAATTTTAGTATAAATAACAAAAAAAACTGCAAATATCTATATAAATTTTTCATATTATAAATTTGGTAGAATTAAAAAAATAGGTAGTTTTTAATAAAATAATTGATGAATTCTCCAATAGATATATTCAGTCATTATCCAATAATATAGAAAATTACTCGAAGAAATATTTATTAATTTAGTATCTACATACAAAGTTTAAATTATTTATATATATGTAATTAAAATTGCACTAAATAATTCAATTAAATCAATCATCATAATACTGTTGAAATTAAATATATTTCAAGTGTGTACTTTATGTCAATGAATTTTATTTTCCCTTTTATATATTGCTTTCTTAGATTGACTTGGTAAGAATTGATAATTAATTAATCATTAATTAACTCGATCACAAATTGGTTACATCTGGATAATTGAAAAAAAAATAGATGAATGACCAATAACTGATGAATTATTTGTTATATTATCTAATTTTATGATTCAAGATCATAACTATCGATTGAGTTTTTTACTTGAAAGACCAATTAATTACTAGAGAGATATGTTACTCATTTTTAACTATTATAAAGACAATTATGATTATAAAACAAGTAGCTAAATTTACTAGTTGAGATATATTAGTTTCGACTAGATTTTAATAAGCGCTGATATTAATAATTACATTATGTCAAATTAATTGCAAAATACTAATGAAGAATCTATCTTGTCTATCCTACTGTAAATTAATAACAGAAAAAATTAATAAGCTCATTATTATATAATGAATATTTTGCAATTCGTTTGTTGAATGGATTAGACTTATTTTAAACATTGAAATTTTTTTTATTTCCACTTGAATATTTTATACATGACTAGCATTAGTGGATTTTATCCTTCTCAATCATAGTTAAACTAATAACAAAATTATTTCAAAAAATAATAAATAAAATTCTATCTGTTAAATATGTAAGCTTTTTTATAATTCTTTTTTTATACAAAAAAAAAAAAAAAATTTATTCAATTTATTTTGAAAATTTAATATATTATTATTTATACTAATAAAATAAATTATAGCGATTATTTAAAACTTGTTGCACTCTGTTGAAATAGTGGCTTTTTGAAGACTAGCGCACTTGCCCGGATTTCAAGATTAAATTGATCAAATAATTCTAAAAGACACACGGTTTTACGAATTTTTTATATATATTTAAATGCAGCTAAATAACTATGGAAAAGCCTTTTTTTTTAAGACTCAACTGTAGTATTATTGACTGCAAACAAATGACTGGGTGCATACAAATAAACCTAAAAGAAAATATCGTTCTTTTGACTCTTTTTATCATTCAAATATCATTTTCACACAAAAACCATCCAATTACTTTTTGAAATCATTTTTATAAATAAACTATGAAGTCAAACTGATGCCTATTTTTGTACATTTCTCATTATCTCTTTGAGATCCATTAAGCAGAAAAATCGATCGAGCAATTAATAGCAACCGGATAGCAAGTTACTAATAATAATAATGTAAGTCAATTTTTTGCGATTATTAATTATTTTTACTCTTTTTTGTGTTTCTTTAATTTTTTTCGGAAGAGTAATACACTACATAAATAATTTTTTTTTTCTTAATAATCTACAAAATCACGACAATTGATTCTTCTTTAATTATGTTATCATTCTGATAGCAGTAAAATTACATTAATCGTCCTTCAGTGTATTGCATAAGTACCAACGGATATACTTGAATCGAATATTTTCATTAATTTCAGAAACAAATTTCCATTCTCTCTGTTTCAAATTAAAGTTTTATCATTAACCATAACTTAGTTGTCAGATACTAGAAAAGCTCTATATATTCTTATTTCATCCAGTGAGATATCACATTTCTAGTTGGCTGGAGAATAATTTTGTTGATTGTTGCATGAATCAAAACTATTATGAATCCTAACTGATTCTCACGATTCTTTATTAACTACCGTGGTATCCGGAACCGGTTTGAATCTTCGGCATCTGTAACATATTTTAAAACCTTATGTCAATATTTATTGATAAATAATGCTTACATAATTCAAATTATTTTTATTCAAAATTGTAACAATTCAATTTCATAATATAAAAAAGAAAACTGTTGAGAAATATTACCTAAAAAGTAAATAAGGTTTTAATTATAATATATTGTAAAATTTTATATAATGGAATCGTTTTGCAATAATTGTAATTTACAGAGAATAATTGTAAGAAAAATATGTACGCAAATTACAACCAAAATTAAATAGAGATTTTTTTAAAGAATAAATTTGTTTTGATAATCATGAATACTATTTCTAGGTAAAATTTTTTGGATGCTTCAAATATAGTCGAATGAATCAATATACATGAAAAGAAACCATAGTAACAAGATATGTAAACTAATTTATGAAACTAGTGTAAATTCAAAACTATTTCATGTCATTCACTTTCCTATGAAGCTAATCTATATTAACCCGATTTAGATATTCGCGATTTAAAAAATTGACCATTATTTTTATTCTATTATCTATCTATCTAACAATCAATTATTATCATTGTTCATACAGAACTTTTTGTAAATAAAAATTTTCACTTGAACATAATTATAAACAAATATACCAATTAATTAATTAATGAATTAAAGATGTTAATTAAAACAGTTAATGGTGCATGAGGTTTAAATATGTCAAATAAAATGATAAGTGAAAAAAGCTTAAAATTCATATAACATTAGCCATACCTAGCATTATTTTCAGCCACATGAGGCGGTAATGATGAAGGTGGTGGTGGAGGCTGCGTGCTTGGTAGACCACTGCTATCTGAATCATTATCACTGCTTTCTTCAGTTCTTTTACCTGAATCTAACAAACATGAGGGTACGCCTCTAGTATGAAACCAAGATAACATTTCCGATCTTGGCTTCCATCTTGGTGGTCTTGCATTTATTTGACTAGCATGTGTTACATATTTCTCACTTTGCCTGCGTCTACGTAAAGCTGGAGTACATCCAGTTAAATTTTCCTCTTCTGTTGAACTAGTTGATGTTAAAGGTGGCACATTCGGTCGAGCATCAGGTAATGTTGCACATCGCCTTAAGGTTGGTGTTTCTGTCATGTGAACTGATAGTGGTTTACCTTTGGTGACTAAAATTTATTAGGGTTAGTAGTGTATAAAAAGCTTGATCTGAAGCTCTATGTCAAATGTGTAAACATAACTTATTAATTATTTACAATCAATAATGAAATGATTAATAATTATTAAATTTATTAAAGAATTAAAAAAGCATTTTGCTATATAAAATTGATATTAAAATATACATGCAATTTTAAGTATAACAAGCTTATTTACACAAAAAAATTTAATATATTTTTTAATAACTCACCAGAATTTTTGTCATTTAATTGAGATGATGTCGTTAAAGATTTTTCTTGATCATTTCCTGTACTAGTTTTAATATTAATATTGGCATCAGCTATAGGCTCAGATAAAGAACATCTTGGACTATTGACGAATACAGGAATTTTGCTATGAACTTTTTGAATTTCACGTTCTTTATTGTGCTTTATTTCACGTAATGATGTAGTATTTGAAGTTGGGGTAGTATTTAATGCAACTGTTGATTTATTACTCATATTTAAACGACTTTCCGTTGCATCGTAATATATTGAAGGTTCTTCCGGACCAGGATTTGGACTAGCTGGACTACCTGTTGTACCATTTGTCAATTTTTCTAACAAATAAAAATAATGATCAATTTAAACACCTTAGTATAGAGATAATTGATTAATGTTATTGTCATTTACTTGTAATTAATTCTTTATCAGCACTAGTTTGAACAACCGTAGTTCCACCAGTAGAATCAACAACTCTTATTTCTAATCTTCCAGCAACAGCTCCTTCTTCTTCATCACATACTGGAGGCTCTTCCGTGGCTAAAGTTGATGTAAATGCAATACTTGGAGCACTAGCACGTTTATGTTCAGTACGTTTTTTCGGTTCATCATATCGTTTTGCAATATTCCACATAACATCAACTTCGTAAAGTAAATCATCGAATGCTGCTTGTTGAACCTATTTTGTAAAGTATTATTATCCATATTGATAAACTAAAATTTTCTTAATATTTTTATGAATATATACAAACCAAAGGTGCTTCTAGATGAGCACGAACGTGTGACGCCAGCGCCGGTACGCTCCAGGCTCGTGGTAAAGCGCCTTGAAGGTCTGGATAGTTTTCTATACCTGTAATATTTAAGCACCGATGACGTACACCTGTTCGTGGCGAGTCTTCACTTATTCTTGAAAGTACGGTTTGTATTGCTAATGCAGCATTCGGTGGTGATGCACTTGACGTCACTGATACTGCTTGAGCAACGGAATTTTTAACGTCTTGATTTCCAACTGTTAAATTCGCCATGGCAATAACTTCAGTGTCAACTGTGGACTATAAATATAAGTTTGTAGAAGAAATTTTGCTTATTTTTATTTCAGCTCGGATCTTAAATGACCTTAATTTTAACATACATTGATCTTGTAATTGCATTCGTTATTTTATGATTATATATTAAATACAACAATCAATTTCGAAATAGCTTTTTTAACTTTATTTTAATATTTATATTCGACTATGAGAAGTAAAAAAATAATTAATAACATTTAAAATACATAATAAAAAAGACTAGAGATGATTGACTCATGAATATATAAAATCAAACAAATCTTTAATAATCAGTTTTTTCTTCAAAATAATACATGATCGTAGAGTTGTCTTTTTTGAACTAGTTATTAATCTCAAACTTATTCTAATTGAATTCATAAAAATCAGAGTTTTAATCTTCATTCTCGTATAACTGAATTCAGAAGAAATCAGTCTTAAGTTCAATGACTCGATTAAAAAATCATTTACTTTTATTTACATTTAGATGTTAAGGTCATCTAAGATTAAATCATCATAGTACACAGTAACAAAAATCTATACTTCAAAATCTATTTCGTAAGAAAGAATTTTCAAAAATTTCACTGTTATTAAATAGTACATTTCATGCCTAGGGGGACAATTTGACTAGCTTAAACCACGTGTAAAATTACAACCTGAGCCGAAGGCGAGGGTGATAAACACGTGGTTTAAGATAGTCTAATAGTCCTCCTTAGGGCTGAATATAATTTTTCGTCATACCTGCATGGAAAGTTCAAACCCTCTCTAATGGAAAAGTGAACTTTCCACGTGGGTATGACGAAAAAATTTTGTCATCATTTAATTTTTCATTAAAAGTACATGTGTATTGAAGAATTTTTAATGCTTTATATATCACTAATTTGTTTTCAATAAATAAGAAAGAAATGTATCTATGAAAAATATAATAAATTATCTATGCTCATATAAAAAAAATCCCTTTCGGTAACAAAAAATAATTGCTAAAAAAGAAGCCACCATTTGTAATCCAACTAAAAGTAAATCCATTAGTAAATAATCCTACAAAAACTAAAATTTAAAGAATATATTTTTATATAAAAAATTAATATGATTATTAATGATGAAGATTGTTTTTAAGCATTAAGCAATATTTTATTCAGTACTCAAGTACACCCTCAACAACTCAAAAATAAAATTATATATTTGTTTAAATGAAATTAAAGCAATATTTTTTCTAATATTATTACTACAGTTATGATTTACCTGAGGTAATATAGTTGATACAGTACCCTTGTGCTCTGGACTCTGTAAATTATCTCCTTTCCATTCATTATCAGTTTCTTCAGAATCATCAAACTGTGACTTCCACTGGGATGCTAATGTAAGTCCACCTCCACCACGTGTGACTTGTTGCAAAGCCGACACATTATCATCATCAATCTGTGCAAATTGTGTTATTGAACAATCTCGTATTGCTGAACGACCTGTCCTTGCACGTCTTCGTGGCTCTCGTCGCATTGGTTCACGTTGTTCTGTTACGGGACTTTGATTACCAGCTTGTTTTGTATTTGTAACATCATAAGAACAATAGGAAGCATCAACATCAGTTTGAATTCTAGGACTAGGGGGATCACCAGGATTCGTTTCGGGCAAAGCTACGACACGTAGTCTTGCAAAAGTAGCTCCACTAGCAGATTTTCGTAGAGGAGCTATTGTATTAGCAACTGGTTTAGAACGTGGCACTTCAGAAGCTGAGCGTGCTGATGCCATTAATGCATCACCTTCTTTGTCAACGGGTTTATCAATTGGTGGAACAGGAGATTGTGTTTCAACTGCCATAGATACAGCACGACGTTTTTTTGGTGATATTTGAACAGGCAGTACTGACGTTACATCTTGTCCAACTGGTGGATGAATATTATCTGTAATTTGTATCGTTGCATTGCAGTTTTTGTCCCGGCCCTGATGACTAATTGCAGGTGAAAATGGAGTTGGAGATCCATCATTGCCTAGTAGTAGTCTACATATGCTTTCAATATCCATTTTTGCCTATAAATTATTAAAAAAATATAGTATTCTGTTCTTCCAACACTTTTAAATTGTATTCGTTGTATTTTTGATGATATTTTCTTACCTCTTTTCTATTATCCGGTTCTACATTTTCTTGATTATTTGTATCTACATTTGGAGTTGTTGGAGGATGATTAATAGTTGTTGCTGTAGTTAAAGCAGGAGGTAAAGTAACTGTTGGTAAGGATCTAGTTGTAGGTAGTCCTTCATTGGCTATTAAAGGTCTTTCCCAATCATAGGGATCATGAAGTTTTACACCTCGCCGTTTTATACATCTTTCAAATAAACCAGCAAGCATTGCATAATCTGGTTTGTCTGCATATTGTAAACTCTGTTGGAAATTAAATGGTTAAAAAGGTACTATAACTCATTAATTAAATAAAATATCAAAATTAATACCTGAATATGTTCTAAAAAAAGACGTAAATCGGATGGAAGATGCTTTAATAATAAGCGGTGATCGTACTTTTCTTTTAAAGTACCAACCTAACAATAATGATAGATCATAAGTGAAATAGTTAGAACATGATAAAATAAATATCTTAGTTTTTAACATATTTATTATGACAAATATGGTAACTTTACCTGTTCTTTGTCTTTTATTTTCCGCCATGGCAATTGTCCATTGACAAATTCTACAAGCATATAAAATAGTGACCACAAATCATCATGCCTACCCATTTCTTTATTTTTATGAGCATTAACAGAAGCATATCGCACTGTTCCACGGAATCCTGCCGCGGCACGTGCAGGACGAACTTCCCCAGTGCTAGTTGTGAATTGTCGAGCTAGTCCGAAGTCTAACATATAAACCATTCGACTATTGGATGGGTGACGACCGATGGAAAAATTCGACTAAAAAAATTAATAAATTTGTTGTCAATGAAAAATAAGTAGTACTAATAAAAATAAATTACAAATCAAATTTAACTATATAATCTAATGATAGATATAAATTTAAAAAGTCTATCCAAAATTAAATGTCAAATACAACAAAATTAATTAAAATAAAATTGAAAATTTTCAACGGGTTTTTGATATTTAATTTAATTATTAATAAGATATTGTTTATACACCAACTTTCATTATTGAAATTTGAAAAAACTTACAGGTTTAATATCTCTGTGGAGGAAGCCCACGTCATGTATATTCTCTATTGCTTTTAAAATTTGAAGACCGAGTCGTAAAGTAGTTGACAAAGAAAAGGCACCTCGAGGCTGTGCACGTCGTAATTCCGCTAAATTTTTACCTTGTAATTGCATCACGACATAATTGAATCTATCATTTCTACCACAGCCTATAAAGCGACACACATGTTCTTTACCTGTAAAACAATTAATTCCATAACAGTGATATATAATTATATATATATGTATATAAATATAATATTGTAAATGTAAAAATAATATACCCTGTAATTTTTTTAGAACAGCCACTTCCATTTTCAGTACTTGTTTTGGTTGTCTGGCGGACTCAACTTTGAGAGCTACTTGTTCCTTCGTAAGTAAATCGAGACCTTCGTAAATTTCTCCAAAACCACCTCCACCAATCTTTCTCATCTATATTTTGAATAATATAAATACATTTAAAAAAAAAATTAATTGAATATTTAAGGGTATTAACGATATATTCAATACTAAGTATTTGTTTGAAATTATGTTTAGATATTATAAATGCCTGTTAAATAACGATATTGATGATTAATTAAAATTTATTTCGAAAATAGTGAATGAGAAGATAATTACTCAAGAATCAACAAAATTTCAACTCACAACTTTCCATCGCTCTTTCACTACATGGCCTGGCTGCAATAAATCCTCACTCGTCATCGTGATGTTGTTATTGTGATCGGTGCTATCGTCGCCTACATGCCTTAATTCTAACTTGTCTGGATGACTTAGATACCTAAAAAATCCGAACGATTATTTTTATCAGCCATGACACTCTAATGAATCAAACTAAAAAGTTAATATTCAAGGACTGTAATTAAACATTATTAAATTACTTCTATGCATGCAATCAATGAGGAAAGTTTACTCATCACACCCTAACATTCAGTTAATATCATTAATATTTAAATGTAGTATAATAAAAATTGTCAATAAAATTAGTCCACTTTAGGCAGCCATGACTGAGGGCGGATAGTGGGTGCAGCTAGTTACAGGGGTTGGTTTTTATGAAACTTTTAACCACTCTTTATAGACTATTATCCGAAAAAGTATTAAATAATCTGTGTATAAAATAAAATACAATAATAAAGTCATTTCAAATAATTGATAAATTATATAAAAGTGTATTTTAAGATAGTAGTTAAAGAATAAAATAATTTTACGAATAAGTATTCAGCGTAATGACAACGAAATGATTTCTGTTTTTTATTTAACACTAAAAAAAAATCTTCTAGTAAATAATGAAATTTTAAAATGAAAACTTTTTATTCTTACTGACACCGTTGTCTTTTGAAATAAAAAAGAAAAAGTTCATAGTGTTTCGACTTTTTTGTTCACTTTGTAATGTCATTATTCACTCTGTATCAGTTTTCTCATTATTGAAACATCAAACTAACTAGTTTTTAAACTTACTAATACTTAAAATATTATAGTAATAATTCATTTACTCATTAAAAAATAATTATTCGTGATAATCGTTCCCAATTTTAGAGGTGGTAATAGAAATTTATTCTTAAAACTTAATTTTCGTACGAGCACCGTACGAAATACAGTCAATAGACTATACGACAGCCATCTTCAAACTCGATTAGTTAGATCGACGTGGGAGGGCGACACACACACATAAAACCCTTTCGTCGCGTTTTATAAATCTAAAAAATCTAAATACTATCCTGTATTTTGATGTATGTATCTTTCTTTGACTATACTCTACGTAAAAAATGTTTCTTAGTACAATTTTTTTTTAAAAGATAATTATTCTTTTTTACTGACAAATAATTTTTTTTAAATTACATCAAGTAAAAAGTGATTGAAAATGTCATTAATGAGTTATTAATAAATGAAAATCGTTACAAAATCACGACCTCTGGAATGATTTCAATTATAACATAAACTAATGTTTATTATTTATACATATACATAGAATACATATATATACATATATGTTGCACAATGCAACCTAAATGCAGAAATCACTTAGTATTTCCGGTATTTGAATCAAGGTAGTTTAGATAAAAAAAATGATTTTATCATAATATTCTAGAGAACATTGAAAACAAATGTAATAATTTTTCAATGACAATCAAATAATAATTAATTTCAAATTATAAATGAATGTAAGAAATACTAAATATTAAATGATGTAAGTACAGTCTTTGAAAAAAACAAAATATAGACAGATGAAAGTTGTAATTAATGTTGAGTTTAATTTCAGAAAATTATCTGCTCCAATATACGAGTTATAGAAACAAAATTGATTTAACAGTTTTTAAATTTTCTACTGTTACGAATAATTTAAAAAAAAAATTAATATTTAATTAATGATCTTTATCTTACTTTAGTATATGGCAATATATATTATATTATAATATGTACTTTGTTTATGCTAAAATAAACATTGTATATTTGAAAAATATACAAAAGTGTAAATATATAAATATTGATTTCTGCAAGTCTATTATTCATAAATAATCGCTTATAATAAGATAATAAATTTTAACAAACGAAATGTATTAACTGTATGAGTTATCATAATGAAATATCTTTTTAGCAAACACTATGAATTATTTTATAGAATAACACAAGATGTAATATTATGAAAGTTTTTGAATCACGTGAAAATTCTATCTGAATTGAGTGCAACTCAAAACCACTAACAACATGGTCTTATGTACATTTTTATTTTTGAAATATTTCAACATAATAATTATATTAAGAGCATGAGAAAATACTAAAGTACAATACTATAAATAACGTGGTGTAAAAATAAAAAAAGGATAGAGAAAAATGCTTAAAAAAGGTTTTAAGTTATCTTAAAAAATGAATAAATTATTGTACTTTCATACGACATTTTATATCATTGTATCAACATATTATTTATAACTTATGGGTTATATTTCTATAAAAGATATCGAAAATTGAATATTTAAATATTGGGATCAAAAATGAGTTTTTTCAGTATTCAAGTTACCGACTGCTTTCTACAAATAAATACAGAGAAATGTTTTTTTTTTATAAAATATGTATATCTTTTCAGCACAAAACACTTGATTGTATTCTATCATATCCTTATAAAGATTTCTGCAGATTTATATTATTTAGTTATTTTATTGTAAAGTTAGATAACTCATAAATATCTTATATATTTACAGATGTTTCAATTAATTATTATCAATCATCATGTCACGTAAAATTGTCAAGTGTTAATGTACATGAGTCAAAATATAACTTTCCAAGAAAAATACTTTTCTCAAAGTTCATGGCAGTTTAAATCGACTTAAAAAAAATCTTACATTATATTTATTCTTTTCTCCTCTACTGGATAAAATTTTTCATATAATTATACTGCGATAAAATAAGATTAAACTTAACAACAAAATCCAATAAATTGATGTATAATAAATATTATTATTTACACAATATTGAAATTGTCTAAATAATTATAAGGATAAAGAAAAGTTTTCGATTTTTTTATAAAAATAACATATTTGTTATAATAAATTTAACAATTACTACACTCTCGTCCGGTCTTTTGTATTCTCAAATAGATACTGAATTAAGAGAAAAGAACCGGTTAAAAATATAGTCTTTATGGATAAATTAATCCGAAACGTTTCAAATTAATAAGCTTGAATTTTCCATTGTATAAAAACAATGTTATAAATAGTTTTTAAAAATTAATATAACATTTACTTATACTTAGTAGACATTGTTTTCTTGAAAATTAAGAATAAAAGAGTAAAATTATTCGTAAGTTTGTGTAAATTAATTGAACTTTATCAGATTGGTATGTATGGCCTTTATTTTCTATTGAATTATAATTCTGTGTAATTCTGAAAAGAATACCTACCACTTCATTCTTCTTCAATTGTAAAAATTAATGTGACACAAAATAAAAAATTGAAAAAAAAAACAACGTACTTTATGTAAAAGCCCGCACTGATCTACTTATGAGTAGTCAGAGGCATACACGAATTCAACTACATAAATATAAGAGTGGGTAGAAATGTGGAGTAAAATAACTTGACCACTAGAATGAAACATTTAATGGACGTCGTGATATAGCATTTAGATAATATAACTATGAAAAAAAGTTCAGCACTAATTTCAGAAATTTTTATTCAAGCTTTTGAAGATGTTTATCTTATTTATAAAAGATATTCAAATTATTCAAACAACTAAATAAATAATATTCTGAAATTTCAACCAACTTAATCAAGATGCTATTTCATATATTATAAGAATTTCAACTTCTACATAATTATAAAACTTGTTCAACTATTTACAAATACACTGTCATTTTTACATTTAATTAATCTAAAAATCATTTACAATTTTTTATTTTTATATCTTTCAAGAACTGTGTATACATAGAGATATTGAACTACACTTTTATTAAATAACTTGCGTTATAGTTGTGAATTCTAGTTAATTTCAGCTCTAATTTTGTACATGACCTAACTTTAAAATGAGTTTGGGACAACATTTTTCTTGACTTGAATTAAAAGCCTCCCATTTATTTTTACAATATTTAGATTAGATCTATTGATCAATTAATGTCTCATTAATATTATCTGACTCTAATTCATTGATTTTTTATCTATAAAATAATAATTACGAGCTAATTAATTGTATTATTATAGTAATATAAATTCAATGACATTGTACCAATTACAACGGTTAAAAATATTAAGCATTAGTTTATACATAATCATAAAAAACACTAATTTCATATAAATTTGAATAAAATTTATTTTTAATTTGTATCGGCTTTACTTTGATGTTCTCGTAAGGTCGAATAATAATATTGTTTATTTATCATTTGTTTACAAAAAATTAGTTTAGAAAAAATTTATTCAACCATTATAAAACTTCATCACTTTGAATGTGTATATTTAGAAGAAAGGAATCACTTGTTTTTTTCATTTTAAATTATCGAAAATGTTCCACCATATGTATTATCAATTTATCCTTCAATATTTTTATGTTATTATCACGTAATTTTAACTTGGCATCTTGGCATGTTAAAAAACATTTTCGGAGACTGGTAATATTTTACGCGGTATTTTGCTTCGAATCTGACAATATTAATTTAGTTATAAAATATTAGTCTCAGATGGCGAACTAATCGTGATTAAAAAAACAACGATAAATATCATGGATATTGTCCTTTATTAAAAAGTTTGTTCTAAACAGAAATGAATTTATTTGAAAAAATTTTTACTTATAAAAAAAATGATTATGGAAAATAATTCTCCAAAAAATGGCATAAGGAATTTGTTTTTTTTTTCAAAAGTAATGTTACTAGAATGAATTCTAGTGAACTTATTTATTTGATGATATTACTCTAAACGCGCCTTAAAAATCGCTCGATCGTTAAAAATTGAAAGGCGATTGACAACACACGAGGTTGCTTTATACAACGTCCTTTGTTTGACATTGATTCATCATTTTATTGAATTAATACAAATCGTTTGAGTATTCATCGACGATTATACTAATTGTCATTTGTTAAATTATATTAAATATATAACATAACTTAATTTAAAATTCGCGTGTGGTTTAATTTTTTCTCAAGAAGTTATTTTTCCATTAATATGGCTTTAAATAAACTCAGCGTTGACAAAGTGGATCTTGCCGGTAAAAGAGTATTAATAAGGTATAAGATAATTTACTAATTTATAATAATTATTTTATTTTAATATAATAATAAATAATTACTGTTATTCGTTCATCAGAGTTGACTTCAATGTACCACTCAAAGAAGGAAAAATTACTAATAACCAACGAATTGTTGCTGCCTTGGACACTGTCAAATATGCTCTTGATAAAAAAGCTAAAAGTGTTGTATTAATGTCTCACTTAGGGCGACCAGATGGTTCAAAAAATCTTAAATATACTTTGAAACCTGTAGCAGATGAGCTCAAATCTCTGCTTGGAAAAGACATTTTATTTTTGGATGATTGTGTAGGACCAAGCGTTGAAGCTGCATGTGCTGATCCTGCACCTGGTTCTATTATACTTTTAGAAAATCTTAGGTTCCATGTTGAAGAAGAAGGCAAAGGTGTTGGACCTGATGGTAGCAAGGTAATAGTTTATTTAAAAATAAAAAGTACATGATATTTAACACTTTTCGTAATTCAACTTATGTAAGTTATTTTTTTAACTATAGACGAAAATATTATGAATAATATATTTCACATCTAAAAAAATACATAATTAGAGATAACGAGAATAAATTTTAAGTGAAAAAATATTTTTTTCATTAGATCAAAGCAGATAAGGACAAAGTGGCTGAATTTCGTGCATCTCTGAGAAAACTTGGTGATGTTTATGTTAATGATGCTTTTGGTACTGCTCACCGAGCTCACAGTTCTATGATGGGAGATGGTTTCGATATAAGAGCAAGTGGTTTCTTATTGAAGAAAGAACTTGAATACTTTGCCAAAGCTTTAGATAATCCAGAAAAACCATTCCTTGCAATCTTGGGTGGAGCTAAGGTTGCTGATAAAATACAATTGATCAATAATTTATTAGATAAAGTTAATGAAATGATCATCGGCGGTGGTATGGCTTATACTTTCCTTAAAGTAACTAAAGGAATGAAGGTAACTTAATCAATTTATTATAAAATTATTTCTGTAACAATTATGTCAATTGTACAATCTTATTTATTTATTTTTAGATAGGAAATTCCCTCTTTGATGAAGAAGGAGCTAAAATAGTTAATGATCTTCTAGAAAAAGCGAAAAAAAATAATGTTCAAGTTCATCTTCCTGTTGATTTTGTAACTGCAGATAAATTTGCAGAAGATGCAGCAGTTGGAGCAGCAGATGTTGAAGGAGGTATTCCAGATGGATGGATGGGGCTTGATGTTGGACCAAAATCACGTGAATTATTTGCAGGTACTTCATTGCTATAAGCAATGACATAACTGTTCCACAATATCTTTTTAATATAATTTATTTTCAATTATTATTTGTCAGAACCAATCAAGAGAGCGAAAGTAATCGTTTGGAATGGACCTGCTGGTGTCTTTGAATTTGAAAATTTCAGTAAAGGAACTAAAAGCTTAATGGACAATGTAGTTGAAGCAACAACTCGAGGAGCTATTACAATTATAGGAGGAGGTGATACAGCTACGTGTGCAGCCAAGTGGAAAACCGAAGATAAAGTTAGCCATGTTAGTACTGGTGGTGGTGCTAGTTTGGAATTGTTGGAAGGAAAAGTACTTCCTGGAGTAGATGCTCTTTCTCCTGCATAAAAGTATTTAGATTATATCGTATTATTAAAAAGAATATATGATGTAGATCGTTGTATCATTGTATGATTAATATTACATTCAAATGTAAAATTTATTGAAGTTCGTATTGTATGTAATAAGTGAAATAAATAAAGTAAATTGGAAATATTAATATTTTTTGTTATTTTTTTCAAATATTCAGTAAAATCGAATAAAATCCACGATTTACTGTGTTGAATTAATTTATAAAAATATTTTCCTGAAGACAGTTTTACTATGTACAATAGTAAAATAAAGAAAAATATTAAATAGAATAAGAATCTTAGATAATTACCGAAATTTACATTTATGCATTTATGAGCATCAGACACTATTAAATATTTAATAAATAAGTGGTAAGTAGTTGATAAATTGGTGTTTTCTATTAGTCATGGAAAAAATTTTTTATAATTGAATAAGTATTATGTGTAATTAACATGAATCCTATTATTTTAATTGTTTCAATTAAACAATAATTTTATATACAATTATTATAAAAAAAAAAATTACTTATACCCTTTTTAAACCTAACGTTACATCACATTATATTACAATTTTGTAAATTCATATTAGGCGGTAAGATTGGATTTCCATCAGGATCAAATTGTAAATTTCCAGCTTGGTCTCCTATTAATTCATCAGGCGGTTGACCACAACTTTGCATGTCGTGCATTAGTGATAACACTTTATCAAATCTTTGTTTTTTAACATCTTCACCATCATCATCTTTTTCGTTTTCCAATTCTCTACATACCTAAACAGAAAACGTCAACATTAATTTTGTGATAATAGTTAAACAAATGATAAAAACCTACTTTCTGCATAAGATCAAGTTGTTTAGTAAATCTGTCTAATTCTTTTTGAGGAAGAGTACTACGTTTTCCATCAAGCCAAGATGGATATTTATCAACCAAGTCTTTTAATGAAGGATATAAAACTTCCTTTGATAATAATGATTGCATCATTCCTTGCATAAAAGGAAAGAAATCATTACTGGAGTCATCAAAAGATGTTTTGGCAAACATGGCAGCAATTTCTTCTTCAGATATCATTGGTTCACTATTCTGAAAAAATTAATTTTTAATTAATTGTTATTTAAAATCATATTTCTAAATGATTCAACGTTCAATGGTATTTTATTTAAATTAAGAGTATTTTATATTATATTTTTTTTATTAAATATTATTAAAAGAAAAATCAATGTCATACTTTTAAATTTTCTGATGTTGCAGATAAGTCTTTCAAAGTCTGTGCAATTGCTGCTTGAAAATCAGATCCATCTTCATCATTATCATTCACTGGATTTGAAGATATTGCACTCGCAACTGTGTGTGCCATTTTTTGGAAAGATTCTTCCAAATCAAGACCAGATCCTACATGTAAAATTCAATTCAAATAACTTGTCTTTATTAATAATTAAAATTTACCATTTTGAATTAAGTTTTCGAAATTTTTCTCAAACTGTTCTGCTGTCTGTTTTATAAAATCTGTAGACCATGCCCCATCAGACGTAACTTCTTCCGATGTTTGCTCCTTTGCTTGTGAAGCTATTATTGTAGAATCCGTTTCTTTTCGTATTTGTGATGGTTGAGTCTTATCAAAATCTGCTAGAGCACCTGGGATAGTATTTTTTATCAAATATTTATTCAATTTATTATCAATACTCTATAATATTAATTAAACATGATTAAAACATCATGAAAAAAAATAATAAAGTCTATGATAAAGAAAAATAAATTAAAATTTTTCAGAAGCTATTTGAAATACGTTTTTATAGAAGTAATTCAAAAATAATCAATATTAATAGCTAATAAACAAGATTTTATGAAAATATAGGTTAATTTATTCATAGATGCAAAAAAAAAACATCAGCTCCGAATGAAAAATTTTCTATTATTTTAAAGTAATTATTTTATTATTTTATATTCACTGTTTAATAACTCGTCCAACTCGGGGTCTGTAGATGAATCCTGAGATTTATTTTCACAATCCATTTTCAGTGGTCCAAAAATCAGCAAAACAAGTTTATATCAAAGTTCCTAAAAATGTGATTTGGCGGAATGATGTCTGAATTGATGTTGAAACATGGCCGACTGTATTTTAAACTCGTATTGAATTGTTTGGACTTTAACCACAAAACAACTTGAACTTTAAAGTCCAATCAAAATGATAATATGATCATATGAAAATGTTTTTTTCTCTATTTTACTCTTTCATAATTATTATTGCATCAGATTTTACCTTATGTTCAAGCATTTATTATAAGTTGAGAAATCTTGAGTATGAAAAATATACCTTGAAAATTCATAATTATTATTATTACTCTGTAAATGATTATCTTACTTAATAATAATATTATTAATAATAAATGTTAGTAAACAAATATTTTATTTTATTCAGTCAATAATTTTTTTTTTTACAAATACTTTTAGTTGTATGAACGTCGTTATAAAAAAATTTATCTCTATAAACATCTTAGATTTATAAAAAATTGGCTCTCTTCTGTACAGATTTAGAAGGCGTTGAACTAAACATAGATTCAATATTTTTTTGCCAGTCAGATAATTTTATTTCACTTATAGGAGTCATGCCATTATCAAAATCATGATGGTAATGAGCTTTTTTCAATGGCGTTGTACTACGATTATGTATATTACTAGTGTTATTATGTATACTATAAGTTTGATATCCAGTATCTTGTGTTACAGCAAAGACACTACTATTTTCATTGTGTCCAGCTGATGTTATATTCCGTTGTAATTTATAACTTTCATTTGAATAACTCATATACCAATCGCCTGTATTTTTTAATTTTGTTGCCACACTATTATTTTTGTTCGTACAATCTTGAAGAGGCATGACTTCTCTTGAAAGAGAAATCATCTCAACTGTTTCATTTTTATTGTTAAATGAGTTTTCATTTTTTATTTCATCAATTATTTCATTCTCGTTATCAGAAGCATCTGAAATAATAAAAAAACGTATTAAAAATTAAAACAATTTGTGAAATCTTTATAACAAACAAAATGCTAAAAAATTAGTATTGCTATTATGAACACAATTTATTAATCATTTGTTGTTTAAATGAATAATTTTTAAACATTTACCAGCGATTTTGAAGTCAGATTCTTTTTCTTCAGAAATAGACATATCTATACTCATGTGCCCATTAAAATCTAATTGCATAGCTAGCCGACCTCGAGACTGAATGCTGTGACATGACATATTTTCTGATGACATATTGATTGGTGACATATTAGGTGTTGATAATAACCTATCTGACTTTTTAATAGGCGTGTCATAAGATCTTTGCATATTTAATGGGAATCTCTATAGAATAGAACATGAATGTTTATTTAGATTATTGACAATAAAATTAATCATTTTATAACTAATATTATTACCTTTTGAGGAGTACAATGAACCAGCATGCCACATCGAAGTGGACTAACATTCGATTTAATCGGCGATAAAATTAAAGAACAATTACTATCATCATCTACAGATTCGTCATGATTAAATAATTTCCTTCGGAATGAACTATTACTAGAGCTACTTTCATCAGCACTATCGTCAGTTTGTTGTTGCTGATCTTGATTAAAATTAAAATACGGTTCCAATATTTCTTTTACATGATCCGGAAGATTTGGTGGAAAAGATAATGTTGTTTGAGTCCAACCTTAGGAAATTTAGAAAATTGAATTAATAAATAATAATTTACTCCAATAAAAAGAACATTAAGTAAAACTATTTGTAAGTATAATTTACAGTTTTTTGTCTTTTTTTCGATTTCAGGCGTTGTATCTAATACAGAACTCAAATTTTTCGGAGTTATTGTTATTAATGGCTTCAATGGTTCCCTCTTATTATTCCATGGGCTAGGATGAATCTGATTTTCATAAAAGAATTTATTTATAGCTTCTTGAGCTTTTGATTCTAATTCAGGATCAGTGTAATGTACTTGTTGAACTGGACACTCTTCAATTTTGACAGGTTGTAACCGTGCTAACTCATCAATGGTCCATGTAAGAGGAGAATCTTGAGCTTTCGGTGAAACCTATATCACAAAAATAAAAATGTGTTGTAATAAAATTCTCATTTTTGTTGATATTTATTTAATATACCTTTTTGAAGATCGTTGGACTAATTACAGATAAATGTAATCGATTCGTCAATTCAACATCAAAGGGATTTGAAGCAATAAATTTTGTTACTCTAGATGGCGGAGTAAAATGATTTGAAAGAATAGCTAGTGATTCTTTATTTTCTTGAAAAAGTTTTGATCCATTTTGTTGTTTTAAAGGTGTTCTATGAATTAAAGCACCAACCGATGCTTTCTCTCTTTTCGTAGATTTTTTTACAGGAGTTAATACAATTTCTTCCATAATAATTTTTTTAACGATTTATTGAATCTTTGAAATTTTGAAATAGTTTTTACTTACAATTTGAATGAAATTACAAATATACAATCACTTATATTTGAATGAAAATACTTTTTCCTGCGAGTTTTTATCGTTTCATGTTTATTATTCACATTAATAAAAACTTTATAAAATAAATATTTCAATTATCAAGATTAGCGTCGTGATTGATTACAAATAGAATAATATAGTGTGTGTATAGTTAAGCTAACCAATAAAGTACTGTTCAATTCACGAATGGAAATGTGTCGTTAAATGTGACACGTTATACATACATGAACACATGTGTATGTTTTTGTGTATTGTGATGTATATGTGTGTGTAAAAATCGGTGCATTTGAAACAGGAAGCCAACTTCACACACAAAAATACCCAGAAAAACACCAGTAAACATAGATGTCGTATTGTTGTTGGGGTTAGACAAGTTTTGATGAGAGAGTCATCACTATGCCCTCTTTTCTCAGTTCGATATTGTGAAATGAGAATCCGTCTAAAATGTCTTGTATGTCGCGTGATTTTCTTTATTAGATTATAACTTGTATCTTGGATATTTTTTAATTCAGTCTCATCAAGAAACCCTTTCAAAATTATTTACTGTTAATGGAGTTTTTTATAAAATGAATGTGAACGTAGTTGGATAATGGTTCAAATATACACTTTATATATACATATATATAATATATAATATTTACTTACCTTATCAGTTTTTACAAATGGTTGTAATTTTGGTTTATTTAAATGAATTTTTTAGAACTAACTAGCTGTTTTAAAGTTATGTTGTAGTATAATCAATAAACTAATGGTGATAAGAATGATAAATGTTTCGAAAATCAATACCAAATATATTTATTATCGATTTAATTTAATTAATGAATTGAATAATTTGTGATTAACAAAAGATAGTGCATAAGTGTTAATAAATATTGTTGTTGTTTATTAGCAATATTTATAAATCAATTAAAATGGGGTTACTATTCTCAAAATTGTGGAGTTTTTTTGGAAATGAAGGTCAGTAAAAAAATTCAGTTGAAAAAAATTACATTTCTATTATGAATAATCATTAAAATATTTCGTTATTAATGTATATCATACGCTTAAAATAACATTTCACGTACAATTCCAAACATATGGGTTGTAAATAAATCATCTCAAAATCATTTTATTTTTTAATTAATTAAATATTTCATTACTGAAATATTTATGTTCATTAAATTATTTTAATGGAAGATTTTCATTTTAAAATTATATAAGCTCATATAGAAAGAACTTTTACTTTACTCCATATGATTGAGCAAGAGAAAGTTCATGTCTATTCCATGACTGTAATAAAAATAATATTTATATTATAAATACATGTATTGTTGCCTGATGAAATATTTTTGAAAGTACAATTTTTTAGTAATCTACAATATATTGATATAGATAAATAAAATTTGTCGAAAGGCTTTTTTTCAATTTCAATGAATTTAGGGAATACAAATTATCTACATATTCTACATAACATATGATAATATTTAGAAAGTATGGAAAAAAGTCTTTCTACAAGCCTGTTAGAAATTTATTTCAATGCAATAAAGTTTTTTAAATAAATTTTTTATTACTATTTTTAGAGCATAAAATTGTGATGGTGGGCTTAGATAATGCAGGAAAAACGACAATTTTATATCAGTTTCTCATGAACGAAGTAGTCCACACTTCACCAACTATTGGATCTAATGTAGAAGAAGTCGTGTGGAAAAACATACATTTCATAATGTGGGATCTTGGTGGACAGCAAAGTCTGAGAGCAGCTTGGTCAACATATTATACGAATACAGAATTTATAATAATGGTAATTGATAGTACAGACCGTGACAGATTAAGTACAATAAGAGATGAATTATACTCAATGTTAAATCATGAAGAACTATCGAAAGCAAATGTTCTTGTATATGCCAATAAACAAGATTTGAAGGGCAGTATGAGTGCAGCTGAAATTTCAAGACAACTCGATTTGACATCAATCAAGAAACACCAGTGGCACATTCAAAGTTGTTGTGCGCTTACGGGTGAAGGGTAAAATACAAATTTATTTATTTCATGAATTATAAGTATTTTAATAAAATTGTATTTACTATTGATAACTTTATTTTTAGACTTTACCAAGGGCTTGAATGGATAGTTGATCGACTAAAAAAAACATGACGTACATCATGAAAGATATCCGCTGAAACATTTGCGGTGGATTATAAATAATATTATAAACAAAAACTGTAAAATATGTGAATTTAATGGTAGACGAGTATTCATTAACGGTAAAGGTTGTATAAAATTTTGTTCGATTTTGGCATCCAAAAACAACTGGAATATGTCAATTTTTTGTATTCAATAATGAATTTAATAATTGATTTTTCATTAGATTCATTTTGAAATTGAGTTAAGATATCAGCAGTTCATATCATATTCTCAAAAATATTTCCAATTTTTGAGAAATACATATAATTCTATTAAACATTTAGCTTTATTTTAATAAGTTTCTATTATAATAATTTGAAAATTGTAATTTATACTCATATTTATTTTTTCAAATTGAGAAATACTTAAGGCAATATAATTTTCTGATTTAAAAAATTTCATTTTTGATATTTCTATTATATAAATTATAAAAAAAGAAGAATTTTATCGATTTATTAATAAGAATATTATAACATTTTATGGATATATCGATAATCAGATTAATTAATTAACGGATTAAGCATTATTTGAAATTTTACATGTAATAAATATGCTACTCTGTGATACATCATTTTAATGATGAAACACTTTTTGTAGTTAAATTTATCGATGTGCTAAATTTTTTGTTTTATTTATAAACACATTCGGAGTGAAAAATGTGCAAGGTGATTATAAAAAGTACTGAGTAGCAATGTTATTTTTTTCATAGTTTTGTAGTTTTAAAAAAATTATGAATAAAAATTATAAAGTTTACAATAAAAATTTAAATGATATTATATTTTCATAATATTAATCATGGCTAAAAAATTATATTTAAGTGATAATACTCCAGTTGTTATCCGTTATTTGCTCTTTTAAAATTTTATTAACCTTTTCTAGTTTTTTTTTTTCTTAATATATACTGGTTTACCTATTTGTTATTTGAGAAATCCACAAATTTTTTTATAATCACCTGACATTTCATTAAAATAAAAACAAAATATCTGAGTTTTAGCTTCGATTTTTTATTTGTTTTTTATTACATACTGTGAATACTATAGTAATACATATTTTAATCTGTTTATTCGAGTTATGTGAACAAACTTCAAAAAAAATCTGAATTATCAACAAATTGTATAAACTATTTTCTTTAGAACTGTCATTTTATGTCTTTTCGTTACAAGTGAAGTTAGAATTTAAAAAATTGTCAACTAATTATACTAAAAATTAAAATAAAATTCTTAAATGTCAGTAAATAATATTTCATGCCTAAAAATAAAAAGTAAAAAGCTATTTAATAATCATAAGATAAATAAATAAAACACTGATTGAAAAATTATTAATTTAAGATTATTAAAAGATTGACACTTCTTTCATTGTGGGATTTCTATTTATTTTTACATACATCATAAATTAAAGTATCGCACACACTCATTCATTCTCAATGCTTTTATACAATACGCTAATTATGATTATTATCCAAATCATTCAACTGTCGGCTTTTTAATGAAAAAGCTTACGGTTGAACTAATATAACATTTTTGAAGCATTCAAAGAATTTTGAAGTAATCTAAGTTATTTCATAAAATTTTCTATCATACTGAGGTAATTTAATCCATACTCAATTTATGAATTTTTTTTATAACCACTATCACTGTTCTTTGCTTTCAATTAGTTCTTAGAACACTATTCAACATTTGATCTAATTAACCAACCTTGATTCATGTACTACATTAACTTTTTTTAATTCACAACTATCCATTTTTTATCATCTTTGGTTGGCTATAATCAATGATTCCGAATTAATTTTTACTGAATCTTATAAATGTGTGGGCAGTAATTTTCAACTGTTCTCATGTGGTTAATGGATTGATGGCAAAAATGAATTAATTAAAAATAAATTCATATTTTAATGGATTCATATTTAAAGGGAAATAAAGTTAAGTCGTGTTTTATGTTTTTTTACATACAATTACTATTAAAATATTTCAATTATATGAAAAAAAAAAATTTATAATTAGTGATTGGATTTAATTGTGTCAGATTGATATTTAATAATTATATGTATATATATGTATGTATGTATGTATTAATATAAATTATATATTATATACATATATGTATATACATATGCATGTAATGTAATGTCTAATAATCAAGGAGAATATAATGAGGTAATGAAAATAAAATAATGATTTAGAGTATTGATTGAAAAATGAGTGACGAACATTTTTGTTATCCTTATCATAATAATAATAATGATAATAATAATAACTATTATTGTTTTTTTTTGTCGATTGAAAGTTGATTGCAGTATGCACTTAATGACCTTGAACACTAGGATAAATATACGATTGACATTGTTTAAGCAGCTTTGGCAGCCTTCATCAAGAGATCAGTGCTAAGAGATTTGGGCCTTTCAATTGGTAAACCAAGTGCACGATCCCATACAAGTGCTGCAAGAACTCCTAATGCTCGAGATACACCAAAGAGAACAGTGTAGTAATTCATTTCTTTCATGCCATAGTATTGAAGTAATACTCCAGAGTGTGCATCAACATTAGGCCATGGGTTTTTAACTTTTCCAGTTTCCAAAAGAATTGGAGGTACCACTTTGTAGACTTGGGAAACCAGCTGAAAAAAAATTAAATCATTAATTTATGTTAATAAAATAAAAATTATCATAACAATTTTTTTTTCAATTAATTTTGAACTTTTTTTATTAATTAATTGTTTTTCAAATAAAAACATCTTAATATTGAGTAAAAAAATAATAATTACCTTGAACAAGGCATCATTTGGAAGATGTTTCATTGCAAACTCTCTTTGACAAGTGTATCTAGGATCTGTCTTTCTTAGTACAGCATGTCCATAGCCAGGAACAACTTGTCCACTTTTTAATGTATTCCAAATGAAATCTTTGAGTTTTTCATCAGATGGAGCATCACCAACCTGTGCTCTAAGTTTCTCTAACCAAACCAATACTTCTTGATTAGCTAGACCATGAAGTGGCCCTGCAAGACCATTCATACCGGCAGCGAAGGATAAATAGGGATCGGAAAGAGCTGATCCAACTAAATGAGTGGTATGAGCGGACACATTACCACCTTCATGATCGGAATGAATAGTAAGATAAAGTCTCATGAGCTCAATAAATTGTGGATTGTCATAACCCAACATATTAGCGAAATTCCACGACCAATCTTTTCCGCTGTCAACTGATCCAAGGCCTTTACCGTTTTTATAGACATTACGGTAAATAGTAGCAGCAACTACTGGTAATTTTGCAATTAAATTCATAGAATCTTCGTAAATTGTTTCCCAGTATTTTGATTTATGAACACCACTGCTGTATGCTTTAACAAATTGACTCTCGCTGTTGAGTATCGTAATTGCTGCTGAAAATTGTGTCATAGGATGAAGAGTCTTCGGGAAATCGTTAAGTGCTTTGGTAACATGAGCAGGAATGGAGCTCCTTGCTGCCCATTCTTGAGAAATAGCTTTAACTTGAGCTTCAGTAGGAACATCTCCGGTGATGAGCAGCCAGAAGAGACCTTCAGGAAGTGGTTCAGAACCTCCTGGTGCTTTCGGCAGTAATTTTTGACATTCAGGAATGGATTTTCCACGGAATCTGATACCCTCCTCTGGATCTAATACTGATGGCTCCCATACCAATCCTTTAATTCCACGCATACCTCCGTACATCTGTCATATAACAATTTTATTTAATATTTCTCATGGATACATTGAATAATACGAGATAAATGATATCTATATTAAATGACAAAATCATTACTTCATTGTAAAAGGAAATATCTTTCATGTGTAATTTAAGATCGGAAAAATTCCTCACGCAATGACAACGATATAATAAAATCAATGACATTTAATAGATGTGTAAAAGAGTTATATGTATAATCATCAATTGAAGGATATTAAACAAGGTGACTAAAATTAAAATCTAATCTACTGATAAATTTTTTTTGTAATTGATGTTTAAATAAATGATACAAATTTCTATAAAATTGATCAATAATTCAAGATAATTCCAAAGAAAAGCATTTTCACTAAATATTCAATAAATACTTAATTAATTTTAATTAGAAAAGCTTATCAACATTAATATAATTTTACAAACATAACAATAGTGACTTACCATATCAACTGTGACTTCACCAACTTTAGTGGATCCATGATCTTTTCTAAAAGCTTTAATACGTTCTTGCTCTTTTGGAATTTTTTCAGCAAGAACTTTTTTTAGATCAGTAGCATCTGATAATGATCGTGAGATGATTGGAGAGCTTAGTTTCTGTAAAAAAAAATAAAAAATTTATGTAACACAAAATAATTAAAAATAAATGTATAATAAAGTAAAAGTAATCTGCATTGCTAAAAAAAAATATGAAGTTTATATTTTTATTTGAGTAATAAAGTTGGTCGAGGTGAAGATTTTTATCTTATTAAGCCAGCTCATTATTAAGATATTAATATGACTAATCCTATGTAGATACAGTTGTTAACATCTTAACAATTCAACTAAATATTAATGACATAAAACATTTTAATGAATGAAGGACAATAAATGATAATATTTAGTCAATTTTTACATATATTTAGCTATCACTCATTTTTACTGAATAATTAAAAAGATTTTCAAGTTCATTGATTAATTAACTTTACTTGCTAAATTATTTTTGCATGTTTTTTGACAAAATTTTTTAATAGCACACAATTATCAATTGAATATAGAACAATAATTATTCGATTTGATAAGATAAATAAAAATATAATGCTTAAAGTAATGACAACAATATTAATTCTTTCATGAATTCTTAATGATAACTTCATCAAATGATAAAACTGTTAAGAAAAAAAAAAAAATTAATATAATTTAAAATTACGTCAAGTAATATTATTTAATCATTAACTGGATATAGCTTGTAAAAATAAATAGAATAAGAACTATAATATAAAGTTAGCATTCATCGACAGCTATAAAAATCACGTGGAAAATGATGATCATATGAGTGATCTTTCAATTGACTTCAAGAACCAGATGGGATATTTTTTATCGACTTTTGAAGGAACTTTAAAATAAAACAAATCAAATATATCAAAAAAATATAACTTTTAAAATATTCTTAAATGTATTTAGAAATCAGATTTTACGTAAGCATGAGTGCATAAAGTTTGTATCATTCTATGAAAAAACTTAAAATATAATGATAGTATAAAAAATAGAACATTAACTGATAATACAAGGTGAATGAATAATACTTCACTTATAATTCATCAACATTGATAAAATTCGAATTTATTAGTGTTCATAAGAGTTATATAATGTATTTTCATTACGTTTTAATGAAAGTTCCACCTGAGTTACAAATTGTACGAGTTAAGTCTTACGTCATGAAGAATCACGCGATTTTCAAAGCATCTGTGGCTAAATTTTTTCTTATTTCTATTTATAAGAACAAATGAGATTTATTTTCATTTATCAATATTATTAAACAGTCAAAAAAGAATACAAGAAATATTAAAATAAAAAATATTTATAAAAATAGATTATTAATAAAAAAAATAAAGATTCTATCATTTTTTAACTATGGATTTTTAAAAAATTTCCTTACGTCATTGGAATTTTATTCGAAATGAAAATATAAACTTGTAATGAATACTGTCCACGTGGGCAATTCTAACGTGGTAAATTATGCATACTATATGTACTTGTATGCACCTATAATAATACACTAAAAAGTTATATGAAAAAAGTCTAACCAGTGTTTCTAAAATAGGAATTATTGTGAATTAAATATCGACTCAGTGTAATATTTTATTAATACTAGAATTTATATTAATTTTTAAGATTTATATTATTATTATTTTTTTGGGTTTTTCTAAATATAAATGCAATTATTTAATATTTATTTTAGTCATATAATTACCTCATATTTTAAAATAAAAGAAATAGAGGAATTTAATAATAAATAATGACCAGCAAAAATATTTAATAGAATGCTTTAAAATAATTTAACATTTATATAAGACTCAGTTAATATTTTTGCCATTTATAATTCTTTTCAGCACAATATTACTACAAATCACTAAACATAATTATTCACAAATTTTTAATTTTAATTTTCTTACAATAAGCGCGCTATTAATTGTTAAACAATTTAAAAAAAAATTATATTATTTCCGAGTTGTTAAATTGTTTGATTGAAGAATATAATATAGATGATCATCTACATAGTTTTTTTTTTACACCTTGACCTTGATTATGATTAATATTTAAAATTTCGTCCATGTATAGTATAATGATAATTTTACGACCACGATGTAAATTCTCTTTAGAAAAGAGCCAATACTGAGTCTAACTTTTTCATCATGGTTAATATACTAGATTTCTAAGCTATGTTCGTTCAAAAAACGACACGTGGATTTTGTTATGATTTAATTATCTATTTTTTATCTTATTTTATTTATAAAAAAGAATAAATTTTAATTATTTTAAAATGTAATTTTAAATCAATTTACCAGTTTGGTGGAAAAAAATTTATCAAAAAAAAATATCTAAAACACAAAAATATTTTGAAAGTTTCTCATGACTACCTATAATGAATAAATAATGGTAAGATAAATAATAATGAAGCTGACATATTAAAAACTTTAAATAATAATATCTCTTGACATTCAATCTGTAGAGCTAAATAATTTGGTATTGATTATTTCAAAAGTGATCATTTATACATATATATGGATATATATACAAATAAGTGAGTATGTATAGATACATCTATATATTCATATACATAAAAGACAAGTTAAAAATAGTATTTTTGGCACAGTCAAAAGTTAAGTAATATGTGATGTATATCTTTATGCATCGATAAGAAGATAAAAATGAATGGAAATTTTGGATTGGAATCAGTGAATAGTGAGTAATTAAATTTACATTAGTGGTAACATGATGACGTAGCCCAAATAAAGAAGCTAGTGACTGAGGTCATGAAATTAGTAATCGGGATATTGGTAAAAAAAATTACATAAATCATATGCTGTCTAAATCAATGTGGATTAGGAGAGTAGATCAGTTTTTCGACCTCGAATCTTGCTAATTTTAGTATCACTTGCAAAATTCAAAGCTTAACATCAAGGATAAAAGGAAGATATAGTCTGATTTGTATTACGATATTGATTATTGAACTTTTTACTTCTTAATTATCATTTGATGAAATAACACATTTTGGTGTTTTTTAGGAACACTAATGATGATGATGAATTTAATAGAAAAATTATAGAAATAAAATTGCCATTATTATGTGAAAGCTTGAAATACGATTTAAAACAGTTTAAATAATCTGGTTTACCTTAAAAATGTCAAGAATTATGTAACATTAAAATATTTTTGAGTAACTACATAATGTATCTTTTTTTATTGGATACATCTTCAAGGTTCAGCTTAAAAAAAATGATATGTAAATACTTATTAGTCTGTGGTATTATACAAGTATCAAGTCATGAGCTGACCATTCATCGATTTTCTTTCATCTTTTTTTATTTAATAAATAAAAAATATTTGATTTTTTCTCCAAAACTTAACTCATTTGATGTTTTCTAAAAATGCATTAACTGTAAAAAACAATTCCAAAAAAAAACTATTCTGATGGATTGATTAATAATTATAATTACACATACTGAATAAAAGGCTAGAATTATTTATATTTAAAGCTAAATTAATTTTTTTTATAAAATATTGTAATTTCTTTTATTGAAAAATTATATTTCTATTACGTAATTATTGACATATTTCTGTCACGAGAGCGCATGCATTGAAATTTAGGTTTGTTATGAAGTAAAATTCAACTGAAAATACAAATGGAGTTTTTTTTCTAAATTCTTTCCAATAGAATTTATGATCAAGAACTGAACTGTCAGGCATGGGTCAGGTAATTTAAAACCCGTAGAAACCATGGGAATAAAAAGAAAGCCCAAGTTTAAGAAGTATGAGAATTCAGTCGATAATCTCAGAATAGTATTAAAATGAAGGTGAAAGCATCGAAAAATATTTCAATAATCCAAATATATTATTTTATCACAGCCAAGCTCAATTTATAACTTCTGATATTGGTATTTAATTTTACAGGAATCTAATACAACATAAATATTATTTTATGATAAAATAATTATCTGAAAAATAGATAGTTAATAGTTGGAGGTACTGGTTATTGATAAAAACATGTGAAAATAAATTAAAACTTACCTGCAATTCTAAGCATCGTGCAACGCTCAAACGAAATAGTGCCATTGTCCTTTATTCCAATAATGTACTGAACAACGTTTGGTCCTTGCGTTTACTGAACTTGTTCCTTCGTAATCGACCGAACTAGACCGAACCAACCGCGCAAAGATCTGGCGCCCAACTCGTCCGAAATACCGAATGCTGCCAACACTGTATAAAAGTTATGCTCTTCCTTCAGTAGGCGCATGCGTATTACAGATGAAGCAAAGTATGTATCTACTGTATAAAATGTTCTATACACACACTACATTTCATTGTATTCATCTATACATTTATACTTCTTCTATTCACATGCTTCAAACACAAAATATGTACACATTTTGACTTATACGCATGCGTTTTATCCTTTAGATATAAAATATTATAAATTATTAATTGTTAAAGAGAAAAAAGTTTTAATAATAATTATTTTCATTTTTTCAAATGTTTTATCGAGATTAAAAATAAGTAATTAATGTTCAATTACATGACATCAAAAAAGTGATATCATAATTTATTATTAAAAATAAGTCTAGACAAAAAATTCACTGATTGAATATAAATAAATAGAATTTATATAAAAGATTAACTATAGCTATTACTTCTTTTATAATTATTGTTATCAATTACACTCTATATTTGAAAATAATTCCATCACTATCTTTCTAGCTCTTTAAATTATTACATTGTATATGCTTGGAGCAAGGTTTAACTTACATTTTGTCATCATTTCTATCATCAATGAACAATGGATGCTCCACAAAGTAATACATTTCTAGAAATTTAAAATAATTTGATTCATGATTCAATCAGTTCCAGCATCTGCTTTATGTCGAGCAATAGACATCAGCATGTTTGAATGTTGTTTCCGAATGTGTATTAGGATACTCCATGATCAAGATGTTAAATTTTTTTTTTTTTTGAATTCTACTACATTTGTCATGTTATTTAAATATTCAATTAAATCTATATTATCTTATCTTTTACAGATTTTTTTAAAAATAATAATAATAATAAATTACTAATAAAACATCACTAAATTTGGTGATTTACATCTTTATATTATTTATTGTAAATCATTGGTATTGAAAATGTAGTTTTAAACGACAAATTCATGATTATTTTTCATACTTTTGATCTATACTTTCTTTTGAATTTTGTGAAAGTATAATTAGAAATTAGCTCAGGATTTATGATAAAGTTTGTATCATGGCTATTCTCTTTATACACACATCTATACACACATAGGTGATACAGATCTGTATACATATATGTATCCATAACTGGAGATATTTGGAGAGCAAAAAAGCTCATAGAATTACATAAAATGACAGATTTATATATTTATCTTGACAAAATATTCGCCATGTGAAACATTTGTTATTTTTTTAACTTCATTGAGTAATATTTTTGTAACACATTGTATGAAACTTCAAGTTCTATATCTAATGTAGAAGTATGTCATTGCTCCAATTTGTAGTTATATATATTATTATTTATAATAATAATTTAAAAGAACTTTTATTATTCTGTTACATTGATCAAGCTGAAAGTAAATTTATGAAATGATTTAAAATAAATTTGTATCGATAATACTTTTTTATTCTATGGATATTTCAGCATTCTTTGAGGTTATTCATTAGAAATCAATACTGTTTATTTTATATCAATGGATTAATAAGATTGATTCAAAAATGTCCTTTTTATTATTGTTACTGTAAGAATACCGAATAACGATGTAAATTGTTTCATAAAAACAAAATAAACAGAAAAACCTATGTTGGAGAAAATGGAGTTTTTTTTATTTTAGATAACAGGAGGCGCTTTTATTAGTTAACCTTTTTCCCACTGTTCTTCTTCTACATAACGTTTCAAATCTTTATTCCACCTAACTGAAACACTGAAATCTCAAACGTGCACGTGAGTCGGAGTCCGGATCAGTTCCTCAGCATACATAGCCTAACTTTTCAACCAAAAACGTTTTACTTGTACTAATAATTTAAGTAAAAACAGTTTTACTTAAAAAGACAGCTTTTATCAGTCTTTATATTCTATTAATTTAAAATTTATAAATATTATAAAAATTCAATTATTACAATTAATATATTCCTGTGAGTAAAATTGAGAAATGTCTTGGCTACTTGGATCTCGTTATCAACAACAACCTCAAGATTTTTCTCAATATGTACAACCACCGGCTTCGGGAGGAGCAGGAAGTGGAGATTCTGGAGATCCTCCTTCGAAAAAAACTGCCGGCATGGAAGCTTATAGATTTGATTCAAGTGCTCTTGAAAGAGCTGCTGCGGCAGCTAAGCAACTCGAAAAATCTCGTAATTATATTTCTTCTATTTTATTAATTTTTTTTCTCTTTTTTGTTTTTTTATTTAAGTTACGTAAGGACATATTAATTCAAGTTACATGACATTACAATTTTGAGAACTGATAATACATACAATCGAGTTTTCATTCATGACCATTGCTAAATGTGAGCATGGTAGCATTAAAAAATTACCATACATATTACACACGTGTTTGATCATCTGATGCAATAGTACTATCATAGTGTCAACATAATTTTCAATTTTTATATAATTTATTTTAATTAAAATATTGAATAATAATGAATATTCTTTTAATATAATTCAGCTCATGCTAAAGAAGCTTTAGAATTGACGAAACTTCAAGAAATGACAAAACAGCAAGAAGTACAAAGTCAGTTAAAACAATATGAAGCTAGCATAGAACAATTAAAGCTGGAACAGAAAAAAGTTGATGGAGAAGAAAGAAGAAAAACTATTGCTGAAGAAACTAAACAACATCAGATGCGTGCTCAATATCAAGATTCCTTAGCTAGAAAACGATATGAAGATCAACTCGCTCAACAACAACGCATGAACGATGAGAATTTACGTCGTCAAGAGGAGTCAGTCGCAAAACAAGAAGCGATGAGAAAAGCTACGATAGAGCATGAAATGGACTTGAGACACAAAAATGAAATGAGAAAATTAGAAGCTGAATTAAAGGCCAAGGCAAAGATAGACCGAGAAAATCAAGATCTTAATTTGGAACAGATACGATTGAAAGCATCAGAAAATAGAGTTACTGTATTGGAATCTATCAAGTGAGTTTCCAGTTTTTATTATTGTTAAATGGATTACTTTAATTTAAAATGAATTTAAATTTAAAAACAGATATTATTAATCTATAACAATAGTTTAAACTTTTTATTAAATACATTTTGATATTTTACTACTGTTTTTAGGACTGCTGGTTCCGTCTTGGGATCTGGAGCCACAGCATTGCTTCAAGATTGGGATAAAATCCTTGCTGCTGTAGGTGGTTTATCACTCCTTGCTTTTGGAGTGTATTCAGCTAAAGGCTCAACGGGTGTTGCTGCTAGATATATTGAGGCTCGTTTAGGGAAGCCATCTTTAGTACGAGAAACTTCAAGATTCTCAGCTTTGGACGCAATTCGTCATCCAATAAAATTGGCAAAGAAAATTCAAGAAACTCCATCTGATGCTCTATCAGGGGTAGTTCTAGCTCCAAAATTAGAAGAAAGACTACGAGACATTGCCATAGCTACTAAAAATACTAAACGAAATCGTGGAATGTATCGAAACATTTTAATGCATGGACCACCGGGTACTGGAAAAACGATGTTTGCAAAAAAACTTGCACAACATTCAGGAATGGATTATGCTATTCTAACTGGAGGTGATTTAGCGCCATTAGGTAGAGATGGTGTGACTGCTATTCATAAGGTCTTTGATTGGGCTTCAACTTCAAGAAAAGGTTTATTATTATTTATCGATGAAGCTGATGCATTTTTGAGAAAACGTTCAAGTGAACATATTTCAGAAGATCTTAGAGCTATGCTTAATGCATTTCTGTATAGAACTGGAGAACAGAGTAATAAATTTATGCTTGTACTTGCTTCTAACACACCTGAACAATTCGATTGGGCAGTGAATGATCGTTTAGATGAAATGGTCGAATTTCAATTACCAGGTCGTGATGAACGTGAACGTCTGATAAGACTTTACTTTGATAAGTTTGTTCTTCAACCAGCTACTGAAGGCAAAAAACGACTTAAAGTTGCACAATTTGATTATGGTGCACTTTGTAGCAAAATGGCTGACATAACTGAAGGTATGTCTGGAAGAGAATTAGCTAAACTTGGTGTTGCTTGGCAAGCAGCTGCTTATGCATCTGAAGATGGAGTTCTCACTGAACAAATGGTTATTGACAAATGTATGGATGCTGTTAAACAACATAAACAAAAAGTTCAGTGGCAAAGTGAACAAGAAAAACAAGAATCTAAATCAATTTATGCTGGATCTTCAGACAGTATACAATCAACTAATCAATTAAAAAATAAAAAGCCACTATTGGCTATTGAAGATACACCGAAAGAAGCCAGTGTAGCAAATGCTTAATATAATTTTGTACATATAACATGATTAATTTTGTTAGTATACAACTAAATATTTTTTTTATTTACTGAAAAAAAAAATAAAGTTTAAACTGAAAGACGTTGAATATTATTTATATTAATAAATTTTATTTACTTATTGAATGCACGCATAAAAATTTATTAAATATTTTTTCTTATTGAATAAATGATTAACCATAAATTTATTAAATTTTACAAGTACTTTTTGCATATTTTCATATAAATATTTATTTTAATTAAAGCATTATTACTACATAAACAATTGATTATAATCATAACAATAATAATAATGGTTGAATTATTATTGTTATTTAGTTTCAATGATAAATTTAAAATTGCATTGTGGAATATTTGTATGTAATAAAATTATTACAAGATATATAAGCGTAAAAAAAAGAACCTAAGATTTCAGGTAAAAGAAAAACATTGGAAAAATTTTAAGCCATTACTAAAAACGATTAATTAGTAATTTAAATATATATATAAACACATATTACCTATATAAATTCGAATATTTTTTATATAAAATTGATAAATAACTTGAAATAATAAATTTTTCCAATGAAATTTTTTTGAAAATCTAAAAATATTACGTAGAAAAAGTAAAAAATTAATATCAGTTATTTTATATCTCTTTTATTTGCAACATTTAATTATACTTTGACATTCTATTTGTTATAATTAATATTAATAAAAAATAAATCTGGACTTGATTGAAAAAATAAAATAAACAAATATATAATAGTTATAAATTATTCATAAGTTATTGTTATGTTTGACTGGAGGTTGAGAAAATTTCAAGTGTATTTACATTGAACTGAGTCTATCGCACCTTTATTAATATATATATACATTCAATAAGTAGTGGTTGATTAGAAAAAAAATATATAGATGGTATTGTTTTGTAAATAATTGAAATTGAAGTTAATTTTGTCTGTATAAAAAGTTCAATCAATTACGATTGATAATTGAGTTTGAGTAAAACACTACATAGTAAAATTACAAAAGGTACGATACAGCACTGGATACTGACATTATTACAATATTATTTTAAAACAGTCTGATACTAAATTATTTTTGTGTTAAGAATGCATTTTTTATTCAAATAGTAATCAATATCATAATTTTTTTCAAAAATTCATGAAAACATAAAAAATAGTGGTTTATTTTTATTTAATATCATTAATTCTATACATAATCTGTATCTACATAGTCTTAGTTCGTAGAAAGAAGTACATTTGGTAAATTTTTATTAATTTATTTGATAATTATCCTTATTTTTAATTAATTATAAATATTGTTTAGAATTCATGATAATAACTTTTTTTTTTTGCTTTTTTGGGCTAGATTCTTTTTTATTTCTTTTCATAATTATTAAATTATTCTGCACTAATGTAAATCTTAAATAAAATTATTAAGAATAGAAAAATAATTAGAGTATTAGATTTTTTTTTAGTTTAGGGTCATTAGTTAAGTCATTCGAAGAAATTTGAAATACTTTCTTTCATTTGTGGTATAAATAATGAAACTGACTTCTCAATCATAAATTTTTCAAATACATCTTTCAAAAACTTATGTTTTCAATTCCTCGTATTTTTTTTTTCATGTTTTATTTGTGCATTATAATATTGTTGTTTTATATACACATGTATAAATGTATACATAAATAAATAAAATAAATAAATATAGTTACAGATAAAATGACAGTTCATTATAATGAAATAATTTTAAAATAGCGCTTTAGTTTTATCATAAAACTTATCATTTTCTAATTATTCTTTTTATGTTATTTAGTTAATATACATATTTTAATTATCACAAAAAATGAATATAATGGTTCTTATAAATAATAATCTTTCCTTATATAAGGTGACATTTCAATACAGTTGAAAGATCACATACCACCAGGTTTTGGAAGATTTGTGTCATAAGCTCGTATCACATCTGTTTGGGTGACTGAACCACCTTCTTCTTGCGAAAACGCAAATCCATCTATCAAAAATACATATTCTTCAAAATATATTCCAATTTGTAATTGAATATTTATTATTTACTTTTCGTCTGCATGCCGAAAGAAAGTAATATATTTTGGAAAAATTAACTTCTAAGTATAATTATGAAGTAAAAAATGATCATAAAAAGTAGTGCTAACATTCAATTATTCATCCAATAGAATCTATGTGTTATAGTTAAATTTTAAATAAATACTAATGAAGCATTGTGAGTAAAACACATTTGTGTATTGAATATGATAAGAAAAAAAATATATTAGATGAGTTAAAGGTGCTGATAGCGATGACTTACGTGATAATTCAACTTCAACATTAACTCTTGTAGCTGCATTGGATCGTCGAGTAAAAACACTTTTAACATTTTTCAATAGCCTTGCGGTCTCCGTCAATCTGTAAGCCGTGCATTGTGATATGTTTGAAATATTGTGTATAAATAATAATAATTATTGGTACCATTGGTGTAACCAATTGTTATTAATCCTATATCCTCGATGAAAATTTATTATTGTGTTCCTATCATTCATCTTTTAAAATTCTCCTATTGAATCTTTTTATTTTTAAATAATTATTAATGATATGTTGTATTAAAAATAACGTTTGTTTGATAAAAGTTTTTTTAATTACAAAATAATGTCTAATTATTGGTATATCATGTGAGCATTAACAAGATAGTGGAAAGTTGATGTGCTGATGTGAAAAATAGGCAATAAAAACATTCAGAATAAAAAAAAACTAAATGCTTTCATGCATCCATGCAGAATTATATTAATTACATTCTTTTTAAATGACATCAAAATTTCGAATAAGTGATTAATATAATATGAATTACATTAAAATTTTATTTCTTTTATAGAGTACTTACACCTAGCGAGCTCGGCGATTGCATGCACAGGTCTGTACAGGTTACCACTTTTAAAAAGTATTAAAATATAAGATATTTATCAACTCTTTATAAATTTATGTAAAATGTGTGTTCTTCTACAAAGCATTCAACTATCGTCTACTTTTTTGAATTTATTTATTTCTTTTATGAAGAAAAAAAAATTTTTAATTGCGTAATGAACGAAAAAGTCAGTCAGAAGATGAAAAAATCAATGTTAATAAAATTTAAATATCAATAAGAAGTTAGATACATTGATATACAGCGATGGATAGTTTAATAAATAAATTCAAATAAGTATAAACAACACACAAATGATTGTGTAAAAATTAAATAACGAATGTAAAAATTAAATATTCAAAAAATAGTATGGAGCCAGAAGGACAATTATAATTAGTTCAATTGCACGAAATATCCATTATTTAAAATAATATTATTATAAAATAATATCGAAATATGATTACATATAAAACTTATACACAATAATAAAATAAAAATTTTTAAAATAAGATTTATTTGTAAAAATTCTGAAAGCTTATTCAATTAAATTCGTAGATATATGTATAAATATATTTATATAAATATTACTATTTTAAGAACCATATTAATATTTATTATAAGTCATAGATAGAAGAAGTCTTAGTTATTTTTAACCATACAGAACCTTTGTTGGAAGATTTTATTTATGATTAACTGAAGAATTAATTAAATGTTAATTTGTACGAGACTTAACAGTTAAAATTTTTAAACTACTATTTTCAATATTTTTAGTAAAATAATTTCTTTTTTAATATTTTTTTATTCAAAAAGTATTTAACATTATTGTATATTTAATTTAGTAATTAATGAATTTAATAGACAACTTCATTAATAACTTTTGAACTCAATAAAAAACTGTGATATGGAAGAATAGCATTCAAAACAGATTGACTTAAATTAGAAAAAATTTATGTAAAAAACTCTTTGTGAAGTTCACTGCAAAAGTTCACACACACAACAAATAATATAAAGAAAAATATGCATGATTTAACGAAGTACTGCTTACTCTATTGTTTGTATTAATTGATGAACATAATTAATGAACAATCCTATTTTTGCAAGCCATTTTATCGTTTTAACTTTTTTTTTAAAGTCGTTTATTTTTGACTAATTATTTAAGATGTACTGTAAGATAAAAAGCGTGTAAAATTATTATTAATTCGATCAAGTTTATCAATGGAGTTGTCTAAAAAATAGATAATTACTAAATTAATTAATGGTATAAAAATTTTTTTAGATACCGAAATTCTTATTAATCATTTTTATTATTGATAAATTCTAAAAAATTCAATATTAACCACTTTTTGATGTTCAATCATTACCATCTGTTATATAATAACAATAAAATGCAAAAAGTTATACTTTAACTTATTGAATATATAACTGATCGAAATAAACATCGAATCAATCAAGGCAGTATAATTATTTACACTTTGTATTTTATTGTAATGAATTTTCGACTAAAATTTTTGATTTTATTACTGTTTATAATATTTTTACTTCAATGTCTTTTTCATGTAGAAAATTTCTACATTATAGTAGTTATTTTTATAAAACAGCGTACAAAGGTTCTAAAGAATTAAAAATAAACTTTATATTTTACAAATATATAATTTTCACAAAAATAAATACTGTTTGATAAAATTTCAAAGTCAATCTCATTTAAAATTACCACTAACAGTTTAAGGATAGTTTGATTAATATTAAATTATATCAGAAAAACATTCTTCACTCGAAAAATATTCATTTTTATCAATAAAATAATAAAAAATATCAATAAAAACAATGAAAAACAACAACAACATCAACAACAACAACAGCAACAACAACCACCATGGTAATAACAATTAGTTGTTTAATTAATCAATTCTTATGACATGATTTATTTCACATGCGCGCGGCGAATAGATAGTACGTTGAAAATTGTGCGGAAGTGAAGGAGTTCTAGCATTTCTAGAGGAAACAGATACATCTTGCAATGGACCGGTTTGTGGCTTGAATGATTGTTGAAGCCATGAACGACGTGGTATAAATTTGAATGGACAAATCTTCAAACGTCGTTTTCGTCCGGACCGAAGTACGCATAAACACCGATTCATAATATTCGGAACCATCTTTCTTGAATTCCTGCTATTTTTATCAATTACTCTATGTTATTAATTTCTATTTGTAAAAAAAAAACACACAAATACTAAATTGTGTTAAAAATAAAAAATTTTAACATGAAAAAATCATAAAAATAATTCATTAAACAAAGCTTACTATATACTTTTATCAATAACGTGAGTACGTAATGGAATGATATTGATTTTTTTATCTTTTAAATTTTATCCTGCTTTAAATAATATGAAGTGAATTCTTTGGTATTATGTAAACATTAATTTTCTCTTTGGAGTGAAAATTTATTTAAAAAGTAGATGAAACTTACGAGCTCCTATAATCTTGATTTGTAAATAAATCTCCTGGATCAGATTTTTTAATCTCTTGTTCTCTTGCCGCTTCGGTTAATGATTTAAAAATAGTATTTTTCACTCTGTAATAAAATGAAAAAAAAATTTATTAAGAAATGTTTTTATGGTATGAGTACTTAAATAAAGCTTTAATATAATTATATTAAGTTTTTAATAAATTAATTGTAATGTCAGTTTATCAAACTATCTCTATCATATTCATTTCAAGGATATTTACAATCTTTTTGCTTTACTGTATCTACTGTAACCATAATTATCAATCTTTCATTCTTATACAACTTCCTACGATTACATCTGCAACCACTTTACTTCCTAATTGCACTCATACTAGAGCATCGAGAAACTTCAGAAAACTTATATTGAAAAACTTTAGAAAAATAGTTTGTAAGATTCTTCTCGTTGAAGAGATGAACGCGCAATTTGCTGCATGCTAATTATTTAATCACTAAGTCAATACAATTCGTATTAAATAATAATAATTTCAAAAACTTACGCTTTGACTGTCACATCAATAAGTAAAACTGCGGTAGGTATTAAAATCAGACCCAACCAGAAAACTGGTGATGAAAAAAGCATTTTATCATTGCCCAACATTACAGCACCAACATTTAATACTGGCCAGAAGTTACTGAAATAAATATAAAATAATCTAATTAATCCTTCAATGAAAAGATAAAATAATAAAAGAAAAATTAAATATTTTTATCAATTATTATATCTTAATTTTAATTATTATTTTAATATTTATTAACAACTAATATAATACTAATGACTTAAATAAAAAATTATATACCTGTAAATGAAAATAAATAAAAACCAAAGAATGATGGATCCCCACGTTGCTAAATGAGTAAACCACGTCCAAGAGTTTGTGACAAGTCCTGCTTTTCCACAAACTGTTACCACCACGTACTATTGGAAATAAATAAAAATAATTATCATATGTCAATGTTTTAAAAATAATTTTATAGTCATATGGTAATTAAATATTTCTTAAGCACTTACTGTGTATACAAAATTTCCTAAAACTATATATCCACCATCTCGACCGTTTGCCCATATAATTTCATGTTCTAATGCCAATAATGACAGCCAATATAATAGGGATGAATGAACCAATGCATTCAAAATCCAAATCCAGAATACCTGATGGATAAATTAAATATTGTTAATGCGAAAAAAAATTATGCAAAGTATTAAAGAATACCAGTAAATATCACGAAGATATTATTAATCGTACATATGCTAAAGTCATTACTTTATAAATAAATAATAGATATTGATTCTTAATAAATTGACGTTATATAAATATATAAAAAAAGAAGCAAGTATATTTAAAATTCATAATAGTATAACCAAATTGATGTACTTTAAATATTTAAATCTACTTTATAACTAATTCTTTATTATTTATATTTATGTTTATCTGTTTGATTTAAGTGTGAATATATTAACAAGCTAATAACTTGATTAAAATTTTATTAACCTTGATATTAAATGTTGATTCGTTCTTGGCAGCATATAATCTTGGATGAGCTAGATGAGTTTCAGCAGAGCAAACTTTATCGAAAAGACCCATTGCAAGTGGTGGTGCTGCAGTAAAGATTACATTATAAATACCTATAGACCATCTTTCAAATAATATTTGTCCAGACCATCCTGAGTACATCGCAAACCATAATTCGATAACATAAAGACAAATATTTTTATAAAAAGAATATAAAATAAGTTTGCACATTCTATTATAATTCCATGATCCATGTACAAATAATAATCGTTTTAGAAATCGGAATTGGGCAATTGAATAGTCTGATGCACAGGCAGCTTGAAGTCCTTCAACCCCAGAAATTCCAACACCGATGTGTGCTTTTTGTATCATTGCTACATCATTAGCGCCATCACCAATAGCAAGAGTAACAGCTTTAGTATTACTTGTAACCAAATCAACGACTTCAGCTTTTTGCATAGGTGATACACGACAGCATATGACAACTTTACAAGAAGTACATAAATCTAAAAAATCTCTTTTAAGATCACAGGAGAGAGCATATTTCAAACTATTCCCGTCTATAACTAATCCAACGTCATTTTGGCAACGTAAATCTTGCCCAAAATCAGTACAATGTTGAATAATAACATCACGGGTTTTGTCTAAAGAATTTTCATTTACAATAATCAATGGCATTGATTGTGTTATTAAACGACATGAGTATCCAATGTTTATAGCAGTCTCTTGTTTATCTCCAGTTAAAACCCAAACATTAATATCAGCTTGAATAAGTGCTTGTAACGTTTCGGGTACTTGATCCTGTAGATGGTCTTCAATAGCAGTTGCTCCTAACAATGTTAATTTAGTTTCAATCAAATCAGCAGCTTCTTCTAATTTTGACTCTTTTCCTGATAATGTGGTTGAAGCTTTATGATAAATTTCATGCCACCAATCATATCGGGTTTCCGGTATATCAGCAACTGCAAAACATAAAGTTCTCAAACCTTCAGAAGCAAAAGTTTCCAAATGTTCAAGTGTTGTTTGTCGAAAATCATCATAATCATCAAACTCAATGTCACTTGTTTCAGTAGGCCTTGATGCCAACCTTTCGTATATAACAGAATCAGCACCTTTACAAAATATTTTTATTTTACCTTCAGGAGTTCGTACTATAACAGACATACGTTTACGTGCTGATGTAAATTCAATAACATTTAGAATTTCATAACGCAATCTTTCACCCAAAGCAACAATTTCTACATATGCGGGGGTTCTTATATCAAAAATATACCCAAACCTTCTTGCCCCATCAACTAAAGCTCTTTCATCGGGCGATGCTGCGTGATAAATAATTTCATCATTTACAATTTCAGGTATAACTGTATGACAAACAGATAACATTACCATAAATTCATGAATAAATGCTGAAGAAATTAATTTCTTTTTATCATTTCCAGTTAATACACTGTTACTATCTTGTTTCATACGACTTTCCATTAAAGTTTTTACTAAATCACAGTCAAATGAACTATTACCAGGTGCTGAAAGATTTGGTAAATCATATATTTTACCAGCTATTGAACATCTTTTAAATTCCATAACATTTTTTGTAAGTGTTCCAGTTTTATCAGTAAACACATAGTTTACCATACCAAGCTCTTCATTCAAGTTACTTGTTCTTGCCATTGCAGGTGTATTAGATTCAGCATGATACATTTCAATATCCATATTGATAAATGTCGCTTGAATATATCTCACGACTTCTAATGTAACTTGGAGTGATATTGGTATTAAATTATTGAATAAAATAATAAATGTAAGGAGATTAAATGCAAAATTTTTTGTCATTGCATCCTGTAGGCCTAAATACCAGAGACCAGACTGATGAGCATTTGTCCAGAGAACATTAAATACAGCTGAAAAAAGGCACAGTAGAACAAGAATAAAAAAAAGCATAAGCACTTGGGTGTTTGTTAAACGATCTAATGTTGAGCGTTTTAATGGTGCTGTTGCAGTATTATTTTGCATTAATTTTGTATCATGTCCAGTGTAAATTACAACACCAAATGCCCACTTGGTATTTCTTAATATTGCTCCACGTAATAATAATTGATCTGGGCCTAGGGCAACACTTTTTTTGTTTGTCTCACGTAAAATACCATTGAATTCATAGAGATGACGATTAGGAGGTTCGCATTGGATATTAGCATGAAAATTCATCAACTCAGCAGTATCAATGAGCGTAGATGTCTCTGGATGAGCTTGACGAATTTTTAAGTTTGTTTCCCCGTCTAAGTTAGCTGTTTCTATGAATGATATTCCTTGAGGTTCAGATGATGATAAAAGGATTAGATCAGCAGGAAAAAAGTTATTGTTATGGACTTTAACAACATCACCTACAGCAACTGTATACCATTGAATCCACTGCCATTTTCCATCCCTTAACACTTCCACTTTCCTTTTATTTATTTCATCATCAGCTCTATGTCTTTTCTGGCAAAAAAAAATAAATTTTTAATTGTATTGTAATTTTCTAATTAAATTCAAAGTATTAATATCTAACTTTAATGTTTATTTTATATTAAAACCGATATTTAATCAGCCATAAATGCTTTTATTTAAATTTTATTATAATATTTCAGTACTTACAAAATCTTCTACTATTTCCTTGAGAGCTGATACACTAAGAATAAAAATAAGTGGTACGAGAGTTGTATATCGTCCTGTAGGTGATACATCAGGTATTTGCTAAAACATTCACAATATTATTATTATCATTAAGGTTATTATATTAAAAATAGAAATAAAAAATATACTTACTTGCATAAGTGCTATGAAGAGGAAGAAACAGTTACTGTATCGACGAAATTGTTCAAAAAGAAAAGACGGTATGAAAGAAAGTATAGAATATTTAGCTGTTGTTATATGATTATTTCTATATTTGGCTGGTTGATGAGGAGCATTTACAAATACTATTCTTTCTTCTTGATCTTCCTGTGGTACTGTCTGTCTATCACCATTTTGAGATCCATTTTCCGTTCTACTACTACCTACTAATTATAATAATTTTTAATTAATCAATCAGTTCATAGATTATCTAAAGTTTTATAATCATTCAATGTCATTGAATTCATTGTTAAAATCGATTTATTTAATTTTTGAATAACTTTGAACAACAGCAGAATTGTCATCAATCAAATAATGTATTAATATATAATTTGTCAAATTAAGACAATTAATAAATACAAAAATAATAATAAATGAATCAATTTATAAATATCCATTGAAATAAATAATTATGTCTTTTTATTTGATAGAATTTGATATGAATTAAAAAATTTTGTAAGGTTATAAATAAAAAACTTACAATTGTGTCCATACAAATAAAGTCTCCAACGTGTCCTTAGTTCATGACACCATTGAGTAAATCTTAGATTGATCAAATCCATTATATATTTTTTTTGCACTTGATGATAATTAGTAATAAATATAGTTTCAAATTTTTAAACAATTTTCACGAAATTTTTTCCATCAGTGAATATTAAACATTACACTCATTGTATTGATTCAAGTTTTATCATAAATTCACATGATTAAATAATTCTGATATCTACATACACACCTTAATTACTGATAATTAATAAAACATTATCACTTTTGGAGTTTAAATAACTTTATTGAACCGATAGGTGACTCAATCTATCCAAAATTTCCAAATTGTATTCGAATTAATGAAATTTTTTATTTATTATTTATATAAATAATGTTATAAGTAAATAGATTGATCAAAATCCTAGCTCTTATGAAGTGTTTAAGAGGTTTTAGAACGACAGAAATGCGCGAGTCGCATCAATTGTGTGATATCGAGTAAGAATTAATCTCCTTCAGTTAACTTACACTTTTTCCACTATCAATGATATTTAAAACTTTATTATCAGCATTGAAATGATTCACGTATTTTTTTTTCAGTTAAATATTTTCATTCTCACTAACACGTGTTGACAATTAAATGTCTATTTACTTACAAATAATACTGCTAAAGGACATTCTAAATACTTCGTCATTTTGACAAAACTCAAAACAAATTTAAAAAGCTTCCGAATAAAAAGCAAAATAAAAAAAGATAGATTAAAACACTTGTCTACATATTACGTTATATATTAATCATAAAACAACGTCAATTAATCATTAATTTGCTTCATATAATGAATGTTAATTTTATTATTAAAAATTCGTTGTACTAACGAAATAATAATAAACGAATTTTATTATCAATAAAAATGAAAATAACTAAGACAAAAAAAATTAAGATAAATTAAAATAAAATAAAATTATAATTATACGAAGTAATTAGTTGTATTTATCTATCATTGTGACGTTTAAAACTATTATCATTATTATTGTCGCCACACCCCATTTTTTATTTATCAAACAATTTATGACAACTAATCAATATAAAAATAAAAAATTAACGTAGACATATCTTTATTTTGAAATGTTTATCATTAATATACATTACAGATATTCTATGAATTCTAATTTTTCGACTAATTTTGCAATCAAATCAATAAATATTATACATACTAGATAATTTATTATCTATTCACTAATACTGAAGATAATTCAACAACGGATTATACTACGATTTATTTCATAAATAATCACATAAAAGTTTTATAATTCTTGTACACATTGGAAAATTAGATAGAAATGCACAATTATTATTCATTATTTACGATGTCTTGTGACTTACAGGAAGGATAATAGTGAAAAATTATATCTACACAATATTACATAATATGTGTAAAAACAAACATGATGTATATGAACGTGCGCATTTGCTATAACAACCATGTCTAGCTTGTCTCATTTTAACTTATATAAAAGTATAGTAGTTTTTAGTGATCATGGATACTGTCAAGTTTTTATCTAATCGCATGCGCGTCGGCAACAAGTTGATAATGCAACATTTCTATAGTTTAGGTAACGTGCTGAACCCTACTGGATCTTTTCAATAACACTGATAATTTATTATGGATGGAATGTATACAATTTTGAATGTTTTTTGAGATAAACTCCAAAACTATCAATAATATAACATGTTTTTTTATTTTTTAAAATAATTACTAACTCGGAATGAGTTCAGGTATATTGAAGGATAGTGGAGATAAAATTATTTACGAGTGTTTGTCGATAATAAAAGCGACAGTTTTATTCCGAAATTATAATAAAATGCTAAGAATATTGCTTCATGAGCAAGATCGATACGATATATTCGATTTTACACATTGCATGTCAAAAGATATTCAGCACTTGCAAAGATTAGAACGTAGTTGATAAATTTGAAAAGATATCTTTTCACCAATTAGATAAAATATATATATTATTTCAATTTTATATGTTTATATTTTCCTGTTAACTAATAACCAATTTAATTAATCATAATATAAAATATTTATTTTATAAAGTTAACTATTGTTTATAAACATTTGTTAATAATTAACAAAATTGTCAAATATTGATTGTTTTTTTTTATCATTTTCAATCTATTACAGAAAAAAACTATTAAGGAACTATTGTTTATTTATTATTTATTAAAAAATGTACATGTTGTGTTAATAAATTGTTATATAAAGAATAAAATTAAATTAACTACTTAATTTAATGAAACAAACGTGGAATCTGATAAAGTATATTGAGGTGTGATAGGTAAATTTTTTTATAATTTGATTAAAATCTTGACCATTACAAACAATGAATTCATTGACCGCATTTTTTGAAATGAAAATATTAAAAAAATTAAAAAAAAAATGTTCATAAATACCTGGAGGTTGTGATTCTAAAGTATTAGATTCTTCAAGTTCAATGTGTTCTCGAGTTCGTCTTCTTCTTTTTCCTTCCTTACCTCCACCTCTTATAATACCACGAATAGAACCAATTCGAAGGCTAATGTTATCAACATTATCTATATTACTCAGATCGATTGGACTACCAACAATATAGGGACCAGAATCGGAATCAACAACACCATCAGCTGTTACTGGTACATCTTCTGATGTTATGCTATTGATACTATTTGTCTGGTTAGGTGTAACAGTTCCATCCATATGAGGTATTGATGATAAATCAGGAGGCGTGAACGGGCCTGAGTTTGACACCCGGGTGTTTCCACGCGATGACGTCTGCATCGACTCCAATGATACCTGTAAAAATGTTCAAAATGTCACTAAACTAAATTATTTCGTAATATAAACAACGAACACATTCTCCACTACATCTATCTATCTATCTATCTTTTATTTCATTTATATGGAAGGTCATATTCATTATTTGTAAATTAACTCGGTTATTAAAAAAAAAAGTTTTAATAATATATTAAAAAAAAAATGATGTGACAAAATAATAATAATTTAAATTTAATAAATATCTACGTATTCTGATAAAAATAAATAATTATAAATAATTACTTAATTATTATATGCAGAATGTACTTACAGGATATTATTTTAACTAAATGTGTTTCATTTGAACTGACATTCTGTAATGAATTAAATATTCCTTGTTACTTCTATAAATCATGATTAAAACACCAATAATATAATTTTGAAAACTATTAAAATAAGTCGAAAGTATTTTTATAGTAAATTTAAATGTTTTTAACAATTAAAAGTATGATAAAATTTAGAATTCGCACTAAATGTAGTTCATACTACTTGATGAATAAGACTACATGCACGTGGTCGTATTTTATCTGTATAGTAGTGTAACGGTTGTTTACTTTTCAACGCTGTATGCTGCACATGTATTTTCTACTGTTATACATATATGATTTCCTGTACTATACCATAAAAATTATTCAATTATGAGTCAGCATTCTATTCATATAAATTGCACTAATAAATAAATTTAGCTATAACAATTTGTTCTACTTTAAAATATATACATTCAATAATGAACAGAAATAAAGATAATTAATACAATGATTAAATATGGTATAGTATGTGTCCCACACTCAAATCTAGCATACAATTATGAATTATTTGTCTAAGTCATTAGAAATTTCGAATTACTTTAATAACTGTAAAAAAGAACTTTCAACAAAGAAACATCTAATTATGCACTAAAAATTTTTCTTCTAAATAACTCCATTATACACAAAAACTATCATCACATTTTTTTTTTTTTTTACATACACATAAACTCTTTTTATTACAAAAAAAAAAAAATTAGCAATAGCTTTGAATAAAAATGACTTTTTATTATCTATCGATTTGAAGTGATAATATAATTTCATAAATAATTATAAAATAATTTAGAAATAATATCTTGGTAAATACTCTTACCTTGTATATATTTTAGAAAGAAAAAAAATATTACATCAAGTAAATTGGTTTTACAGGTATTAAATATTTATAAGTTAAGAAGCTTTTAAAAATAATAAGCTTAAATTTTTAATATTTAAATTAAAAAAAAATTTTTTACTAAAATTTGTTATTATTAAAACTCAATCATTTTAGTTAAACACAAACAACTAATAATAAACAATTTATTGTAATTTTTATGTACGTGTAAATTGATGTAAATTCTATTGAAACATATCAAGTCTTTTCTACTTGTTTCTCGAATACAAACTGAATTTGTACTGTTCTGTTCGTATTCTTATCTCTAGACGCACCTTTTTCCGATCATCAACCCAAGTTTTACTTTTTCCTCAAATAAAAGTCTACTTCACTATAGATGTTATCATCTTATCAGCTTTTATATTACTTAGACATCAAAACTATGTATTATATATATATATATGTATACATGTGATTCACATTAAATAACAGGTAAATATTGATTGACTTTCATCAATCATTAAATGTCATTTTATCATTTAATTCCAATATCTTAACAAGTTATCAGTACAAAAAGTTATGTAATAAAAGCCATTTAATGATTAAAAAAAATATAACTGATCTAAATAACGTATTATTTAGATATATATTTGAACAAAGGAGTATTAAATATAATATTAATATATGACATTATACGAGAAATGGATTGAATAAGTGAGAAAAACAAAAAGGTCGAGGACTCGCGTGACAAACTTAATATAAAAAGAATTGTGATATGGATGTATATACTTTAGTTATTATGTGTATGGATTTATATGTAATCAAGTTCAAACTTGTACAATGTATTTTAATGTCTCTATTAGAACACCTGAAAATCACTGTTTTGTCAGAAAATCGAAGGGGAATTAATTAATATTAACACGATTAATCGATGATCGTTTATGACTTGAAATCAAACCTCTACCTTGTTACATTATTTCTCATCAAATCGATAAAATAAATTAAATGATTTCTCTTTTTCTTTGTATCACTTACACCTACACTCATGTTATATATATCCAATCTATAATATTTACAATAATTTATTTTTATGTTTAGATTATTTATAATATTCATTATTTGTCTTTTAATTAAAATTTATTTTAAAATTTAAAACAACATATTTTAAATGTTTGTGTCTTATTGTTTATTAATAACAAAAAAGAAGAAAACTATGTAATCAAGTTAGTATAAACAAATGTAAAAATACATTTATCTATGTACATATTTTAAAAAAAAGTCGATATTTTTTAATTTAAACTAAAATCTAAATAAAAGAGACCTTTTCTAATATTCAAACTGTTGATTAGAAATTATAATTTCATTATTATTGAATTGTTATTTAAATGTTTTATTATAATTGTATAATAACTAATTTAAATAAGAATTAAATATTACTACTATGCAAAAAAATTCGGTAATTTACTTTACACCCTGAAAGTTTCGTAACAGTAAAGATGAGGCGGGTCTATATTTATTCTGAGGTGCTTACGTCACATATTTAGCCACATAATAAAGTTACATTATGCGTTAAATTTGGAAATATTTGATATTTTATTTTTTTTTTCTTTCTTGCTATATTTTAGGATGAAGTTATATTAGAAATCAAGCTACTGAATTATTGTAGAATTGGAGTTTATTAATCTTCAGTACTGGAATTCAATTTAAATAAATTAATCCAGCTATTGAATTGAATGACAAAAATCGATTTTCTGATTATGACGTAAAATATATCCTTACATTGACAAGGTAATCAATAATCATATAATTAATCTTCAAGTATTAATTCTAAATGATTAGATGAAGTATGAATAGAATGGGCATAGTTTCGTGTTCATATTTAACTGACAATACGTACACTACAATTCTACGTCTCTGCTATAAACTCTAAGGTCTTGTAAAGTCATTTTTACTCATTGATGATCTAATTATTCTTCATTTCTTATAACTATTATCAATAAAATATGTCAACATTTTTTATAGATTTCACAATTTGTTGCTAAATATTTGAAGATATAACAAATATTATATTTTTATTATATTAACCTTAATTTTAATTAAATTTTGATAATATATTTATTTTTATTTAAAAAGGAAAGAATGATTGTTGATGATAATGATTGATTTTTGTAAAAATCATTGAATATTTGACAACAGTAGTGAATTTATTATATTTAAATTGGTGATAAAAGAATAATTTAAAATATGTAAATAATAATTTAAAAATTACATTTTGTTATATCAAACGATTACCTGTTAGTTCAAGCGTTTGTAATAATGCTCCATGCTATGATTATCTTTATCAATAATGACGTCTACCGCGTCATTTAAAATTCTCATAAATCATAATTGACGGTATTTAAAATTTTCCCGCCAGTTATAATGTAAAAATTACATGTCTTTGTTATTAATGTGAATAAAAAATAAGAGTTAGAATGTAAACAAAAATATTTGTTTTTTTTGTCTAAAACTTTAACTCCACTTTGTTTTTTAATATTTTTAGTCACGGAAGTAATTAAATCATCACATTCTTTCCGTTTAATAACATAACCTCGAAATAATTATGGTCAAATAAAATATGCACATGATTCAAGCATTGTTATCGATAAAATTATTAATAATAACTCAGTCAATCGTCGTATATACTTTAATAAATGACACTTGAGGATATTAAACCCACTGTTACTTAACTTTTCAAGACAATTTTGTGTTTTGTCTATTTTAATTTGATTATACTTGTATCGTTTAATACAAAAATAAATAAACATCATTTTAGAGATGACGAAAATAGATTTAAAAGAAACAATGCGATATTTAAGTCATCAAACACATATCGGTCACACATGATTATTACGGAATATAGAATTATTGAAACTGTACATTAAGGGAAGATGTTTTATAAAATCTACCAACATTTGTTTTTGATTTGCGTATTATATAGTATTTATTATAATTATAGAGTGTACTTTTGTATTATTATTTTTGTAGTAGTATTGTGTCTAAGCAGGTTCAACGAATGAACTGCAGTAGCGCAGTGGCGGTCACAATACGAGTCGTGTGCTATTGCTACCTGCACCCACTACTGACTATAACCAATAACATTACATATGTTCATATTACATGAATACCTTGGGTACGATATTCTAGCATTTCAGTGTACTGATAATCATCGGAATGTACACTCACGCATTGTCAATATTTCTTAATATATATTATATATTCATGTGATTTTATTCTATACATTATGTGTCATTCGGTGATTTGTTTTTTTTTCGAATGCCATTTTTTATTATTGAAGCTACTTTTAAATGGTATTGATAAATAAATTAATTAGTTGATAAATCAAATTATGATCAGTAAATAAAGACTAATGAGGTAAACATATTTTTAACATTTGTTAAAATAATTACAAAAATGGAAATTTTCATGAAAAAATAAGATTAAAATATTTATAAGAACAACATCTTTTATATAAAATTGTAAATACTTACAATATTCATTAGATTAGGATCTCATGTCTTCTTATTATACTCGAAAGTTTGAAAAATTGATTTAACTCCACTGACATTTTTTGCAGAATAATTAACTCCCGTTAACTAATTAATTATTTACGAATATAATAGATTTTACTAAAACACAATGATGTGAATAAAACTTATTAATAAATTTACATGATCGAAATTCAGGTATGCATAAAGAGTTTCATATTTTAGATAATATTTTTTTCTTCTTTAATGTACTTTAATATTTGAGATTAAGCATTTTTCAAAATAATTCATTACAGATTCTCTAATTATATATTAGAGAAATATATTTCTTACATTAAATTTTTCCAATTTTTTATCTTCTCAGTTAATAACAATTTTTTTTTGTTTACCTGTAGTATAGTTTACATTAATTAGTTATTAAATTTCACCAAAATATAACTTTATAATGTCATTAAATGTTTTATGTACAGTTGTATATGTACAATCTATTTGCAACTATATATTTTCACAATTGTATAAATATTATTTCTATTTTTTTTTTTATTGATTTAAAATTATTTAAAATTGCATATTATTTAACTTGTCAGGTAATTATAATTTAATTATATTATAAATATATACAAAAACACGATGTCCTTATAGAATAAACAATAGCATTATTGTTTACTTACTGATTTTCATTATTTTCACATTATTCCAAATTTTTAATGTGCATTATTTAATATTAAATTATTCTGTTCAATTGTTGAAAATAAGAAATAAAAAAACGTCGTTCTCATGTGTTTATTTATATTATTTTCAAACTTTTTTTTCAATAATTTTTATCACAAATTTTTGTAAAAAAAAAAAAATGATAGATTAGATACTTATTTTTTATTTAAAAAATGTCTACAAAAATTTTTTTTTTTATTTTTCATGTTCCTAAAAGACCAAGGCACATATTGCACCATTTTTGTTATATGAATTTTAGTACAAAACACATTATCTTTCATTTTAGTAATTTATTATTTGTGACATATTTTTTTTTTTTTTTCATTATTATTATTCATAAAAATAATTTATTTTGTCCAAAAATTTAATGTAATTTAATTTATTAATTAAAAGAATTTAACAACGAAAAGTTACCGAAGGCACTGAGTATCAATAATTTCAAGTTGTATTGCAGACCAGCTGCTCGGTGGGTTATTATGCCTTTTCTAATAATAATTGTAATAAAATGAACAAAATAAAAACTGAAATTATATGAATAAACCAATCGGTTTATTGATAATTTACAATTAAATAATTTTGTCGTTGACATAGTTAGAATTACATGATCTATATATTGATATTTACAGTAACTAAAAGCAATATTTTTACATCTAAGACTTGTTCAAAATTTTAACATTATATCTTTATGCTATAAAAAAAATTATACGAATAAAATTTTAAAATAAATAGTTTAGAATATTTAATATTTAAATTGGTCTTAGGAAATCATCTTCTACAAATTTCAATAGAAAAAATCTTTTAGAAATCTGATTAGAATTAATAATAAGGGCACTTTTGTAAATATATAATAGTGAATTTGTCTTTTTTTTTCATTTAACATGTTTATATACATATTTTTATAATTATCAAATTTTGTAGACGATGGCTACAATAACTTTATAAAAAATTTTTAAATTAAACTTCAACGCCAAGGACTCTATCAACAACATATTCGTACCTTTTCGGTTCTGTATTGCCATCCTCAGAATTATTTCCACTTTTGACTTCTTTAACTAAATTACTCAATGCCTTTTTGTCATTTGTTTCTTGAATATCAACACTTGAGACACTGGTTAAAGATTCTTTTTCATGTACGCAATTAGTTGTACCTAATATACTGACTCCACATGTATTTTCAGTTAAACCACTATGAGTTCGTGCACTTATTAAGGCTATATTAATTGCAGAATTATCTTTTTGTGCATCATAAGGCAATCCTAAACGTATTTGTGATGTATATGAACTCACTGATGATTCAGAAGTATGTCTCTTGTGATGAGCAACTGACAAATATTCAGGAATTACAATCTCATCAGGAGGGAGTACTGGAACATTCAAGTTGACTCGAGTAAAAAAGGCCATCTTTTCTCTGAAAATAAAGAAAATAATTGTAAACGTAAAAATTCAATCTTGAATCATATAATATAAGCTAAAGTTCTCAATTGTAAGTTTTCTTTTTCTAATTATTAACACTTATTCCAGATTATTTTTACTAATTATTTTTCGTTAAAAGTATGAATAATTTTAAGAGAACTAACAATTAAGTCTATCACATTTTATACAAAAATAATCAACTTACTTGAATGATATAATATCAGGTTTACCCTTTCCAACTTTAGTCTTCCTAAGCTTATAAATTTCTTTCGAGGTCTTCTTCAACATTTTTTCTACCTTTTTATCTTCTGCACTTTTTCCATGTTTTTCATTTTCAGCTTGTGCTATGAGTGATTGGAATTTATGATCTTCCAATAACCAAGATGCAAGGTCTGTGTCACCCTTTTCGCGTGCTTGTTCCAATTTTTGTTTCAATTCACGTAACCTATTTAACTCATCATGAAGATTATTTAGTCTTGCATGTTGTGCTTGAAGATCAAGTTCAAGATCGAGTGATGTTCTTGGAGTCGATGGTAAGTGAGTAGACTTTTTAAGAGCTGTTTTGCAGCTTAAAGCTGAAGATGGTCGTCGCCAACGTAGCGATCGCCTTTCAACTGAATTACGTTGAAAAGGACCACCTCGACGATAAAGTGGCATGCTACTATCACTATCACTGCGATTTAACTGAAATAATTAGATAGTTGAATTAATTATTTGTAAAAATGATACTAATATACAATTAATCATGATTATCAATTAATTTACTTACCCGACATATGTAATGATTTCTACTAACAGCAGCACTTGGAGAAAATGTTTGACTACGTTTAATAACAATAGAATTTTTATCATCATGTACTGCACCAGGAACAACTCCAGCGGCTGACAATTTTCTATGTTTACCCTGCTGCGGAATGAAAATACATTCAGTATTAGTTTCTTTATCTTGTGTTTGATTCGATTCTTCAGTAAGCCCTTCTTCCTCTTCATGCTCAAGTACATCTTCTAATATATTATCTTCCATCATAAATTCAACCAACAAGCCCTCTTCATCACTATCTTCACTCCTACTGTCACTATCCTTTTCTTCATCTACTTCATCAGGACTACCAAGACAATTTGAAAATTCATCTAATCGTAATGAAACAGTTGTATGTATTTCATCACAACCTTGATTTCTGGTAAGAGTGGAAGTTTGTGAGCTAATTATTGTACTCTCATCACTACTCTCTTCTTTGGTGTTTTGTGAATGGGCATTATTTCGATAAACAGAAATATCCGATTCTTGTTTATCATGTCGAGCATATTTTGAAGAAGCTGAACTAGTGCTTGTGCTTGAATTTTCTGATGTTGATGCTTGCATAAAGTGGAACGATAATATATTATACCATTTTATACTTGGATTCTCGGGACTGAAGTCTGCAAGTGAGACTTGAGCTGAACCCTATTCAAAGAAAATACATATCAATTAAGTAAATATTTCTATTTTTTTTTTACTTCTTTGTTTCATTTAAATTAATATAAATTTATAATTACCAAGCACTCCTCAGACTCCCCGTTTGTACACCATACATTGACTTGTAACGTTTTGGTGTAAAGCTTATTTAACGGCACAGCTATGGGAAAGCTTTCACCAAACGTAGGCTTACGAAGATCTACTATTGATTTAGTGTAGCATATATTGTTTATCGGTGGTTGCATTGGCAATAAAGCTACTTTAATGTATCTGTAACATTTCAAATACATGTGTGTTATTAAAAAAAATTTTCATCGTCAACCTTCGAAGCACATTGGAAGTAATTATATCCCAACAATTTTGAAAATCTCGAAAGTTTAGACTAATTTGAATGCATTATTTTGCTATTAAAAATTGGGTTCTTTACATTAATAATGATTGCACTTGAAAATACATCCTTTGAATTATGAAAACCTCACAATGTAAATTCTAAACATTATATAATTTTTGAGATACAATAGTTTACAAGTAACATGAATTTGATTTGACTTCGCGTGTGCTTCAAAGTTTTATCCAAAGATAAAAGAATTATAAAATATAAAATTCTTTACTTAGAAATTTTAAATATGTCTGAAAAAAATTATGCTTCTATTCAATATGATTTCGAACAGTAACGAGACGTAAATAAAAATAAGATTAACAATCTACACCATTGATGACTTCCTGAAATTTGCTGTTAATTATTTAGAATGAATACATTGCACAATTTATTTTAACATTCTTTCTCCCTCCCAGATACAGTGTGATTCATTAGTAATTATAAATTATTAATAGCAACAATTCTGAAGTTATTGGTGTAGATTTTCAAGGTTACTTTTATTAACAGTTCGTTTTATTTCAGAATTATTATTAAGTTATATTGTTTAGTGTTAAAAGAATGTTTTTTCTACGGAGTGGTAAACTTTTTAATAATAAAAAAGTAATTTAAATTCTTACACTTTTGTGTTATTTGGAATAAAAAGAGCAGCTAAATTCCTCGCTCTCTCAATACCAACATGAAGTAATCCATCGCTAACAGAATATCTACAATATAATACAACAATAAATTATTAATAAATCCAAACACAAAACATGAAATATTTTAAAATAAACTGTTATTAATTAAAAAATCTCACCGTAATTTAATTTGCACTTGGGCAGTTTCTAGATTCATATTTCCAAAAGTCAAAGAATCAACATTTTGTAATTCCAAAAGTCTTGTTCGATTAGAGGCTTCAAAAACTCCTGAATCTCCAGCAACACTCTCATCAGATACAGCAGCAGAAACCGACCTGGTATTGGTTCCAGAACTGCTTGCTCTTGATCTACTGCCATTTGGTGGTGGTGTCTCACTTATAGGAGAAAGTGATGGTTCTTGAGGTAAAGGAAGTGAAGGCCTTCCTAATCCACTACCTTGTGACATGTTTCCAGATTGCATTTCCAAAGGTGGTTGAGGACTAAGTTTAAGATGGTCTATTTTATGTTCATGAAGTGCTTGTTGACTAATTCTCAATTCAGCTAATTTATCTTCTAATTGACAACGATCTAAATGTGACGTAGTATTCCCCACCAGTCGTTGTTGTTGCAATTGCTTTCTCTGTATTTCTACTTGTTCGTAAGTCGGTGGTGGTCCAATGGGTGCATTTTCATAAAGTGGAGAAACAGGTGGACTGACACTAGATAAACTTGATCTTGGTGAAAGACTTGGTTGAGACCGTCCAGGAGATGGAGTTCCCATGCTACCAAGATTTTGTTCTGTACCTCGAAGAAGTCTTTCAACTCGACGATGAAGATCAACCATGTCCACAGGTCTATCTTGTTGAATTGGACCCAAATATTGTGGACCTCCATAAATATCAGTAAAGCTTAATCCTGAACTAAGACTACCTTTACTACTGGTTGTACTAAGACTTCCTAAACTTGAACTGCTACTAACAGAAAGTGTACTTGCACTCAATGTCTTCAACTGGCTTTCTAACATTGCCATTGATCGTAAAGCATCACGCAGTTGTTGTAACAATAACTGTTTCTCTTCATGAAGTCTAACACGATCAGTAATAGTTTTATTAGATAATTCTAAAGCATTATTAAGATCTTGTTCCAGTCTTCGAATTTCACACTGTATCTTTTTCATATCTTGATGAGTTCTCGTACGAGGTGTAATACTTCTTAATTCTCTCAATAATTGCTCTTTCTCTTGGAATAACAATAATTTATCTTTGTCACTTTCTGATTGACCAGGAGTCACTTTTTCTTCAAGATCAGCTAATTGTTGTTGAATATGTTGTATTCTTTTACGAGCTTCATCATACTGTAACCTCATACGTGCCATTTCAGCTAACCGAGTTCCAATAGATCCTAAATCACCAGAAAGGTCTGTTTGTGATGCGGTACTGAGCTTATCATGAGGAAGACTGAGTGTGCTAGCATCTGGACTACCTTCACATAGCTGTAATCTTGTAAGTTCATCTTTAAGCTGAGCTAAAGATTGCATTAATTCAGCTTTTTCTTTTTCACCTGAACTTAAAGATTTTTGAATATTTCTCAATTCAGTCATAATTGCTTGAGCTTCTGTTATATTATAACATCCACCTTGATGAGCACTAAGTTTTTGTTCTACACTAGCTAATGTGTCAACTCCACGTTGTGTACAGTTCATTTCAGCTCGTATTTGTTCCAATTCTCTTTTAAGTCTTGATACTCGACTTCTGGCTAATGCCACATCAGACTTGAGGAGATCTGGATCATATTTTGTGCTGAGCGAACTTGAACTCGAACATACTAAAAAAACACAAAAATTTATTGATTTATTTTTTACTTATTTTTTAATACATACTTTTTGAAATCATTCAAGACAATAACCAAAATATGAATTTATAAAAATTTTTTAATCAATATTATAAATTATATTATTACTTGAACAAATAAACAAAATGAGCACTGTTTATAACAAATTCAGTCGACAATTGGAAGTATAAATAAGAATATTTTTTAATTTTGATAATAAATACTTACAGCTAGTTCGAGAAGCTCCAAGAGTAGTTAATGCATTGTTGAGATGATCGTACTCATCTTGAGCTAGACAAAGTCTTTGCTGCTTAACGTCATAAATTTCCTTTTTTGCCTGTAATAAAGAAAAATTATATTAATTAACAATTTTTCAAATTCACTTATTATAAAACACTTTAATAATTAAAAACATTGTTAATCTATACTGTTTGTTTTTCTATTTCTTATAAAAAATCAATCAACATATTGTAATATGATGCAATATTATATTACATCTTTATACACTTTATACACTAATATTCACATATTACATTTGAGGAATAATTGAAAAAATCACGTTAATAAATAAGAAACATTTTAAAAAAAATCAAATGTTGAAATATTTGCTGAAAAGATTGAAGTATAAAATTGATAAAACACTGCTTACATATTCCCAGTAATAGTATGCAGTAGCGTCACTATCATTTTGTTTATAACACTGTTCCCAATAAAATCTCTGTATCTGTTCATCATTTTCATAATCATTCTGGTAACACATTCTCATACGATAATTTGACACAATATTTTCATAAATTTGCTCTTCTTGATTCTGATGTTGATAATTAATTGACTTATATTGATGGGTTTGAAATGGATGAAATTGACGTTGATACTGATGATGTATATGTTGTTTGCGTTGAAGTTGATGATAATCAGATTGATATTTAAATTGATGATGTTGAGTTCGATATTGCTGATGATATCGTTGATGTCTTTTATTGTTATTCGAACTCAAGTAATTGGAACTGTTTACATACGTGCGATATTGATGTGCCGGTACAAGTACACATAAAGTGTACTGTCGGTCCATACCGATTAATATTTTAAATCAGTTGTTGTCACACTGTAAAGCTGCGTTTCGCGAATCACCTCATCTTCACGAAGGTCTCCTTCAGACTGGTTGGTTACAGGCCCGAAATTCCAATCCCCACCTTTAAGCTTCAATTTTCAAGGGATCTCCCTTTTTTTCCCTCTCTTCTTTTACTTCTTATGTGTTCAGTATTCTCTTTTTTTACTTCTTCTCGTTTCAATCTCTTTTTCTTTCTCTTTATTCTCTATTTCTGTTTCTTTAATTTCTTTTGCTAGTGATGATGATGATGATGATGATGATGATGATGATGATGATGATGATGATGATGATGATGATGATGACGCTGCTGTTGGTACTGCTGCTGCTGCTGCTGGTAGTAGAATGGTGGTTGTTGTGATGTTACTGCTGCCGTTTCTCTACTTTATTTCTTCCTTCGTCCTTCCTCAAATTCTTTTTCTACCTCTCTCTCTTCTGCCTCCCAATCGGTTCTTTCCTCTTATTTTTCAATCGTCCTTACCAGTCCTCACTCCACTGACTGAATAGTTAGGGTCCGCCGCGTGCGCACGCGTCTTTCTTCCTCAACATAAAAAAGGCGAGCCTTATCTCAAACTTCTCAGGACCGTGTACGTATATGTATATATATATATATGTATAATTTTAATTTTTTAGCTTTCTACACCAAGATACTTATTTTCCGACAAGTCCTCAAATTTTATCTATTTAAGCTTTCATTTCAAACAACCTTTAATAAAACAGAGAACTTTTGAAAGAAATATTTGCTTATCAATGACGGTGAATGTACAAGTATTTCAACCTCACTGTAAAATGAACTGAAGAATCAGCCCAGAAATATTTGTGGAGAGTAGGAAAGACAGGAAAGAACGTAGGGCAAGCCAAGGTCATAATTCAACCCTGTGACCGGTCAAGCTGTTTGAGTGTAGTGGTGGTAGTAGTAGTAATAGTAGTAGTCGTAGTAGTAGTAGAATCGACCTTGAAGTCGCACACAGGCATCATGGCTTCGACCACGATGGAATTTCTGGACGGTCCTCGTGTTTTCCTCTTCTCTTCTCTGTTTCGCTAAGAAACCTCCATGCTATACATCTACTTATTTCATGTATTTTCATTCTTTAAACTCATTACAAATGTATATGAAATATTAATTATTATTTTTCTTCACTATTTTTTTTATCAATCAATATTTCAATTGCTCATTCTTTTGTTAACAAATGCATTCCAATGATTTTCTTTTGTTGAAGATCAATAAGTGACCAAACTATCATGTTCTGCTCGTGAATGTTTTAAAAATAATTCTTGATAGAATATTATAAATAAGTATTTATGAATTATTGATGATTTCAGTAGATATAATGAACGGAAATTGATTAGAATAACTAGGAAATAAGAAGACGTGATGAAGTAAAATTTCCTAGATTATATGAAAACTGAAATCCCACAGTATGGCGAATTCTTAATGGAATTCAAAGAACGCCCACGATTTTTCTTTTCTTCCCTTACCTCTTATATTCTTGGCAGCAGGTTGTGTCGGTAGAGGAAGAATGTATCATGTACACACACGGTACATGGTTTCGCGACAAACGCATTCCGATCTAGACAACGAGTCTACCTTGGAATATCAGAATAAACAAAAAAAAAGTCAAAAAAAGTTCCAGTCTAGAATATCTGGAAAGATCAACCAAAGCAGAAAGAGTTTGAAAAGCACTGAGTATCTTGGTATCGTATGAACGACAGCAATTTATGAATTCCAAGCTATTTATATACATATATATATATATATAACGTTCTTTCACACGCAACACACATATGGATCAGCTCACGAGTAGTGTGGAGGAATTCTTGCTCGATTTCTGAATTCCGGGCCAGTTCTGTTACACATTCATTTATTTATTGTTTTATTTTTATCCGACTTTTCGAATAAATTTAAAATATTAAATATTAATATTTATGTTAAATAAAATATTAATAAATAAAGAGTAAATATATGGGAATGTATATATATATATATATATATATAATTGCATAAACGATGGAGTGACTTGACTAGTAAGATACGCGTCATCACCACAAGAAGAAGAGAGACCACAAGGAAGAAAGAGAAAATATATAAGGGAAAAAGGTAAAGTATAAAAGATATCACATATATAGTAGGAAGGAGGTTCTTTCTGACCGGGAGAAAGGGAGGTTTGGAATGCAGCCGAGTGAGGAATTCCGGCCCCTCCCGCATATTTATCTGCGCACGACTCTCGGGGGCCTCTGGGCCCGGTCAAGTGAGGCTCCTTTTATAGTGTGCAGATGATGCTAGGGTAAGGCAATAGACTACGGATGTACGCCGAACATCGAGTTCGTATATAATAATACTACGAGAGAGAAACAAGTCAAGTTAATAGGGATGTAAAAGATGCTACAACTTGGAAAATTCTTGATACATTTGCTCCAAAACGAAGATATTTCTTTTTTTTTATTAACACTAATAAATTTTGATCATTGTTTTGTTTTATTTTATAATTTTAATCGTTAAATTACTTAAGAAGACATGAACTGAGGAAACAATAATTATTGTTGAGATATTCCAGCGTTCGATATATTGTAAGTGAAACAAAGTGGAATGTCACAAATCTCAGTTGGAATTTAGGGTGAAAGATTCCACGCAGAAATAATTGCCTGGTCAAAAAAAAGAAAAAAAAGAAAGAGAGCTATTGGTCATTTTTTGTTGCTGTTTTTTATTGATTAATTTTTCGCACCATTTTTTTCTATATTTTTGTAAAAAGTGAAAATTATTTAATATTATTTCAATAATTTAATATCTCTTAATAAAAGAGATTAACATGATCTCCTTAAATGGGATTTTTTATAAATTATATTGATTAAAAAAAAATAAATAAATGGAATAAAAATGAAATATATTTATAATAAAAAAAAAAAAAAATAGTGAGATTCAAATGAAATTTGCTTTGTTTAATATTCTAACATGATAATTATAATAAATTTGAAGATTAAAATTAAAATTCTGGATATTTTTTCACATTTTGAGGTCAAGGTTTTGTTCCATTTTGGTAACATTTAGTCCAGCTATTTTTTTATTTTATAAAAAAAAATAATATTTCTGTATACAAGATTTAATATATAAAATAATTTTATGGTAAAATATTTATAATGAATATTCATATGAATCTCACAAGACAAAAATATTTTTAAATGCATATAATTTGGATGCGGCAAAAAAAAAAAAAATACTTGGAGATAATTATTCTATTAGTTGTTAGTAAAATATTACTATTTTTATTATTATTATTATTATATTAACTATCTAAAGTATGATTGATTGAATGAATTAAAGAGGTTTTGTTTTTCTTTGTACAATAATCTTGAAACAATAAGAAAGTAAAAAAAAATTAAGTAATTGAGGTGAATAAAAAATACTTTGAGAGCAATGGCTTGATAATTACGTTCTACGAAATAGCATGCGTATAATTATGTGTTTTCTGTTAATCTCAAAAGAAGTGATGCTTCAACGGTGTGACATTAACGGAATTCCTGAGCATTTCCTAGTGAATAATGTTGATTTTTATCATGCTAAGAACTCACGATTTTCTTGCTCTCAGTCCACACTTTGTATTATATCTATATATATATATATATATATATAAGACTGTTTATGTGTTACATGAATTTCGTGAACACATTTACATGTATGTTACGATAGAATTTTTTTTAACAAGGGCATCTTAATATCCCACTTGAAAATTTAGTCTACTCTAGTCCTGAAGAAAAACAATATCTATTTTTAATCTAAAATTTCATTAGGAATATTTTAAAATTTGTTTATCACAATAAAATGTTATGAAAAGTATTTAATGTTATTTTTAAAAAAAAAGTTTTCATTCTTATCGATTTTTAATATGAGCTGTAGATTAATTTTATCTTAGACAACATATTTTTTTAAATATATAAAAGAGACTAAATAAAAAAGAAATTCTATGGTAGATAAAAATCAATGACTTTTTTTTTACTCATGAAATTATGATACATCATAAAAATTTATCCAGAGGCCAAAAATTAAATTAAAAAACAGTGTTTCAAATCACACATTTAGAAAAATTGTTTTAAATAAAAATATCATACGATTGCATTTATTACAAGTGTTAATATTATTTATTAGAATAATTATTTCTCTTGCATTTAATATTAATGTTAATATAAGAATGAAATTGTATTTAATTGTAAATATTAAAATTATAACTGATTCAAATGTTTGTCTTTATTAAAAAATAAAAAAATATATCTTTTAAAAAATAAAAATGGCATCAGTAAGAGACACCAGAAAATAAAGTTTTATTTTTTTTAAAAAAAAGGTATCTGATAACATCTACTAGAAGTGAACCACAAGAGAAAGTGTGTAAATTTATTTTTCTATTTTCTTCTTATGATATTCTGATTCTGTGTATCTAAGTAAGATACCATTATAATCTTTACTGCACAGTAAGAGAAAATATTTCTATCAAAAATAGAGTCAATGCATTTTTTGACTATTCCAAAAGCTATAATGAACAAGTAAGAAAAAATTTAAAATGGAAATAACGAAAGTACTAATAGTTATTTGTGATTTATCATCATGAAAGTACTTTAGTATAACTATCAGATTATATGTACATAATTCATTTATTTAACACATAAAATAATTATTTAAGTATTGTTTTATGCAAATATAGATTTATCATGGAATATTAAGTAACATTTTTCCGGTGAAAATATTCAATTAATTGTATTTTTAATTCCAGTCAAGATGATATAAAAAGCATAAATTGTCTAAAATAAATATAAACAATATTATAAATAAATAAATAAATAAATGAAATAAAGGGAATAGTTATTTAAAAAATGTATTTATGTACAAATACACACACTCTGACATTTTTAAAAAAGTATTTCAATCATGCTCCAATGACCTTGAAACCCAGAGATGTGTTGAAATTTTAAATTTCAATATGAATAATAATATATATTGCACCAATAAAAGAGTTATTTTATAATTGATCATAATGAAGTCAGAATTGGGTATCACTAATAAGTATTATAAGCTTGGAATATCGAAACACGGTCAAGTTATTTTTGGTAAAATATGATTAAAGTAATTTTAATGGGGAAAAAGCTGATACTATACAGTATATAATATAGTATGAAGTAATATAAGAGGATAGCATAGTGGCTAATAGTAGATAGAATGCTTACTCAAGCAAAGATTCACCGGTGAATTCACTTGGTGAATGTTTAGAAGAACGGAGTGGGGTCCAACTTATTCTTGATTTTCGCCTTCGGGCATCATCAACCTTCCTTGACGATTCACAAGCCCATACGAGGCTTACGAGCGTAATACTGGAAGCCACTACGTCAAAAGTCTTACTTGAGTATTGGTGGAAGAGCGAAAAAGAGACAAGATAACTATACACGTGAGATGATGAGAGAAGGAGTAATGCAGAGCCACCGCTTCAATGTATTTAAAATACGATACCAGATACCAAGAGAAAGACGAGCTACAGGGTATTGTGGAGATCAGGGGAGAAGAAATGGCAGGAGGAAAAGGGAAGACTGGTGGTACTGGTGGACATGAGAGATCTGCACGGGAGACATTCCAATCTCGTGGTGAGTTCGCCATTGCTAAAGAACACTGGATGAACACTATACCATGCTAACTTTTGCTTATTACAGTTCATTTGCTATACGTAAATACATACTTTCAGATAAATTTATATCATTTACTTATATTTTAATCCATTTATTATTATCACAAACTCATATATATATATATATTTATTTGTTTAATTGACAAATTATTTTTATCAATTACAAATGGACATTCTTCATTTTTATGAGTTATATTCTACTCTTCATATGAAATAACATTTATGAATATAGAGTACTATTTTTGTGTAATAATTAATCAAATATTACTTTGATAAACTAAATTTATTAACTTATTAGACGTTCAATTTAGTAGATAAAATATTTTCTAAGTTTTAAAATAGAAAATATTAAAACTAAAATTAATTGAAAAAATTAATTTTCATTTTGTTACTGTAAGTTTAAATATTTTACAATAAAATACAATTAAGCGTTATGAATATTTAATATTATAAATTAATTATGTATAAAATGTTTGTAATTGAATTTGAATATTTAAAAAAATTTTAAATTTAATTAGAAAAATTATACAGTTAGTTTATGACATTTAACATGAAAGAGATTCTGTTTAACGTTGAAATATTTAAATTTTCAGTGTAGATTTTAATGCAATTAATAAACCTCTTTTATGATATAGATGTTTTATTTATTCAAATGTAAAATTAAATTTATTTAATATGATTAGTACATATTAATTTAATGAATTGAATATTTGCTTCATATATAATATGAAATTCTTCATAAAATGTTAAAACTATGAAGGTGGAAGTAATTTATTTTTTTAATCATTGTAGATTTTTTCACATGAATATTGTTCATACAATATAAAAGTAAACTTGATGATTTTGCATTTCGCATATGCGTTTTTCCCACACAGTCGGCAACTTCAGGTCAATGATTCCATATTGAAATGGAAAGAGCTAAACTATGTGCTTGTACTACAGAGGGGGGCAACCTTTGCTCATTTTGCTTCGAGTACTAACTCTTATAAAAGTAAGTGAAAGAGATTCTGGTCCCTGTTAAAACCTTGTATAAAATTTACCTTTTTTTTAGTTCAGAAAAATAAAGCTCAAAAAATTTTCCATCTGAATGTATTAAAGTAGCTTTAGCTGACACCAAAAAAAAAAAGGTAGAATAAATGAAAACTATTCAACATAGCAAACATGACACGACATATGTCAAGAAAAAAAATGAATATTGCATCCTTATTTTTATTCCTCATCATGTACTAATTGATAGATTCATTGCCCATTTTTTATAATATTTAATAATAAATATCATTTTTGTTTTATTATATAATTATTGATTAGTTGAATAAATATTTTAAATACTTAAAATTAAATTAAAAAATAAAAACTAGATGAATATAAATAAAAAGCAGCAGAATTGAATAAATGTAGATATATATATATGTGTATATATATATTGCTGCTATACAGATTATATTTGAGTAGTAGGGAGACGATTTGCATTGGAATGCAAACCTCCTTTACTCAGCATGTCACACGCCTCAGCTTTAGCGTCTATACAAACTCATAATTGTGCACATATTTTGTTTATTACCGTACACGAAAGTTTTTTGGTTTATTTCTTTCTTCGAATATTGTAACACCTTTTCAATAGATTGTATATATATTTTTTCTTTTATAAATATTTATACCTTGATACAATTTTACAGTAAAAATATTTATATTCTATATTGAAATATTAATCATTAACTAATGATAAAACTGAATAAATAAATAAGTGATATAATTACTAGTATTATTATTATGAAAAGAACTTACCTCAAGTACGTCCTGTGCTGTCTGCAAGTATTCACGAAGCATGGCTTCTTGTATTGCTCTCCATTCTTGTCTTGGATCCTCAAGTTGAGTTGTTTCTAAAAATAATCAAATTATTTTCAAAGTATTTTTCTTTATATTTGTTGTTACAAATTTTACGAAATGAAAAAAAAAACAACTAATTAAAAATATTTTTTGAAACATCAATTAACTATTTAAATAATTTTTATTTTATCAACAACATTCCTAAGTATAGACTTTTATATCTATATAAATAATACAAATATAATTTTGAATACCTTTTGATTTTAAAAAATGTATCTGCATAATATTATTTATAAATTCAATATTAATTTATATCTAAATTCAATCACGATGTAATTAAAAATGAAGCTCAAAAAAAAAAATATGCTGATTTAAATAATATTATTTGCATACAAAAAAAATGAGCTCATCATTTCGAATTATTTGTTTAAAAATTTTTTGAACAAATATAATAAATCTTTCCATTTATTTAATTATTTAATTTAATATTCAATATGATTTACCAATTGTTTAATTTACGATATGATTTTATCGGTATTGCAATTTAATTAAAATCTTGATCTTCTTTTATGACACATTAAGAATAAATTTAATATATTTTTAATCTAATAATCACTATGCACAAGTCTATTTTTAAATCTCATTGACCAAACTATATCCAAATGATGAAACTATCTACATAATAATTGTTTATAATTCTTTAAAATAGATTAAATAATTTATTACAATATCAATTTGTGTTAGATATAATTAAGTATATTAAAAAAAATATATATATATAATAATAAATATTGTAAAATAGTTAATTAATTAAAAATGGCATCGATTAGAGAATTTATTTAAACTGTCGACAATTGAATTGATTAAAAGAAAAAAGGAAATCGTAATAAACTCGAAAAGTAGGAAGAGACAGAAAAAGAGGAAGGGATACTTACGATTGACATGATTGATGTAGTAAGCGCCCACGTGTTTGTCGTAGGCCTCCTCCCACCCAAGAGGCAATTCATTACCAATGCAGTCTGCAAATGTCTGTGGCTTTGTAAATCTACATGCAAAATAAATAAGTTTAATTAATATATCATTTTAATTTCTTCTTAAAATTACATAAATAAAGAAAAAAAAAAAATAACAAATAATTTATCATCACTAATTATTTATAATAATTATTTCTTTATGTAAACTAAATTTATTTAAATAATTATAATGAATATTTATGAATAAAAATAATTATAAAATTAATATCAAAAAGGATGAAAATTATAATGATTAATTTACTGGTAATAACTAAAAATGCTGTAGTTGCATTATGCCGTACACACGATGGTATGCCAAGGTTAAAATATATATTGCTCGATAAATTATAATAAGAAATAAAAATTTTCCATATTCAAGAATATTTATATTAATATTCGCCTTATTTAATATTTATTTACTTTTGTAGATTATTTATAATAAATATAACAGAAATAATTATTTCAATACAGATCTAATTTTTTCTCATGTCCTCAAACAAGTGTAATACAGTTTGTATTGAGAACTAGGGTGTAAATCGATTGCAGATACAATTCAAAAAGCTAAAAACAGGAGTTAAGCATCCTTTCTGATAAAGCAGATACGAAATGTAAAAAATATTACAAGGAAATTCTATAAATTTGATAATAATTTATTTAATGTTAAATAATAATAATTATAGAAAATTATATTAAATATTTCTTAATAAAATATCTAAATGTGACTATTTTTTATATTAAAAACCAATTAAAACTAATAAATAAAATAATATATTTAAAATCATTTATTTTAGTGGCATAATTCTAATAATATTCCAATTCAATTATTAATAATAATAATTTTAAAAAATACATAAATAAATAAAAAATTATCATTGAAATAAAATGATATAAAGTGACTTTGCTTTTGCTTTTTTTTTTACTTTTAATTTGATATTATAGCCCATAAGTCAAGGATCATTTGCTAATAGTCTCAATTAAAATATTCCAAGTTGCATTGAGTAATCATGATTCGATAAATATTGATTGTTATAAGTGATTAATAGGAATTAAAAAATTAAAAACAAAACATCATTATTTATAAGAATTCATTTAGAATAAATAATATTTATAAGTATTTTAATGAAGTATTTTTATTGATTTATGAAACTATGAGTACCAATTAACTTGATTATTAATTTATTCTGCTGATTTTACAGTGAAAATTGATGCAATAATTGAAGGATACTACAATCGAATTAATTCAAAATGACCTAACATTGAGCCCAGCCCATTGTAATATTTTAGCAGTAGATTTCTGAATCATTGCAAAAAATATTAGAAATCTTATTGTTTTATTTTAAGAAAGTGATGTTTATAAATAATTGCTGATTCGTAGTAAATTTTTTTTATATGCTCTCAAAGCATAAAAATATGACATAGAAATAAATCTTAACAAGAAAATTTCATTTTAACAGAGCGATAAATTATTGAAATTCATTTGATTGTAAATTGTTCATTTTTTATATTATTATTTTAGTTTGTATAAAAAAGTTATAGATGTAAAAAATATTAGTGACAAAAGATTAAAATTTTAATCTTCAATAAATATTCTTAAAGTAATTATCTAATTTATTGTAAAAATTATAATATTCATTTATATCATAAATTACGAGACTGCCGTTAGAATTTTTGCGAAAAAATTAAATTCCATTCATCTGACACTGTTGTATGAATAAAATTTATTAAACATAAGAACCTTTGCATCAAATTATACTGACTGATTATAATATAAAACATATAAAGTACGATTAATATTTAATAATACAAAGTAACTGAAAAATAAAATATTTTTGAATATTTTTAAAATAGTAAACTCAAGAAAATAATCTTAAAAAAAACTGTAGTAAGGTTAATTTTAAATAAACTTTAATTAGAACTTATTCACATCAGTATATTTTAACAAAATGTCGATATTTAACTTTTTTTTTGCAAATTATCACATCGAAATAAGTGAATTTAATTAACATCATAAATATATCTCTTAAATGATGTTCATAAGTGTCTAATACAATAAATCAGGAGATTGATAATTTAAATTCAATATTTTTATATATTACTATATAGAAAATGGATTTTTAAAAAAAACACCCACGTGCTATAAAATCAACAAATACTTATCATAAAGAATTTCAATAATCAAGAAAAAAATGTAGAAAACGAATTCTTAACGTTCTCTTTTTACATTTTTAGAATTACCTCACATGACTACATTTATTGTATTGGCTTTATTCCAAGGGCATTGTCGATCTTTTCACAGCTTACATATACATATGTAAAATTTATTTTGGTCTTCCCGCTCTTTATATTAATATACATATATATATATATATTATTACTATTAGATATATATATATATATATGTATATATGTATACCTGACATTGAGTGCTATATAATACAAATACATAACACGTAAGTATCATACGCAATAAAAATAAGCTTTACGCTGTCATGCAAGGAGAATGTGACGGATATCCAATTTTGGAATGATTCCTGGGTATTTAGCAATTTATGTCATGGCCCTCATCTAACTACTACTTACTTTTTTCGTTTAACTCGTGACAAATCATTTGTTCCAAAAGTTTCTAATTGAAAGAATCAATTTTTTCATGCTCAACGTCAGAATGTTTAATCATTTTAAGATATAATAATTACAATTAATTAAATTTGAAAGTTTTTTTTTTTTTTTTTAAATATTATTTTAAAGTATTTAATATATTTTATCAAAGATTACAATGATCTTAATACCCAACAGAATTAACGTTAAATATACGATAAAAACAAAAATGAATATTTTTAAAATGATGCATCGAAAGAGAATGTAAGAATTTATTTACTAAGCCTACATAAAAGAAGATAACTCTCTAGTTTAATGAATCAATATATGTAAATAAACTAAAATCAGTATTTGTAGCATATAAATGTTATAATTTTATATTTATTAATTATTGATTCATAGTATGTATTAGTTATAAAATAAGTTCTATTTCAAGAATAATTATATATTAATTTAATATTAAATTTTCATAAAAACTGCCATATTTATTTATAATTTCATTCTTATTTTAATTTGACCTTATGCGAAAACTTCTACTCATCTCAAATAAAGGTATAGTGAAAAAATTTTTATATATATGACAAGTTACTTTCAATAAGAAACTAAATAAGATACGGATTTATTTATTTATTTATTCATTCATTCATTATGAAGTAGTATTTGAATAATATTTAATTTAAAAAAAAAATGAAGAAATACACAAAATAAATAATAAAGATAATTTAGTACTATAAACAGTTGACTTTGAGAGTATTTGACTGCAATGTGAAATCAATTGGTATTTTTCTTATTGATGATTACAAGAGAAAATAAATTAACTTCCAAATACGTCTTCAATATTATATGAATATAATTTATCCTAATATTTTAAATGAATAGAATTGATAATAATAAATATTTTCAATTTCAAACAATATATAACTTAGAATTTGAAAGTATATTTCAAGCAATATTCGACTTTTTAAAGAAGTAAAAGTGTACACAGAAAATTTGTGGTATGTATTTAAACACACAGATATTTTTATATCTTATCATTTTTCCTGCAATGCTTTATATTCATGATAAAACGAATGATATACAAAGTATAAAAGATTTACTCAAATATACATAAATACAAAATAAAATGATTCTTTTCTACTGTAAATATTACTACACATGTCACTATATATAATATAAATATAAATAGAATATTTAAAATAATAATAATAATTGATTAATGAAATTAATGAAATTAATAGGATAATATAATTAGCTGAGCTTGCAAATAACATATCTATTTCCGCTTTGAAAAGCGTCGACAATGAGATTACATTCCACTGCATAGGCGCGTGGTCTTTTCTCAGCATTCTTTGGACTCGGTGAATGTCCTATAGAAATTTTTGTGTCGGCAGTCTACTGCATAGACAGCTGACACGGACGATTTTAAAGTTGTCGGGGGCACAGACAAGTTGAAGCGCCGGTCCTGGCGCCTGGAATGCGGGCGCGGCGAACGATTGCCTGTCGAGTGTACGTGAAACAACGACGTAAAACTAACACGCGTACGCGGAGGCGGACAGTATAAAAGAAAACGATACAGCTAACGGCTGCCTATTTGCGCGGAATTACTATCACACATGCGCACAATGCCACGTTCAAAACATTTTAAAAAACTGCATCTTTAGATTCCCGGGTTTTGACATGTTCATACATACCAAACTCTCATAATCATTATCAATTTACTTTACATTTCTATCTTAAGTCTCTTTTTCAATTATAATCATCAAAGTTTATTCCATTGCAGTTTTAACACTTAATTATAATAAATTCGGCCACTTCAAAAGCCACTTTTGTGAAGTAAAAAAAATCATTTATCTTTCTGGATTTATTATTTATATCATTGTTTATCAATGATATTTCATTTGTAATACATTCCTGTAATAATTAGTTTTGTTTAGTATAAGTTGAGTAAGTTTTTAAATATGAAATTACTTGGTTTTTATATCATAAGTTTTCTGTCATTCCTTCGTTTAGCCAATGAATGGTAAGGTCTCTTTCAATAACCAATTATTGGATGATAATTTAATGAAAGAGATTTATTAAACTCACCTATCTCTTGGATCAATCCAAGTGGTCTTTTTTGTGTTATGATCAATGAAGTAAACCTTTCCGTCAAAATCCTGGGCGACATCCCACCCTTCCGGAAGCGGTATCTCCCCATTCCGTCTCCTTGGCATATTTCACTGCGCTCTAAATTCATGAAAAAGAATTTTTTAAATATTAAACTATCACTGACCGGTTTTCTAAGAGAGAATATACGGAGTCCAACAAGAGAGATAGAAAAGAGATGAAAATGTTGGAAGAATGGAGAGGGAATGCACGGATTAGATACTATACACACTGACACTACTGCTCTCACTTGCGTACAATTTGTTACTCACTATAAACCAGTTGCACATACTGATGCACACATTTCCAATAGGTTTTAATGTAAAAAAACATTAAGAAGCAACAAGACGATTAGATAGGTAAAGTAGATGAAAAAGAAATAAATAAAGAAGGAAACAAACACATCACTAATATAAGCCAGGGGGATATTCTTTCATACACTCTTGCTACTCCGCCATTATGAATACCTCATTATCATGAGCGGAGTGACGTCAGAGTCCCCGCCTTCAGATTCCTCTAGAGCGGAATTCCACCGTTAACATTGCCAGGATATACAGAAAGAGACGGAGACAGCATGTATGGATCTCTCTGAAGAATTGGAGGATCCAACGCACTATTCAAATATTCTTTGGAACACTTAAAACTTTTTCATGCTTTCAAATATTTCTTAACCTTCTTTTTTTATGGTGTTTTTTCTTTCACTTCTATTTAATTTTTATTTTTTTTTTTTATAACTTTACACTGTAATCACTTTTTAACTAATCATTTATTTAACATACACTTCACTACACTCTTTCCTTGTAATTACAATTAAGCGCTTGTTTTTTCTTTTTTTTTTGTATTATTTAAGAATTTGAATTAATTTTAAATAAGCTCCACTTTTTTATAATACACAAGTATTTATAAAGATTTTATCATTCAAGTAAGGTGTAATGAATATTTAAAAAATGTAATTATTTTCATATGATTATTATTATTTCAAAATTAACAACGCTTAGATGGGCTTTATTAAATTGAGTTTAATTAAAAGTAAATATAATCCGTGTAATGTACTTGAAATTTTAAAACTGCACTGATTAACGATTTTTTAAATGTCACAAAATTTACTATGAAACTTGACACTATTACGATGAAAAAAAATACATCATTTTTTTTACATATTCGCCAAGTGTTTTTCAAGGAGACTCTCTTTCACTATTAAATGTTAACCATCTTGGTTGTATTATTATTTAACAACCAATATCTGATTAAATAATTAGCGAGTTTAACGTGAAATAAATGAAAATTAAATTTGAAAAAATGGTAAATTAACGAAACATGATGGATGCGTAAATAATATAAGTATTGAACGAAGAATATATACGGCATACAATACTCTACCACTCGACAGCAACAGACATGCCGGGAGTTTGAGACATGCCTGAACGTTTCATGCTGTACCGAACAAATCTCTCTCTCTTTTCCACCTCTTCTCTTCGCTCCCCTCTTACTTACGTTCTTATATTCGTTCCTTCCTTTTCTGTCTACTCACATATTGTATAATCCTTTTTCAATTTTTCTCTCTTGTTCGTTTAACTTGTATATTTCTCCCCCTCCTTCCTGCCCTTCTGCTTTAATGTACGTTCGTGTCTCTGACCGCTGCGCACGAACGACGATGGGAACCCGGGACGCGATCCGAATCAGCTCGGTGCCCTTTTACCCAAGTTTCACATATTTTCCGCACATGAAAATCATGGCGCCACTGTCCACTGATGAACATTTTGCACAGGTGCTTGTGGAATGTTGTAATATAAAAGGAAGGGGCAAGGAGGGAATATAATAATAAGAGAAAAAGAGATCGTATACACACTTGAACGCGTTGTTGTCTGTGCATCATTATCTTTGGAGTCTGGTCTATACCCTCTGAGTAATTACCGACTGTGGGAGGAATTTTTTGTCATAAAAAAGTTTCCAATTTGGAATTTTTAAAAACGAGTTAAATTTTTTAAAAAAAAGCAAAAATTACTTATCAAATTTCGAAAAATTAATTTTTAGAATTAAATACTCTTATTTATGAATGTCTTTCATACACCGTCTAAGGAATCACCAATTGGAGTAAGTATTTTTTGAAATGAAGTTATCAATCTCAAATATTTGAAACGGAGCTGTGTATAGAATGGTCCACCTAATGAATAAAATTAATTAATTTAATTGAAATATGATGATTTGTTGATCAGAAATTTTATTTATTTATAAAGAAAAACCTATCTGAGTCGGAATGTAAAAGACAGAGAAGAGGAACTGACTTCGTCTATCTTCTCTGGTAGACGACATTTTGATATTATAGATGTCGCAACAATCACTGATTGCGAAAGATTAATTGAAAACTAATTTATTTTTATTGTTTTTTCAATTTTTGTCCTAAATTTCACTTTTAATGTATTTAGAAATAATCTAAAGATATTTTTTCTAGTTTTCTATGAATAATATAAATTACAACCAACTATAAAAAAAAAGTATCAAGCTTTCATTCGAAAGAAAATAAATAATAAACATGCGCAGCACATCATGATCGCTAGGTATTCTTGAACCAGTAGCAGACGTATTAAGAACCTGCCACGACATAATAGTGTAACAGTATGTAAATAAATTATACAATTTAAAAATCATGTAATTAAAAATGTGTGTATTGTACCATGAAAATAATTGCTTAAATCATTCATGTGTGTTCATGTTTTAATATTGGTAGGCTTTGTAAGTAGCTCATAAATAATTATTCATCTTTGCTTCATTATAACAATACTAAAATTATTGATAATAATAATTATTTAATAAGAATAATTATTTTCATTTTTAACATATTTATCTACAATTTGCAGACAGGATGAAATTTAATATGTACTCTCTAATACAATATAATATTATACTTTATTAACAAAAAAAGTATCTATATGATAGACATCATATTCATAAATAATGGCAACATCAGACAGTGATAATTTTGAAAGTGCTGACGAAGATACAGAATTTCGTGATGCTTCGATGAAAAAATCATCACCACAATGGACATATAGTTCTCCAATAGATTCTGACTCCGACGATAATATTTGCGTGAGTCCTTTTACTAAACATATGTCATGGAGTTCTGGAATAAGTGACGAAAAGTGTCAAAATCGAACATATGTAAATTAAAGATTATATTATCATTTTTAATTAAAATACGTTAAATAATTTCTAAATCATTTATTTAATAAAAATAATTTTATAGGATAAAACAAAAAGGAATTTCTCCCAAGTGAAAGCAAATAGTAGTCAAGAAATAACTACTTCAATGAAAAAAACATCAGAAGTTACTAGAAAAACCGAAAAAGAAGAAGTAAAAGTGATATCTAATGAAGGAAATACAGAATTAAAGAATTCTGGTGATGGGGATAATTCTGTAATAGAGAAAGGTCATACATCGAATGCTACAAGAAGTGTATCACGTTCAGCTGAGAAGAAAAAAACAAAAATTCAAAAATCTAAAGAATCAACGAAACCAAAAGGATTAGGAGCTAAAAGAATATCTGAAACTGTAACTTCATTATCATTGGATAACGTTAAAATTTCTAATGAAGAAGTAAAAGAAAAAAATGAACAAATAAAGAATTCTAATAAAGTTTTAGATGATTGGAACTTAGATGATCATAAAGCAACTGAAATATTACGTGATAGTTTTGATCAATCTTATGAAAAATCATGGATAGAAATAGGTAATAAATCTTTAGATGAATTTGATAAAAATGTGCCAGAGGAACTGAAATCTAATAAAAAATTTAAAGAAATATTTCGACCCGATGGTTGGCAAGATTTAGAAAATGAAAAGATAATTACACCGACAGTGGAGAATAAACATAAAACCTCACTTTTTTTAGATGAAGTAGCTAAAGTCAATGAAGAAAAAGATGATTCAGGTAGTGGCTGGGGGAGTTGGGGTAATTGGGGTGTTACTTCACTATTAAGTACGGCAAGCGCAGGGGTTTCAACTTTAACCAGTCATGTAACACAAGGACTCACGATCCTGGAGGAAAGTATCATTTCACCTACTGCAGCTAATCCCGTGCAAAATGAAGAGGCTGAAAACACTGAATCAGTAGGTAAGATTTGGTTTTGTTTTCGAAACACAGGTCTATGTTTACCAGAGGCTTGAAGGCTTCACTTAAATCTCAGCTAAGCTATCCTTTTATTTTTATTAGCATTAAGCAAAATGATGAATACTAATAGAATTGAATGTTACAACAGATACATCACCGACTATTGAAATACAAGATTCTTTTGGATTTAGTAATCTCATATCTGGAGTTTCTTCAATTACAAAATTGGTTGAGGATACAGGAACAAGAGTTATTACTGGTGGTTTAAATACTTTAGAAACGATTGGAAAAAAAACTATGGAAGTACTTCAAGAGGGGGATCCGGGTCTAAAAAAGAAAAGAGCATTTTTCACAAATGAATTAAGTAAACCAATTTTATCGCAGGTACTTAGAGAAGCAAAAGATAAAGCGGAAACTGAAGCAAGAACTATCGAAGAAAAAAAATTAGCACGGCGAATTCATTTTGAAAGTATTTTTGATGATTTTCAAGGACTTGTACATTTAGAAGCTTTAGAGATGTTATCAAAACAAAGTGAAATGAAAATACAGCAACGAATAGTTTCTTTGAATGTTGAAGAAGGAATTTCTCTTCAAGAAACTTTAGATGAAGTAAAAGAACTTTGTGATATCAGTGATGAAGACGAAGGAGTTGATGATGATGATAAATTGGAAGAACAATTAAAATTCTATTATTCAGAGTCAGGAATTAATGCTTCATTTGATAAAATCAATCAAGTACTGCTCTTTTTTATTATATTTTATAAAAATTAAATGTAACTCTAAAAATATATTTTTAAAATCGTTTTTAGATTTGGACGGAAACAAAAGAGTATATCAACAATGTTTCATCACCACAATCAACAGTAGGAGATCAAGAAGTATTTGAAAAAGCGATATTAACAATAGCACAGTTTACAGCTTGTTCTGTGGAACAATTTCACAAAGTTGGAGAGTTATTGTTGATCAAAGGAAATCGAAGTACTGTTAATGAAGCTGATTCATTAGTTCATATAACCAAGATCTTATCGAGACGAGTGGAAACTATTGCCAATTTATTTTCTAAATCATTTAATCAGCGCAGTCAATCAGAAAAATCTGTCCAATTTCCTGGGATTACAACTATATTCCTCGAAGTATGATTCAATTTATAATTAAAATTCATTTATTAATATTTGATTACTTTGTTCATAGTAGTAATTTATCATTGTTTTTTCCTAGGCTAACAACGCCAGCTCTTATATCCAAGAAGCATTCCGGCTTCTGATACCCATCCTACAAATTGGAGTTATTTGATGACAAATTTGATAAAATTCTTTTACTAACATCAATTGTATTAGAAATTTTTAGATTTAAATTAATAATATACGTGTATATATAAGTATGATTATTGATTAAAAGAGATTTTTCATACAAATTTTTGCACTTACAAAATGTTACGAGAATATAATAAGTATCAAAAATATTATAATGAATAATCATTTAACATATAAGAGTCATACTTCAATAACTTCAATGATTTACGTTCATTTTTTTTTGTTATTTCTTAAACAGTGTAGTAAAACTTATTTGCTATTCAGAAAAGCTTGTTAGTACTAACAAACAAAATAAAATTCATTTCATTATTAAAATTAATTATTGTTTATGAAAAATGGTTTATTATTATTATTACTATCATCATAAATTCTTATTGTTATTATTTCAAAATTTTATTAACCAATACATGTAAATTAATTCTTATTAGTATACAAAAAACAAGTGGATAATTATAACATTAAATGTCTCCACTTACAAAATTTTGATATTTATTATTGATAATTTTAATCATGATTAATAATATTTGTGTATGTAAAAAAACGTTATTTCAATTTGTTTGTGAGAGATTGACGAATTATTCGTCTACGACTGAAAATATATACACACATTTGTTGAAAAATGATATTAACAAACTTGCAACATCTAAGATTACAAAACAATATTCAAATGTAAATTTTAAATGCTTTCGGACCAACTAAAATAACTATAATTCGGTAATTAACAAAAAATATTAATTTAGTAGCTAAGTATACTATTTAGATAATAAAGTTTCCAATTATTAAACACTTCATCCAATATTGATGACAGTTTATTTAATAATTGATTTCGAAAATACAAAAAAAAAAACAATATTCAAAAGTTTGAATATTACTCTTTTTAATCATACTGATTACTAATAAAAATAACAATGTTTTTAAAATAAATTAAATATCCGTTAACAGATGTACAAATTTTTTAATATCAATGTTTGCCACGTTTATTGCCTATCGGTGGTTTTTGAAGTTGAAAACTTGACGTTGTTTCATTTGTTGACAGTGGAGCAGTTAAATTTAGTGGTGGATTGAAATTTAAACTCGCAGTTGGTGGTTTTATTGTAGTATTTATTGAATGATTCATTGTTGATTGTGATGGGGTAATATTTCTCCAGACTGTAATATAAATATTGACGAACAATATGGTAAATGTTCAAAATTTTATTCTGTTAAACATCCATTGTATAATAAATTTATTTTAAAATACGAACTTTGATATGCTATTTCGTATTTTTTTAAATAATAATTTAGTTATTTATATTGTGTAGTTTAATAAGCAAAAATAAAAAATATTTCATTACAATGATTAGACAAAATTATATTTATTAATTTTATATTAAAAATAATCCCCTATAAGCAGTGTTAAAAGCCGATTTATACATAAAGTTAATGATGAATATTTTTAATTAGAGAATAATTAAATAAGTAGTTGTTGAAATTAGTAAAATAATTAAAAACTAAAATGAACTGATAAAAAAATTGATAACCCATTGAATTTAGCTATGAGATGAATTAAATAAAGGAAGTATTAAATACCTTAAAACAATGAATAAACACCAATTATTTACGTTTTTAATAGTCAAAATAATAAATTTTACTATTAAAATAGTTAATGTCCTGATAAATTGTATTTATAAAAGCCCATTGAAGATGACAGATTAGCACAAAATTAAAAATTTATTTCAAATAATTATTTATTTTCTTTGTATATATCAATAAATTTGTTGCATACTTTCGTGATTTAGAAGAAATTTCTTGCGGCTTGGCGAAGCTAATAATATACGGTATTACTTCACGCTACATCCACGCAAGACCTGAACGGAAGATATTCTTATCGAACAGGCATATTAAGATTTGTAAAATAATTATCATAAATTTGTTTTTAATTGATGTGAATTTCAAATGACTTACCAATTGGATTGGAAGAACCGTAAGTTGGTTGTCGGGTTGAATTAATTGTTGTTGAAGATAAAAAATTTTTATTTCCTAAAAATGATTATATTTAAATTTTTATTTTACTTCAGAGTAATTATAATTATTAATATTTTATTTTGTGGTTTTACGAATTGTTTACTAGGTAAGTTAGTTAAGTAGGTAGCTAAAAAAAATGGATTATTTAAATAAATTACTTACCTGGACCAAAAGGAGTAGGACCTGTAGTAATTTTTCCAATATTACTTTGACTGTTTTTACTATTAGATTTATTTTCTTCGAATATGTTTGTACTATCCTTCAAAATATATTTCCTTAAATTTAGATACTGTTCTTTTTGTTGTTGTACTTTAGCATGTACTCCCTGTAATTTACCAGCTACCGCAATTAATGATTCGTGGATTTTACTCATTGCCAATGTTAGTTCTAAAACGAATTAATAAAATATAAGTTTAATAAATATTAATCATCATTTATACACAACTAACTATGTATTAAAAAATATTTTTCATAATTCAACCTTGCGGTGTTAATGCTCTTGGTGTCATCATAGTTTGAATATGTTTCTCTGTAGTTTCAATTTGTGATCTGAATAACGTTAAATCTTGTTCAAAATTCTCTACTAGTTCCATAAAAAATAACAATGGAGCATTGTTTTCATACTGAAGTCCAGCAGGAGTATCGTGGGTCCTTTGTGCTATTTCAGAATTTTGAAGAGCTTTCGCTGTGTCAAATTTAAGTTTATCAGCAAGAGCACGATCTCGTTGAACAGATCCTGCTAAGGTTGTTAACATTTCCATCAATAATGTTGTATCTTCTGAACAACGATTAAGTGGTCTTGCTGAACCTCTTGCTATATCTGAACTTAAAGTTTTTTGGGTTCTCACAAATTCTCTAAAAATTAATAAAAAATAGTGTTTAGATGAATAAAATTAAACATTAATTATTTAATGATTTCAATAAAACAATACCAATTACCACATTACTTTTTCATTAATAATTTTCAATAAAATATCACAGTTTTTCTAATATTATACCCTACTTCTAATTAATAGTTGAATCAATCAAATTCGATAAAAGTTGCTTACTTGAAACTATCAATCGTCTGAGTAAGTTCATTCGGGATGAGGTTCTCTTTAGCTACTGTTGGACTATTACTACTATGAGATAGCCCTTTATTGCTAGTTGAAATATCTAAGCCTCCTAGTCCTTTATTAACACTCGTTGTTGTAGTAGCAGTAACAGTTGTTGCTCCTAATGGTTTTGCACCAAATAACCCTCCAGTTTGAGTATTACCAATTAAAGCTATAAAATAAAAGTTTTTTGATAATTAACAAAAGGTTGGATAATAAAACCAATAATGTCCAATCATGAACACCTACAAATATTAGTAGATGTAGCTGAAGTAGTAGTCGTAGCGATAGTAGTAGCTGCTGTAGTTGTAGGAGCACCAAAATTCAAACCACCAGTTGACGCTGTACTAGTTGTAATTCCAAAATTTGTATTCGTAGAAGTCGGTAAGTTTCCGAAACTTAGATTAGATAATGGTGCCGCTGAAGTAGTTGAAGTATTAAACAAATTTGGTGCTGCTGTGGTAGTAGTAGTAGCAGGAGTTGAAAAAAAACTTCCACTTGGATTTGAGGTGGAACTAACAGTTGTATTGCCAAAAGTAAAATTCGATGTCAGTGCATTTACTGCAGAAGTAGTAGTCGTTGGAAATGTGAGGTTCCCGGTAACTGCTGGAGTAGATGTACCGAATGCTGAATTTCCTAACCCAAATCCAGTAGCCGGTCTATTACAAAATTATTGAAATAAAATACAAACATCTGATAAAAATATTATAAAAAATTCATACTTTTGCGTAGAAAATCCGCCAAAACCCAAATTTGCTGTTGTTATAGGTGTACCAAAATTAAAGTTTGACATTTTTATTGATAGATGATGTTGGACAATTATAATGAATTCAATATAATGATAAAACAACTAAGTACTCATAACGTGCTCAAACGTTTGTTGGAATATTACAAAAAAACGTAAACAATACATAAAATAGTAAATATAAGACTGAATATATCCTTGACTTGGGTTAAACTGCGATTTAATTATTCAGTTTCTAGGTTCCCGGCTTGGCCGCTAGTGGCGCTTCGGCTTACCGACGCAGCAAGTTAGCGATGATCGCGACACCTGGTGTGAGGATTCAACTTACAATTTAAAAAGCAGCGGCTAACTTTAAATTTTTAAATCTAAAAATAATATGAATAATTCTACAATTATCCATGTCAATAATAATATTTTTCAATTATAATATTAGGATAATTTTATTTACTATAATCATCACAACTAATATAACCCGACAAATACAGTAATTTTCTATTGTCTAGAACATTTATCAGTTAAAACGAGATTTTTTAGAAAATAAAAACTCATTTACTTTGTCCAATAATTAATCTGAAGTTATGATTATAATTTTTAATAAAGCATCACGATTTATATATTCAACTCAATGCAACTATACTGAATACCCTGTTTGTTTAAAATTAATTGATCATTATCTACGCTGACTTTTCCTTTAATTATCTGCTTAATGTAAATATATAATAAAAATTGATCAGAAATTTCGACTAGTCTTCTAAGAATGCTTACATTCATTGCAATGTGCATTATATTTTTATTGTTATTTTGATTATATGTATTAGATATAAATTAACTAAAAAAGTTTGTTTATTTATTACATATATATATATATATTGCTACTGTTTATTAGGTCTGATCGACGACCCGCGTCGATAATATTTTTTTTTTATTTGTTGATTTTTTTAAAAGTTTTTATGTACTTAATTTCGCCTTAAAGTTTTTTTGTTATACCACTGTAAATTATTATTATTTATTGACATTTAATTTAATCAAGAAATTATCATTTTTTTTTCAAATTACTTAACTTATAAAATTAAATTGTTTTATAATAAGAACATATTAGGCGATGTTTCATTTCAATTAAATGAAAAAATCGATATTTAATGAAACTGATTAACAAAAGAGTATATAATAATGAGATAATTAATAAAAATAAGTATGAAATGAATTGAAAACTTGATTTGTTTTAGCTATGTTTATTTTATAAAAAAACGAAAATTTAATGTACATTTATGAGGAAGAACATGAAGGATAACTGAGAAGAAGGTTAATGGACGTAAATTGAGGACGAGAACTTTTGGGATATAGTGCATTTTTATGAAAAAATCCATGACCTCTTCCTATTTACCATTCATTTCACCATTTTTGCTGTGCATATTTTACAATATTGTAATCAAAATGGATTTTTTTTTGTTTCGAATGAACCACTGTTTCTATCATTATTGTTTAAGAAAATAATCTTAAGTGCTTCGTGAGTAATTAATAGTAAAGTAACAAAAAAAGGTAAAATAATAATATGACTGTTGAAACTGTGATATCAAATTGATTAATAAAAAGATATAATAAGTGTTATTCAAAAACACAACCATCCCTATGATCTCAAGAAGAAGTTGACCTTTTTTTATTAATAATTTTTTGTTTTAATTTTTTGCTTTTTTATTCAATTGATAGTATGTCATTTTATTCAATTCATCGTTAACTTTTTATCATTTACAATTATAAAATTGCCATCCTTTTTTGCCGAATGATTTTAAAAAATTAGTAATTGAAAAATAAAATTTAATATTTTTTAAAATCAAATAAGGATAGTATTATTTAAGGTAAATAATTTAATTATTTGATGTTTTTGTTTCGAATGTGTCATAATTTTCCTTCATGTACTCGAAGTTTTGATGGATAAAAATAAAGAACATGAGATTTACATTTATTATTGCGCCACAAAACCAAGCCAAAACCGACTGGCAATTTAATGAACAATTGAATTTCTAATGTATGTTAATAAGCCAAAGAACTGAAATTACAGTAACTCATAAATGATGAAACGTTTTCCTGGTATTTCAATCTCTGGCAAAACATTGCCATTTTATAAAAACGCGTTGTTTTGAATTTTATCATGAAATGAATTCAGTTTTTTTTTATTTTCAATTATCCGTAAAAGCCCCAGAAAATTATGAAAAACTTTAAAGTGATGAGATTGTAATTATTACATGATTAGAAACCAATTAAACACAAACTTACAATCTACATTGTCATCCTTAAATTGATTTAACACATTGATAAATACATAAAAATTTTTTCTTGATACTTTTGCTATTAGACCTCGTTTGAAACCTTATGAGTTACACTTAATAAACATATTAATTGTAGGATTAAATATGTAAATCGAAAAATCAAATTAATTACCTAGTTTTGTATGTTTTCCAATTTAATACTTAATTATTCTTCTCACTGATGGAGACTTGAATTAAATCGACGATCACTTCTTGAAACCCGAGCTATTTTTGCGTCAATTTCTCTCGAGTAAGTCGTGTTAGTGCTCTTGTAGTGGTTTTCTTGTCTTCATAGCAGAATCATTGAATGTTTATTTTCAATCGAAGAATAGAATAATAATAGTAGGTATTGTAGTCGCACAATGAATAAGGGTTGAAGTTGCGGAGTGCATTATTTTCTGTAGATGAGTTAGTTTTAGATTGTTTTAATGAATGGTGGGACGGGAATGGATGGGAAGTGAGTAGTATTTTTTTGAGGGTATAGAGAGATCTTGAAATTCTAAAAGCTCCGCGTCGAATTGTTACTTCTTAAAATCATTCACTTTTTTTTGTTTTTATTATTCGGACCCCTTGGCGGCGTAACTGGCCTGCCAGAGTTGAGACCGCTGTACGTGAACTTTCTTTTGTCAGCTGGTTTCAATATTTGAAAACTACACATGAGTGTATCGTCAACAGACATCATGGCACCGGCATTATCAAACTCGCCACAATAATTTGGTGCTGAGAATAATGTTACTAATTGCCGTTTTGCAAAAAATTCATAACCATCTTCGACAACCTACAAAATAATTAATTAATTAAATGTTATGAATATCAATGATACCATTGAGCAATCTTTAAAGTCAATGTCAAGTTAATAAGTGTTGAAATGATTTATAGATAAAATAGTATAGTGAGTTGTGGTGAATAGTTAAATCATTATTTATTTACCTGATGTGCGCGGCATATGAGGTCAAAGTCATGCTTAAGTAAAAATTTGGCAACGACCTCGGCGCCGAATGTGAACGAAACTCCACGATCATTTTCTCCCCAACCCATTGTGTCCTTGTCCGGATCAGACCACAGAAGATCACATAGTAACCCTTGATCGGGTACATCAGTCGGCCGCATTATACGTCTTATCTGTTCCATGCTTTGTAAATCAGGACTGAGTCCACCGTGACAGCAGAATATTTTTTCATCAACAATTGCAGCAACCGGTAGACAATTAAAACAGTCGGTAAATGTTTTCCACAGTTTAATATTATAGCGACGTTTACCTATTATCATTACAAAAATCAAGACTTAATAAAATCAATAAAGTATATTTAATTAATAACAATAAAAACATCAAGAATGAAAGATCAATCAAATATCTCTTTTCTCTCTGTTCTATTATTCTTTATGTCTAATTTTAAATTGAAACTATTATTATATCTATATTAAATATTTTATTTATATAAATAGATTAGAATTTAATGAGTAAATCATATCAATATAATTAATTACTACTTACATTCATCATAAAATCCATATATCCTATTAATGGACGCACATTCGTGATTACCTCGAAGCAAGAAAAAATTCTCAGGATATTTAATCTTGTATGCCAGAAGAAGACATATCGTTTCCAATGATTGCTTCCCTCTGTCTACGTAATCACCTAAGAAGAGGTAGTTGCTCTCTGGTGGAAATCCACCATATTCAAACAGCCGTAAAAGATCATAATACTGCCCGTGAATATCACCTAATTTCAAAAAAAAAATAACCCAAATAAAATAATTATGTTTTATTTTAAAATAATTTTATTTTTATCTTTTTAAATGATCAAAAATAACATAATAAGTCTGCTAATGTAATTGATTACCAATAACAATTGACATTAATTATGGCCTTTGTCTGTTTATTGGTAATTATTTCCAGACAATATTTTTTTAATATCTTATTATGAAAATATAATATATAATATTCATAAATCATTGTAATAACGTTCATTAATACATACCGCATATTTTTAATGGAGCCTCCAATTCAAGCAGAATTGGTTGTGATAAAAAAATTTCACGAGACTTGAGACAAAGTCCTCGAATTTCTCCTTCTGTTAACTGGACATTTTTTCCTGGTCTTGAACCTCGTACTACACAAAAATTTAATTGATAAAGAATAAAGTAATAAAATTTATTGGATAATAACCAAATAATATTCTTGTATTGTGTAGTGAAGATGTTAAGCATACGATCGATTTACGTCCAAGATGCCTTTACCAAATAAAATACTTGCTACGAGTGCCAAGGTCAACGGACTAGTCATTATTAATTTGATCGTTTTTTAAATATATAGAGCAATATAAATTAAATATTATCATTAAGGTCTATTTATAGAAGTAATTGCTTGTTTAAAATCAATGAAACAATTAGTGTAAACTACATATTTGAATTTCCCGCTAAGATTTTGTGAAACAGACGGATGGACCTCGCCCCAAAACGACAAACAGTCCCTCTGTGGTTGTCAATGATGTTCTGAGTAAACAAACTTCGCCTACAAAGTTGATCTTAATCTACTAAATTTAATTCAAGTTGCGTAATCGATCGTAGGACTGGACGTCGTCCGGAAATTTTGGCAAGACATCACTCTGTCACACGCACTGCAGTAATGAAGTGTCGCACTGAGAACTTTTTGGAAGAGGGAGAGGGGAAAAAAACTGATTGTCAAAGAATTAATAAAAAAAAAACAAAAAGAGCACAGATGAAAATAGAAACGACGTAAGTATTCGATCAGAAATTTTTAAAGATGAGCACGGTACTCATTGATAGAAGGCGTATATGTAGCGTCCTTTTTTTCACTCAAGTGTCGTATCCAAGGCTTTACCTTCTAAAAGTCGAGCGATGATGTTGTCAATGTTTAATTTATCTGTTTCAGCCATCGGGCCGGGTTTTTTTGCGCGTCCCGGGCTTCACACGGAGCACCTTATGAATAAGATGGCCCTTGATTATTGTGGATATAAATTGTTATCCGTAAAACGGTACACTTGTAAGCTTACGCGGTTTAGAACGCGATACTTGCAATGGCCGCTTAACCGCACACCGCTCTCACTTCTTCGTCGTCTTTTTACGGTGCGCAGCAACCAACGCGACTCTTTCTTCAACAAATGCCTGGACTTGATTTCGTTCTCAATCGTTACCAACTGCCGATCTCAAATAACCCGTTCTGAATTCAACAATGCTGCCAATTCATGTATTTAATTCATTTTTTCATAATTCCAATAAAATTTATCATCACAAAAGAATATTTTTTATCACAAAAAATATTTTAAATATAATTAATGGCATTTTTTATATTTATTTATTTATAAAAGATATTAAATTCAAGTTTTTAAATTTCGAATATTTTTACATTATATAGCAGCGCCACTGTCTAGTAAATCAGTTAAATTTTTTTCACAATGTTTTCAAAAAACGATAAAAGTCGAATTAACGCTGTTGGTTGGTACGTGATTGCCGTTAACACTTTTACATTTGTTCAAATAATAAGATTTTGTAACTTATAATAAATATATAGGTTAATTTTTTTATTTTTGCATTGATATAGACAGTAAAAATGCCTGAAAGTACAGTAAGTATCAAGTATTTCGAAAAAAAGAAAACCTATGACAATAATTTCTAAAATACTTAAATACTCTAGGTTATATCCATCGGTTTTATTTATGAGGAATATTACTTTGTAAACATTTCATTATTAAATATAATTAAACAATAAATTTTATTTCTAATAGATAAACGGAGAACAACAAAACAAATCTACCAATGAAAATCAAGAAAATGAAGAAGAACTTGATCCTCATTTCGAGCCAATTATTTCTTTACCTCTCATTGAAGTATCAAACAATGAAGAAGATGAAGAAGAAATGCTCAAACTGTACGTAATCAATAGTATTATTTGTAAACAATATATTTATTGTTTAAAAGAGAATTTTTTGAATAATAATATTCATATTCATGAATATTTATAGACGAGCAAAGTTATATCGATATGATTCTACAAATGATCCTCCTGAATGGAAAGAACGTGGAACTGGTGATGTAAAATTATTGAAACATAAAACAAAACATACAGTACGAGTAGTAATGAGAAGAGATAAAACTTTAAAAATCTGTGCCAACCATTTTATCACACCATGGATGGAACTGAAACCTAATTGTGGTAGTGATCGCGCTTGGGTTTGGAGTGTTCTTGCTGATTATGCAGATGAATTATTGAAGCCAGAATTACTTGCAATAAGATTTGCTAATGCTGAACGTACGTAAATTAAAAAAAAAAATTTATTTCTTTTTTTGTTTTTCAATTTGCATTCATTTCCTTCAGATGCTGCACTCTGGAAAGAAACTTTTGAGAAAGCAAAAAAAATAGTTGGAACTGAATGTTCTATTTACGCTGGAAGTCCTGATGCAGCAGCTGATGATAGTCATAGTGAATCTTGTAGTTCTGTAACTGACACAGAAGAAAGTGATGCAAATGAATCCAAATCACAAAATAAAAAACAATCATCAAATGATGATGAATCAGTGAATAAAAATAAATCTACAGAGCCGAAAACAACCGACCAAAATACAAATAAAGTGACTGAAGAAATGGAAAAACTCAAAGTCAATAAGAAAGAAGATGAGTAGTTATAGATTTTTATATTTGATAATTAATCTATTAAGAAGGAAATGATAAACATTCCATGTATGAGCAAAAATGTTGCTAGTGTAAGTTTAATTTTATTTTTTGCATCTCATAACTTTTTAAAATTAATAATTAATTACGAACTCCTTGGATGGATATTTACTTGCTGTAATTTAAATTTGATTCATTAATTTCTTATTAATTATAAAATTTTTATCATCTATCAATTATACGGAGTTTTTTTCATTGATCTAAAGAAATCATTTTATTTTATTTCTACATTTTTCCAACCTTAACTACATAATGATTGATAAATGCCCACAACTTATCTAAATTTTATTGCTAAAAATATTCAAGTATATTACTTGCCATAAAAAATAAATCATGAAATGTTTGAAAAAATGATTCACTCATAAATGCTTTTGATTTAATTACTAGTAATAATTTAATATCACAAATGAAACGTGATGTAGAGGAATGTTGATATATAAAACTGAGGAATGTTGATACATGAAATTCAGCTTTTGCTATTGAAACTTATAAAAAACTTTTTTTATAAATATAAAAATTTTTTCAAAATTGTTTAAAAAACTAGAATTTCGTATCATTAATACTTATTATTTTACGTTGTATTTATGTCTCTTATAGTCATATAAAATTTTTCATTCAATCATTTACAATTCATCTTTGAATGCAAATGATTGCAAAATATTTTTACGTTCTTCTATTGTGCGTTTCTTTTCATCAGATAATTTTCCCTTCAATATACCATCAATTCTATTCTGTTCTGTTTGAACAAAATTATCACCTTTATCTATTACTTTTTCCATTAGTTTAATGTAAATTTTTGCAGCCGTTTGATGTTGGTCGGATAAAGTTTCTGCTAATGCTTTAGCTTTATTCAATATTTCCTACAGATCATTAAAGATTTTTTTAAAATTTAAATTCTAAAAAACAAATTAACTTCAATTATTAGTCTTACAAACCTGTCTATCTTTTCCCTCACTCGTCTTAAATTCATCAACAAGTTTGTCCAGCTGTTCAACACAGCCAGGTAATCCAATATAAATTCCTGTTTTTGCTCTGACCAATCTTTTGATATTATCAGCTGTAAAATCATCACTTGCACCAGTAAGAAGCTTATAAGGTTCCGTTTGTCCTTGAGTGAACAATAAAACCGCCGGAAAATCGGCCTTCTCAACTTTAAATCGTTGGGCCAAATCTGAATTATCTTTATTACCAAAATCCTTGACTCCAACTACAGCAACTAGAAGATCTTCTGTGTCTTTAGTGGACAGTGCTACTTTTCCATACTCATCATGTTTATCGCCGTAAGGAAAAGCCACATCAAACTTCACAAGTGAAGCTTTGAATTTATTGATCACCTGATTGAACCAATCAATTAATTATGATGTAAATGGTATAGAAGATGCATTTATTTTTTAATACTCCAATAATAAATTCAACCAAATGTACTAACTATTTTTAAACCAATTATAAAATAATTAAAGGAAGTTTAAAAATTTCAGGTTTCATAAATTATTTTTCTACAAATAATAGTTGTGATGGATTTGTTACCAAGGTTACTAAAATTGTTCTAATAGTAAGAGATTTGGAGTATTGTTAATTATGCAATATAAAATCAGTATTAATAAAAAAATTACAGAGTTTAATGAATTAATTAATAGAGTAAAAAAAGTAAAATGATCAGGAAGAAATAAAAGATTTTAAAGTTACATAAAATCTATACCTTATCAAATGATAAAGTATCCAACGCAACACATCCTTTACAATCCTCTGAATTCACCAATTTTATTGCCACAATAATTGTGATAAAAATGATCAGGTACGATTTCATAATATAAATGTATTTTTATTTCAATTAAATCCAATGTATAACCGACAGTGTTAACAGAAAACAATTTTTATTTTGATTATTTTTTAATAATATAACAATTGAATAATTAGCCACCAGTGTTTTGATGTTTTTTCCAAATAAAATAACGTACAGGTGTAATTATAAAACTTTTGGTAAAGTGCCGGCAAGTATTATCACAATACCATGTTTGCTGACACCGAAGATAATGCTAACGCATTGAAGTGGCTTGCAAAGTTGTCGAATCAGCATTAGCCACGAAGTATTCTACTACTAGTAGTATATTCCATTCTCCCTTCTCTTTATGACACCATGTTTAATGCGCATGACTCAATAATGGTTTGGCAGGTAGACAGAAAATAATATTAGAGTACATATAATACATTACTACTGGTTGTATATTTTGAGAAAAGAGGGATTTTAAATACACACTACTGCAAATACAAACAAAACTGGTATGAATTACGTCTGGCTAGTATAGTTATACTATCAACGATGGCGCAACGACCTACAAAACTTGGATAATCCAATATCATGGCGAGATATTTTTTATTTATGTCTTTTTATTTAAAAAAATTTATTTTCATAAAACTAGAACAACGTTAGTATACTCATAAGTATTTTGTTAAAAAGTTTTATTGCTTACTTATTTTTTCATCAACCGTCATAAATTATATTTTTAGATACATCTTCAGTTTCTTCAGTTTTTGAGCAGGTCTTTTTTTTTGATGAACACCAGCCATGAAATAAACGTTCCTCTTCTAAGAAATAATCTCTTAAGCTATCTAATTTTTGACAATGTTTTTCTGTAATAAAAATGACAACTGTTATTACTATTCCAATTGAATAGAAGAGAATTAACAAACTAAATCTTACCATGAAGAATACTCAGTGAGTCTAATTCACCACCAAAATCTTTAGGCAAACATTCAGGAGGTATATAGTCATAAATTTCCGACACATCTCCAGTATGTAGATAGAGCTATGTAAAGTCATACAGAGTATTATGAAGAGCAAAAGAGTATTTTAAGTCTGTTAATGATGAACTCACCATGTCAAATAACTCACGTTTCATAAAGGGTTTTATGAGTGCTAAAACTTTGTCCATAAACCAAACAACGTTGAGTACATGAATACCTTTCAACCTTACAGGAAGACCATCTTGGATGTATTCAAAAAATCTTCGGATGCTGCTGATTGAAAGTCGTGTTAGATGACCTAGACGTACACCTTGCATATCAAATAAAAATATATATCCTGGACTGCATCCTTCAGTATAAAGATTTGCATCAACAGACATCTGTAGTAGTTTTATTCCATTATTAAATACATATTGATTTGGTCGAGTGTCACTGAGTCGATGAAAAATAATATGATTTCCATTTCTATCTGGTTTTGGTAAGGCCACAAATTGTCTAATAAAATTTTATGTTAATTATTATAATGAAATTAAATACTGACATTGATTGATCTGATTTACGAAATGAAGGGAAAGAAAAGATAAAATCAAGAGGAAATAAATGATATAAAGTCATTAACAGAGAAATGTTTTTAGCACAAGTTAGTAAATTAATCCAATAAGCTATAAAAACAAATGAATAATAAATTACTTACAAAGCTTGTAATGAATGTTGGAGACTATCTAAACGAGGATCACGATTACTAAAAAATTCTGGTACAGTTGTTCTTAAATGAAAATAAACACCCATACATCGTTTAGCTGCCTGGATGTCAAAATAGCAGCTGTGAGCAAACATAGCTATTTTCTCATCGGGAATTTGAGACACACCCCTTTCTTCAAGCCAATCTCGTAATTCTTTAAGCATGTCATCCGTAAGCTCTGGATAATTTCTCTTAGAATCTTCAATAGTGTGTCCTAGCTCCATTGTATGAGAAAATTAAAATTTTTCGTTTTTCATGTGAAAGACTGGCTTCGTCGATTGATGCTAATCATCTGGAAGTAAAATGAGTATTATAATATTTTCATTGAAAACTAAAAAATGTCTAATTGAGATTCTTATTCAAGTGAAATGAAAGTAATTGAAAATCAATAATATATTAACTAAATATTTGATCAAGCAGAAAAGCATAATTTCATGGACTCTCTACAGTTTAATTAAAGATGCTTTTTCTTCGTTCAACACTCCATGATATAATTACGAAATAATACGTGATATAATGATACTAAATATGGTTGACTCTACTATTTTTTAATTAATATTATTTTCTTAATGTTATTAAAATAATCAACGAATTAAAATATTGATTAGAAAAGTAAGCAACGTTGATAGTATACGTAAATAATAAATTGGATTATAATGATATTCTCACCAATGACAATATTCTAATTGAAATATTAATTAATGACAATTTTTAAATCATTTAGATTTAAGACATAAAATTATCACTCACTAGAATAACTGATATAAATTGTTTCTTATTGGAGAACTATTTTTTGACAAGTTAATAAATATCAGCAAAGATTAAATGAAAGTATTAGCAACACAGATGGTAGAGAAATGATTCAAACGATTGCTGAACCGGTTTGTGTTTCAATCACATAAGAGCTATTGCACATTTTACATAATGAGAGAAAACAGTATTATGAGTAAATAATTCTCTAATGTAAAGTTAACAGAATCTTAAACTAGTTTTCGTTATTTATTTCTTCTAACATATGTTAACCAAATTTTTATTGAAAGTCATTATTATTGTCTGATTATATTGTCATCATCATCATCATCATCATCATCATCATCATCATCATCATCATCAATCAGCATGAAGTCTTAGATCAATCGAATAATTAAAGCAATGACAATGACATTGTCTAGATAGAAATAAAGTGATTATGAACGAGCTAAAAGTCCACTCGTATATGAGAGAAGCAAAGCAAAAGTAGAGGAAGAGAGAAAGTACCACCACCACAGGTGGAATCTCTCCGTACGTTCATTGATAAGCCCGTACGATCTGCAGTGTGCGAAGGCATGCAGTAGTCAGAAAGAGAGCACTAGTGATGTCCACAAAATGACGTCATATTAAAGGACATGAAAGCTAGAAAGAAAGGGATGATTCTACTGCCTAGTTGCGCGCCCCTAAATTTTAACCAATTGACAAACTGGGCTCACGATTGCGCACATCTTGAATTTATTTTTAGAATTATCGGTAGGAGAATCGCACCCCTTTTGAAAGTGTTGGAGAAATGATTTTAAATGATGAGTCTGCGCTTTAACATTCTTCTATGTCTACAAATTAAACTGAAACAATAAAAGAAATATCAAACTATTATTTTTTATATGACAAAAAAAAACAAAACAAGATAAACGTAAATTGACGTTTGAATATATAAATACATAATGCTACTAAATATAAGTAATGAATTAATGTAGATGATACGATATATTGTTTATATAATGAGTTTTTAGAAGCATTACTAATGCAGCAAGGTTGTATGAAAGAAATAACGAGGTAAGATGATGCTTGGCTCAAAAATGGTAAGAAAATACTTGAGATATTGGAGATTGTTACGATGTATAGTTATTGATTGGTCTTTTGTGATAGGTAGCAGAATAGTCGGCGTGTGCTTTTCATCGATCCACGAGTGACCCATATCCGACATGATGATTACCTGGGAGAGGGTATAGGTTTTGGTCCCCTCTTGCGCAAGTTTTAGAAGTGTAACGCGCACTTGTTCACCCCCGACACAGGGACGTGCCAGTGGTAGTGACAGTTGATGGTAGGTGTCGCGCGACTACTCTTTTCTTTCGTATGCCTTTCGCGGGGGCCACGGGGTTGGCTCACGTCGTCGTTCTTGTTCTCGTTCTCGCATTCACCCCACCGTCAAGTCCATCAGCAGCCCTGTCTTACCGTGGCCGACCAGAGATGACGAGGTGATTCGAGATGGTAACTCAGTCAAGGAAAATTTAATTGGAATTTTCCTAAGAGCAAGTGCGAAAAGTGAGGATTAAAAGAATATAGTGAAAGTATAGAATAATCAAGATTAAGATTATTAGATATTTAAAATAATAATACATCAATTACTAGGACTAAAAACATCAAGAACGAAGAAGAATACAAGTAAATTATAACGGAGGAATACATCAAGTATTATCAATTTGGCAAAGAAGAGTTTAAATACGACCATAAAGGTCTTTTTATTAATCTCTCTCACCTCTCGTAGAACGTTTTTCATCACCAGCAGCAGCCCTGGCCTGCCACAATCCCTTCGATTCTGTTATCGTGAGTGCAATTTTAAAAATTATGCTCCTAATTATGCTTTTATCTTCATTCATTTAATTCATAATTTATTGTGACAGAATTGTGAGCAAAGTGAAATAAATTTTTATCAAGGTTATTGATAAAAAATAATAATCGTGAGAATGGAGATATCTGTTAGCTTGTACTAGAGTCGAGATGGAGCTGACAAAAGTTTAGAGGTATCACGATGGCGGCCAGTGAAATATTGAAAATAATTCTTGCCCAAGTTATTTTTCATTTTTTTCATCATCTATGTCGTCAGTGGTTCATTCCTCACGTGAACAAGTAGAAAAAACATAGGACGAAGGAATAGATTGCGTGAGAGAGAAGGAGTGTGTGTGCAAAAGTTGCCGTATCCGGCAGTAGTACGCAGAGTAGTGTGACGCCCGGTAAGACTTGTATATGTATACTACGTATCTTTAGTAGTGAGATCAATAAGCAGTGCCGTCTCGATTTAACCGACCACCCTCATTTAGATTTTAACTATTTCTATGACCCACCCTCTTTATTTCTATGCCATCTGGATCAATTATTGAAAAAAAAATGAATCTGAGAAAAACCTTACCTAATTTATAATCTTCATAATTGATGCTATACTCCAAATTATCAGTCATGTTGACCTTTCCTCTAATAACTAGATATATATATATATTTTATTCTTCTGATGTCGTTTATTTTATTTAACAACTTTTTGATAGTACACTCAGTTACATTTTTACCGCTTGGCATTAAATAGAAACTTTTTAAATTTAGCAACCACCTTCATCAGATAATATCATTCTAGAATCGTCAATTTGCTGTTACTAAAGCTATCTTATTCGTGCATCTTAGTGTTCGTATATCTTTATCATTTTTTGTATTGTTTCAGAAACATTCTATACATATTTTTATGAAATATCTCAGTGGACAATCGATCATTTAGTTGATCAATTATTTCTCGTTTTATTTTAACATTTAAAAAAAAATTCTATTTTTTCCCTTGAGAAAGAGAAAGGAAAATTTATATCATAGAAATGGATCACTATCTTTCTCTGATCACTAATATATCTGGATATTTTTTTCTTTTCATTTTAAATACTCATTTGAGTTAAGTAGATTCATCCAATGATATGTAAATTTTTGATTAAATAAATTGTCATGTCTATGACGACAGTTTACCAATAAGAATAATTTTGGTGCATGGAACGACTTGAAGTAAATATGAGAAAGTAGTAATATTGACGAATTGTCAGACAGTAGTATGAACACATCATGAGTACTGATCAAGTAGTGACAAATGTAGTTGATGAAATACATATTTGGCATTTTGAAATTTTTAGTATACATTTACGGTAACCTTTCTACATTGATCTTTATTTAGAAATGATTTATTTTATTGAAACATTGAGGAAGAAAGATGAATCGTTGTTCCTTTCTCTTATCTCTTTCCAGCAGAAGTTTCTAATAAAAGCGCGCGAACGACGCTCATTACCAACCAAAGGGTGCCGTGCAATTCAATATGTCATTCGGCACTTCATATACCTACAAAGTGTACAAGGTCAGATTCAATTGATCATGATGATTAATTTTAGACAAATTTATATTCAGTATTCTCAGTATAATTATATTACAAGTCTCACGTTCATCTTGAAAGCCTGAAATAGAAGTCTATAATAGAATTAATTCATCACCATCTAGTTTTATTCAATAAAAGTTTAATGATAATTGGAGAGTAGACCAAGTTTTGAGTAGACAAAGAGTAATAAGTGTATAGCACAATAATGCGTAGGCATAGACAAATTTTCAACATATGTAGGCGTCTTCAAGTTTCTATAGACTTGTTCGTTTTCCGGGAAAATTCTAAAGTACCGGAGGGTCTTTTGCATCAGCTTTTGCATCAGCCGTCTTCACAACTGCTTCAAGACTTTTGATGAGTACGAGTACCAGTTATTGGAGAAATCTCAAGTATTGATCAGTCATTCAAATAGAGATAGGGCCTGAAGAAAATTATTATTTCTGTCTTTAGCTGTAGGAATTATTCAAAGTGCTTTTAATCAATCACTGCTAGTTATTATTATGCTACGACTTTTATAATTTTCATTGACACAAGAGTATTATTTCAGTGCTGTGGCGTTGGAGGTGGCGCGTCTACGGCACCTCAAGCCACTCAACTTCTGGGAACTGGGAGTGTTGGTACTACTTCTGGAAGAACCACCATTATGCAGGACCCAGTACTTGAATCTATTCTGGAGGTTAGTTTAAAATTTCATTTTATAATTAATTATATTTATTGATTTTCTTCTTGAATTTTAAATTTATATTAGAAAACTCATAAACTATATTATTCTATTAATATCCAAGAGAAAGGGTGATTAACACTCACGCAATAACTTTGAGTAATTTTAGATACAATCAAGTATTAGAAGAAAATAATTAAAATATTTTTTGTACAGCAAATGCGGGAAACAGAAGCCCGTCGAGCTGACCTGGAACGGCAGCATGCAGAAACACAGAATCAATTACGAGAAAAGATAGCAGGCCGATATCAAGGGCCAGAATCTATTGAAGCACTACAGTCAAAAATTCGAGAGTTAGAAAAAAAAACAGAACTACAAATGGTAAGGCATGAAGAATTATCATTAGAATTGACTAGTCTTAGACGAGCACGTAGTCGAGGCCCGGGTTCTACTGTTTCGTCAAATATAACTGGAACAACGTGGCCACCAGCAGGATCAGAAATTGATAGGATTATTGCAAAAATTGAACAAGATAACAGGTAAATTTATAAATATTTTCAAATCTATTTCATTCATTTGTTAAATTTATATTTAATACAAAAATTTTATTTTTAGTGGTAGAATTTTACATGAATTTGATCATACAAGAGGTTCAGTGACAACACAACAACCATCATCAGCGCAGAGGATTTTAAGGTCAAGTGCTGAAAATTTATCAAACTTAGGACATCAGCATCCACCTCATCCTCATGCACTTGAACTTGGTGATCTTGGAAGATCACATTATATGGGTTCACCAATGCCATTAACGCCTATGATGCCTGGATGTCCGCCATTAACGCCAAATGGGCCTCCATACCATTACAGTGAACCTATTCCTCCAGCACCATCCCTTTCCACCAGCCAATCACAGCCAGCATTTCAACAGAAGCTCCAGCAATATCATCATCAACATCAAACACATATTGACCTTACTAGCTCCCATTCACAAAGTACTCTACAATCTCAGCAGCAGCAACAACAACAGCAACAATCACAACAACATCAAAAACCAGCGCACACGCATTATACGACCAATCAGTATCAAGAAAGTTATCCACATACCCACACGCAATCATATCAACAGTCATTGCAACAACAGCCTCAACAGAGTCAACAATCGCAAATGCCTGCTACAAGCTCATATTTGGGATCCACTAATCAGACTGTTCTGCCTCATTACAGTCAACCGAGCCAGGCTGGACAATCTTTCCAACTTAATGGCACTCAACAGGTAACCAAGATTATTCGATCGTTTGTCTATATAATTCGAATAGGATATCTAATTGATTAAATGTATTTTACAGAGTACGACTTACCCAAGTTTGTCATTGACTTCACATCCAAATGGCACATTTACCTCGGGTGTAGGAAGTACTTATGGTACAACACATCAGCTTGGTCATCTTAATTATTCAGTACCCCAATCGAATCTTACTCAAACAACGTTATCATCATTACCGCCTTATTCGTCATCATCGTATCATTCAACACTCAGTGTACTTCCTAGTGTATCCCAGTCTGTGCTTCCTTTCTCTAGTGTACAAAGCAGTTTTAGTACTACTGGATCTACGTACTCGACAGTTGGGACCAATGCCTCCTTTGGCACTTCTGGTATTAGTTCAGGTAATTTGTATTTATTACTTCATGTTATCCTTTAAATATTAATTTATATTTATTTTTTTTTTAATCAAGGATCATCATCAGGCGGTTTATTACAAGCAATTAATGATCCACTCCATGCCATGCAACAGCTATCAGCTCAATCTCAAGCAAATCAACTTCAACAACAAGCAATTATCCAACAGATACAACAAAGTTTACGCGCAACGTCTCCAACTGCTACATCAACTACAGGTCATCATTTTCTTGGACCCCGACAAATGCCAAAAATACCTACAGGAATTCTGACAAATCCTTTGGATCGTCTAACTAATGAAAACATTTTGCCTGAGGGACAAGTTGATATGTTAGATATTCCTGGAAAGGGCAGATGTTACGTGTATATCGCTCGTTTTAGTTATGAGCCATTTCAACATTCTCCTAATGAAAATCCTGAAGCTGAGCTTCCGGTTCAAGGTGGTGATTATTTGTTAGTTTGGGGTCAACCTGATGAAGATGGTTTTTTGGATGCTGAAACATTAGATGGACGTAGAGGACTTGTACCAGCTAATTTTGTTCAGAAACTTGTTGGTGATGATCTCCTTGAATTTCATCAAGCTGTTATGGGTCTTCGAGATGTCGATGATGCAGTATCAACCAATATTCCTCAAGTAAGTTTATTACAATAAATAATTTTATATTTCTTTAATTTATATAATAAAATTAAATATTTATTATTACTTCTAGTGTTATTTGCAAGACATTGACTTGGAATTAGCAGCGCTAGAAGAAGGTAATCGAAATCGACAAGCTGAATTATCAGCATATGCAGAATTAGATAATATAGCAGAGGAAGATGAACAGGAACCACCAGGTTGGTTGATCTTGAAGTTGTGTCGTCAAAATTGAAGTAACTTTTATCTAAATTTCATTTCGAATATAAACCACAGCTATGAGTAATTTTCTAATTTCACTTTACTGCGTTTTCGACAATTTTGTAGAATAATTGGGTCAAAATTGTCGTTGAGAATATTTTATAATGAAATGTAGATTTAGTTGTGATCATTACTTAAATATGAGCTTGAAGGTTTCTATTCGATATTTAATAATGATTGCATGAATTTTCAGAATGACATTGATGTTAAACTAGATAGGATTGGTGATTCATAAAATATCAATAGAATGTAAAAAAGCATGCTTTAGATTTTGCCTTGTTTTAATAGCTCATGGTGGTCACAGACTAAAGGTAAGGTTTAAAAAAAATTAGTATATTTTGTACGTCCATTGATATTCAATACGACAAAGGGAGAAGGAAAATGAAGCAATTTTTAAATGTTCATCATTCTTCTGAGTGTCCTGGTTTTTTGATGGCTCTTAGGCTGTGCTTAAGATATAGCTTATAGAAAAATATCTAGCTACAGCTAGGCTTGTCTTGTCTTTTTCCTCCTGAAGAAGTCTACCTGTTTTCGGACCTAGTTCCGGCGCCGCAGCATCTCACTCTTGAACGGCAACTCAATAAGAGCGTTTTGATTGGATGGACGGCCCCAGAGAATCAATCCCAACTCGAGTCTTATCATGTTTATGTGGATGGTGTACTTAAGGTGACTGTGAAGGCTACAGAGAGAACGAGAGCATTAGTGGAAGGAGTAGATTCAACTCGGGTTAGTATACTTTATTTTTATTTTTAATTGATGGCCTTTTATCTAGGTACCAATTAATTATCATCATTGATGTTTAGCCTCACAGAATAAGTGTTCGTTCAGTAACTCACTCAAGAAGAACATCAAGAGATGCTGCCTGTACAATGGTAATTGGGAAGGACGTAGCGATTGGTCCAACGGCTGTTAAAGCATCGAATGTCACTGCAACGAGCGCTGTAATATCTTGGCTACCAAGTAATAGCAATCATCAACATGTTGTGTGCGTTAACAATGTTGAAGTGAGAACTGTAAAACCTGGTGTATATCGTCATACAATTACTGGACTTGCGCCTTCGACAATTTATCGAGTTACCGTTAAAGCAAAAAATCTTCGTGCTACTCACTTTGAGGACCAAAATGCTCAATCGGCCAATAATCTTGCCTGTCACGTACATTTCAAGACTCTACCCAAGGGTCTACCTGATCCTCCGGTCGATATCCAGGTTGGAATATATCTTATTTTAAAACTTTTTTTTTCATGTATACAATAGTTTATTCAGTGTTCATTGTTTATTTGTATATTTAAATTATACAGGCAATTTTTTAATGCTTGTAAGTCTATTATCAATTTTAAAAGCAAAGTGGATGATGAATGTCTAAGGTTAACCAATTAGCGAATCTCAAAGTCTGTAAATTAATTCATGTCTTTATGATATTAAAAATAATTCATCAAGTTTTATTTATACCTAGGTGGAGGCTGGACCGCAGGACGGCACTTTGCTAGTGACCTGGCAGCCTGTTGCCCTAAACGGTTCGGCCGTCACCGGTTATGCGGTTTACGCGGACGGCAAGAAGGTTACTGATGTGGATAGTCCAACAGGAGATCATGCTTTAGTTGATATACACAAGTTAATGGGCCTTAATCCCAAAGCAATTACTGTAAGAACAAAAAGTCGAGAAAGTCAATCTGGTGATAGTTGTGCTACTGCAATACCATGTAGCGTGTTGCGAGGTGGAACTCACATTCAGCCTGGAATGGATCATCTGGGTGATCAACAACAGCAATCATATCTTAATATGGGTTCAGGACGCCAAAGAGGACCAGGCGCACCTGTGCCTTCGCATATGAGACGTCAAGGTGTTACTAGGGTTGATGCTCATGGTCAAGTTATCATTGAAACTGATGAAAATCTTTCTGATAAAGAAATTTATCCTGGACAGAATATTTCACAAATGGGTAATTATTCATTGTGTTATCTAAACTTATTTAGAAAAGTAATTGTTTAGACATACATCAATTTTTTCTTTTTAATTACTCTAGGCATTCCGGAAATAACAAAAGATTCAGCTAGTGAGGCCAATTATAGTGAAGAAGATGATCCAACGAGAAGAGCTAGAGGAATGCAACAGCACCATGGAAGCCATCATCGATATGGGCCTCAATCTAGTGGACCTCAGGGTCCACCAGGAACTCATAGATCAAATCGAATGGGACCACGTGGTCCAGAATATTATGGTGATCAACCAGGTAATTTAAGTTGTTTATTTATTAAGAAAAATTTTTGCTATTATTTATTAAATAAAAAAATTTATTAATCAGGCGCTCAACGAGGTAGAGGGCCTGGTTTCCGCGGAGGACGAGGAGGTCAAGCTCAAGGCCCTCCACATCCTGGTGCTCAACAAATGAATAAAAGAATACGTTGGTTTATTGCACTTTTCGATTATGATCCCACAACTATGTCTCCGAATCCTGATGCTTGTGAAATTGAATTACCATTTTCTGAAGGTGATACAATTAAGGTAAGTAACACTAAAAAAAATATTACTGCTAAATGTTTATATGATATTTCAATAAATATGAACAATTCTTTCAGGTTTACGGTGAGAAAGATGATGATGGATTTTATTGGGGTGAGTGTCGTGGAAGAGAAGGCTTTGTTCCACATAATATGGTTGAAGAATTAAAAAATCCACCTCCGGGCGCTCAAGGTCAGAATCAGCAAGGAAGAAGAGGCCAAAATGACAGGTGGGGTGACATTTATACCAATATGCCAGTGCGGAAGATGATTGCTCTTTATGATTACGATCCTCAAGTTTCTTCACCAAATGTTGATGCTGAGGTAATTTTAACTAATTGCCATTATTATAATTTTTATCTATTTTTCAATGTCTAAATTGAAATTACAGATTTGAATTTTCATAGTGAACATGTCATAAAAATCATTTCTCATTATTTTAAACTACTTTTATTTTACAGCATGTTGAGTTACGTTTTCAAACTGGAAACGAGATTTATGTCTACGGAGAAATGGATGATGATGGTTTTTATATGGGCGAATTAGATGGTGTACGTGGCCTCGTACCAAGTAATTTCCTTACAGAAGCTGGTCCTAATAAAGGTCAACCACCACAAGCTAATAGAAGACCACCAGGACAAGGTCAAGGACCTGGTGCTCGTGGACCACCTCCACCACCAAGAGAACCACCACCACTAGGACATCGACGTAGTAAAGGTAATGCAATTAATTAGCAATTTACACCTAGAATCACAAATTAGAGAGCGTAAAAAAATTCTATAATTCAACTGTATAAATTACAAAAAATTACTTTTAATTTCAAATACTTAAAGCAATCAACATCTTAAGATTAATTTTATTTTTATTCCTCCGTTTATTATTTTATTACAAATAATACTAGCTGCAAATAATGATGAATTTGAAAAAAAAAACAGCAAGCAACACAAGACACGAGACTCAAATGTGCCAGACGACAGGCAGGAGAGTAACCATATCATTAATCGATTCTTTCTGTTATTTATTTAGTTAATTGTCTTGAGAAATAATTTCAAGGTTACGATTAATTAACACAAAAATGCTCTCTTTATAATAAAACATATCGATTTGTATAGAGTATTTAATTTTTATAAATCTACGGTCATAAACACGTGCTGTCCAACACACGACAAATGCAAATAACACATCGCTGCTTTCAGTGTATTTTATTAAGTATCTACTATATAAACATAAATATTATAAGTATATCTCTTATTCTTTGGCTATCTATTGTCTATTTGAGCATTTTCCGACTTATTCTATACATATCTGTCTTCTGTGACTTTGTATAACTTAATCATTCACATATGTATATAAGTATTTATAAACATATGTGTATGAACGCAATCATATTCTATGAAAATATTGTGTTTAACATATAATAATAAATAAATTAATTGGTTAAGATTAGCAGTATGTTATATAAATATAAAAATTTAAATTTCGTCTGCGATCGTATTGCTGCATATTATTAATACATATTTGACACATTGTATACAGATATTTAAACAACATTTATATATTGTTATATCAACTACTATTATTACTAATACTACTACTACTATTACTACTACTACCATCACTACTATTATTATTACTATTATACCACGATTGCGTATCAAAACGTGATATATATATTTATATATCTTTTTCTTTGTGTGCCTGGACTGGTCGATGGTCGTCGTGTCACATGATTGTCGTTCGTGTCGTGTTGTCATGCTGGCCATTTAATAATTATTTATACCATTTCACGGTAATATTTTTATAAATAATAAATGTCATTGCTGCGAATCTATTAAATGTCCTTTTTTTTCTGCTTTCGCTCATCTTTTATTATCATTTTCATGATCATTTTTATCAATCCCGTGAAATGGATATCACTTTTTACATTTGTTTTTTAGAAAAATAAAAAAAAATTTTCATTGTTTCAATTTGAGAATATATTCTAGCAATTTTTTCTATCAATAAACATGATTATAGATAATTCAAAAAAGATATATAAGATATATTTTTTGAATATCAAATAATTATGTGATTATTTTTTAAATTGAAATATATTTAATTAATGATTCTATTTTTAAATTCATATTGAAAAGAAAAGAAAAAACAAAAAAAGAATAATTAAAAACGATTAAAAAACTGAAAGAAAAAATGAGCCATAAATGACAACACGATTCTGTTCTCTTCTCTGTTGCTAGATGCCTGCATTGTGCCTGTGTCTGTCCCTGTCTGTCACTTAGACTCTAGACAACTACAACAACAACCACAACAACAAAACAATCCACCGCATCTAGCGTACCAACAAGCGAATCACCACAGCTACACAACTGTAACAACGTCGAATCAACACGGTGGTCCAGGTGCAGGTGTTGCACCCCATAACGCGCATCAACAGGGTACCGTACCACCTCACCTTCAGCAGCAGGTGAGTTTATCCGCTGCGACCTTTTGGCAAATTTGAGTCATCAATTACTGATTATTTTTTTTTTATTGTTTTACTCTTTGATGCTTAAATCACTGATCAAATGCAAATAAACGCTTTTCTGCTTTTTTCATTATGCTGCTATACGAATGATTTTCATGAATAATGCTATTTATCATTCACAAGTGATTTGCTTGGATAAATAAAAAATATTTTAAATCGACTGAATTATAGATTTATTAAAAAATTATTAAATAAAATTAAAAAAAAAACACAAGACTTTAAACAATCATTCAATCAGCGCAGCATGTTGAATTTTTTCATGCTTTGTCAATATATTTGATGATATACTTTACTCTTTACAATGCAAAAATTGATGAGAAATTTTTCAAATATTTAATACGATTGCTATTTCGCATCTCTTACTATATTTTATCTCAATTATAAATATTTTGAACTTTTTTGTGTGAAACTTTTTCAATGTGGGATACGACATTTTGGCTTTAAATGTTTAACAATTTACTCACACATAATCAACACCAAAAACTATCAATTATAATAATACCAATATTATTAATGAAATATTAGATAATAAATAAAAAATTAATCGAAATTATTCACCTTTAGCACGCTATGGGAGAATTAATTGAAAGGAATGTTTTATTTTTATTTATAAATAAAAAATATTTTTACAGGGGAGGGGGAGAGGCGTGGGCAATCGGGCCGGTGGTAGTAATATTCCTGGACAAGGTGGACCCCAACAATTCCAGCAACAACATCAACAAGATTATCAGCAACAACAGCAACAAAATCAACAGGGATATAATCAACAGAATCCTAATACTTATCAACAGCAAGGACCACAAGGTTATCAGCAACAAAACTTCCAACAGCAACAGCCTCAACAAACAGGACCACAACAATATGGTCAACAGAATCAAGGTCAAAATCTTCAAGGTCCACAAGCAAATAAACCAATGCGTGGAATTCCAGCAGTTATTCCAACTGCTCAATCGAAGCCTACTGATCAACCAGCTCAGCAACAACAACAACAGCAGCAGCAACAGAGCACTGGACCTAATCTTATGCAAAAGTTTACTGAAATGGCTGGTGCCAGTGCTGGTGGTGATATCCTATCAAAAGGAAAAGAATTGATATTTATGAAATTTGGCTTAGGAAAGTGAGTTCATGCTATTATTCTTATCTCCATATCAACTTGGAGAACAACATGGTGTGGTAAGAAATTTTTACTAGAGACTTACAATATAATCTCGTGACAAAGGTAGAATTCGTTCCTGCTATGAGGAACGATGCCTAAGAGATAATGGAAGACTTGATATTGGGAGTATTTAAAGATTAATAATTTAATACGCATATATATGTTATTGGTTATGATACTGCTGCTGTTGACCTTATTGCTGCCTGGATTGTGCAATATAATTACCAATGCAACCCCGTTGTTTATTGAAGAAGCTTCTTTGTGATTCATCAATGAATTATATTTAAAAAAAAAAAAAACTAAAGCGTTAATAATGTATTCCAAACATTAGTTATTCGCGTGTATTATCTTAAACCACATATAAAATAAATTAAATAAATATCATTGAATTCATTTTAAACAAACTTATAAGTGATTTAAAAAATTTGTTGTCTTCTAAATATTTTAATTAATATTTATTATGTTATTTTATTAATTACTTATAAAAAAAATTAATTTATATTGTTAAAAAATAAAAATCGCGCACAATGTTTTATCCTATTGACGCGAGAAGACAAAACCACCTTGTAAGATTTAATAAGCATTAACATAATCATTGTAAAGAAACATAATTAATTCATGTACATTAATTATCTTAATTTAGATGCTTAAGAGATGGTGTTGATTTTAAATATTTTACTTTTAATAAAATAATTATTATTATATCTTTGTTAAAATTTCGTTATTGTAAAAATTAATGATTATATAATTATATTTTTGATTAATTAAGTGATAAATAAATTTATTAAATTATAAAAATAAATAAAAGAAAACTTTAAACTATGGCATATCTTAAATTGAAATTTTCTTATGTTTGAATTGGTTATTACAAATATTTTAGTATTTTAATATTTAATGAGAAAATAAAAAATTTTTATTTTTATTTAATAAAAAACTAAGTCAGAATATTATTGATGAATTAATAAGAAGAATAATGCTCGTAAGGACTCGGTTATACACGCGTAAATATATTATAAATGAAAGAAATATATATATATTATAAATAACACATGTATAAATATATAATATACATATATTTAAATATTGCAAATTGTTGTTACAATGCTACTTGTATCGTATTTTGTACAAAGTATCTAATCTTTATTTTTCGTTTGCCAGAGTACCAGAATATATGGTGAAAATGAAAAGGAAATTGTGAAAATAAACTTAAAAATTATAGCTATGAAAAAAAATGTATTTGTTTAAGAGAGAAAAAGAGAGAGAAAGAAAGAATGAGCGAGTGAATAAGTGATAAATAAATATAAAGTTATAAAATAATTCATGACATATTAATAAATAAATTATTAAGTTATTAAACAATAAACCAATAATATAATTAGATCAAATTCAATCGAAAATTATGACTGTAATGGCTCTTGACAATTCATCGATCACTATGTCGAATATTGCGTTTGAATATTTGCCCAAAATTTTATTTACAAGTGTTATTAAAAAACATCACGAAAAACGTCGTGTGAATTATTATTATTATTATTCTTATTATTATTATCATATAAAAAATAAGATTTGACTATTAAAATATTTCTTCATTGTATAATATATCAACGCAATGTTATACGTGCCATTTTAAGAATAAATGTAGAGTGATTCATTAAAAAACATTTATAGAGAACAAATAAATTAGAAGAGAATAAAAACATATAGATAAAAAAAATAATGATAATTATGTTCTCTTCTGAAGTGATTGAGTATAGTATTACTTAATCTTCAAAACGATTGTCTAAAGAGACTGAAAAGATAGAAAAATTATGAATGAGCCGAGCCTGGTGTGAAAATCCAAGTAATAATAAATACATAAAATAAACAAAAATTCCAATCGCATGTGAGAATAAAAAGGAACAATTAATAATTAAGATGGCTATGATAGTTTGTAATATATACTTATATTTAATCATTCATTAATGCATTAATTATCAAGAAATGAATGAAATAAAAAAGGAGCTATAAAAGTAAAACACAATCCATTAAATATGCAAATGCTTACATTTTTTATTCTTCATTATTTTTCATGTATACATTCTTGATATTCATTTTTATGCAATTCTCATAGTCAGCCTCGGCTACATATCAAACAACTAATTAACCCGTTTAAAAGTTAAGTTATATATAAATAAATAAATAAATGAATATATATATATATATATATACATGAAAAAAAGGGACGTTAAAAAAAAAAAAAATAGATAAAAAAGTGAGTAACAAAATAATCATTTATACATATATTTAATAATCATTTAAGTATTCTCTTCTCAGAAATTCTTCGGTGCTCGATGATATAGAAAACGAAGTAATGATAATGTTTTTAGTGTTAATACTATTACATGAATTGGCTTACTTACACTTGCTTGAAATAAGGAAGTGAAATCAATGACGTATTTTCATCTCTATTAGACAAACATTTACTAAAACAGTTAAATTAACTTATCACGGTTAATATTAATTCATGAATAAATCAATAATTACTAGTTGTTAATAAATCTGATATTCATCCAATTAGGGATTACGTTAGACAATAATTATTCAAAAAATTATACAACTTGTGCAAGAAACAATAAGGGATTCTTTGACCTTTTTAAACAAGAAAAAAAAAATTAATAAAACTAATAACAAAACAAGTGAAAAATATAACAAAAAATTTCTCTATTCTTCGTCCGTTAATATACGTACAATTAAAAAACGATACTTCTGCACTTTACATATATTTTGAAGCTCATGTTTTCTCCAATTGCTCGTTATCTATCATCATTAATTGTTGTTGATGTTGTTGTTGTTACGCGTACTAAGTACCTATGGCAGAAAAAGTTTGTCGCAATGATGCAAAAAAAGGCTGAATTGATGTGTAGAAAAAGAACATGAAAATTATAATTAAATTCATAAGTCATTGTAAAATGTTTATAAATCTGTCACAATAATTAAATGATTCAATAATCTTTCATATAATTATCATTAGTCGAAAATTGATATTCTTGAAATAATTGTTTTAATAATTAAAATAACAAATTTATTAAAAAAAAAAAACAAAATTTAATTAATAATTAATTTATATATTCAAGTAGTAATATTCGATAAAAAAATTTCTGTTAATTTGATAATAAAATGAGAGTGTAAGAGACGAAGACAATTAGATAATTAAATTTGAAAGAAAATGATTATTTGAATGATTAAATTAAAAATTTTTTAAGAAACAAATGATTGAGTGTATAAGAAATATATATATATATATATAGGAGCCGTTATTCTACCTTTCGTATTGACACTAAAAACTTGATAACATTTCAGTAAAAATTATAATGATATAAATGGCGATAATAAAAGATGGACGTAGTGCAATTGATATGTATACATTAATTATAAATATACAATACAACACTTCATTATGTATACACATCTTTTAATACATATATATTGCGTCAATTTAAGCATGCCAAATAATTAAAAAATGACATAAACATATACGTACGCAAAAAATATGAATGCCAATTGCCACGCTAATATACTTCTTGAGTAATTTTGTGCTTTGTTTTTTGATGAATCTACGTATGGATGTAAAAAGTCATTTAAATTTTGCTCATCAACTGAGTTTTCAAGTTCCAACAAAAATAAGAAAATGTTGAAAAAAATGCAAAAAATAAATAGCTCGTTCAATAAAGTGAAAGGAAGAAAGAAAGAGAAAATGAATGTACGTGAGAATGAAAGAGATATCATGAATCAATACAATGTTATTATAAATAATTAATTAATAAAAACCAAATCTTGTTTCTTGTTACTTCTGATATTCTACATATATTTCTCTTTATCTTTATTTTCAACAAACAGACTTATTATCTTTTCTCTTTTTCTACATCAACGTTTTAGCACAGGAATAATAATTAATACTTTTTCTTAATATCATTTAGTATTATGTTAATGTTTATTTTTTATTACTATACCATTTTATAAATATGGGTAAAGTATTATTGTTATTATTTTTAATATTTGTAATACGATGAATATCTTTTCTAACTTATGGATCTTCTTCCCAGACAGTTTCTGTAAGAATTGCAATATTGTCTAATCCTCTCATAGGTGCATACTCCAAATTCCACATTAAGTTTGTAAAAATCACTGTAAATGTGTTTTCTTTTAATTTTTCATCTTGCTGAATATTGTAGAATTACCAAGTCAAGCATACTTACACATTTCTCCCCGATTTAAATCTGCTATCAGCTCTGGACATGAACTATTGCATGGATTTATGGGTGTGAGTCGTAGCTGAGTAGCTCCACGAAGCTGAGCAAGAGCAATTAAACCTGAATCTAATTCTACTTTTTTATAACTCGGGCTATTATAATCAGAAGACATCAAAACCCAGTTGAAGTGAGCTGGAGATACTGTGCTTGATAGAAAGTACGGCCGTTGATAAAATTTCCGTAATGCCTTTACAGCATTAATGTCACAATTTTGCCAGTGCACAAACCACTTTGCTACTTCAGGAGAATGAACTCGACGCAAGAAAGCTGCTAAATCTGATGAACCAGTACGAAGATTAGATGTCAATGAGCAAGGGACAGTTTCCATTAGACGTTCGTTGCCTAAGTAGAGCTAAAAATAAATTTTAAAGTAATTTTACAGAATTAATAAACATTATAATGATGTTTTAAAAAGAAATTCTTGCTTACATGAGTAATGTTATCAAACCAAAAATGATCAGCATTCATAACTGCCCAAGAATCCATGGCATCAGTGACAATTGCTGGAGCATCCCGACTGAGGTAATTGTCAACTAACTGACGGTATCGAACATCAGATAAGCGATCAATGGTTTCAACAGCTTCACAAGTCTAAAAAATGAAAAAATGTAAAATAAAGTTTGTTTGATGACTACCCGAAAAACATTTTGGTGAATTACTCTATGGCTTACGACGCAGTCTTCTTCAGTGATTGGATATTCATTATAAAATGGATTATGCATCATACAATTTTCCCTGTAAAGATGTTGCCAGTTCCATAAAGGTAAAATCTTGACAGCAAGCAAACGTGTAATTGCTGAGAAATGAGTGCCAACAAAATCCAGTTGAATAGCAGCACAAGCAATAGTACCAATGACAACTAGGATAACTGTTGCTCGAAGTACCAGTTGGAGCCAAGATCTTCTCATTGCTGCTACCAGAGGTTGACAAATTATATCCATTTCTTCTTCAGTGAAACCAGCTTGTTGACAATACCTATGTAATCAATGACAATAATTAGGTTAAGTTATTAAGTATGAGTTAATTGTTATAATAATTAGTAAATTTGCATTGTAATCAAATAAATAATATATATTTACTTGTAAAATGAATTTAATTCATCATCAATAAGTCTTAGCTTTTCCTGATGATTCATTTCTTGAGGCTCCTTTGGGTAGGATTTTTTCGATACCTTAACACACTTGTTGCTAGACATATTGTTTACTTATATTTCACAATCTGCAGACCAGTTATCAGAATTCAATTGTAATTTTTTAGGAACTAATGTGCAATTCAACTTGCATGAAAGATACTTTTATTGAACGATTTGCTTTTATCTCAAAGCATGCGCTGCAGATATCACTAATGCTTTCAAGCAATTCGCGCAGATCGATTTTGCCCGCGAAATTTTTTGCCACCTTATGAAATTTACAAACTATAATATAAAATAAATTTATATAAAGAGGATGTACGATATAATTTTTTCAAATGACTGACAATAAAATTAAATACCGCGCCATAGATAATTTTTAAAATGGCGCAGTATGATTGGTTCCATTCTTGTACAGCAGCTGGTCTACTTGGTTTGTGATGTTTATTTTTTTTATTACTTAAACTTTGTACTTTTATTTTTGTTCACAATAAAGTAATTCAATTGATGTTAATTCTTAATTTTATGACTTGGCATTATTGAAAAAAAGAATTTTATCAGTAGTTTTCCAATAATAATTGGAGCAATATTACTAGTAAAATAATTTATTAATAATAAATATAATAAAAACAACCAGTGAGGACAACGATAAATACGTTTGATCAGTTTTTTTACATATTGATCAAGGTTTCGATTGTAGATCTTCAATCATGAATTGTCTAAAGGTTATGAGTAAGTTTGTGCTGACAGTAAAAATTATTTCACATTAATTTTCATCAATATTTTATTAATATTATGCTACTTTTAATTTATTCTTTAGATCTTTGGCGTATGATCAAAGTCCATCCAGATATAAGATCTATAACTTCAACAGTATCACTTCCAGAGACTCATCGCATGCTCCAAAAAACTGTCAGGGATTTTGCTGACAATGAATTATCTAAAGTAGCTGCTCAAAATGATAAAGAACACAAATATCCAGAAGAGCAAATTAAAAAAATGGGAGAACTAGGATTAATGGCAATAGCAACACCTGAATCTCTAGGAGGAACTGGTCTAGATTACATGGCTTATGCTATTGCATTGGAGGAAATTTCTAGAGGTTGTGCTAGTGCTGGAGTAATTATGAGTGTCAATAATTCTTTATATCTTGGACCAATAGAAAAATTCGGCACTCAAAAACAGAAAGAGAAATACGTTGAGCCATTTACAAATGGGATCCAAGTAGGTTGTTTTGCTTTGAGTGAACCAGGGAATGGATCTGATGCAGGTGCTGCATCTACTACTGCTAAACTAAATGATGGAAAATACAACATTAATGGAACAAAATGTTGGATTACAAATGCATATGAAGCTAAAGGAATTGTTCTCTTCGCTACAACTGATAAGTCAAAAAAACATAAAGGAATCAGTGCAATAATAGTAGATTCTCCAACAAAGGGACTTACAATTGGAAAGAAAGAAGATAAATTAGGTATTAGAGCAAGTAGTACTTGTTCATTAATATTTGAAGATTGTCAAGTTCCAGAAGAAAATTTATTAGGAGAGCCTGGTATGGGATTTAAAATAGCTATGATGACTCTTGATGCAGGAAGAATCGGAATTGCTAGTCAAGCATTAGGAATAGCTCAAGCATCACTTGAATGTGCAATTGAGTATGCTAGTAAACGGACTGCCTTTGGTAATGCGATTATAAAACTTCAAGCTATTCAACAGAAAATAGCAGATATGTCTTTAAAAATTGAAAGTGCTAGATTATTAACATGGCGTGCAGCTCATTTAAAAGATCTTGGAAAACCATTTACAAAAGAAGCGGCTATGGCAAAGTTAGCTGCTTCTGAAGCTGCTACTTTTTGCTCACATCAATGTATTCAGGTACTTGGTGGGATGGGCTATGTAACAGATATGCCAGCAGAGCGTTACTACAGGGATGCTAGAATAACAGAAATATACGAAGGAACTTCTGAAATTCAGAGATTAGTAATTGCTGGTAATATTATTAAGGAATATGGTTTGAATTAAGACTGTTTAATATTTTTATACTTCTCAGTATATTTTTAGGAATTCTTTATCTAATTAAATAAATAATATTTAAGAGATATTTTTTATACTAAATTAGTCTAATTATTATTTTTTAACTCAAAATCTTTCAACAATCAATGCAATTTTTAAAATTATGTTATATATAGATAATACACATTAATAAATTTTTACACATTATTTATTATTAATAAAGGAGAAAATAAATATATATTTACATCTCAATTTACTCTTCAAGTTTATTAGCTTCATAATTATGTGAATTTGACATTATTTCATTTTAATTGTATACATATGTATAATATATACATATAGATATTTTAAAATTAAACTGTAATCGGACCTTTGGCAGCATTGCAATCAACTCAGCCCATAATTAATTTTATTACAATTAATATTCTTTGCCTTCACTATTTTCATTTTTTTTTTTTTTTTGAAGTAGACGAACTCTTCTAAACTGTGAAGAATAATGTATTTTTGGAGATTTAAGTAAACATATTGCGTACAATATAATTGAATTTTAAAAGCAAATCATTATATCAATCAATTGAATTTTATCGCCAATGATTATAATTGATTAATTTTTCATATAATACAAGCATAAACTTTATGTGTAAATTATATTCATTCGTTATCCTTTAATATTTTTGTCGTATTTTATTGACACAAATTAATTGGCGACTGAAAATTCAAAACTTCAGTAATCGACTTAGAATAATTATTCTACCAATAATATACAGTCAGAGAGAGGTACCTTGTTACATATTTCGTGTTAGAAGAATTTTTGTGCAAACGACAATTTACTTCGATTTGATAATCATGTGCATTTGTTGCTATTGCTTTTATTTTCTGTTCTTATGATCAGCATTATTTCAACTACTTTAGTTTAATCGCGTTCATTAGACAAATGTAATATTAACTTTAAATTTTATTAATCTTTCTATTAATTTGTAGAATTTCAAATATTGAATTAAATGATAATTAACAGTAGTAACGGTACGCTTAATTATTGAGATCTTTCATATCTTAAAAGAGGATCATATCAAGTACTCTCCCATCGGAATGCAAGCGAAGCTAATTAACGCACGCATCATTTCACCCTTTTTGAATTTTCATATATGATTTTTTTTTTTATATGTACAATGTTTAGCCACTCGGTTTGCTTAACATCATTATCATAATTTTATATAGCACACTCTGTAATTTTTTTTTTCTCATTTTCTATCGTTATTGTACATAATACGAGCGTTTGTGAAATACTCACGCATCAAAGTTAACTCGTTTACATATAATAATAATATACTTTGTTAAAATTCGTATGGCTGTTATTTTTTTTTTTTTTATTCCTTTTACTTTAATTACTTCGGTCAAAAAACAATTAGAAATATACATTTGTATAGCATAGCCTTGTTATGACATTTATTTTTTATTATAAATTGCAAATAATTTTTTATTATTTTTATGTGTTAATTTCAATAATTCGCAACTTGCGTGTGACATATGAAATAATATTTGCACAATAAAAAGAATTTACTTTTTATTTCAATCAATACGGAATAAAAAGTTATTCTATATACTACTGAATATGCGCAAAACTCGCTAAAAATATTTCAAGTAAAATTATTTTTTTAAATATCGTTTATATAATTGTTAATATGTCACATGATAATATAATATTAAAAGATGAAATTATATAATTCATTTTAATCAATAATTAGTAATTTTATCTATAAAATCATTAAGTTGCGAATTTATATAAGCAACGTTATTTGCATTCATTAGTATAATCGATTGTATCCTTTAAAAATGAAAATATGCACATTGCAAAAAAAAATATTTGTAGCTGAATTTTACATGGCTTTAAAATTGTATAGCTCTAAGAAAAATAAAAATTACAAAAATAATGGAATCTTTTATGAAATCCATAGTTTAAACGATTAGTAACAGAGATAGTTACTAGAAGAATATTTTTGCTTTTTATCATCTATAAAATGATAATTATAATTTTACAATTTCATATTAACATTTCGGGATCTTTAAACGATTATTTATCGGCTCAGTTGCCAATTAACAAATTGTTTACAACTATAATTATCTACTAGACTATCAATTAATTATTATTTATCTGTTAACTATAGTAGTGTTATCGACATTATTTTCATTTTCAACTAAATTGAATTGCAAGTGAATTAATTTATTTACTTTATATTCTTATTAGCATTATTCATAAAACATTTCTTATATTTTGTTTATAAGATTTTTCTCCAACCTTTTTACAATTAATATGAATTAATATTATGTCTTGACTGCAAATATATTTATTTAATACATTCTCATACTAAAAATAAATTAAAATAAGTAATTGGAATAGATACTGAATTTAAAATGAATTGGAGAAAATTGATTTCAACTGAAAGAATCATTTTATAATAGGATAAAGATTCCCTGTTTTGAATAGCTATTTTTTTTACATTTTCTTTCTCTCCTCCTACTTTTATAATTTTAGAATATTTGCCTAGTATTGTTATTAAGGAAAATTGATTGAAATTTATTTAACAATAGCCAGACACTTTGAAAAGAAGTTCATTCATCGGCTCGCATACCTCGTACTTCTCCTTCATGTCTTTGCTGTATTAAACAGAAAAAAAAAATTTTCATTACTAAAAAGAATCAATAAACATATACAATAAATTTTATAATATTCCTTACTCTATCAAGTTCTTCTTTTGTATTGTCTTCGATTGCTCGAATGTCTTCCATTGTAAGTCCATACCAACGATCCATCCAGCAAAAGACTTGCCGATGAAAATTGGTAAAAAGACGCCTTTCAGCTTTCTGAATAAAATGTTCAACCCGTGTTTGTAGTCCAAACCACTTGAATTCACATGTAACAAGTTTATAACACGTCATTACTGGTGTCACATTATTTTTCCAGTCTTTGCCGACCAGCGGACCACGACCAGTTTTCTGTGACTTAAATTTAGTTGGATCTTCATCTTCTTTGTAATCTGCACTAGCAATAGGATCATTGGCAATATCTATATGAACAACTTCTCGAATTTTCAGCTTATCAGCTGGTAATTCATGAACCTACAAAAGCAAAGTACACAATTAATAAAAGTTAAATGATAATAGAATTGCAGAAAGAAAAAAACTGTTTTATGTACATTATGTTGATTGCCAACATCACCAATATGAAATGATTCTATCATAATAATAAAATTATCCTTCATGTAACCTGGATTCTGTAAAATAAAATAAAATATAATTATTTCAATGAATATCATTGTTATAAATATTTATATTATTTATAAAAATAATACGAACGGTTATAACTGTCTTGCAGTATGGATAGGCATTCCATGCTTCTTCATGGATTTCTAATGAATTCTTTGGTAAAAGCAAACGTATAAACGCTGGTACTTTACTAGCTAGATGGTAAATTTTATAGGTGTACTGTCCTGAGGAGTATTTGCCTCCCAAGAGGGGATGATCCGTGAATGGTTCATTTTTTAGTACCTCAATACCTTCTCCACCGCCTGTGTTATTTTTACTTGCTTCTGCTACTGAATAGAGTTGAGCCACTTGATACTAAAAAAAAATATGATAATAATGTCATAAAATCGATTAATTATATTTCAGCATGATTTTTCTTTTTTATACTCATGGTGTTTAAAAGTCTCATAAAAGTATCTATTTGATACTCAAATTATCTAGTATTAATTTAAATGATAGAGTAGGAAATGATAGATAAATAGTGCAATGTCACTAAAAGCAATCTCTATCAATTTTTTTTTCGTTTTGGATCCTTGTATTTAAAGACACGCGAAATGACTAATTGCACCTTATGTTTAAGATGCATGACGTACCTCTTCAACCGTAAGTGGCAGAGTGACACGGCTGTAACAAGAAAAAATTTATTGGATTATTAAATATAAGAAGAATCTTCATCTTAAAATCAATATTTTTAAACAATAGGATTATAATTATTACGAAGTATCATTTAAAGACCTCGATGTAGAACATTAGGTCTCTGTTGTCGGCATTGTCCTCGACAACTTGACGTGTAAAGTAATAGTCACATTGGCAGATCGCCGGGCGCCAATTGTAAGTCAAACTAAAAATCGATAACGCGTCATAAGGATAATATAACTAGATATTATAATGCGAATTTTTTTTTTTATATAAAAAGTAGGCATTTTATTTTCATTTCATGGCCTTCTTTTATTGACGAGGAATTTTGTAAGATTTCATTTTAAAGATAAGATGACTATAAAGAGAAAAGGGAAAAGAAATTTTAGACTACTGGTGGCAGAATGAGGAAGCCAAAACGGGGGGATGACGAAGGCCAACCCCTCCGACACAGTATCCATTGAAGATTTACAATATGATGGTAGTCCTTCAATATCTCAAAAAGAGATTTTTTTTCAAGTTCAATTGTGCTTACGCGGGAGAACTCAAGGTAGACATTTGACGGTACGTGTCCGGAAGTCTCCTTCTAATTCCCAATAAATCATATTCAATCTATCTATCTCACTCTCACTAAATCTTTGTTAAAATTAGAAAAATTATAATTATATTATGTATAAATACCACTCACAATTCTTTGATGAGCATCTTCAGTTGATGGAACACATGAACTAAAGTCAATTCAATGTATTTATTCCTTTTTACTGGCCAGCTGAATATAATCGGCCACACAGTACCACGACTACACCACCCTCGTCGACCTTCCGTAAATTCACACTGGCACGGCCTCGACTTGATCGCTTTTATCTACCTTCGGGACCGCAGTGGAGTACTCACACAACCTTATTCATTAGACCCCGTGTGCCGAGTATAACTGATACTGATCCCGGAATATGCGTTGGTATCTAGAGACTAAACAAAACCGCGCCAATTAAATCGCTATAATTAAATTCGTTTATTAACGACTAATAAATGACACTTAAATAATTAAATACCCGTTTTTAAAGCATATCTTGCGTGATAGTATTTTTCAGCTCCGCGTGCTTGATGACGCTAAGACGCTACACGTTCTTGGTAAAATTATAATATTTTAACCACTGTAAAAATTTAAATTTTATTATTAAAATAATTATTTTTTCTTATTCGTTAATTTATGTTTTAAAATTATATTATTTTCTAATTCTTAATTTTATTAATTTTCTTTTATAATTATTTAATTCAGTAATTGTATTGACAAACAAATACCTTACAACACTCACGTACACTTGTCACTAAAGTTTACATAATTGCTGTTAGAGGCGTTAGTTGTATATTTTGACTAATAGGATTTGAGAGTTTGCAAATACTCCAAATGGCAACATTAGAAAATAAAAATCTCTACTAAATGAGAAACGGTGTGAAAATGTATAAGGCCCAAGTTCACCATTAGCAAACTGCCAACTTCTGCCAGACGTTGGTACCAATCCAAATAAATAAAAAATTAAAGAGCCTGATCGTAACATACATAACCTAAAATTTGTTATAAAAAAGTAATGCAAAGTTATTGTGCAATTCGTGTAAAAACAGGTAATTATAAATTAAATAAATTATTAAGATGTTGTTAATATTTAAATAAGTTCTTTAATTTTTAATTTATTTGGGTTGGTACCAGTATCTGGCAGAAGTTGGCAGCTGTGATTAGCAGTTTGCTAATGGTGAACTTGGGCCTAAAACATCATACGGAAACAATGTATTTCCATAGTAATTTTTGTTTTCTAATGTTTTTCCTAGGGGAACGAGTGTTTTCATATTCAAATAATATTCAGTGGCAACCCTTATACAGCAGCCATTATTTAAATAACCAATAGCATCTTTTCTTAGAGTTGACGCCTATTTCATAGAAATCAACATGTTAAATTAAAGGACAGCACCAGTCCGAAGTAAGAGCGAATGAAAAGAAGCATAGAGCCGGAAATGGCGGAGCGTGATTGATTCTTTTAATTTTTATACGTTATAAATTGTGTATTATCACTAGTCTCTGAAATACTCAAGTATTGTAATAATGGTATTGAATATGTGAATTTTTTTGTTTATATTTTATCAATATTTTGAAAATATTATATTACTTTACAAAATGGCTTTCATGTTAATTCAAATTATATTTTCTAACTAACAGTGTGTTAACTCAATCACTATTGAAGGATATTTTTTACACAAAAATATTCATTTTTGAATTCCGTACTGATTTAATGATAAATAAAACAATTATTAAAGATGAAAGAAAAATAAAAGATATACATATTATGATATGGAGAAGCGAAATGGAACATCAGCCTCGTGGGGGCCTAGAAACAGAGCGCCACGATTTTTTTTTTGGGTAATAACGACCGCCTTCGTGTGCATTTAGCGAAAGTGATGAGAGTGATTGTGTGATGAAGTTCTCAGAAATTAGAAAAAAGTAAAAATGACTAAAGAAGCTCATCAAGTGTCTATAATAGTCTACTCTACATCAATACTTATATCAAATAATAATTGTTTAGATATTTTAGACTATGCTAAACTATGATGAACTCAACTTAAACTAAATCTCGTGTTATTGCATCAAACATGTATTTATTCTAATCATGTTTTGCATCTATTGACTGTGGATATTTGAATTTTCATTCAATAAAATCAGTTTTAAAGATCAATATTCAATAAAAAAATCAACACGATGGATGAATGTATGCTTAATGATTTACTGGAGTGTTCCGTTTGTCTTGAAAGACTGGATACATCAAGCAAAGTTCTACCCTGTCAACATACATTCTGTAAAAAGTGTTTAGAAGAAATAGTTAGCACACATCGTGAGTTACGATGTCCCGAATGTCGAATTTTGGTTGATGCTAAAGTGGACGATCTACCACCAAATGTTTTATTAATGAGAATTCTAGAGGGAATGAAAAATGCAACACCAAAAAGCTCTAAACCATATTCGAGGTCTACTTCAGGGCCTTATCGATATTTTGGTGCACAACAAATAACATCAGCACCTGCTGTTAATACAAACGTTACTCCAGTAGTTCTTTCAGCTGATCCTGCCCGACATGCAAATACCTCAGCGAAGCAGGTGCACCTACATAATCAACCTTATGGTCGAGCAATATATGATTATGTATCTAAAGTTCCTGGGTAAATAATTAATTAATTTTATTCTTATTATTTTTCAAAGAGTCATTATAATAATGATGATAATATTATTTCCAGGGATTTGAGCTTTAACAAAGGGGATATTGTTATTTTAAGGAAAAAAATTGATAACAATTGGTATCTTGGTGAATGTGGGGCAAATCATGGTGTATTTCCATTATCTTATGTACAGGTAATTTATGTTGCAAATAATTTATATCTTTTATATCATTGAATAAAGTTTACAAAAGCTAATGAAAATAAACTTATATTATAGGTGATGACTCCGTTGCCTCCGCATGTTCCTCAATGTAAAGCATTGTATGATTTTAGAATGACTAATGATGAAGAAGATGGTTGTCTCACATTTAATAAGGTAAATAAACATCGATATCCTGTTAAATAAAATTTTTAATAATTTTACTAATAATATTTGTCTTTTTAGGGTGAGATCATTAGTGTTATACGAAGAGTCGACGAGAACTGGGCTGAAGGGAAACTTTTAGACCGAATCGGTATCTTTCCATTGGCGTTTGTTGAATTAAATAGTGTTGCACGGGCTCTTATGAAACTATCAACAAATGTACAACCAGGCCCATCCCGTGTAGCTCCACCAACACCAACAAATGAAGAGACAACACCTCTCATTCCTACAGATCATTCACGTAACGTCCAAACAACGAGTCAACCTCGACCACAGGCAACTCCAACAGCCACTCTACCTGTCTCAGATTCTAGTTCAACTGTTTCATCAGGTGGAAGTTCTACAACTACAACTCCAAATACTCCTAATAGTTCTACAAATTCGAGTAGTTCAAGTACTGCTCCAAGTAGTCCAAGCAGTCCAGCTACTTCACCATCAGCAGTTGGTGGTAGACACAGCGTTAAACGTCATAGTTTTACTGCAGTAAATACGGGACATCATCCTCATCCACATCATAGACATAGTGCTGAAATACTTAGCCCTCCGGCTGTTGATTCATCATCTTTAAATACTGGAAATGTTAGTGTAACTGCTGAAGTTTTTTCGCCATCACAAACAACTGCTCCAGAACACAGTTTACGTCATCGTAGAAGTGGTAGTAGTGATTTAGTTTTAGCTCAACCTTCATCGAGTTTACCATCATCAAATTCAACTACTAATTTGCCTGCGGCATATGTAGCGCTTTATCCATATAAACCTCAAAAAGCTGATGAACTTGAGCTCCGTAAAGGTGGTATTTACATGGTAACTGAACGTTGCCAAGATGGATGGTTCAAAGGAACTTCTAACCGTACTCAAAAGTGTGGTGTTTTCCCCGGAAATTATGTTACACCTGCTAAATGTCAACGAGGAATCTGCCGTGTATCTTCAACGGGTACTCATCAGACTTCAACTTTAACCACTGCACAAACAAGTGATCCTAGAATTACTGTTACGTATACTAAAAATAAAGGAACATCTCCACAGCCATACAGTCCAAGATCTCTTCCACCTCCTGAACTGCCACCTCGAGCTATCAGCCCTTCACCAGCCGTTTCTGCATCTTGGCATGGTCAGGGCCAAGGTCAAAGTCCTCCACGTATTTCTGAACCCGTTACTGCCAATCCTCTTGGACGTAGTCAAAGTGCAGTTATGTCTCCAAATATTGGTAAGTTTGTTCTTTGTTTGTTAATTATAGAAAAAAAAACATAATTCTTGAAATGATATTAGAAAAATTTATCTTCTAGCTTCTCCCGGAAAAACAATGTTATCTCCACCTACTAGTGCAATTGCACCTGCAATCACTAGTTCAGATATAAATCGAAGTCCATGCAACACTTTACGAATTACCGGAGGTGTTACACCACCTCCAAATACCTCAGCTGCTACTTCAACTGCGAAACCTAACGAAAAAGTAAAGGTTTATTATCAGTTTATTATTTAAACATTTTAATAAAGATTGAAAAGATGAATAATAATATTATTTTTTTTTTAGACGAAAGAAAAAAAAGAAAAAGGTGTTTCTCTCATGCGTCGATTGACAAATATTAAAAAATCAAAATCTCCACCGCCTGCTACTTATTCCATAGACAATCCAGTCTTTGAAGATGGAAATTTTGTAGCATCTGGAGATGCTGTTCATGTCCGGTAAATACTTAATTAATTGTATTTGTATTAAATGTAAAAGAAATTGATCTTAGTTGTTTTGTGTTTGATCTGTGTTGTAAAAATCAAAGTGAGCACGTTTTGTGTTTAGAATTTATATTTATCACAGTTTTTATTGTGATGTTAGATTTATTTAATTAATCCTGCATCACTAACGAAGTCCCTTGACCACTAATTCATAATCATTTTGGAGGGGTCAATATTAAAATAACTAGCAAGGTAATGTAATGCTATTTATATTCTAATATAAACTTGGTAATGGGTGCGAGATCAGATCGGGATCCTGCCCGAGTCAATTGCTACAGGTTGGATCAAGTCAACAGGAAACATCAAATAATCAACGATTATATCCCAGCACTGTTCAAGGCACATTCACAACATCCCAGAGGGTAAAACATAAGGAACGACCCTCATTACCTATTTCTTTTCTTCAGAGGTTAGTCTATGCTTATAGGTTTTTTTTTACTTAACTATAAATTCAATTGCTTTAAGTGCATTTATCAATGTGATTAAATATGTGTGTTGATTTATTTAGTGTTTGCACGATGAGCTTCTGCTCTAATTGCATATATTGCTTGTTGAAGTATGTTGATTAACAAGTCACGTTTACATAATATAAGGAAAGATAAATTTTTCTTCCTCAATAGTGTTTATTCAATTAAAGCAACATCATTTTTCAGATCAAGTGATGCAGGTGGAGTTGTGGCTGCTTCAGCAAATCATCATCGGAAGAGTAATTCTTTAGATGCTGGTATGGGAAAGCAAAGTAAACAACCACCAGTGATACGTGAAAGGTTTGTTTAATCTCTTATACTTATGTTTAAGAGACTGAACAATTTTATAAAAGTTTCCTAATAAATCATTTAATAGAGACCGTGTCAATAGATTTCGTTGCATTGTACCGTATCCACCAAACAGTGAATTCGAGCTTGAACTTAGAGTTGGAGATATCATTCATGTTCACAAAAAACGCGATGATGGATGGTATAAAGGAACTCAACAACGTACGGGACGCACTGGTCTGTTTCCGGCGAGTTTTGTCGAAGCTTTCTGAGATACAACACAAGGTCGTCTCGTCTTGGAGACTTGTATTTAATTCAAGTATTTTAAGAAGAGACAACCTGACATTTTGTCAATCTTTTTGTCTTATAAAAAAAAAATTATTATTTATCATGATAATTGATAAACTTTTTTGGGTGATATAGAAATGAATAGAGATTATGAAAAAATGATTGCCCTAATAACAACTCTAGTAAGTAGAGTAAAAAAATTGAAATATTTGCTCGTAAATATTAAATCTGTGTGCAATATTCATTACTGCCATCAATGTACTGAAAATTTGTATATCATTAACAAACAAAAACAAAACTAAAAGAAAACATAATAGTAAAATCAGCCGTTTCCTAAAAATAATCTATTATAGTTATTATTAAAAATTATAAATTCAAAAAGTTTAAGGATTCGATATAAATTTAAAATTTATGAAACAATGTGTACCAATAAGACTAATTTTATTGAGACTTACAACTACCATTTTACAAATAAGAGGTAGATAACAAATAATGCTTTTCGGTTTGTTTTTTATGTTGCGTTTTAATTGGAAATGACTGATGTAATAGTGTTATTACAAGAATTTATTATTCTTCATTTAATATTTCATTTTTTTTTCGCATCATTCTTAGCATCTATTTAATTTTCATTTTATTTTCTATTTTATATATATATATATATATATATATTTTTAAAATTTTATATTATTATTTTAAATAATAATTAACTCTATAAGAGATAAATAGAAAATTTTTTTACATTTTTTTCTTACTTTTTTAAATTTTATTATTATAGACAATATTATGAATATCATATAGCACGAATAATTAATGACAAAAATAATTAAATAGAATACTTGTATGCTATGTTTATTATTTACGTGCTTCCAGTGTTCAATAGATCAGTATTCGAATAAGAATTTCATCAAGTACGTATTAATTATTGTGTTAAACAGTCGTTTGCTAAAATTGCGTATATTGAAATTTTTTTTATTCCAATCATTATTATCTAATAATTGAATAATATACAATTTATTTTACTAATAATATTAACACGATAGTATTGCGTACTTATCAATGAAACGCACTCATGTATATTATTAATTAGTTTAATAAAATAATATAGCACAAACAACAAATTTGTTGTTACATATATATATATATATATAATTATATATATGTCATACAATAGCATATTCAATTACTTCAAAATGATCACTTGTACCTAAAGCTTTTGACAATGTGTCTTTAGTAGAAGACTGCAAAAGCTGATAAAATAATATTTGTTATATAACAGTATACTAATTATAATAGAATGAATCAATGGTGAATAATTGATCAACTGAATTTTCATTTTTTGATTGAATAATATATCTGATCCGTACATTTTATCATTATTATATTACAGTAAAAATAATGTTTGAACAAGACACTATGTAAACATTAAATGAAATTTGTTTGTGTGTTAGACAAACGGAGGTATTGTTAAACCAACTAATCTTGAATTAGATAGTTGATGAAAATTGATCATAACTTACACTGCTTAAAAGTATACGTAAAATTGAAACCACATAATTTCATATTTTAATAATAGAATTTTGGCTCTTTAAAGATTAATTCAAGTAACAAAATGTAAGCACAACATTTTAAAAATATTTTACTGAGTTTCTTGAAATATTGATAGCACTGATTTCAAGTTTTCACAAAGTTAATGTATTATTAACGTCTCTTTAATCTTATCGTACACTAATTGTTACTTTTATGATATCTGAAAAGAGTTAACAATAATTCTTTTTTATCTTGTCTTGGATTATACATTTATACATTCATTTTGTATAATTGTAGATCAATAAGTCGCATAATATAAATGAATCTGTAAAGAAAAATAACTAAATAATTGTGTATATTAACGCACAAATAGATGTTTGCATCTTGAAAATGTTTCTTTCAAATACGCAGAATATTGCAATTTATTAATTGTAGCCACAATGTAGAATACACTCATCTTACACGTAAAATATCCCTCTGATATCATTTTAAAAATATTCTATTTCTTCATTTTTTATTCAATTAAAAGAAAATATCAATAACTGTTCTGACTAATTTATTCTGTATTGTACATTATTTTAGGAATCATAAAGAAATATTAATTTAATCAATAGAATGATTATTACTGCCTTTAATTAAATATTTTATAATCAATAATGAAGACTTATTTTTAATATAATTTATTATAAATTGTCAAATGGAATTTTTGTAAATTCATGCCTATTATTTGGATGAAATTGTATGATTTTTAATTAATTAATCATTTTTAAAAATTTTCACATGCATATATGTACTCTTATAATTATGATTGTCTTTAGAATATTTTAAAATATGAAGACAACATGTCAGAGAAACTATCAGTTACTGCTAACTATATTCTACTCTTAAAAATGAATTGATGATAATCCAACTATGCATCTAAATCTCTAAATGTTGTGCCCAACATAATAATTTACATTTCTAGTATTTAACTAATATACTTAAGTTATTCACATACAAACGAATGTTAATAAACTGATGAGAATGTGAGTGAAACAAATTGTTCAGCTAATTTATTGCCTTTAACTTTTTTTGTATATTAAAATTTTTATGAATATGATATTTTTCCTAACAATAGTTCATGAATTTCCGTTTTAAATACATTACTGATAACTAATTGATTATTAATGTGTATGATATAATGAAAAAATTAATACTCATATGACCAATTAAATTGCAAATTGTCGATTATTTATTTTATTATTAAAAAATTGGCCAATGTCAACTCATTAAATGAATTAATAAAGAATATATTCAATTGCAAAGAAAAAAAAATCAATTTAAAATAATAGTCTTTTTTAATCCAGTACAAAGTACTTGCTTTACTTTATCAGTATTTTTTTATGATAACATTAATTATATGCATTTAATGATACAGGTAATAAACCACAAGTATTAATAAGTCAAGGTTATTAGTTCAATTTTTTTTTAAAAATTAAAAAATCTTAGTGTAATAACAATTTTTATGTTTCTAAACTGATCACATTATGATTTACTTATTTTAATTTTAATATTCATGTGTTTATTAGTTTTAAAATAAATAGTTTCGCGTAATTTTCGAGTAAATACATCCGACATTCATGACAAGCACACAGTTGTTGTATTTGTGATGAATATATAGTTGTGTTACACTCATGTATATTTGTTGTGAGGCTTTCTGATACTTCATTTATTAGCATAAAATGAAATTGTAAACTTTTAAATATAATTAAAGTAATGAAATAAAGCTTTTATTTTGATTGAAAATATTCAATAAATATATTATATTAATGGAGACAAATTTGAAAAATAAATATAAATAAGGTAAATATAGTAAAGCAGAGTTTAATTTCTTTTTTTTATCTTATTTTATTGTCTCGTATTCAGTCTGTGTTTAATACATATGTGGTACTTTCTTGTCACTTTCATGGCCCTTAACAACAGTACACAGGGGCTTTTTTTAGTGGAATAAATACAACTTAATAAATAAAGTAAGTAATACATTTTGACAGTTATTTATTGTTTATTAAAATAGTTTTGGTAAATAGCATTTATTTTTGACAATGTGTTGTTATTATTAATACATAAAATTAATAAATTTTTCGAATGAAGAAGAGCAGTAGAATAAATGAATTGTCACTGTAGCATTAATCAAACATTCGACTTTGACCTGTGCTAATTTTTTTTCACGAATATCGTTCTTGATCAGAATTATTGTACATTATATCGCTTTAAAGATATTGGTCTAAAGAATTTCAATGCTTATTCAGTATTCAGATATTTCATGTTCATGACATCAAAATATAATTTGATTTTTTCAACAGTCGAATTCTAAATTTAAAATTTAGCTTACATTCATTTTGAACATATTTAATTGGTAATAAAGAGAAGTATTTAGATGCCGTTATAATTTGTAAGTGTAATATACTTTGGAGGTAATTTATTCACATCATTAAAACTTTTTCAGAATCTGTTAGATTGCTATTAAAATCTCAAAGATGTCTTTTGCACGAACATTTGTTTTGACTGTAATCAAATGTCGTGTGGCAGCTATTCGTCAATCACCTGGAGTTGGTAGGAAGCAGAATCTAGTAAGTTATATTTTTTAAAAATTGCTTTCAAGATAATAAAGATAATTAATTTTTTATTTAGCTTGTAGGATTTGTGGCATGTAGATTTGCTTCTACTCAGCAAATTACAAAAAATATTGAAGTTATTTGTCAAGATGAAACACCACCGACGTTAGAAAAGCCATTTACTGCTGATAAACCTGTCGATAGACCTCTTCTAGTTCTTATGGAGTGGCTTTTTGCAAAAAAAAAACATGTCATGAAATACGGAAATATATACCTTGATCAAGGTTTCGATGTATTGAGGGTTCATGCAGGTCCATTGGATTTGATATGGCCGGCTAACGGTACTCGAGTAAGTTGCGAATAAAACTTAGATTATTTAATTAAAAAATTATTTATTTTATTGTAATAAAAATTATTTAATTCTTTCAGGTTATTGCAAAAGATTTATTACAATTTTTAGACTCGAATACCGGCTATAATCAAATAATGATCCATGGATTTTCTATCGGTGGTTACATATGTGGAGAACTACTTGATCATGCATATGTTGATCGTGAACGATATAATCGTTTATTTGAAAGAATTGTATGCCAAATATGGGATAGTGCCGCAGATGTTACTGAATTAAGTATTGGAACTTCCAAAGCTGCCTTTCCCAATAATGAAACACTCCAAAAACTTTGTTACAAATATATGGAGTAATATTTTAATTACCTCTAAAATTTTTATTTTATTTTGAAATTAAATTAATCCAGCAATAATATTTTTACAGATTTCATATGAGAGTTTTTTACAAACAAGCAACACAGTATTATTTACGATCAAGTCATCATTTTAATAAAGATCCTTTACGTGCTCCAGCATTATTTTTGGTAAGTAAAAAAGATCCTGTTGGTACAGTTGCTGCAAATGAAAAGGTTCGAACTTCGTGGGCTTCACTTGGAATACAAGTAAGTACATAAAATATGTAATTAAAAAAAATTTAAAGAATTATATTAATAATTAATTGTTTTTTTGTTACAGACACATAGGAAGGTATTCGAAAATTCAGGCCACGTAGGTCATTTTCATAAATATCCAAAAGAATATGTGCACGAAATTTATAACTTTTTAGATAAATTAAAGATGATAAGGAATGAAGAAAAAATTCGTGCTTATATGTAATGCACATATACATAATATGTTTATAATTAATTAAAAAGATTATTATGAGGTTTTTTTTTGTATACTAATCAATGATATGTTATAATATTGTTTATTAAGAACAATTTTGGAAATGCCTTAAATCGGTGCCTTATATTAATCTTTTATTTTTCAATTGAATATATGTGTCTTTCTAAGTAATAATGCAAACATTTGAATTAAGAATATATTATTCTTTATTATTGTTAAATACTTATGTTTACCAATTTTTGATCTTTAAAATAATAAATTATTATTTTTACATTAACTATATAAAAATATTTTAATGTTTTGTTAAGTTTACATAATTGTTCTATTTTATCTCTTCATTCTCATTAACATTTTCCTCATTATTTTGTTCACTATCTACAATATTCTTGGATTTTTTTTTCTCTCTCTTTTTATGTTTCTTTTTTGGAGCAAGAATCGCTTCAATTTCCTCCTCAGTTTTACCTTCCATGATCAATTTTTTCCGTTTATTAATCATTTTCTTTTCATAAAAATCAGTCTCATCTAATTTTATTTCAGCTTCGCGCTTTGTCACTGATATATGCGTAAATATCGTCACTATCTCTTTATCTATGAAAAAGAATTGAATATATTAATACAAAATGAATATTAAAAGCTATAAATTGATTATAAAAAAAATGATTACCATTAACTTTAAACTCTGTAAGTTTTGTTCCAATAGTTTCTTCAATAGTGTGTAATAGTTTAATATCATGAGGAGTTATTAAAGATATTGCCATTCCATTACGGCCAGCTCGAGCAGTTCTACCTACTCGATGAATATATTCTTGTGGAACATTAGGTATAGAATGATTGATAACAAGTTCAACTAACGGTATATCTAAACCTCTAGAAGCTACATCAGTTGCTAGTAAAATTCTTACTAAATTTGATTTAAATTTATTCAAGGCAGCCAGGCGTTCTTTTTGCTTTATCATAGCATGTAAAGCAACATTTTCAAATCCTACTTCATTTAAAGTCATTGATAGTAATTGACAGTTCTTACAAGTATCTGCAAAAATCATGATTAATCCTTGTTCATTCGTACTCCTAAATGTTCTGATCACTTCAACAAGGAAAGCATCACGAATATTTTGTGGACAAAGCACATAATGTTGAGTAAGTTCCCGTACTGTTGCTATTCCAGTATCATCATTTGCTTCAAATTCAAATACCTTATTGGAAGCAACTTCCTTTACTTGAGCTAGAGTATGTGTGATAGTTGCACTAAACAATAAAGATTGACGTTTTTTCGGTAATGCAGAAAAAATTGTCTTTATCTGTTCGTCAAAATGTCCACTTAATAATCTATCTGCTTCATCTAATACTAAAAACTTTATTCTCTGTAAGGAAAAGGTATTACAGCTCTCCAGATGATCAGCTAAACGTCCAGGTGTTGCTATAACGATATTAGGACGATTTGATAATTCTTGTCCTTGAGCTACCATGTCCATACCTCCAACAATTACACATTTTTTTAAATTAATAGGTTTTCCAAATATAGCAAATTGCTCAGCAATCTAAAATGGAAAGTGAAAGTAAGTAACAAACTAAAAAAGAAATAACAAAAAAAGATCTATGATAAGTTGACACCAACTTGAAATGCTAATTCTCTTGTGGGTGTTAAAATGAGTGCAAATATACCATAAGGATCTTCACAAAGTTTCTGTAAAATAGGAAGAGCAAATGCTAAAGTTTTTCCACTTCCAGTTTTTGCACAACCAATGCAATCATATCCCTCTAATATTTTTGGAATACAATTCATTTGAATTGGAGTTGGTTTGCGAATACCTAAAAGAAATATAATATAATTATTACAATAAAAATTTTACATTAACCAAATCATTTTTATATTTACCAATGTTTGCACATTGCTCCACAATCCAAGAATTTAAATGCAAATCCCGGAAACTTTTAACTTCTGCACTCATGGTGTATTTAAAAATTTATATAAACATCAACAACACAATATATGAAATAATAAATTGTTTGTTATTTTTTCTATGTTTATTAAATACTAAAAATGAAATCATAATATTATGTGTTGACATGTGCTTCTGATGCTATAACCTTCTTTTTCTCACGTGTTGGTAGCACTGTATTTATACCACGTGATCAAATATGGTGGCTCCTAACCGGAGGAAATTTTCAAAAATCAATAATGACCAAAGAATACATTGTCTGAAATTATTTATTGTGATATTTTAATTAATAAAAAATAATAATGACCGTGAAGTTTCTTTCATTATTTTGCTGAATTTTTCTTCATTAGCATATAATACAATCGAACGAAGATTATTGTAATTTTATATACGATGAATCATTCAGAAAAATTGTAAAGACAATGAAAAGTATATATCCACAAGAAGCTATAAAATGATCGTACTCGATCATTATATTTTTGTCACAATTTTTCTGACGAGTATAACAATGGATAATTATGTCTTTACATTTAAAAATGATTAATAAAAGATATTGTTTATATTCATTAAATTAATAACGATATTACACATTCCAAATAAAAGTGAATTTATATCAAATTAACAATTAAAAAATTTACTAATGGCAGTGACAGAAAAAATCTAGATTGAATTAGTTTTATTTTAAGCGCAATATTTATAATTTTGCACTTCAACTTCTGATCGTGCCCAAATTTAAAAAAATAATGATTAATAAAATTGACGTTTTAACGTTGAAAAATGTCAAAAAGTCAATGGTTAACTTTTCTTGAATCATAAAAAGAAAATTTTCAACATTTTTAAACAACAAATAATACTTTTTCTAGTTTCCCCCCCCCCATTTTTCTATGATTTTATAAATATATATACGCCAAGTTTTTTTTATCTTACTTTAGCCAATTATTTTCATAGAGATGTAGTTTATTATTAAGACTTACTATTTTGTTTTCATTTATCTTTCTTATTTTTTTCTGCATAGTTAAGATCAATAAATGAATTATGTCAACAATGGACTGATAATTTTCGCCATTTTATCAATAATTTTACAAAAGCTACTATTCGAGATTAACATAAAATACAATGACAATAAATAAATAAAGAAATAATTCATAATGTAATTTTTTTGTTTTTTTTTTTTTTACTTTTATTCTAGAGGAAAAATTTACGCGATTTCAAAGTTCTCAAAAGAATGATCTATCTTTTATAGAATATTAGTATTTCAGTTCTAAAAATTATATTCTAGGGCACATCATCGAAATAGTGTTTTATCATTCATAATTACCTAAAAATTGATGTGATTAATTAATTCTACCCCACTGGCAAAAAGTTATCTTATTCATGATCACTACAAATTTCACTGTTTTAAAATGTAATTTTTCCAACTCATTTACAATAATAATAATAATTAATAATAATAATAATAATAATAATAATAGTAATAATAATATTAATGATAGTAATAATTCAATTATCATATTTGGGAATATATACGTCCGTAAACGAAAAATGAATTTTAAAATTTTTAATGCGCACCATGTGCAGCATAGAATTAATTTGAAATTTAATTTTTCATATTTTAAAATTATTTTCCCTGACTGTAGCGACATTTTTCGTAACGTACTGCATTCTATCGCACTCGTGTTTTAATTTAATTTGTCAGTGTAATTTTACGAGTGTTATTTACAATTATTGCATAATATTTTATTCGCGCATTTATATTATGTTCAATATTTAATGCAGCAAATGATTAATACTAATACGAACTATTTACTTCAACTAATTATCTCATGTTAATACTATATTATTAATATACATAATATGAGTAAGATTTTTCTTTAATTAGTCCTCAATTAAAATAAAGGTCTACAAACGAATGTAAATCTATTGAATGTTCAAATTTAATTTTTTTTTTTTTAACAATTATTTTGGAATTTTTATAAAAAAGAATGTTTATTAATTATTACATTTGCTGCAAAAATTAATAATGATAAATTTGTGATTTTACTGATTATAATTAATTACTTAATGCATTAAATCATTAAGAATGCGGTAAATCAATAGTGTGAGTTTCATTGCCAAAAATCAGTCGAAGTCTTTTCATAGGAGGTGGTGGCGGTGAATCAAGAGTTATTTCGCGTTTCTTATGTCGCCTTTCGCGATCACGAGTTTTATGTTTTTTCTTACGTCTTGTATTTTCTACACCTTCTACTTTGAGTACTTCATACTCCGGTTCAAAACTGTCTTCGCTCAGACTTGTTCCTGATTCAACAACATCATCTAACACTGGGGATCGTTTCATACGTAGTGTAAGTTTTAATCTTCCACCAGGACGGTCTGGTGTTGTCGGACATTCTTTATAAGTTGGCTCACTTTGCCATTGATATTCCGGTAATACAGACTGTTTTCTCGAATTATTGCTGTATTTTAAATTAGACTCACACATATTAAGTGTTTCACATTCTTCTTTAGATACATTTTCTCGCTTTGCAGGCCATGGTTCTTCTCGAACAAGAACTGGGGGTTCATTTTTACTAAAATCGCTACGAGGTTCTTCGGGTTTAGAATTAGAAATTTCAATTACACGATTTTCATTTTTATTGGGTCTAAGTACTTCAACATCCTCGAGATTACTTTCTTTTTCACTGAATTCATAAATATCTCCTTGAATTCCTGAATCATCGTCAGTAGTAGCTCCAACTACAGGTGTCGTAGTGATAATTTTTTTATTATCTCTCCGAGAACTTCTAGTTAATCTTTTATTACATCCTGTTATTTTACTACGACCTTTTTTTGTTCTCTCCTTTTCATCTGTATTTGATAGGTTTTTAGTTTTCTTCGATTTTGTTGTACCACCTCTGTTTGCTCGTTTGTTTTTTCGTCGTGATCGAGAGATTGTTTTCTCTATCATTTCTGATTCATTACCAAATGATCTTTTCAGTGTAAAACTTCTAGTATCTTCAGATTTTTTACTAGTAGATTCATCTTCCAATTTATTCATATCAATGTTTGTTGTATTTAACTCATTTTTTTCACTAAAACCGGAATAAAAATCTTGATTATTATTCTCTCTATTTAAAGCTTTATCTGAAATAACAGTTTCTCGTAATCTTTCTTCTTCTTGTACTGATATTTGTTCTGTACAATCAATCTTCATTCTGGAATCTTTTGAAGTTTTGGGAAAATTAAAATTTTGTTCAGAAAATTCACTTACAACTGGTGCTGTTTTAGCATTCATTTGAGGGAATTCTTCAGTTTGGTTTTCATTCCTTTCATAATTTGTTTTCCTAGGTGTTTCACCGTGTGCTGGAGATTTTCTATGTTCAATATCTCGAGAATCAGATGTTTGAAGAGACTTACGTCGTTTTGATACCCCATTGAATGACGTAAGATTACACCAATGTCCGACATTATTTGTTTGTTGTTGTAAATTATTAATTGTAGATTCAGCTGTTTTCTCTATCTGAACATTTTCTTTAATACTCCCTGGTTTTGTTTCTTCTTTCTCTACAATTGGATAATTATGAACATTAAATTCTTTTTCAGAATTATCCATTTTTGACGGCAAAGTATCATTAAACTCTTTATTTTCAAATAAATTTTTAGCTAAAACAGGATAATTTCGATGTTTTGTACTACTTTCTACAGTGTCAGTGGAATTATGATTATGAGATGATTTTGATGGATTTTCTTTAGTTTCTTCATGAAAACAATTTATTGCCATTTGATCATAACTATCTTTATGATGATTCATTTCTGTATTATGATTATTGTCTGTAAGATGAACTGAAGGTTCATCAACATTTGCACGAGTTCTTTTTGTTTCAGTTCTTTTCTGAAGTCTTGATGCGCGTAAGCTTTGTCCATTTTTAGTATGTCCATTGCTATTATTACTACTAGTAGAATTATTATTATAGAGATGGTTATCGTTATTACTATTATTGTTGTTGCTTTCATTTTTAATAGTTTGTTTATTTCTTAAATTTCTTGTTCCGGGACCAATTATTGAGGACGGATGAGGTCTTGGAGCTTGCGATGAATTAGTACTATCTTCAGGAACTACAGGTTGCTGTTGTGCAATATCTGAAAATCTACAACCTTGAGCAATGAGTAGTTCTGCATCATATTTTGTTAAACCTTTACGTCGTAATTCTTTTATACTCAATGATTGCGGTGCAACTGCTGCATTACCGACAAGCATTGCATTTTTTTCATTCAATGCTCCATCTGCTTGATGTTTCGAAGCTCCAAGTGGCTGCTGACGATGTTTCGTACGATTTATACGATTATCTGTTTCTCTTAGACGATATCCTACAATATTGTCAATTAAAATTTATATTCAGCTTAATTATAAATAATCAAAAATTAAAATTACCTGTTGATAAATCATCACCGGGTTTTTGACTGGCAAATGCACCAGTACCACGTCGTTCACAAGTTTCACACTCACAGAAGCAATTACCATCTCCAAAGAAATCTTCACCATAGAAGCATGTTATTTCCTCACCGACTTCTATGTCTCGAAGTACTTTGACACATGCTGTATCTCGTCCAGTAGCTACAAATTTACAATTAGGACGACAATCATGATTAATGTAAGCTGCTGGTCCAAGCCATAACTGAGCGCAATTTTTGCGACAACTGAACATAACGGAGAAATCATTTTTTCCGGGATGCAACAACGCTGCCTCCTCTTTTTCACTAAGCTCAGCAATGCAACCAACAAGACATGGAATTTTATCATGCTTCAGCCATTTACGTGTTGCGCATATTTTAGCGCCTTTCTGACCTTCCAATGAATACCTATAACAGGGTTCAATAGCAAATCCAGAATCCTTATCAAAAACTCTCAAATAACGATAAACATGCTTCTGTAGATTAATCTGTTGTTGTTTAGATTTCGTGTGTGGTAATCTTGCACCCCAGTCACCACTCATTAATTTTTTATAAGTTTTCTCATAATTCTGAGTTTGAATGAAATCTGTTATTATTTTGCGGAGCTCATCCTTGTTAACTTTAAGTGGCCTATATCTATATTTACAAACAAAATAAAAGTTATATTATTAAAATATTGGAATATATTTTCATAATAGAACATCTTCTAAGATGATAACAAATGTGCACCTGATATTCATTTTATGTGTAACAAAACCCAAATATGGGTCTAATACAAGAGAAGTGGCAAGATCATCATTATCACACAGTTCTTTGGGCGTCATGCCGCCGGTGCCACCGCTAACTTCATTCGGCTGCATCTTGTTTCCTACCGACCCTCCCAATCTCCTCTCCTGCTTCCGCGCTGCAGCTGACCCCTGAACTGACAGACAATCCACCACCATTCTGCAACCTTTACACTCACTGAAATTAATTTAAATTATTCGATTTATTTCCATTTATTAACTGTCTTTTTGATTACATTTGTATTTAATATTTCCATATTAAATATTTAATATCAATCATAATATACGATTGCGTTTTACTATCAACAACGCTGTATCGTGCCAACAAAATTTTAATTAAACAGCAACTCTATTTACATCCTTACGTCAATGTTGAAAGAATTGTTTTTTATATTTTTTTATTGACATCATTGATGTTTATTCTTTAAATCACTTAACAATAATCATCAATATAATTCAAATAAATCGAATCAAAAAGGAATGACCAAGTAAATTGATATTTGGAATGAAAAAAAAATGATGTATTAAACAGTTGATAATTAAAGACAATTTAAAAAATTAAAAAATCGTATACTTGAGGTGGTAATATAAACAAAAAATTGTTTTAAATTTATAAAGCAAATAAATAGTAAAATTTGACAATTTGACACGAAAGTCAGACGACCATGCCTCAAAATGCTAATGGCCGCTCAGAAACTAGTATATAATCATGGGTCAAGTTTTAATAATATCAATTGTAGCCTATTCGACAATCTTCTTGAGATAAATCCGTAGCTAATCAAAAGCTCATTATTTGTAGATTATTTAGCTTACCATAAAGTGTTACTCCTCACAGAGGAGCTCCCACATTTCGCTGTAAATCCTTCACTTTTTCAGGGTGTAAAGAAGACGCGCTCCGATCTATCATGGCAGATTGATCGAAACATGCACACTCTAAATATTTATCTAATAATATTATTATTTTGAATATCTTCGTTAAGATAATAACAAATTAAAATTTTTATTCACAATTATTTTTCTAATTAACTTTAATGCTCTCAATTTTTGTAGGTTTTACAATTTTCAACAAGAAAATACACCATTGAGAACTATATGAAATCGCGTACGTCATGCCTATTTCTCTCAGGAACATGATAATCTGGGGAGTTTTTTTGTGAAGATTTTATTCAAGATATTCATTGTATAATTATTTGTCAAGATTTTTGATACCTTTTTTTCTTTAAACTTAATAATGGTTAAAATAATTACACCAGTTAATTTATAATAAAAATAACTTATATGTCGTAATAATGTTGAAGATACTTTTGGAGTACTTGTTATAGGGAATTATTTTTTTATTATTTTACAGCTTTTACGATGGTTTCCCTGGGTTACTATGACGACCATTTGGCATTTTGCGTGACACGTTGCTTAGCAACGTATTCTTTAGCGTCAAAATAAAATTTTGTCAGTTATTTAATTTTACATTGTTAAATGCAATGTATAAATTCTTGTTTTCACTTTTTTATAATTAAAATTAAACTTTATTTATTATTAAGTAGGAGAAAGTCAATTTTTAAAAATAACCTCTAAAATCACATATTTATTTAACTTTTAAAAAATAGAAAAATAATTCAAAATAAAATCACACAATTAGCAAATGCAATCATAGCAATGATAAATGAAAAATTTATTAATAATAAATATTTTTATAAAGTTATTGTAAGGCTGGACTGTAGACAGATTTTCCCCTTCAAAGTCTTTATGTAATTTGCCATTACAAATAACGTCGTTAAAAATGAATGATTTTTTTCAGTTTCAGTCCGAAATGGAAGCTTATTTCATTCTGTATGTCTTTCTACACGAGTATGAGCGATTTAATTTTTTTATTATAATAGAAAATCAAAATAAAATATGCATTTCGAATTCAGTAGATTTTGAGGTGTCATGGCGGCTCTCGCTATCATCAGCCCACCGCTTGGAAAACAATTCATTTTTTGATAACCAATAGATGCAGTATTAATCAAGTCATTATTGTAACCCTGTAAATGATGAATATTATAAACCTTCTATATTATGAAAATGTATAAAAACAGTAGTAATTAAAAAAATATGTACAAATCAATTGATCTTCAATACATTTTGTTTACATCAGCAATTGTGGTTGGATATTACAGGTTATGTTTTCATTTAACGACGTGGTTTGTCAACAAAAATTGCATAGGGACTTTTTAGAAGAAAATCTGTCTACAGTCCAGCCTGGAATAGAGAGCGACACAATTCAAAGATGGAGAAGTGAAGACACACACAGTGACAACTGTTGGTCAATTTTGTATTCTTTGTTGCAGATATTATAGTGGTTATGACGTGAATATTGCATAAACACTGAAAATTGTATGTAGTCCTTAAAAGTCTTTGGGATTTTACTGGAAATGTGGTCAGTGTGCTTACAAAACTAGTCTGGTTCATATATTGTATATAGCATTGAAGACGTGATAAACAGATAGATGTTCTCAACTTTGAATTTATCAATACAAAAAATGTACGCATTGAGCAATATGCCGCACACCCTTGATTTATAAATGGAGTCGAAAATTCTGCTGTAAAGAAGTAGAACTATCAGATGGTGTTTTGGACCATCTTATAGATGTAATAAAAAAAATCATTCATTACGGAATGGATATTTCCAGTTTGCTTGAAGTCCAAGTTAGAGAAATTCCGCCATTGGCAACTTCGATTTCAGGTTATATGTGTAGACATACATTTTTTTATTTGGTGAAAATTTAACATTTTTGACTAATTTTATTTTTTATTCAATTGAAAGACACTACAACAAAGGCACCAGTAAGTTTGAAGCCTTCTCAAATAATTAGCCATGATGAAACTGTGTTCTTTAACAAATTATTCGGAAATGGTAACAACAATAAATACAAATCATTTATTTGTTTATATTTACTCAAAGTTTGTTATTGAACGAAATGTATATATTGTTTTTCATGTACAGATATTGCTCAAGTACGGTTTCGACGGCTTCATTGCACAGCCTGTGATGCACATATTGGATCAGCACCATTTGATGCCGAAAATATGCATGAACATCCTATATTAAAAACACTCCTTTGCTCATCATGCCGAATTTTTTATGGTGACGGAGAATTTGAACAAGGAGATGATGCTACTGATATGTTTTGTCGTTGGTGTGCCAATGGTGGAAATCTTTATTGCTGTTCTTATTGTAGCAATACATTTTGCGATAAATGTATAAAACGTAACTTTGATTCGGTGATACGTAAAAAAATAGAAGCTGATGAAAAGTGGAAATGTTTTGTTTGTGATCCAAAAGACTTATATGTTCATAGAGCTGTTTGTAGAGCTTTGTTAGAGCACGTTAGGACATTAGCTAGGTAAAAAAATTTTTAATTACAATCATTCTTTTATCATTGAGCTCAATCATAAATAATAAAATTTTCTAGGATATTTATGACAGATCGTTCAATGTCTCAACAAGAAATAGAAACAAGAATGGAGTTAGATGATAGTCAATGTTGTCTTGGTCGAAATTTTAAGCGTAAACGTCACAATTCCGATTCAAATGATGAGGACAACGATTTTGATGATGATGATTATAATGATGAGGATTATGATGAAAATTATGAATCTAGATCGAGAAAAAGAAATAAAAATGGATCTCGAAAACGACGTAAATCATCATCATCATCTATAGCAAAAGAAAAACCACAAGCTACAGTAAATGGTACATCGAGATTTATTCCAATTGCACCAAAATATATTATACAAGATGTAATATCCACTGGAAAGGATAAATCTGATGAACAAGATTTACGAGCTCCATTATTATGTGAACAAACAATGATTGAATGTGAAAATCAAACTGTTACTCCACAAGGTATCGTTGTACCCGTTACTAAATATGTACGATCAAAAATTCCTGATTCCATTTTAAACAACACTGCTATTTCTCTTAATCCAATACCAAAACAAAATATTATTCATACAACACAAAGCCATAGTAGGCCAATAGCAATACGTCCTTTACACAAAGTCAATTCGATTCCTTCTGGAGCTAAAATTCATAGATTACCAACAAATACTATAAATGCTAATTCAATAGTAGCCATTCCTGCAGGAACACCTATTATAACGATGGATACATCTAAAAGCACAACATCTAATAGCACAACATCACAATCTGGAAATTATTTAAGATGTAAAGATTTAACTAAAAGTCTAAATGTAATAAATATTGATAGCGATTCAGAAGAAACAACGATAGTAAGACCATCGAATCCACTACAAATTGAAAATGATGCAAATGAAAATTCTGAATTAGTTGAAAAAAGTGCTAAATCGTTAACATCTTCAAGAACAATTAATTTTCAAGAAGCAATTGATCATCCTTTAAAAAAAATTGACGATCTACTTCAAGTATTTCGTAAACAATTAGAATTAGATTTTGAAACAATGGAGCGTACTCCAGGCGATGATGTTGTAGATAATCGTCAAAAAATCAAAATTATTAATGAAAATATTGAAAAGATTGTTAATGAATTGACAGCCTTTAATAATGTTATGGTTTCGAAATTTAAACCATGGAAAAAAGCCCATGAAAATGGAGAAACATTCGATGATTCTACAGAAATGATAGTTTTAAATAAACATGAACGATCTAGTAAATTTACGACTTTAGACATGGAGTGTGTAAGAGACTCTGAACCAGATGAAGAATATGAAGATGATAATGATATGGATATTAATTCTTTATTAGTTTTCTCTCAAAAAATAAACAAAATAATTGATATTAAAGATTTTATTAGTCAAGGAACTTTGGCAAGAATTGAAACTGAAGATAAAGCCATTCAATGTTATGATATTCCTAAAGAAGTTGATTTTGATAAGTCAATTGGTTATTCTTTACTAATGAAGGCAGATTATAATGATAAAGAAAATACAGAAATTTATAAACCAGTAATTATTCATGATAAAAATTTTGGAAAATATGAAGAGCAATTTATCTTCTATTTACAACATCTTGAAGATCGTAAGAATTTATGTGATGATGAAAATCCTGAAGAAATGAAAGAATTAGTTGATTTAATTGACACAGATTTAGAAAAGAATAATCTAATGAAAAAACTAAATAGTGATAAATTAATTTCTACGACAAAAGTAACGAAGATTATTTCTTCAGATAATTTAAATGATAATAATGAAAATTCATCAATTAATAAAAATATTAATATTTGTAATGAAAATGAAAAAATTTTATCTGAAAAACAATTAAAGGACTCTACAGAAATAATAAGACGAAGAAGACGAAAAGATAGTCATGAAGTTAAAGATAATGATGAGATTGTAATCGCAGTAAATTCTTTAATTGATGAAGAGGATTGTGTTAATCGTTGCAATAATTGGGAAAACTTATCGAATGATGATGAATGTACTATCTTGGACTAAACAATTGTACTAATTCAATTTTTTTTTATAATAATTATATTTATTACATTTATAATTTTTAGAGCTATTTATGATACAAAAAATAGTGTTATAAAAAAAAACCAAGTTTATAAATACACTCTAATAATTGGAGGAAAAATTTTAATGTAATATTCCTTGAATAAAAATACAATCCATTTTGGATTAATTAAAAAATGCTAAATAAATACTGATATTAATAACTATAATTAATACTGAATTTAAATAAATAGGTTCAAAAACTCGAATGCGTTAAAAAAATGGACATATTTAGTATATTTTTTTTAAACATAGGTTGAATAAAATCAAAAAATTTAATAAAGTAATGATAATTAAGTTTATATTTAGCTTGTGTACATATATACATAAATAATTTTATTTATATTTTGATTCATTTTTTTTATCATTCTTGAAGAAAGAGTTTTAAAGATAACTCAAATTATTATGAAGTTATTAATAATTAAGAAAATAAAAAAAAATTTAATACTAGTTCTGATGCATTAGTTCTTTAATTCCTATTGTAAAAGACATAAAGAATTTGTGTAAATAATTATCATTAAAATTTTATGCAAATTTTATGATTATTTCATAAAGTATAAAAAATAATGTATTTTCAAATATGCGCAAATACATAAAAATAATTAGAAAAAATTAAATATTGTAAAATTTTTAACATAAATTTACATAGTCTTTGAATTATTTGTGACCTTTTTAATGGTTTAATTGATAATCTTGGGTCAATTTGTTGTTGAATTCATTGAATAACGTTTTACGTAAAATTAATTCGATCACAAATAATTTTTAAAAAGGATATTTACTAGGTAATGTAAAAGATCCTTGATTTAATCATCTTTAATATCTAAACTGTCCTTTTCTACCCATTTCATTATGATAAACTCTCAATGGTGTATAATTACCATTTCCATTTATACCTGTAATAAATCAAAAGTTAAAAATAAATTGTATTTAATTATTTATAGATTTCGGTTTTAAAAAATCTATCATTATTTATATTCAACAAATTTATTTTATACTATTTATATCGTATCAAATTACCTTGAACGATAGACGGTGTCATTTTTGTATTTTGTATTGTTTGGGCGTGGCATCTAGGTTTAAGAAGGCCATGATAGATAAGAAAATAAAGAGTTGCAACAATTGCAGCAGCTACTGCCATACATTGATAGACAAATTTAAGAGAATTTACATCATTGTTTCCATTATGAACGTAGGCACCTACAACTGCTCCTAAACATCGCCCAATACAGAAATGGGCTATAACTGGTAATGCTTGAGCAGTTACTGTCAAATGACGAGGTAGAAGATGTCTCATGTAAAGAATAGCTGTGATCCACATGATGCCTAAAGTAAAAAGTTCTAGAGCTTCTGAAATTAATGCCCACCATGGATCCGATACTATTCCAAGGCCAACGAATCTAACGATATATGTAGTGAAAGCAACGATAAGTAAATTGCTATGTCCGCAAAAATCAACGAGATGTTCTGATCTCCATAAAAAGAAGATAGCTGGCAAAGCGCCGACAGTAAGAATTACTCCAATCGCCAGAGAATTTCCAGCTAGATCTGATAAGTACAACGATAAATAGCTATCCATTGCACTCCAGAATATTCCAAGGACAAGGAGGACTAATACAAGCGCAGCTGTTTCACTTCCATATCGTTTTACTGCACTCATTGGAACTGCCAGCATTCCTGACCTTGTATGCCACCACCATTCAGGTGGACTCAATGGCATTCCCGTAGCAGCAAGAGCAATAATTGACGCAAAAATCATTAAACCAACATAAAACACTATTGGTAAAAAGTATGCTGGTTTTGGAGGCATAATTGTGTTTAAGTAACCAACAAGTGGACCAAAGATTGCGAAACTAAGAGACCCAAATGCTATTTGACGACCGACATCCCCTCGTCCGCAAGATGTTTCTCTAGTTGCTATTACTATTGCAGCGTCTATCAGAGCCACTGCTGCAGTGGGAAAGATATCTGCTATCGAACGTATTGTTATGTACATCCAAAATGTCATGTCTGGATCACCAGCAACTTGACTACATTGATTTTCTGTATGAGAACTACCTAAAAAAATTTAATTTGTTATATCAAAATAAGCTTTAGTAATAAATATAATTAAAATAATAATAATGATGCTGTATTTTTTTAAAAAGTAACTTAATATGATGAAATCATATTGAAAGTTTTTTTTATTCAAATAAATTATATAAGTAGCTTACCGGAAAGCATGAATGGATCGAGTAAATCACATTCTATAGCGCAGCTCTGATTAAATTTTGCCATGGTAGTTTCCAATTCTCCAGGTATTCTGCAAGTAAAATTTTCAACAATGGGATAAGTACACCATTCATGTTTCTTTCGAGCATTATTGGCTTCCCTGAAGCTCACGTTGACGGGTAAACTACCCGAATTACTTGTGTAAACATGACAAACTCGATTTTCACCTTCATTAAAACATAAATGTGGTGGTTCACTATCTGGTAGTACATAACGTTTATGTTTAAAATTATTTTGACTTTTAATTCGCCATTCAATTTCTTCATTACTCAAACTCGTTTCCAAAGGATTCACTGTAATATCACCACTACCTTCAGAGTCCATACCAAGAACTCCAATATCAGTATTGATCTTATGTACATCTTTAGTATTAAATGATTGTTGATAGAATCTTTGGACAGTAGGATGACAATGATAATTACAATTTTTAAGCAATATTGCGCATATTCGACTTTCACTTGTCCAATTATAACAAGTGGAGAATTCATTTATTCGTTCTTGAAGTACCGAAGCTCCTTCTCGATTACAAGAAAATTTCAGAGTAGGTCTTCGTTCTTTTGGAAGTTCAATTTTCTCTACAACTGGCACAAGAAGAAGTAAGGAATAAAAAACTGCTGATAAGAAGCATACAAGAGCTATCATTATTCTTAAATAACGTCCATTAGATAATTTCGAGCCTTGATGAGTGGCCAGTTTATCAGCTAGAGGTGCTACAACTAGAGGTCCTATTACTGCTACTATAGGCGATATTATTGATACTAATCGTGCCTCTTCTATCGTCAATCCCACTGCTAACATGTGGAGTGGCAGAAACGGAAATAAACATCCCATTCCTATATTCAATAAAAAAATAAATCAAATAAAGTTTTTGTTTACTTACATAAGAAATTGAATTATTAATGTTTGAATATTACAATCACTTACCACCAAAAAAGAAAAATAATAAACACTTTAGAGATATTAGATTTGGATTTATAAATTTCCTTTGTGGAATATCCTTGATGGATCCCATTGTGTCAGTTGCCGTCGACATTTTCGTATTTTAATTAATTGTCTTTTTCATTCAGTCAAATAAATTTTGATTTAAATACTTGTTTCATCATTCTCGATCCTTTTAATGATTCTGAAAAATTGAAAAGTCAATAATTAGTAGATAAAAACATTTATAGTGAGGATGTACAGTGAAATTTATCAATTAATTACTTAATAGATGATTTCAAAAATCATGACATTACATTACGGAAGTTGGTATGTCTTATTTTATTGGCTGACACAATTAACTCTAATTCACATTATTAATAAATGCGTCCTGTAGCCCTTTTTAAGTAAGCATAAGTGGCAAATCTTTGTTAAGGTCAGAAATGAGATACTTTGACGTAGCTTCCGTTATTAAAGGATATTGCATATTTCTCAGATGAGTATGCTTTTATGATAGTATATATAATATTATTATAAATCTTGTTATATATTTATGTTTATTGCAGAGTAAACCAAAGCCTATGTATCGCGTGTTAGAATAAACTGCTCTCAGGTGTGCTAGATATTATCTCACGTTGAAAATAATTGCATGGCTTAGTTCAACATCATACCAAGTGTAACAAGACCACAGAAGAAGGAACGTGAGGTTAACGAACCAAGAGTGATGTCACCTGACTACTATTATACAGGTGAAATTAATGTATAAAAAGTCTATTAAAAATTTTTTATCATTATATCATTGTGAAATAATTTACTTTAATAAATACAATATTTCTTTCAATAATAATATATTTTTTATTAGCCAAAAAAATATTTTATTAATTTAATAAAATTGTGAAAGAATTAAAAAAAAATATTTTTTTGATTTTTTGTAGAAAATTATCGATTGCTAAATAATTAAATCATCATTTGAATTGATAAATCTTATTTTTAAAGTTAATTTAATAATTAATTATGACTAATTAATGTTAATAATTTTATTCTTCGAAGAATTGATTAACTAAAAACATTATAAATAATTTTAACAAATCTCCTTTTTTTTTTTTTTTAACTTTCTTCACTTTAGTGTTAATCGATAACCATAATATGCTAAGTAGTTCCTTCAAGTTGATTTATTGTTACAGATACGACTAGAATGAAAGAAAAAAAATAAATAAATATTCACTTTATTTAAAATTTTTTATCATGATTATAAAAAAAAACCAATTTTCATTATTTTATAAATGAAATTCAATCATCAGGACATTCAAGGATATTGTCCAACAATCTATCTCAGTATTCTTAAGTCACTGAATAAAAATATGCCAATGATGTAATTCATATTACAATTAGACTATTAAGAATGGCGTAAAAATTGAATTGTTTAATTGAATTATAAAGAAGCCACTAGTGTTTTCATTTAGCCTCGAATACATGTACTTAGTATTCTTTCACTGTACACTACATGTAATACTAACTAATAATACATACATAATAAGATTCATGAAAAAAGATTCATTCATAACTTTATGAGAATCTCTAAATTCAGAACAATGACGTAAGATGAACTCGTTCCATCTACAGCTATTACGTCATTTAATTTATATTTTTTGCTTACAATATTAAAATCACAAAATATTACAATAAAATACATTTTTTCTTTTACAATTCAATAAATACATTCCATGAAATTATAACTATTTGCTTTCATCATTGATCATTGATTGATATAAAGAGAGATTTATCAATTGAATTGACAGACATTGTAAAAAGAAAAAACAACTTGAGTAAATAAACTTATTGAAAATTTTTATTTAAAATAAATCAATACTTGATGGTAATAATTACCGTATTTTCTAACAGATAAGAATGTAGAATTATGTCATGGCATCTATTACCCTTGTTATTTAATCATTGGCTAGTTCATCAACTTATTAAAGTGTTTTTACATATGTATATATTTGAAATAATAAATATTTTATTTTTTATGAGACACACAGTTGGCGTTTAATTAATATAGAATGGCAAGTTTTATTAAGCTGAGAGTGATTGGTGAATTGGGTTAACAAAGTCGTTGTAATGTAACTGATAGGGGCCTTAGCTATAATAGCTTTACGAGATTTTAAATCAGGTTTTAAGTTTGTGAGTCAGAAGATATTTATTCAAATATTATGCCATTTATTACAGCAAAAAAAAAAAGTTTTATTGCGACTATGTATGTGTGGATAAATTTGTTCTTTTTTTTTTGCATTGCATCATTCGTAAAAATAAAATTACAACTTTGCAATAAAATAGTAAACGAACTGACTTGTTTTGTTGAATTTTGAGTATACATAGTAGACACTATTTTTATAAATTCACTGAAATTTTATTCAATTGTGTGTTATACAGATGAAAACATGCCAAGAGATTTATGTTTTATATTGTCATCAATACTGAGAAGAGTAAGTTTTGGACTATTGTGCTGATTTCTTTTGATATTTCTCTGAAAGTACTGGGATTAAATGAAGGACAATATTCCAAGAATCTTCATGAAAACAAAATGTAAATTAATAATTTTATTTACAATTATAAAAAATCATTTTATGCTAAATATTATTTCAAGTAATTATTTAAGCTTTCTGTCAATAAGACATTATTTGAAAGTGTGTACATAGCTTTTTTCCAGTGAAAAGACTCATCATCGACGTTTCGTAGTAATATGAGACTTGGATGCTATGTAGACAGAAGAAAAGATCTGTCCGGAAGAAGTTAAGAGTAGGATAAGTAAGAGAAAGAAAGCGAATTGGAGAAATTGCAATACACAAAGAGGCCACACATTCTATCTTCCTCTTAACCAATTGAGATCATCAGTGAATACCTGGAGGGGATAAAAAGACCGTTAGATGAAGAATTATTCTCTAAGGATCCCTTTCTTGTTTATCCATTCATGATGTGTAAAAAAACATTATCAATCCATTGTTTAGAATTACTTGATCTTAAAGCTGTTTAAATGAAAAAAATATATGTACTCAATATTTGTATTGTTTAATATCTTTCTTTTTCATTGTTATCAATCTGTACAATTAAATTCATGTATCATGGATCCATTAATAAAGTATATCAATTTTGTAGAAATATAATAGAGTAGCAAAACTAAATAACTTGAAGTAAAATACGACAGCACCAACTGGCACATTAGATGGATCGATAATAAATGTCAAAATCCAAGTGGGTATATCAACAAAATGTCGTTTTATCTTTAATTAAATCAACAAATTTAATGTAAATTAAATAGTGTCAAGTAAATAGATCAATTAAAAGATATATAATAAGCAACTGTGTTATCATTTTCAATCAAATCACTATGTACTGAGTGAAAAATAATAAGGGTGCAAAATTACGACGTGAGATCGTGGCAGATCAATCATAGCATTTTTCAACCTACTAATCTATTCTTGAATTTTATAATTGATGTATTTATTATACAAAAACGATTTTGCCAAGAGACATTCAGCCAATTGCACTATTAATTTAGTAGGGTTTATATTATTAGAACTAATCACTCTTTAATTCAGCCGTTATTATTATAAACATACCTGATCACTTAACTTTGAGATAAACAATTCATAGAACTTTTGATTGATATAACACATGTGTATTTTCAGTAATAATCCAGAATCACTACTAATTTATGTGCATACATGGATTTTCTTTTTTTTTTTGGAGTAAATGATTTTAAAATATAGGGAAGATGATGACTCCGAAAACGTCCACCAAGAGACTGTTGCGTCCCGGCGGGAAAAATTTGTTGCTTAACGCTGCTTATCCCTCCCTTTATACATCGTCACGCTTCTCAGCATGCGCATTATTTTCGAACGTTGTATATCTCTATTTATGTGTGTATATAGAAACACACAAATTGCTCTTGCAATTGACAAAATACATTTGTTTGATCCAAAATTTTTGTAATATTTAAAGAATATCGTAAACCAGTTAAAATTAACTGCTCACATAACTGACATTTGAGCAAAATCCCGTTATTATTCGATGATTTGATAAATACAAACCAGAATCAGGAAATTCGCGTCAAATGGAGTATAATTTAGTACGAAAGTTGACTACATGTGGCGCTAGTGGCAAAATAGGTTATTTGCGAAAAATAGCCATTTTGTTTGCTATCGGTGTAATAGTTGTCTTTTAAATTTTTGTTATCAAGAACTTGATCTTTATAAACTTTTAACAGAGTCGTTAGATGGCATGGAATATTTTTAAAACGTCTGGAATATTCTATACAGACACAAACATTCTCTACAGACGTAATTAATTTTCATGTATTGGTTATTATTGTAAAAACAACTGTCATAAGGCTAAAATTTTATTTCAATTATCAACAAGTATATTCTGTGAGATTTTATCGAAATATTCAATAAAATATTAATAGTAAGTAACGTTTATTGAATTTATCATCATTTTTTTAATCTCATGTTTTCAGTTAAAGTTTTTCTTTACTCTTAGTTAGTTATATTTATTAAATTATTATGGTTATATTAAATTTCATAAATTAAAATGTAATATAACTATAAATTAACAAGTGTAAACAAATAATCAACGGCTTATTTAAAGTTAGAGTTAGCTAACTATCAATTTCAATGATAATTACATCACACCGAAATTTGCTTGATGGGCATAAACGAAATTCAACGTTGATCTATATTTCAGACATCAAAATATGGAGGATAAAGATAAATCAAAAACTGAAAGTAGTAATAGTAATAGTCGACCACTTTCCATTCAAGCACCACCATCTCCAACACCAGTAACCGTCATGGAAAATCAACCTCGACAACCAACAAGTCTTCATGGGCTTTTAAAATTCGCTATGGATGCTACAAAAAATGAAGATGCTCCTCATGAATCACATTTTCAACCTTTAGATGAAGAAGTAAGTTATTCTTATGGCAAATAGTATACATAACGTTATATAATAAGACTCTGTTGGTAGAGTTTTAATACTCCCTAAGAAGGTGTTAGACTACTTTGAATGTAAGCAGTTTTAGAGATTTACCAACACTTTATTAATCGAGTATTTGAAATTGAAGTAAATAAAAAGTTCTAATTTCATTTATTTTCGATATATTTCAGCGAAAGAAATTTTTAAATGATGCCCTCAATTCACTAACTGTCAATGTGATAGAAGAATTGAAGAAATCTATAAAAATCCTATCAAATGTGATGGAATTAAGATCAGAGGATGATGCAACCGAGTATGAAACTGCTCTCGAATGTATTGCTAGTTATGTGGACAGCATGGATGTTGCAGTTGATTTTTATAAAATCGGAGGCTTCGGCATACTTGGAGCTTGTCTGAATTCTCCACATGATAGCATAAGGTGGAAAGCGGCTGATGTCATTGCAGAATTAACTCAAAACAATCCTTATTGTCAAGATAAAATACTACAAATGGGTTTGGTACCGATATTATTGAGTATGGTTGACACGGATCCATCAGATCAAGCTAAAATTAAAGCTCTTTATGCTATTTCTTGTAAATATAACATTTATTTTCTTATAATTGTCATACTAAAAATGTATGTTAAATTTATCTTTTTTTTCTGTAGGTATTGTCAGAGGAAATGCTTTATCTTTAAAATATATGGATGTCAATGATGGATATTCTGTGTTAATAAGAGCAATGCAAAGTTCGATACAAAAATTACAGATCAAATCAGCATTCTTAATTTCAGCTTTGTGTAGTAAAGAAAATGCGCATTCGATTAGATCATCTTTTATTAAAATGGGAATAATTGAACAAGCTTCTGCATTGTTAGCTTCCAGTGATGTTGCACCAGAAATCAGGTAATTAAATTATTGACCAACAAATAGAATTACATGGAATAAAATAAATAACACTTTTGTTGTATACATTTTCAGAGATGCGTTGCTAAGTATATTGAACAGTTTGACAGCTGATAATAATTTACATGCATTAAGAGAATGCCGAAGACCTGAATTATCATTGAAAAGTACCTTAGAACGACACTTGGAGAATTTGACATTAGAAAAAGCAACTGATGAAATTGAACAGTGTCAGATGATTCTTGATCGAATTTTTGCAGATCAGCAAAAAGAACAAGATCGATAATGTATTAAAAAATTTTATGAATATAATTTTTTCATGATAGAAATTATGTTATTTATTATACATAAAAATATTTATTTATGTGTTTTTTTTATAGATTAAAAAATAAAACTAAAAAATAATATAATAAAACGCTGTAAAAGAATGTTGCTGAGTCTACAAATTTGATTCATCTACGCGGCTGACGTAATTTTTTATATTACTAAATCATATAGACTAATGTTATACGTAAATCATCAACAAGTTTTGATTAAGAAGATAACAATTAAAGATCATCATCAATTGATAATCAATATGATACAATTGAATTTTTGAAAAGTTTATGTAACAGACAATAGTTAAAATGACTTAATTTTTAATTATTATTGACATAAAGTAGAGTGATTATCAATCTTGAAAACAATACAAATCAGAAAAACAATCTAGAATTAATATTCAAACTGATGTATACGTTTAATTACAAAGTGGCGCCAGTCTTGAAATAAATTTAGCGACTTATAATAAAGCCTTGCACGCTAAAGTATCTTAAGAAATTCTTTGACTTATTCTTTAAGTCTTATGAGTAAGAAAAACTTATAGCATACGCAATAAATGCAGGGTGAAATCAATTGTAACACTCGGCAAGTAATCAATTGGTCATCTAGTCTCTTATGTCTATAAGATAGATTGCAATAGAGTATGTACAGAACTTTTAAAAGGCGGAGGCTCGTCTGACGACGACAACACGCGCGTTAAAATTAAATCTAGCTTGCAAATAGTCAGCAGTTTGTCTGTAAGACACGATTACGTTTTCTTTAGCCGACGACGACGTCGCGACGAAGCGCGTCCTCTAGCTCAGTCTCAAGAACATATTGTGTCAGTGCGGGTATATCATTATCCTGGTTTTCGTTTTCTTTTATCTTTCATTCAAAATTTTAAGAATAGAACACCAGCGTGTTTACTTTGACTCCCACATTATAAAACATATTTTTCACTCACTTTTTTTTTGCCACTGTTTCTGAGACAAAAATAATCTTGATAGAGCTTGTGTTATTTCTGGATAAGTTACTGGAATCGCCGGTAAGAAAAACCGACGATTTCTTCATCTTCAGCAACTGCGAAACTAAAGATTACACGAGGTAATGAAGGAATGATTTGTCCAAGGATACTTTTATTATTTCTGATTACTTGCAGATGTTTAATAATAATTGATATACCTATTTATCTCCTAAGGTTTCAAGTTATTTAATAGAATAATCGTAAAAACAAGTATAAAAATTTTTCATTTTAATTACTAGTTTCTTATGTCTGTTGCATAAATTTCTTCTGATATTTATTCATTTTAATTATTGTCATAAAAATATTTAATTCATTCAATAAATACATTTTAAATGCATCTGAGAATTTAACGAGTATTCAAATACGCAATGAAATGCTAATTTTAACGACAAATGAAATTTTAAAATGACGTAAATTGATGTTCTACATAATTTCTCAAATACACATGAGTATCTTGATAATATTTTTTTTTTTAAGATGATTATTAAATAAAATAATATAATATTATCCTGTATGTAAAGGATATAAATGGTGAATAAATTATTTCTTTTAACAGACATCAGCATCCACAAAAAAAATATTTCGCAAGAGACATGTGATGAAACTCGTGTGATGAACCACGTGTAACATTATGATTATTCTTGATATCATTACAAATTCAATCATCAGTGCGAATTTAATTAACTATTCTGGTGTCTTATATTTACAGGTTTATCTGTTTGATAACGTGGGTGGAGATCAACAGCATCATCAATGACTCATTTCAGAGAAAATCAACGTAAGTACAACGAAATATTTATCATTTATTAATGTCTTGGTGGGTCAAGGTTATTGTTCACTATTTAAAAAAAAAAAAAATTAAACATAAAATATAAAAAATTAATTGATTTATTAATAATCTTGATAATTGTGATGAATCGTTTCTTTAAATATACAATCTGATAATGGTCTTAAACCCTTTAAAAATAAATGCTTTCAATCTCAACAGGCCAATTGAAAAATAGTGGTCTGGCAAATTTAAATTTCAACTCAATGTATAGTTTAGTTTAATTCAATTATAATATATCAACAAAAAATTCGAATTATTCAAGATTTATTATTTATTAGCATTTATTTGTACTTTGTGTGGTCAGATTCATTTACTACCGAGTAACCTCAATGATTTGCAACTGCAAAGTATCATAGACCAATAGAAGTGTCAAGGGGTTACTAGCCTTGATTCCATGCCAAATTCTTGACAGGGAAAGCGGATACATTACTATATTGCAACCTTATTTTCTTTTGAAATTATTGTTTAAAAAATATTTAAAATATTCATTCATTATTTGATTATTTATGTTTATTTAGTGGGTTTCCAGTTAATGACGATGGAGAGAGATGATGATGATTTTGGTGAAGGTTTTATTGCTGAATCTCATCCATTGAGACCAACACAACTGACAGTACCAGGAAATAGTTCGAGAGCACCAAGTATTAGTAGCAGTGTCACTGATCTGGATGCTCCAATTTATGCTAGAGAAACTACTATTCCTTTATCAGCAAGAGCAGTAAGTTTTTTGATAAAATCTATTCAATGAGTTATTGATCAATGAATAAATTTAAAATATTATCATGTCCTTCATCTCATGTTGCTATTGATGAGAGGGAAAATCGCCAACAAGTTTGATATTAAGACACCAAAGTCTCGTGCTTAGACTCACGTCAAGAATATATGCCGTGTAAGCAAATGATCTGCAGAGGTCACTTAGGTATAACTCGCAGAATTTCTTGAAGAAATAAAAAAGAAAGATAGACAACTATGTATGACGCATGTGATTCATCTAAGAGGTGTGTTAGTTTATTTTTGTCACGTGTTGGCAGATCATTCGTTTTTTCTTATACTTCATTTTTTATCTTTCTCTAATTCTTTCTTTGAAAGATATGAAAAACTGATAATTCATAATAAATTATATCATCTAGATTTATTACTTAATACTGATATTTATGATAACAATATCAAGACAGTCAATTGATACTTTGTAGATACAAAAAAAAATCCAGTTTCTATGCAATCATTGTGGTTAATATTTTCTTTTAATTTTAGCATAATTATTTATCAAACGCAATTGTATTATTCTGAAAGCTTGACAAGTTCTTTTGAATAATTTTTTTTTTTTCAAGATAATTTGCTTGATTGAAATGTCACAAGTTTTTCATTTAAACTTTTCGATTGCAGATAGAAGTTTTTCCATTATATACATGTATCAATTATGATTATCAATAATAGTCTAGTAAATACGTCAGTATACTCGTTTGAACCATGAAAATATTTCTCGTTGTGTTCAATAAATTGCTATTATCCAGTTGCGTAACAGTCAACCAATGTCGATGACAATCCTTCACCGCTAAAAACTAGAAAACTCATCACCATCACATTACATCACTGTTATACAAATTTGAAAATATATTATTTATAGATTTGTTCATACATACATCATCTTTCCATCGTATTGACTATACTCTTACTTGTATTTGTAGTCAAGATAAAACTTGTTTAACCAGATCTTATGTACTAAGCTTTTAACAATATTTTATAATATGACTTAATTCCAAGATTATCACTGATTGCATAGAAATCATTACTTTTGTTTGGTTAGATTAATATTTTTATTATTACCTGAAAAATGAATAATTAATTTCCATTCTCATAAAAAATAATTTTTAATATACTTATTTCATTATCATTAAAAGTAAAATTATTTATAATTAAAAACTTATCTTCATAGATGAGTGAGTTAATCTTTCAATGATCTTAATAAGTCAATACTCATTAAAGAAAAGTCAAAGTCTGCACCCTAGATGATGACATTACAAATAAATTGATCTTCCCAATAACTGATACTGACAAACTATCAATCAAAACACACAAGATTATTACTTTAAACTTATTAATATACTATTTTAATAAAATATAGTGATAGTTTGTTAAGTAAATAAAACATTGCATCAGTTTTTTCGAAATTATGAACATACAATTCAACAGGTATGGAACAGACTTGGAGTTTACAGTTAAATACCATCACTCCTAGACATATTACGTCATAAATTCTCAAACTTACGATATAATTTTTTATCGATTAAAGTGTTGAAAACTGTACGTGCAGAAAGGCACGACTCATATCAACTATTCTATTGGTTGAATATTGAAGGGCGTGTAGGAGGCTCGTTGGTTCTCCCTCCGGCTATCTATGACGTACCATGACGCGTGTTTGCATCAGCTAACTTCGTATCATTGCTCTACTATTCACATACTTAACTCTTCTTAAACCTTGAATGTTACAAAAGTTAACCTGTTATCCAATTGGTCTAAAAACCATTCGTTGAACATTAAATATTTAAAAGTAAATAGAAAATCAAACGGTTTATGATCAAACTTATGAAATTGTTTAATTTATATAGCTCATGCATAGTTACCAAAATATATTCGATAAAATATTAATGATGAAATCATGATGAGTTCTGAGATAAAAAGTCAATGACGCAAGGATGGCATCCTGATTTTTTTTCTAATTTAGATGACGAAATATTTAGGGGTTGTTGGCAAATGCGCAGAATATTTGAAATACTCTGCAGGGTTGGTTGGTAGTAGGGTTAGAATTAACGCTTGCGCCATTCGATTTAGGGTGGTTTGTGTGGTACTAATAAAAAGAATATTATTTTAGTAGACAATCGAACTCAGTACTGTCTGAATTACTGACATAAACGTAAGTGGTGAAAAAGTGAGTAAATTATTTTTTCCAACATCTATATTACTTTTTTATTGAATAAAAATAATAAAGTATAATATTCAATAATATTTTAAATATTAATTCATACAAAATTCTAAGTGTTTTCATAGTTTATTTGATGTTTAATTTAAAAAATAGTTTAGTAAATGAAAAAATAATTTAATTTACAGATAAAGTGAATGGATTGATGAAATAAATATCTGGTTGTTAAATTGAAATAAATAGATAAGAATTATTGATGTTACTTGATATTAATAATACATTCAGATGTGGATGTTATTGTGGATAGTCAAAGAATATTGACAATAATATGTTCTCAATTCTTATTATACTTGATAGTTATGTAACTATCACATGGATAATGAATAAAATTGTTCTGTCAAGAATAACTTTTATTTAATACT